AACAAGAGAGTGATGCCAGCATGGCAAGCAAGTGTGTGTGAGTGTGAGCGTGTGTAGAGGGCAGACCAAGGCAATGATGATGATGATGGGCTCCTAGTTCCATTTCAAGCCAGGTCAAGGGACACTTTAAAAAGTCAGTCAGTCAGTCTGTGAGATTATATATATATATAGTATGCCCTTGTATTTAGTATGTGTGTATTCATTCTCTCATTCTCAACATATTTATAGATAGATAGATATAGACATGATAGAGAGCAAGATGGGTGTGGGTGTCCTGGTGGAAGTGGGTGTGCTCCAAATATGGGGCTGTTCCAGTTATTCCAGTTGGGATCCTCATTCCAACCTGGCACTGTGCCCCTGTCTGTCTCTCATTCACTTCCTCTTTCATTCTCATTCTTTCTCTTTCTCTGCCCCATTTATTATTGTCTATCCCCCCCCACTCTCTTGCTCTCTCTCTCTCTCTCTCTCTGTCTGCCTGTCTGGCATGGTAGTGGTGGTGGTGATGGGGGTGCCTCTCTGCCCTTTTGTTGACAAGGTGTCAGATCTGGGGTCACCCTCCTGCATCACACACAACTTGCTTGCCACATGGTTGCATGATAAAAATAACGCTCTCTCTCATTTAATTAATTAAATAAACCGTTTCATACTTCCATTTCTTTCCAGTACTTGTGTGTTTTGTGCCTAATCAAGGAGTGTTGATCCATTATATTAATATTGACAGTGTGGGGTGTGAATATCTATCTGTATATATTTAGATGTAGATATGTTTATTGTGCATGTGTTTTGGATAAGTGCTTAAGTTATGGCAGGAGAGTTGCTCACATGGTTGAGTTGGAAGAGCTGCTCACTTTTTTTTAATATTCTTATTTTGCTTTGTTTTACGAATTCTTCCTTTGCATTGGAATGTTGTCCCACAGGCCTTACTTTGTATGGCATGAATCCCATGTTTGAAGAATGATATGAAAAAAAAAAAAAAAAAAAAATTATTAGCTACCATTTGCAGTGCTGGGAACTAAAATTGATGACAGTGGCTTGTTATTGTCCACTGTTCCACATGATAGTACATTAGAATGTATCTACTGTCAACTGTCACAATATGATATCATTTTTTCAAAATTAAACAAACATATACAAAAATAACTGAGGTTCTATATCCTGAAGAATATCTTTTACATCCATTCAGTAGGATATTTGTTTTGTTTATTTTGTACAATTAACAATGTTATCAAAAGTCAAATAATATATACACAATCATAGAGCTTAGTTTTATTTTTTGTAACTATTATATTATTATATTTTGAATGTGAGATAGTAGCATCATAGGCTGGTTGTATGTCCTCAAACCCAAAAGATTACACAAATGAGACACATTTTGTATTTGTTGCAACAGAAACATGCACAAAAGATGAGATTTGTTTGTTTTTGTCTAAAAAATTTAAAATAAAAATAAAAATAAAATGCAAAATCCTATGCAAATAGCAGTACCTTTCATTGTATTTTTAAGACAAACTCACCCATGATTTTCCTAAATGGCCTCACTGACATTCATTGTTGCAATAGAACAACAAGTTTATCCACAATGCATGCCACATCATCCCTTCCTATTCTCAACACTGTAGCAAAACCACCAACCCAATCCCTGAAGGTTTTTTAAAAACCCATATATGATTGGGGAATGGTACTACTTCAGGGTCCCATCCGATGCAGAAATGCTGATTAAGCTCAATGATCAACTGTCCATTTCATCTGTTGTACCCTAATAGCAACATTTGAAACCCTTTGATTGATGGGCAATGTCGTCCTCAAAACGAAGCAGGCAAAGAAAATCACACCACCACCACCACCAACAACAATAATAATACAAATTCCAGAAGAAAAAAGAGAAAAAGGAAAGAAAGAATGTGAATGTAAAATGTAAATCTGCACCGTGCTAAACTCTTTGTGAATTTCATCACCGGCTTTGCCATGTGCTAATCAAAACACTCAGTTTTTTTTATAAAAAATACTTGGAAAAGAAGAGGAGGAAGAAGGACATGTGGGTCATGAGAGTATTTGTTTTTAGGGTTTGGGGCCCATGACTGTAATGGAAGGTGTGTTGCGAGGGGGAGTTATTGACAGGAGCGAGGGGGAGTTATTGACAGGAGCGAGGGGTGGAGGAGGTGCTAGGTTTGGAGGCAACGGTAGATCACAAGGATTTGCACTTTCGAAAAACCTGCTAAACATGAATTTCCGATTCTTAGGGCGCCGATGGATAGCTATAGACCGAGTTGGAGAGATAGGCCTGTTGATATTGCCCGGAAGCTTGTTGTTGTTCCGAATTATAGAAAGTGGTTAGCAATGGATGACCGCGTGGGCGTGGTTGTGGATTAGGAATGCACAAACTGCTCTGGTGGTAAGGTTTCGACAAATGGCGCATGTGCTGGCAGGAAACCGAACTAATTTGTCACCGTAGAGTCGCCAGTTGCCACCAGGTGATTGCAGGTTTAAGGTGCTGACTGAGGAAGACTCTGCAGAGGAATTTTCAGCGAGCAGTTACCAATTAGTTCGGTTTGTTGGCATAACGGCATCAATGCATCACGACAGAGAATATACACACGCGCACACACACACGTGTATATATATATATATATATATATATATATGTGTGTGTGGATTAATTTTTGGGTGTAAATCACTGGATGGTTATAGGTTTTGAAGGAGGTTTAGGGTTTGGGCGTTGCTTACTGTGGCAGTTGATTTCCTCGCAAGAGCTTAGCAACTATGATTGCTTCCCCTCATGTCGATGGATTACTGTAGGATGCAATCGGCTCAGCACCAGTCATCATCTTCGAACTGCTCTTTGTTACCGCTGCAGAAGGATGAGTTGAGCCACTACTATTCTGCGTTGGCAATTTGAAAAAGCCAAATTGCTGAAGAAGAGAGTAGAGATGTGGACATCTACGTTTTCTGAAACCTTACATTACTGAGTAAATTGATGCAGTTCGTCGCGAAATATTGCTGCAAACGGATCCAGCATGGTGCTTCATTATCCTCTCGTCACCAAGGATCGATACATACTGCTCCGAAGATAACAGGCATTTGTTATGTCGAGGATTTTGACATAACAAATGCCTGTTGGACTGCAAGTTGGGGGGGGGATTGCTTTCAGGCGAATCATGTGGGGGACGTGATACGCTGAACTGTCCATCGAGCTTTCAGCCATGCATTCATGTAAAGCAGCTCATATCTCTCATTGCCCAGGTGGTTTATTACTCCTTCAAATCTTGCATGAGAGTGGAATATGCCAGGCAGAGGATTTTGAATGATGTTGCCTTCTTGTGGCATAGTTCTTGTAAGAAATATTTCGCAATATCCAAAAGATCATGGGCACCAAATTTTTCAATAACTATGCGGGACAGAAACGACACCCCGATATGAGTTTGTCTTCGTTATCTGCTTGATAGATTCGTTTCAAGACTACTGTAGACGTGTGAGAGGTAGTTTTACTTCCTCGCTCTTTCAAATCGCTCCAGGCAAATCGCGATATCGTTCCAGAGTAAGATTCCTGAAAACGACTTTACGACGGGACGAACAAAATTGTTAACGATTCAGAATTATCTCTCTTCTGCTGAAGAAATGCCAGGAATCTTCGATTTCATTTCTCATTGCACACATTTTGACATCAGCTTTGTGTTAAGTTTTGACTGAAAATTGGTTTCTGTTCATGGTGGGAATGCCCCTTAGCTCCTGCGACATATGGAAACTTTTCAACCAAAGCGCCATCGGCGTACTCGACTGTAAGGGAAGTACATTTGTGTCACTTCAGATACACACCAAAAATCAATCGATCTTACCAACTGCCGATGCGTACGAAACGTATTGGTGCAGTTGTGCGCCATCTGAATAAGAGCCGTGTGACACAGAGTATGTGAAATTCAAATGACAGCTCCTTTTACTGCTTCCACCTCCACACACTCTGATTGCGTCCTGTCAAAAGTTACGTTCACGTACTTATGTCTTGGATAGAGCTTTGAGATACACTGCATTCGTGCTTGAACAACTCGCAAAACATACTTTATTCGCGTACCAACTCCAGCAGTAAACCATTTGCTCACCACCGCAGAAAACCATACAATTAAATTCTGCAGTATTTCGTGGCTAAAAAACTAGGTCATCAACAAGTGTTTGAGAAACCGGTGAATTTCAAGATCATGTGAGAAATTTTCAGAGACTCTCATGTTGAGATTAGCGTGGAGGAGCATGAGTTGATCGGAAGTGCAAGGCTGGTGTCGTTTCGGGTGCTTGCTAACAGTGTTCAAACACTGTGACAGGCTTTTGCAAAATGCGATCCAACCACGCCGACTTTACGAGACATCTTTTATAGCGCAGATTGCGATATTTTTGGTGGCAGCGATGATGGTGGCGCAGTGTAAGCAGATGCTGGAGAGAGACTGTTCCCAACTCCAAGGCCTACTCGTCTCACCAAGCGGAGAATACTTCCAAGTGAATTTCTGCAAAGCTACATACTCTGCCAAATATGATGATTGGCACCGACTCTCACCGCAACACTTGACTGAGGGGGGTGGAGTAGGGGGTGGCTGTAGACCTGGATGACAACAACAACTTTCTTCCAAATTCAAGCGAAAAACAAAGCATCTTCGGAAACTCCAAATACAAAGTGGGGCCCACCAAGAGATGCAAATGCATAACGCGACAAAGTGAAAAGATCCAAAGCGGCGCCTCTATTGGCCGTCCTCTCCGCTCCATCTGGAGAGCGACAGAGAATCGAGGTATCTGACACGAGTCAGTCTCAAAGTGTCAAGTTCCAATTCGTTGCGAAAACGCAAATTTCTCCTTGTGCGCCATGTGTTGCTAGCAATGACATGGCACGCAACATTGCGCTCAAATATCTGCAACGGCGGGGTCCTCTCTCCTGGGGTCCCGCCTTTTGCAACCCCGGCCGCCCGACTTTGCAATCTCTCAATTGGGCTCTCAACCCTGTGGGAGCGTGATGCACCCTAGTCCCTTTTCTCGAACAACCCTCTCCAGAAGCTGAATGTGTTTGCCTGCTTGGTAAGCCTCCGCGTGGTCCATCTGTCGCTTGCTTGGCGCGCTGCCACTGCGTCGTTAATAGCCTCTTATCCGTGTCCAATGCTCGCGGTTTCTTTCTTGGAGCTGCAGTAAGTAGCGAGCAATTATCGCCCGCTCGTAAAATGTCTTTTGCTTTCGTGTGAGAATAGTGTAGGTGTCGTATTGTTGCTCGAGGCGAGTTTCGCTAAGACGAGGTTTCGCGGTGAATCATGGAGAAATATATGTTTACAGTTTGATAGCAGATTGTGTTCCGTTTTTAAGTTTTACTTCTGGTTTTGGTTTGCTGCACCAAGTCTCATGACAGCAGTCGGCAGTGTTTAATTTGTAGCTCACGAACTGTTGTCTTGGGCTGTAAAGTTGTTTTGAAGGATTTCGGAGGGTCAAAGAGGATTGCAGCAGATACTGAGGGAGTGGGTACTAAGTTTCTTGCACTTTGGGGGAGGGGGATTGAAGGAGTGGGAGGGGAAGGAGGGGATGAAACAAGGCTGGGAGGTTCACACACATATGACATTGGGGTTGCAATGAAAAATGAGGCTAGGGGTAATGCAGCGGGAAGCGGGGTATGCAAGGTCTGCATGTGGGGCTACTTGCCCGCCGCGTCGCCTCAGCGGACTCCGCTCTTGCACCCTACGTTGGTGCCCATAACGGCGCTTGATGATCCACTCAAGATTGTCTGCAATGGTGGATGTGGCTTTGGGATAGGCATCTCTGGTACGCGGCCTGACCGAATCATGTGCTCTCAGTCGACTGAGTGCTGAAACCCGGTTAAAAGCAATCCTGTGTCGTGGGATATCTGTTGCGACGTCTAATCCCACCATGCAGTGTACCGTGAAGGATCAATTCCAATGGGTTGACACGTTGCCATTTGCTCGGTTCATTCAAGACATTGTTGAGCGAGATGCGAATCCGAGTACATGTGCGAAGTGTTATCTTCTGAAATTGTTGTAAAAGTTGAAAAATTAACGGAGCACGTCGAGCTATGTGTGGACTGTTGATACTCTCCTTTTTTTGCGCTACGAATCTTTTTCAAATCAGTGGTCTGAATTAGAATATGAATATCTGAGATATCAGGATCGATGCAGCGTCTCAGTTAATCCGCGCTTCAAGCACCATTTCAGAATTGAATATCGACTTTGATAGAGCTAATCGAAACTACCTGCCAGTGGGGTTGGTGCATGATTTTCAATGATTGATGCCTCTGAGATGCACGTTTGAGGATTTTCAGATTGGATTCATTCCATTTTCACAGCGCAAGGGTGGCAAGGATGTTTCTATCTCTGTGAACACAAGGGAGTTGTCAGATGTATATTGATGATCATTGGTGCATGTTATGTCGAACTGATTACATTTTTTTTAGCAGAAAAAATAGATGTAGTGATAGTACGATGAGGGTGGGTACCCTCACTTCACTGATCGGTCAGTTTGCAATTAGACAACAGGACTACACAACTCCCGACAAAGTCGCACAGGGAATGAAAGAGCCAAGTCGAGTTCTACGCTAACCTTTCTTCTAAACGTGGGGAGGATCCCACAAGGTGGTTCTTACCATTGAACTGATCATGTTTTGTGAATATGGTTGTCGTTGTTGGGTGGTTTTTGCAGAATCCGGTAAGCTCAACACCTGGGGCTCCACCACAGAGCTTGGACAATGCTACCTTATCTCTGGTAAACAGCAGGTAAGTGCACGATATGACGAGCATTTACATGAGGTGGATCTTTTCCTCCTCTTCTTTCAAGTTTAGGAAGTGGTAAATCCTCGTGATGGTGCAAGTGTATTGACGAAGCAAATCTACAAAACGAAGTCTACAGCTGCCAGGCTTTTTAAGCTTGATTTAGGAAACGTTTCAGCAATGTTGCCCATCGTTCATCATTGAGAGGATGGCGTGTGACTGAGATATGCTTCTGCAGTTTCTCTGGTTATGTATTTGCATGAAGCTTTCGAAAGCGGGTTATGTATCCAAACCATTGGCTCATCCTGAGTGCTCGTTCTTGCGTTACAGCTATTACTGCAGCTATCAAGCATGCACCAATCGAATGAACAATATAAGAAATTTAGCCAACTGTACACTAAGCTCAGGGCTATTAGGGTTTGTGGTGCAATTCTGCTCGTGGCTTTGAGTTTTTTCATTATCTTGACGTCTTTTCTGATTATAGAAATAAAGGGAAAGGAGATGGACCACCGTAATGGGCAAATCCGCTGGCATTAATGCGACTCATATGCTGGAGGCAAACAAGAAGAAGACTACTTACGTTAGAGGTGTTAATGACTGCCCAGGAAGTTCCCGAGCCGTATCTACTGCCAACAGACTCCCCCATTATTCAAGCAGCTGGAGGTTGGGCACATTGTGCAGCTGTAACAGGTACTGTCTTTCCATCTTCTCTCTCTCTCTCTCTCTCTCACGGTGCCTTACCTGAGAAAAACACAAACTTGATGTGCAGCCTCTCAAAAGTTCACCTACTGTGATTTCATGCCTACATGTGTACAGGAGATTTTATTAAGTTGGTATATACAATAATACTTGAAATCCAGGTTGGTGCTAAGTGAAGGGAGCAATCTTATTCTTGTTTCCTATAATTTATTTTCTACTGTTTGAATCTGCAACCAGAAACTGGAAGATAGGAATAATGGAATCTTCTCATCCAGCCTAAGCACAAACTTTTGGTTTGTCCTCTCAAATAATATTTCTGCTTATCCGACAATTTATTATTCCTCTACACATTTACCTAGCTGGCATATATCTCGTGCGTTATACAGTGTAGTCTTTTTCTCATACTCGAACCACAATTCCGCCTCACATTCAGTAAGGCTTGGTTTTTCATATGGGAAGACTTAATTGTTACAAGATCTTCACGTGGAAACCAGCCCAGAGTAGTTTTTTCGTATTTCTGTGCAATAGCGGTTTAGAAACGTCCTTACCTCCGCCAGTTCATCCTTTGTTTGGTCTCCAAATTACTTCGACTGACACTGCATGCAAAGCAGATTGGTCACGAAGTTTCCACTGTCTACCTCTACTAAGCCGTATTACACATAACTTGGAGTGAGATTCCATAAACTTGAAGATCCAATTTTCCCTTTCCCTGGCATTTATTTGAGTTTATTTTTCCCCGGCATATGGCAGTGGCAGATTCTGTCTTCGTACCTCCCTGTCAGGATATGAGTCTCCTAATGCTATGAGTTGAGCAGCTGTCAAGCTTTTGAACAACTCCTGCATTCAGCTCACTGTGTGGCCTTTTTACCACTGGGTGAAGCTGTTACAGATGAGGCCTTCTTCACAAATTGTAGAGAGAAGTCATAGAGTCGTCGAAAAATATCGAGTGTTTGCTGTATGGCTTTGCAGTGATGGTCTGATCGCTCACCCAAGGCACTCTTCTTAGTAATAATACTTAGAGAGCGCATAGTTAGTGGATGTTGTAAGTTTTTTCACGTAACTCGGCTTTCGTGATACTCTTCTTCGGCTTCTTCTTCTTGTAATTTTTAAATTTTTATCGCTTCATTGTGTTCCACGAGCGCTGCTCCCCCACACCTTGGTTGGAATATAGGATTTCTTCTTTCCATACACTGCTTGGTCGTTAATTTCAGTAAAAGACAAACGTGAAGGCACGTTTCTTTTCTAGAAACTGCAGGAAGTCTACACCTGTTACAAAATTGGATTTGGTGGTTTTGGGGAACCTTTCTTGAGTAGTAACCTGTAACCTCTTCAACAGCATTTTTACCTTCTTATCACATTGAAAAGCTGGTCCTCCCCAAAATTGATGGACCTGAACATTTTTAAAATGGTTATCGAGGAAGTCCTCTAAATTTAGTTTTACAAAGTCTGAGTGCTCTCGCCGAACTTTGAAAGTCTCCACCTTCTATCAGCTGTCAAACGAATGTTTACTTGTTTTATCAGATAGCCCATGCATCAATACGTGATCGTGGTCCGCTTAGCCTTCTTAATGTGTAGTTTCTTGCAGTTCTGAACTTAAGAGGGCTAAAAGTAGGTTAGCAAGCTAGTTGGGATGGATGATTGCCTGTGACTCATATTGATGCACTGAGCATAACATCAATAATTCTGCATTTTAACGGTATCTATCATACATTTGGTGACAGCAGTAGAACCTGCAATGAATTCCACGGTTGTCTATGCTCAAGAATAAGAGTAGAAAGCTTTGTGAACCTTCGGCAGCTTGTCTCGAAGTTGATGTTGTTGAGAAGCGCACAGGTCTTCTGTGGTATCATTGTGTCAGTAGGAAATTTTTCGTGATGTGCGACATCTTTGCAAGAGTGACTGTAGGCACACAGCATTTCTCGATCATCTCCTCTCTTTCCTTCAGATGTGCCGTATTGTAGATTAGGTATGTTGCTCACAAATGTTGTGGTAAAATATAGCTCTTATTCTACGGTCTGATAGAAGTGACTGCAATGACGAGTTTATTTTGATATGACCTGACCTTCTCACTTAGTAATTATATGGCGTACTAAAAATCAATTTTGTCAGACAGATCGCAGATTTATATATTCGTCTATACCTGGTAGAGAGGCGGATTTTGGTTCACTTATCTTGGTCACCTGAACTTTGAGTCACTTCCACAATCTGCATTTTCGTAATTGTTAGTCGCTGGCTCACATAGTGAATGTTCACAGCATATCATCCAACACAGGGAAGTTTATAGTTAGTTTGGTCCCGAGAGGGTGCACTCCCTGCGTTAGGTATGTGAGAGTAGCCTAAACTTCAGAGTGGTATTCGCTTAACTTATTTTCTCTAAGAAGATTTAAGCGTGAACGAGTTATCTAGTTTGCTTGATAGATCAACATACATGACGTAATTCCTGCTGCACTTAATTCCAGGAATCACAACTATTAGAGTTTTATGTATCAGTTTCGCGTAAGTTCACAAGCGAGAATCACGATAACTTTCATTGTTCTCGTTGATTGACCAACACAGGCTGCACCCGTGTGCAGGGAATGGTGAAGTTTACACTTGGGGTTGGAGTGAATGCGTTCCCAGCGTAACGCTCAATGCTGTGGAAGAAAGCGAACAAGTGCAGGAAGATGACATACCTCCAGATGTCCCAGGCACGAGCTTACAGTTATTATCAAGAAACAATGTGAATGCCGCACGCAGTGAACCCTTACCTTCATCTGGTTCACCGTTGCGGCTTACTGGGGGATTGCAGGGAAGAACTAAACAATCTGGCAGGCAAAACCAACGTAATTTGACGTGTAAATTCACCGAAAATAGAGTTGTGGAAGAAGTTCTCAAAAAGAGAAAGGTCGTAAGCTTTGAAGATGGAGGATCTCCTGAAAGCCCTACTGCAGCCGATGAAAATGTTTTTTCTCCACCTTTTCTGGTAAATTTGGATGCTGGAATCAGAATTGCTTCAGTAGCTGCAGGTGGACGGCACACATTGGCTCTTTCAGGTGTGTCTTTCAATTCACGTGCGATTTTGTCCCTTTTTTCCCAACTGCAGCTTTGCCAGGGTTAGTGAATATTTACTGGCTTGATTGGAATATGAGCATAGATTTCTTCGAATAATTTAGGAATCAGAATTAGTTCAGAAGTTATGTAGTATGCAAGACTTCAGCACCTTTTTCTTTGAGTCGTGTACACTACACATGTTTCTCATATTTGTATGACGGAACAACCTGTTTGAAATTTGCTTCTCCATCATGCAGTAGTTGAAGATCACATTTCCGTCATGGGTTCAAGTATTTTTTGATTCTTTATCGTATGGAAACAGATGTAGGCCACGTTTGGGCTTGGGGTTATGGAGGTGACGGTCAACTTGGATTGGGCTCCCGCATGCGGATTGTGTCATCCCCACAACAGATACCTTGCTTGAATTTGACAGAGAAAGCTGTGGCTCGAAGTGGAGTTCCTATTCCTGGGAAATGCATAAAAGCAATTGCATGTGGAGGCCGTCATAGTGCTGTCGTTACAGGTACATAGTATAATATCCTCTGCAACATTATACGCTATCTGAACCAACGTTCTTCTGAAGTGGTCACTACCCAACACTAGTAGAAACACCTAGTTAAATGTACATCAAATGGCCCTTACATTGGACAAACTTTGTCATTTCTGATAAGAATGCCAATTATCATTATTCTACCTATATCCTTTGATGAACTCAAATTGTACAGTTAAACAAGGTATTTCCAACTAGTCAAGTTTTCCTTATTTGATGGTACGAGAAGATTCTTGCATTCAAATTCAGAGCATATGTATGCTGCTCATTTATTACTTGGAAAATTGGTTTTGACAGATAACTTGGTGAATTTGAGTGTCTCTTTTGTAATTCATTGTCAACGGTACTATTGCTTCAGTTGACAGTAGCAACCTTGTCCACATTATTATTGGTTGTCTACGTACACCACTCTTTTATCCCTATCATCACACTTTTCGTATACATCCGTTGCTTTTGGAATATGTTCCTAAATATGACGATAGAGTGCTGAATGACATAGATGCTGGAGCGTTGTTAACTTTTGGATGGGGTCTCCACGGCCAGGTTTGCATCCTTGCTTTCCAACTTATTCTTGTGTCAGCATGATCATCAGATCTTCATAGGGTCTTCATCACACATTGTTGTGAGCTGTTTCTGAGAAAGTCTACTAAGTACTCTGATGTCTTTACTGCATTGCAATTTTAAGCAAGGCTCACAGAGTGGTTTGTATTGAGACCACATGACATTAGAAAGTGTTTCTGTCTCCTTTTAAGAATTTACAGGGAAAACAGGTAACTAATAAAACAAACAAATAAACGATTAAACAATCTCCTACACCCCTCCCAAAATTGAAGTTGGGACACCGTGTTGTTCTTGTTATTTGGCAGGTTGGTCAAGGCAGTACCGAAGATGAGTTGAGCCCTTGTTGTGTATCTACAATAGGAGGACTTCGCATCGTAGGCATAGCAGCTGGCCTTTGGCACACTCTTTGCATTACTGATGTTGGAGATGTATATGCTTTTGGCGGAAATCAATTTGGCCAACTTGGCGTAGGTGGAAATGCTGCAGAGGTTACTTACCTTCCCTGAGAATTACTTTTGAGTTTTTTATCGATTCGTTTGGTTTCAGATTCTTATAATTGCCCTTCATTGTCCTTCATTGTCCTTCATTGTTAGCTTCTTGCGATTCCTTTTTAATTGGAAGAGATCAACTTTCAACGTAGTTTCGTTTCGTTTCGTTTCGTTTTTTTTTTTTGTTTTTCGAAGTCTAGTTTTCTGTAAACAAAGTTCTCTCACAACCTTAGCTTCTAAATTGTTCCAGTTGTCTCCACGGATGATCGACGCACCACTTTTGGAAGATGAATCATGTGTGGAAGTTGCATGCGGTGCGCGCCACAGTGCTGTGTTAACAGGTATTCTCAAATGACCTTTTCTGATTTTTAATATAGGATCATCAAATGATGGAGAAATCCATCAAATCTCTCTTTGTTGACTAGGAATGCTCAATTGAACATATTTGACGCTTCAGCGATGCCAATTGAGATATTCTGTACATCTCGAACTTGCTCTAAATCAACGTAATATTTATGTTCTTTCTTTAGGATCTGGAAAGATCTTTGCCTGGGGTTGGAACAAATATGGGCAGGTATGTTAAGTGTCAACCTCACTGTATCTTCATGTTCTAGTGTACAGTTGCAGTTGAAATGGGAATGTGGAATTGTTTTAGCAGTGAATGTGGAATGATGTATACTTAGAATGTTACTGAATATGGTCTAAGCGTATCATGACAATTACAATCAGGGTGTTTCTCAAGCGTAGTATGATAGCATCTCATGGTTGGGGCTTACAATTCATGAACGCCCTGTCTTTGTATTTAAAGATTTACAACACAGGACTGAAAAAATCAAAATATGGATCCTCATCAATTTGCACAATGTGGAACGGAGCAGAGATTCAGAGGAAACTAAATTAGCTGATGAAGAATTACGTGCGTGTGCAGTTGGGTTTGGGTGATTGCAACAACAGAGACTTACCAGTGCAAGTAACGATGAATGATGGTGGGCGTGCAGCCAGTATTGCCTGTGGTTGGTGGCACACTCTGGCTTCAGTCCACAGTAAGTGACATAGGTCCAGCAAAAGAAAAATCTGCACACTCAAGAGTTGGAGACATTACCGCAATTTGTGTCATCTTACTCCAGTAAAACTATTACTTTGAATAACGTTCGAGTTAACGTCGGAGCTCATGATGTTTGCAGTGACGCCACTCGCATCTAATCACCAGCTGGCGAATACAGCATCTTCAATACATCCTCCACTGTGATTAGCAATTAGACGGTTCAACTGTTTTGGTAGTCATCTGTTGAAACTCCCCATCCACTAAATAAGCTCTGAAGTCCCATTCATCTTTCACAATATGCTTGGGACAGTACTGAAGTCAATGGTTTTCTGTGCAAGTTTCATCTTGAATTGAAGTTCTTGTCATGAACGTTGACCTATTAAATCCAATGTACTTGAATTGTAATCTTCGGAAAGTAACAATGAGTGCCGTTTCTATATTACCGTCTGATACTTTCAGCAGAGCTCCTTAATCTAAAGCATAGAATTTTATAATAATAAGGTGGGAAGAACTGGACTGGAATGTTTTGGGATGTTGTTTGTGTTGCCAAATTAAACGAAGAGGGTTACAGTGATGAACAAAACAAATAAAAAAGAATGCTGAAATTCTCCAGTGTTACGTTGATACTTGAAGAATGATACTCATCAGTTTATTGCATGATTTTGTCATAGTTTACTTAACATTTTGTTTTACAGAATCACACAATGCAATAAGGCAGAAATTGTTTTCACTTCTAAGCATGAGACCAACTATTTAGTTGATAATGTTTGATTTGTACAGTTTTTGTATGAGTGTATATTTTTTTGGTTTTTGCCTCTCTTGGATTTATTGTTTTGGACATTATTGCTTTCTTAAAATTTTAGAGCAGGATTCTTTAACATCAAGCGATGTCTGTAAGATTTTTATTTGGTTCTAATTTGGTTCTTAAGAAGAATAATTTTGAAACTTATTTAATATTCAAGATGTCTTGTTTAAGAATATGAATATTACGTTAAGGAAAAAAAAATCTTTACTGTTGAGCATTGATTATTAATGTTTGAATAATTTAACAATCAAAATATACATATACTTAAATTTCAATAATAAAATTATAATAGACTAAGGGCTTTATTTTTGAAATGATAAAAACATCATAAGTAAAACGTTATTCTTACAAATGCTCCTATTAAATTCAAATATCTAATAATCATCTTATAAGGCTTATTGGTATTTTTTATATGTAAATGAGATTTTTATATAATTAAAAAATATAAATAAATAAATCTTAAAACATAATTATTGCATATATTAATAGGATGATAAATATTATCAAAAAATAATATTTTAATAAATAAAAAACGATTATATAAAGATGTAAGACTATATATATATATATATATATATATATGTGTGTGTGTGTGTGTGTGTGTACTTTAAATATACTTCGTCTTAAAAAAAAATTGGTATTTGCCCTTGAAGTTTGTTGATTGATTGAATTTTAAAGAAATGAAGTTAGTTATTGATTAATATAAATTATAGAATTTTAAGAATTTATTAGAGTTTAATTATGAGATTCCATTAAAAAAAATACATTATCCTGCAATGCAAATTTAAATTATAGGTTTTATAGGTTTGCAAATTTTTGAAAGCTTAATACTCTATGAACAATATTCATATTTAAATTGTCTATATGAGTTAAGAAATTCTATTCAAAAATATCATGTACATAAGCCAAAGTTTTATAATTATTAACATATTAGAAAAATAATGAAGGATTAAAGATTATTTAGCTTGCTAAATGGTTTTCTTTCTTGTGTACAATTGTTAACTCAGATTATTCTTTACTAATTAAAGTTTTAAATATAAAAAATTTAAATTTAAATATTGAAAATAATTTATTTCTTTGACTATTAGATAAACCATATATATATATATATAGATGTTTGTGTGTATGTGTTTATTAAATATTTTAATATGAAAAATTCCACATTTGTATAAAATCATTCTCAGGAGATCTAAACTTCATAATTTTGACATCATCCTTACTGATGTGTGGTTTTTATTAAAGCCTAAGAGAATTTCGCAAGGATTAATTTTATATTAACATTTATTTAGATTTAATTATTTTTTAAAATAGTTTAAAGTATTATAATTTAGTTTAAGTTGCAATCCAATAGAACAAAACCATATGCAATAATATATAAATATATAGTAAGTTAGATTGATCTTGATATTAATCATTCTTTTACATAATCTAATCTTTGAAAGATATCAATGAGTCTTCGAGGTGATGCATAATCATATATCTTTAATCTAGACCTAAAATAATATTCAATCATGCTTCATTTTTCATTTTCCTTTTATCCTCCCTTTTTCCAAGTTCTCATACATTAATTAATTTAATCTACAAGTCCATCCTCTTCTACAATAACTACTTTCGAACTTTCCAAAAGCCATGCTTTCTTTCCTTTTGAAATCTTACTTATCCTCTTGATGTTCTTTACATGCATTGTCTTAAAAAACACCCTCAAAGTATTTCTAGTATAAACTTTTATAAATTATAATAATAGTAATAATAATAATAAATCATAACAAAATATGGCTCCAGCAATAAAATAAAAACATATCTATCTGGAAATTTGTGTTATTTTATGTTATTTTAATGTTGTGAATGGTTTAGATTATCTCAGATTGTTGATAGTTTTTTACCCTAAACACAAATGAATCAATGAACTTGAAGGTTCATGTGCATGTCAACCCATGATTCAAGCGTTTTTAAAGTTTTCCTTCATTAATTTTTTTATATGATTATATATATATATATATATATATATATATATTTATATATATATAAACTATTTTCTTAGAATCAGGTTTAATTAATTGCAAGTATCTTTTCTAGGATTAGCTTGGCACTCCCATTAGTTGGGAGGCTCACGGACTGCGCGCATGCATTGTCCCGAAAAGGGAAAGAAACCTCGTCGGGGCTCCTAGGCTTTGCACCTTTAGAAAACAAAAGAAAAAGATGGAATTCAAAAACCGACAATGGATACATCGATAAAGATAAAGATAAAGGAACGCACACGGGAACGAATAAAGATGAGGGGAATGTTCATCCATCTCAAAGCTTGCCAGCCCGCCTGCAAGCGTGTCATCGAGCGGGCTAGCGTGGCAAGGGTCGTCTGCAAAAGCAGTGGGATGGACTGATGCAGTGGTGGCCAACGGAGGCAGCAGCCCACACGGGAAAGAAAAAAAAAGCAAAAAAGCAAGAGGAGGAAAAAGGCAAAAGGGAATGGAAGATGGTGATGTCGATGATGGTGATGATGGTGATCATCATCATGATCATGATGGGGGTGGATCATTCCTCTCGCCATCAATTCGAGAAGGGGGGGGGGCTGTGTCCAGTCAGCAGGTTGGATGATGACAAGGATGGCTTCTCAGTTTCACTTTCTCACTGCCTTCCTATTCTTTTACTTTTAGGTTTTACTTTTCTGGAGCCTCGAGTTGGTGGGGAGTTCGTGTTTTGCGTTCAATGGAGAGTTGCTTTTGTCATGAAGGGGATTCTCAGTCTTGTTCTCAAAACTTTTTTACATGCTTTGCATTCATCCATAGATTTTTTTACATATATATATAAATGTTTTCAGTATTTTACATTGTTTTTAAAAATACCACATGAAAAAAGTAGTTGCTTCAAAAATCAAGGTGTTGACCATATTTATTTTCATGAAATTAAATATTAAATTTGATGTTTAATAACTGGATGAAAAAGGAAGATTTTTATTTATTTACTTATTTGTTTGTCATTTTATTGCTTCTGAATATATGAACGTCATCTTACTGTGTATTTATGAATCATGTTTACAAGTGATATGTTTTTTATGCTGGTTTTTAAATACATTCATAAAGTTTGCACATGGAATGCATTTAGATGAGGATGGATTTTAGTTCTTAACATTTTGAGAAAATTTGTACTTTTATAAAGTTATCAAAGTGACACATTCCTGCAATAACAATCATAACACCTTTTTCTTTTCTTGTATTTTTTTCAAAAACTAAATTTAAGACCAAAATATAAATCTGTCTTTTATCTATTTGTTTTTTCCGTTGAATCTCAAATATTATTGCATGAGAAGTCTAAAATTAACATTACAATGCTCGCTCAAATTTCTTAAAACATAAGAGTAAAAGTAAAAACCCAGAAAATGCCAAGCTGAAAAATCCAAAAGGAACAGCCCAAGATTTCAACATTAACATCCTACTCTCGAATTTGATACTAAATATTAAAGGATAAAATCGTATGTGAAAAATGGATTCTAATCTCACTTTGAAATGGGCATGAAAAGAATTGGACAACTCATACAAATAATATAACAATCATGATGTTACTTTGCTTTGAAGTCTCTTGTGTTAATGGTTAACATTTGAAAATTTGAACATCTTAAATATGCTAAAAAAAAAGCTCAACCCACCCATTAGAATTATATATGTATATATATATATATATATATATTCGTGAGGGGTCCAACTTGCCATCAAGATATAATATCTTTTAATTTTATTTAGTAATTTAGTAATTTATTTATTTATTTAATATGAACCAGAAGCATTAGACCTAGAATACTGAACAAGATCGTTTTAACCACTCAGTTACTTTCATAAAAAATGTATATCAATAAGGAATTGGAAACTAAAAAAGAATGTTTACCAATCCTTACCATCCAAGAATTTTTTTCACAATATATAACCTTCTAAGCAATCCTTTTATTGTACATTATCATTATTGAAAACAAATCTTCTGAGTTAGCAAGATGGGTGCAACTTCAATATATATAGTTGTTAATTAAGCCCCATCATGTACACTAATTAGAGCATCCCATTAGAAGAAGAAGTGGTATGGTAATTACTGTGATAGCTGGAAAATAGTCAGTATTATCACCACTCTCATGGACTGGGTTGTAATGTCCACGTTACCTGCAAAGTGAGTTGAGAGAGAGTAGAAGCTTCCAGCACTAAATAAACGGATGAATGAAAATTCAGAATTCGACTCGCTGATTCATCATCCATCCGTCCAAACTCTAGCGACTCCATAGTCCATTCAAGATTCACACTTCGGGTATGAATGATTGTGTCGTGGCCTTACATGATTGGATTTTTAAATGATAAAAAAAAAACTAAGCCTATGTTGCCATGTATTGTTTCCTGTTTCCTTTTGCAAAAAAACATACTCAAATATATATAGAGAGAGAGAATTGCGTGTTGATGTATGTTATTGTTAGTAGTAATTTTAGAACTAACACCTATTCCCATCCTTTTTGTCTAGGTCAACAATAAGTCAAGTCATGGCAAGTTTCCCAATAAGAAATCAAATGCTCAACTTTGTTTCCACTTTACAATCATTAGAATGCCAAATAGATCCAACAATCCCTTTGTCCAAACCCCACCCCACCCCCTCACACATCCTCTCACAGCCACCATCATTCTCCCCCCTTCTCCAATAGGGGTCCAATGCACACTTACTTTGTCTGTCTATGAACATAAGACCATGTCATCTCTTTCTGTTCCACACACTCCAAATTCATTCATCCACATATGATTCCCCGAAGATGCCCCATTCATTCATTAATTCATTCATTGATTCGTTCTTTCATTCGTTCATCCATGCCATGGCCACGAAAGGGAAGCAATCAAGGGTTCAGGTATGACACAGTCTGCTGCAACTGCCCCTCTACATGTGTGCAATCAATCCCTGCCCCTGCCACTCACCTTCCCTGCCCGACCCTGCCCGATCCTCACCCCCACCCCTCGCCACCCTTACCTGCGCCCGCGACGAAGTCATCGATCGTCTCCCGACCGGGCCCAGCCCCGCCCGACCCGTGGGGTCATGGCCGTGTAGACTGTGGATCTTTGCGACGGCCCCTTCATTTTGTGCACCCCGAAACGAAACCCGGCCTGGCCTGGGGAGGGGAAGAAGGAAGGAAGGGAAGGGTGCGGGGTGGGGGGTGCTGCTGCTCTTGGCCAACTCCTCCTCGGTCATCGTCATCTCTATTCTGTTTTCCTTAACATTCCTGCTCTTGAGCTAACGCAATCGGGGGTTTCGGCGAGGCAGGAAATCCAGACGAGAGTTAGAACGGGTGCATAGACCTTCTTCTTCTTCTTCCCCTGGTATTGAAGAGGGAGGGAGGGAGAGTGAGTGTGTGTGTGAGAGAGAGAGAGCGCGAGGGACAAAGAGATCAATCAACGTTTTATTCTGCGAGTGGTGGCTTCCTTGCCGGCAGTGAAGGTGAGGCCACTAGTTCGTGGTTGAAGTGAGGGAGAGTCGGCATTTTTCTGGAGCTCAGGAGTGGTTTTCCTAGTGCTTCTTAGTTACGTGTGTACTGTGGTCGAGTTTTCTTGGGGTGATGGTGAGGTGGAAGGAAGTGAGTCTTGGCTTCGTGTGTGAGTCCGAGGTGTTTTAGTACCTTGATGATGCGTCTGGTTGTTCTGAATGTCGATTTGCGGGGGTTTTAGCTCTTTTTGATGGTTAGCTGTTCCTGGTTTTCGATGGGGGTTTGGTTGTGAGTTTTACGAGGATGACAAGGCAATATGTGAGTAGAGTGGGAGAATATGCGGCAGGTGTCATTTTCTCGGGGTGTGGTCTCTCCATGCAATATGCTGTGAAGGATGCGTTCTTATTCTTGGCACATTGTCAAACACTCAATTTCATCAAGGCTTTGTTGAGAGCGATGCGAATTGGCGTAGGTGGCTAGGCTTCTAGCATCGCATCTTTTGATATTAGTATGTAGTCGAGAATCAACGGAGAACGTCGAGTTGTGTGCGGGCCCCTGAGAATCTCCGTTTGTGTGCTACAATTATTATTTATATTTATTTATTTACTTTCAAATTATAATATCAATCGTAAGAATGTCAGGGTTGATACTCTGCCTCGTTTAATCTGCTCTTCAAGCAACACTTTCAGAATTGTCTAACGATTATGCTAGAAATCATGTCCATAGGCCATTTTGATTATCCGCCCCTGCGGTACAGCTACAGCTATTGCTGCGGTTGGCAGCAATCGATCAAATTAAGACAGTTTACCTCACTATACACCAAACTCAGTGTTATTAGGGCAAAGCTTGTGGTGCAATCCTTTACATGACTTGGAGTTTCTTTGGTTACCGCGGCGTCTTTGGTGACTACAGAAAGGAAGGTTAGGGAGATATAGTAAGAGAATCTGCTGCTACTAATGGGACTCATGTAGTGGAGGTCATAAAGAAGGAAAAGACTTACTGTAGGAGTTTTCCTGCCTGCTCAGGAAGTTCCTAAGCTGATTCCATGTCCAACAGATTCTCCAATCTTTCAAGCCGCTGGATGTTGGGCAAAAAGGTTGTTGTTACGGGTACTCCCCTCGTCCCCTCCCTTCTTCTTCTTCTTCTTCTTCTTCTCTCTGGCTCTCTCTCACACGCACACGAACACAGTGTACTGTATTTGAAGACAAGTACAATGTTCTAAAATCTCCCCTTCATTTTTATTTACTTTTCGTTCGTTCGTTCGTCGTCGTCGTCGTTGTTGTTGTGAAGCAATTCTGAACATAAGCTTTACTTATTAGAAGTGTATGCTGTTCATGAGGATTTTTTGCCTCTGACTTGTGATATCTTTTAATACCTTACCTAGTGAACTTCAGAGAACTACAAGCAGTTTAGTAAGCTCCGCGCGATCGATCCTCGTCTACGAAGTGTGTCGGTGTAGTTAGCATAATTTCATTACTTTGTACTGCAAACCCGTGTGTAGTAGATTCAAAAATCGAACTGCAGTTTCAAAGATTCGAGTGTTCTGACCAATTAATCGTTGATCCCGTCGTTGCGTGTCCGGATATTTTTTGCATAAAGACATTTATAAGGTTGTCTTCGCTGAATCACTTTTGATGTCGTGGCTTGGTTTTTGTAATCCTGGTGAGTGTCAGTGTTATGTGAGGTCTTCTTGTGGTTCCTCTCTGCCATTGGTTTGACACCTTTTCCTTGGCACTAGACAGGCGTGCGTTGAAGAGATTATTGATACTTGGTGCAACATAGAGTTTGGAAGCTGAAGTTGCAGAAAGCCGTGTTCTTGACAAAGAAAGCTTCGCTACTCCTTCTGAGCTTTGCATGGTCGATACCGTACTATTGAATGGTGATCTGAAGGGTCCTTGTTGTAGCGGAGGTTGGTGTTCTACATTATGTATGGGTTCAGATTTTCTGCAGTAGCCATTGGAGGGAGTAGATGATAAGCCAGGTGGTCGCTTCACTTGAATGAGGCAGAAGAGTTGCCTGTTGGCAAGCTGATGATGTGGAGCTCTTGCAAGTGGCATCGTCAAGATAGAGCTGTTTCATTGTGTGGAAATGAATTGATGGCTTTATATCCGTATATCTCTTAGCCCTGGAATTGAGGTTGTCCGTGAACAGATCCTGGCCGATCTAGTTCACGAAACTAGGAGGAAGGTGTTATCTGCAATATTGGTGATAAATGCATTTGTCCAGCCCTGGAGAACAACATCACAAGTGGGGAATGGGAGGACCAGGAGATATTCTAGACGCCGTCATTTTAAGTTGTCAGTGTTTATTTTTCATATAGCGTCATGATGCACACAGGGGGACGAAGTGAAGAAGCACGGAGTGTTCGGGTGATTTGAAAATAAACTGTTCCTTTCGCAGTTCCAAGATTTGCAGCTCTGGAGTCCTCAATTACAGAACTAGAGGGAGAGATGCCCTCCTTGTTTCCAGACGAGGTGCTGGAGCATGTTTTAGTCTTTCTGACTGGTCACAAGGACAGAAACTCTGTGTCCCTTGTGTGCAAAGCGTGGTGTAGGGCTGAAGGATGGAGTAGACGGGATGTTTTTATTGGGAACTGCTATGCATCTTCGCCGACTATCCTCCTGAGGAGGTTTCCCAAGCTGACATCCCTGGCGATGAAAGGGCGGCCGAGGTTCACCGACTTTGGTCTGGTGCCTTCGAGTTGGGGGGCTTTCATTCAGCCGTGGATCGAGGCCTTGGCCGATCACTACAATGGGTTGGAATGTCTTCGTTTGAAGCGCATGACTGTGTCCGACGAGAGTTTACGGATTGTGGCCCTTGCTTTCCCCAATTTTCGTTCGCTGCGCTTGTCCAGCTGTGATGGGTTCACGACTGACGGTCTGGAATGGATAACGAGACATTGCAGGTAATTCTTTACTCTTCTCAATGTGAATCCATCTCTTGTGATGCAGATGAGACGGAGAAAATGGCGATGACTTGATAGTGAGCGCATGTGTCACAACGTGCAGACTACACTGGTTTCGATTTTTATTGCCTTGAAAAGTTGAAATGTCCGCCTTTAAGAGGTTAATTGTAAATGACCGGTTCCTGCTTTTGAACAAAGGTTGGTTTGCCTCTTGAGGCCTTACGATTCTATGATTTTTCTGGTCACAGGCATCTCACGGAGCTGGATCTGCAGGAAAATGAAATTCAAGTCCGGGGTGTGGGTTGGCTGACGGCGTTTCCTGAGACACAAACATCTCTGGAAAGTCTCAATTTTGCGAATATCCATACACCGTTGGATGAATACGATTTTCACTCGCTGTATGCATTGGTGACTCGTTGTCCAAAGCTGACGAAGTTGAAGTTGAATAGAGAGATCACTTTGGAACAGATGCAGAGGCTTCTTCTGCAAGCTCCCCAGCTTGAAGATCTGGGTACAGGGGCTTATAACCAGAATCTGACGTGGGGTAGACTCCACGAACTTCAGTCTTCATTTAGGAGAGTTAGAAATATTCGTACTCTTTCAGGGTTTTGGGACACAGTTCCAATGTGCTTACCCACATGTTTCCCAATCTGCAAGGAGTTGATCACCCTGGACCTCTCGACAGTTGCACTCACCCCAGCGGATTTTACAAAGTTTATCACAAACTGTGTCAACATCCAGCGTTTACTGGTTGGTTTCTTCTCTTCGCTGTCTAGACATTCAATGCAAGCAAACTTCTGATTGCTTTGCTGAACATTGGTGGCATTCGCTCGTAACTGGATCGTTTTAAACAGGATCATTTAGCTCTAATCTCTGTTTTACCTATAATGCGGGAATGGGACGAATGCAAAGAGGGTCAGTCTTGCTGTCATTCAGCGTCACTTCTAGCAGTCTCACATGTGACATGTTCTCGCATGTTAAGGGTGGGCAGCCTTAACCCTAATCATGTTGTGAGTTCCGTCCTAAACACTGTAAACCGGGTCATGCCTGTTCCCGTTCCTGTGACCTTTTTGTTTTTTGTTACTTATGTTTTTGTCTTTTTCTTCTTGTTTCAGGTACAGGACTCTGTGGGAGACCGGGGTTTGTTTTACGTAGGACGGTCCTGTAGGCAGCTAAGAGAGCTTCGTGTCTACCCTTTCAACGATCAAAGCAATGTTACAGAGAAGGGGCTTGTAGCGATCTCCGATGGATGCCGGGAAATGCGGAAAATCCTCTACTTCTGCAAGCAGATGACTAATGCTGCGATGATCCAGTTCGCCAGGAACTGCTCTAACATGACTCACTTCCGGATGGCCATGGTGACTGTATACGATCCAGACTGCGACACCAAGCAGCCGCTGGACGAAGGCTTCGGAGCAGTGTGCAAGTTGTGTAAAGACCTTCGCCGCCTGTCTCTTTCCGGGCTCTTGACCGACAAGACCTTTGAGTATATCGGCACGTATGCGAAGAAGTTGGAAACTCTGTCAGTAGCCTTTGCCGGTGATACTGACATGGGAATGGTGCACGTTCTGGATGGATGCCCAGTTCTGCGCAAGCTGGAGGTCCGAGACTGTCCCTTCGGGGATGAAGCTCTCTTGTCTGGCATCGATAAGTACGAGTCCATGCGCGCTTTGTGGATGTCCTCATGCAGAGTCACTATAGATGGTGTTCAGTTTCTGGCGTCTAAGAATCCCAATCTGAACGTGGAAGTCATCAGAGACATTGAGATGTTACACCATCCAGAATACGTTGAGAAATTGTACGTTTATCGTTCAATTGCAGAGCCCCGGCAGGATGCCCCGCCTTTCGTATACATCTATAGTTGCACATAGCTTGGTTGTACTTTCTTCCCATGTTTACTCCCATTTCTTTTCGGTTTTTAAGACTACTTAGAGTTCTCAGTTAATTTCCTATACTTACTCTTTGAGAGAAGCCATAGATTGAGGTAGAGACAGCAGGGGATGAAGACCCCTGAGAGATTACGATCGACTTGGCTGGAGATTGACGTTCTTCTGCATTTAGCCTGTGGTCCTGTCTACTATTGAGGAAGTTCGGATGCTGTACATAATATATATTGTAAGTCCTTTGTAGAGAGCTTATTACACTTTTCTATTGAAGAACCTGCCGAACTGAATGGTTTTTTTGGGCCATCCCATGCTTCGACGTTTTCTGAATCGTTTGACCCTCCAACCCAAGAGGATCCGGTCCAGTATCACACAATGTGTTCACGGACTCTCGTCAGGTGCGTTTGTTTCCTTGATTGTTCGTGAACTTGGAGGTGGTTCAGCATGTCCTTGATTGTATCGTATTGTATTCCTCCACCAGTCCATTGTCTTCAATAGCTGCAATGCAATTTAAAACCAACTCAAACATACTTTTTCATGCTGGTCATCACTATCTTTCACAACGCAAAAGCTACCTCCATGTTCACTACAGTAGAGGTACTAGGATCCTTTGTAGCTCGTCCTTGTAAGTGGATAAACCCGAACCAAAAGGAATGAGACATTTATCAAACCGACAAATGCCATATCCCATCATACAGTTGTCGGTTTTAATATCCATGAAAGCCTGAAATCTCAGTGATTCCCTCCCTGTATTGCCAGAGCTGGGCAACTCTCACAATTGTAGTTCCAAGGAACGAGTTACAACAAACAACCGAATAAAAACATATGCGATTAGTAGGGCAAGGCTGGGTCAAAGAGCCATGGTGAGGGTAATACAGTGCAAGAGTGGTTGTGGTTGCTGTTGTTGTTTCTGTTGTATATGTGTGAGTGTGTGTGGTGTTACTGATCTCCGATGTGTCAGGCCAGCTCTCTTTACTGCGGCTCCTGCAAAGCCTGCCCCCATCCTCTGACGTCGCTTGTGTATTCTCCCACATACACTTGACCAGATCTTTCATGCTTAATCAACTGCAAGGCAAGTCTACGACACTGATGTCAAGCGAATGGTTGTGGTGGTGCAAGAGTGGACTCCATGTGCAACACGCAGTGTCATGCTGGCGTTACACACACTCACACACACTTACACTCACACTCTGTTTGACCCGGTCAACACTCTGGTTTTTTTTTTACCTAACAACCCACATTACACATTTCTGTCTTCTTCTTTCTAAAGGATCAGAGTGGAAGTGTGTGTATGTGTGAGAGAGCTAGAAAATGAGCATAGGCTACACTTGAATCCACGTAATCAGAAGGCAATACCGTAGATTATAGGTTTTGGCTATGCACCGATGGAATCTGCACACCGCTGAGCATTTCCTTGCGTGATCTCTTCTGCCTCATCTTTTTATCGCCGTCCATGACTGGGTCGTGTAACAAACTCAACTAGAATATCTGTCATGCTCTTAGTACAAGTTTTTATTTATTTATTAAGTTTTTTTCTGTATACAATAATCATGGAGAGTAATTGATCCACGCCTTCTCTCTAACGTGGGGCTTTCGTCTGAATTTGCTCCTTCTGCACATGCCAGATATTTATATTCTGCCTACCGGCGAGACTGCAGCCACGCGCATAAGAGCTCTTCCAGAGCTGAACTCCGCGTGCGTGAAGATGGGATTCAACCAGCTGCGGTGAGTAGACTAGGAAAACTAGAATGCATTACCAAGTCATGGCACTCATGTTCGACATACATGCAGGGAGCGCTATTACAACGATGAGTTAGCTGGCATCGGCTGTCAGTCACTCAATCATCCATTTAAGTTATGTAGCCTCACCCCCTTTGGTTCAGTTTGTCACTGGACCCCATCTTTGTCTTCACCACGATCAACACAGTCCTGGATTGCAATCAGTGAAAATTCTTATCACTTGCTCCTCAGTTTTCCGCGAGCCACACGTTAATTCTGTTTTCTTATTCATTGGGCTTCGCTTTCTCTGTTCTTGATAAGCTTTGCAACTCAAATACACTCAGGTGGGTGCTTCAAAGCCAAACTTGGTCAGCTTGTGGTGCATATCCACGTGAGACTCAAACACCACAGGCAACACATTTCAGTGTGTGAGGAGTTTGATTTTGGGCGATTACAACTCTAGTTTTCAAGGTTTCGGCATTTCTTGCTCTGGGCATACTTCGAGATAAGTGTTTTATTTTTATTTCTTTATCTGGACACTAAACTCGCGGTTGAATTACTTGGTTATGCACAACGGGGTCCCGGCAAGCGCTTCCGCCACGTTCAACATGTTGAACACATTGTTTATGTCACAATTACCCCGCCTTTCGATCTTCGTGACCAGCTTTGGCATCTTGTACCTGTACAAGACGTCCCCACGGTTACTCTCTATAAACATTACTAGAAAGCCACTTTGGAATAGTTCTTGTGCCGTCATCTCCAGAAAGCGTCTTAAACTAATAAACACGGCTGCCAGGATCAATCACCTGGAGCTAAAGAAATTCATGCTTTTTTAAAAAAAGTACTTGACCAACGGTGTTCAACTCTGCAGTCTGCCCTGGCACAATGTGTTCCAAAAATACAGAAGGAAAACCACCAGCATATCAATGGCTGCTTCTTCAACTGAGCAGTCCCTCGCAGTAGCACCCATCAACTCCGAGAGCAAGAATTGTAACTTCGCTTTCACATATGGACATTGATCTCACAGAAGTCCGCCTGCTAATACATCATGTCGATGAGGAGTTGGGGATAATTTTTTCAGTAATTAGACCCTTTAGAGATACGAATCTCGATGTTAAGAGTCTGCCAAGGCATGGTGACGAACATGACTCAAAAAGGAAAGCGGCAACTTCTGATTGAGACATTGAAGGCTGCAGCAATGTGGATGCAATGAATGCAATGAACGTCGCTCCATGTCTTCACAACCCCTCTTCACAAACTAGTAGACAACCTGCACTACAACTAACTGTTGGTGCACCCTTAGTAGGTGGGTACTTAAGTATTGCGATGTAATTGTATTGAATCGTGGTTACCGACATCCAGGATATCGTCATTGTAAATTCTTCTCAATCCTATCGACATATATTCTGCACAGATAAACCTCTGTAAGCTTCGACAGTTATTCTGCTTAAGCTACATGTATCCTGAAGACTAATTTGTACAAGCTGAATATTAAAGAGTGCATTTTTTAATGCGAGGATCAACATCAGTATAAGCTCTTTACTCCAAAACCCCTGCGACCTCTAAACACATCGATTGAAAGTGTGATGTTTAGTGTAGCAAAGCTGTGAGGAAGCCTGAGCACTTGAGTAGGGAGTGTCTTTGTTCGAATGATCATTAAAATTCCCAATAGTTTTTTGCAGATTCCTTTGCTCCAAAATTAGTAACCACCTAAATCTCGACATGGCAAGAGCTTGCTGAATTTAGGAGACAAGAAATAAAGAGCTTACTAGATAATATACTCTGGACATCTAGAGCAGTTTTGAGTTTTCAAGAACAGTATTGCTTGTAAAATGCACACTAATATGGAAATTTTTTGATTTTAAATATGATGTTTACTTACACCTGTAAGATGTAAAACTTTGTTCTTGAACAAACACACAGACAGCTGGATAAGGCATGCCACAGTCAGATGAATGGATATCGAACCTTCTAGAATGATTGTCATTCTGCTTATTTAACAAAGCATTGAAAGAAATGGTTTTTGTATTCGAAACTTGCATGGATTGTGATATCAGTTTGTCATGCGGAAGAGCAAATAACTCTCAGGGAAAACCAACTAATTGAACGAAAAACCTTTACTAGGATTTGTTTTCGTTGATTCACCACCTCATGATGATCACAGTAAATTTTTGCATTTCCTTCGCTCTTCACAGCACCTGCCTTAACTATTCTTAAATGCAGGCTAAAAAATGTGTGTCGGGTCCTCCTCTTTCGAAGGTCTTGTGGTAACTGATACAAAGGTTGGCTTATAAACATTAGGTATCGGACGACTGCGCGACTGTTTGGTCCACTAAAATGCTGAATTGCAGGCTGTAATTAACGCATCTGCATTTTACCTTGACATCCGACACCAGAGCTACCGCCATCTCTTTGAACGTTCCGGCAATAGCAAAATGAAATCCCGGACTTGCATCTCGAAATTCTTTCAAATTATTGACCACATCACTAATTAAACCATGCAGCACTCGTTAAAGTGACCACAAAACTGTTCATGAAGATCAGTATTGCTTCAAAAGAATCTCCTAAAGTGTTTTAAAACATTGAACATAGCCTCCGTAACCTAAACACAACACAAGCGAAAACAAACATTAGTTACACCAGCGACCCAGACTGTAAAAGCTCGAGACATGCATTGGTAATGGAGTGCAGATAGGACAAAACCACAGCGGCACAAAATAATGCGTGAATTTCGAAGCTAACGAGCAAATCTGTTAGAAGAAAGATTTGATGCTCAAATATAGTGATTGAAAATGAGACTTAACCAGAGAGACTCTCCCACACAATTTATTAACTGGAGCAACCCCCGTTGGGTCTGAAGTTCCACAAGAATGTATCGAGTTGTATGTGCTCGCGAACAGAGACTATGAATGAGCTGGTAAAATTCTTCTGCTCTCGAATGTGGGTTTCGTGATTCAGTTGAGAAGTTAAGAAGTGCTGCGCCAGAGGCCAGGCCAGGTGAGAGGCAGTGTAATATTAGCAGCATCGCCCACACAGAATGACCAATTGTTATCGGAGAGATTGCTGTCACCAAGTGCTGCACAAAACGGTCCCCCAAATTCCAAGTCAAGTTAGAGCTGCTACTGGATCGGGTCCAGTTCAGCAAGGCAAGAGAAAAGGATCTCGGCAATCAAGGGGAACGCCATGATCTCAGGCATGATAACGGGTGATGCTATTGACATACGCGACACTCTCCGCAGAACCCCAAGTCATTTATAAATTGAGCTTCATGAATGAATAACTTCATATGTGTAAAATGTGTACAAAAATCCATGACCCGGTTCAAAAATAAAATCATTCATCTTCTGCGTGACACTTTCAAGAGTTCACATTACTCAAGTAGGATAAAATGCACTCCAAACCTAAAGCCGCTTCAAAGAGGTGAAGAAAACATGTAAATAAAAACTTATGAACCCGCAAAGGTGGTCCGATGTTGAGTTATTGTGGGATAAGGTGCAAGAGCTTAAACGTCAACATTCTACCATAAGAACCAAGAATTGTGCGTGGGCATAATAATCGATGCTCGATACTCGCAAGAAAACATATTTTACAAGCAACAGCAAAACTAGCGAAGACTGTGAAGCAGCCGCAATCAGCTCCCGAAACACAAGAATTCCATGGGAACTGAAAGGATGTAAAGATTCTAATTCGGCTGTTAAGTGGTCTACTCAGCTTTACCCAGCGCCATCATAAACTCTCCTTCACACACCAATTCGCCACCTACAAAGGCTTGGCCCTCCATCTTTGCGACACCGAACCTCTTGTTCAGTTTGGTAAGCTTCATCTTCATCAGTAGGGTGTCACCCGCAATGACTGGCTTCCGGAAGCGCACTTTGTCCACTCCAGCGAAGAAGAAAGTCTCCTTTGAGCCCCCCACATCAGGTTGCAACATCACGATACCTCCTACTTGCGCCATAGCCTATACTCACAAGCATAATGATTTCATTAGCAAATGGTCTCGGCACCATTGGCTGCGATCCTAACACAACCAGGATATCAGCAGCCCTGCACATGGTTCAACAACACAACATAGTCGAGAAGGCAATAGAAGCGCCAACGTTGCCACACATTGACATAACCCATTGGCATTGCGTTTCACACCCACATGAAAATCAGCAAACATTTGCAAAGGCGTCTTACCTCAACCATAAGCACACCGGGCATGATGGGCCGCTGGGGGAAGTGGCCCGGGAAGAAATTGTCATTGATAGTCACATTCTTAATGGCAACAGCCGACTGCCCAGGATTGTACTCAATCACCCGGTCCACCAACAGGAACGGGAACCTATGCGGCAAGATGTCCATGATCTGATTGATGTCCAACACGGCGGGGAATGCAGGGTACCTCTTCTCGATTGGAACTTCTACTTCCACCTCCTTGGATGATGCAGGGGTGGAAGTGGGGACCTCTTCTGCCGCTGAGGGGGTCCTCGTGGTCGTGGTCGAATTCCCATCCACGGCTCTGACCACCGACAAGCTCCGCCTCGGGAAACACGCATTGGTGCCAACGCTCCGCAACGCCACGAGATTCCGCCCACCCACATTTCCCCCACAGAACGATGCCTTCGACGCGGAAACTACCGACGACAACGACGAGGACGATGACCCAGTGGCGCACCGCAGGGGTTCCATAGCTAGAGCTGTACAGAGTGCTCCCGCGTTCAAAACAGCTGATAACAGCGCTGCGGACCTTGCGAAATGGGTGATCTCGAAATACACACACACACACACACACACAATCTTTGCGGAGAAATCGAAAGCGAAGCGAAAACGCAGAAGTGACTCAGGATTGCGGAGACAACGGCAGGTGTCAGCGAGACATTCCTCTTGAGGACGGGGGATCCGGAACCAGGCCACACAGCTCGCGCCAAGGTGTGAAGACAACGGAAGGGGTTTCAAAAGGATGGGGGCGGAGTCCCCAATGCCTCGCTGAATTATTCATCCATCTGTGGCTCCCCGTTTCGATGAAAGTGTGAGTGGGGGGCCACGTCATGTGTGCGACCCGGAGTGCGTACGTGTCACAGTGGGTCCGTTTCACACCGCCCCCGCGTGGTCGCACTTCATTCGTTGGCTCTCACTCCGTTCTAACGGACGTTATCACAAACTTGAGCCATGAGGATGTGTTTTTATTACAAAAATGGAGGTGAATAAAAACCCAATAAAAAAACTAATTAGTTCATGGGTAAATTTAATCTATTATTTATTTATAATGTTTTGGTATTATATATAGGGTATTTTCAATGCCACCACAATTTTTATTATTGCCAATACAACCCTTTATCCACTACATGTTACCTTTGTTCAATGCTTTTTAACCCAATCAAATTTTCTTTCTTCACTATCTTTCAAAGTATTTTATTGAAAAATTATTTTGATTCGAATGAAAAAAAAAAACTAAAAAAACATGTCAAATGGATAGCAAGTTGTGGTGTCATTAGCAATGCCTTACATTTATTTCTACAATTATATTCATTTAAAAAAAATCAAATACTCAAATAAAATCTTGTAGTGAAATTTATAGTTTATAATATCTTATTATGTATGTATGTATGTATGTATAATTATATTTATAAAATAATAGTCTTTTTTTAAATATTAAAGTATTCCAAAAACATAATTTTTAAAAGTAGTTGGCAAAGGGTGGTGGTAAATGGTAGAGTTGTAACTTTGTCAAGTATATTACATTAATGAGTTAACATGCTCTATTCTTCCTCCCAAAAGTCACCAACTAATTGATGTGTTTGTTTTTTTAAAAACAAAAATTTATTTAACTATACAAAGTTTATAGGCCTACTTGACCTAAATTTATTAATTATACTTATTGCACTTATCAAATTATTTATTTTATAAATAAAAAAATCTTAAAATATAAATTCGATAATTAATTAAATTAATTGTATACTTTAGCAATAAGTATATATATTTTTATACATATATTTATATATACGAAATTTATTTTTAAAATTAATTTAAATAGAAGTTTTAGAAATATTTAAAATTAAATTTTAAACAAATTCAGAAATTTTGAGTCTTAATTAATGTGAAATTATTTTTGAAGTTTAATACTGTACCAAATGAACAAGTGGAATCTCAAAACAATGTTTGAAATCTGTACAAATAATTACAATTACACAAAAATATGTGATGAATATATATATATATATATATATATATCAATATCACTATATGATGGTGTTACATTATAAGCATACTTAATAAACTAAAAATCTCCATGATTGCCAATCTCCATAATTAAAACCTATCCCTATTATCTTTGCAAGTATAAAAGGCAATAAGTTGGAAAAATTATAAAGAAAATTTGTATATAAAAATTAAATGAGTTTTCTTAAAAAATAAAAAAATTCTTGCCTTTTCTGTACTTAAGTTTTTAAATTGAGCTATGACATAGGTAACAAAGGTGTTATATTTAATAATCTTTATTGATTACATGCTATATAACATATATAAATATTTTAAATATTATTTCTCATTAAATTAAAAAAACTAAAATTTAAAGATAAATATAGATTAGATTGAAAAAAAATCTTACCTTTTTTGTAAAAACATATAATTTAATTATGGATATAGTATTGTAATTATATTTATAAAAAAGTAGTTTTGATACTTTTAGCTAATTAATTAATTATGAAAAAATATTAAATTACTGAAAGAATTAGATAATTACATACTTAGAATAAAACATATAATTTTAAAATAAATATAACCAATTTATTATAAGTAAGAATTGAAAATTATTAAGTAGATGATTTTAACATCAGTTTTGCTTGATTAAGAAGTATTGAAGGAAAATAGAGGAGCTATAAATACAAGATCTATTATGCATTATTTATAAGATTATTTTTGGTAAAAAAAAGTTTAAGATTGTGACACAAGTTTTATTTCATAAATTTTATCTTGGTTGCATTCATGATGATATTTAAATTTGAGGATTTTTTGGTAATTTAAATATAAACATGTTGAAATATATCATAAACATATCATAAGTGTGTCATAACTTTATTTTTATTTTTCTTCTTCTCCTTTCTTGTGTGGTTATTTGATATTCTACTAGTTTTGTCAAAAAAACTACAAATTAAATATAAAAAGATAACATCATATCTTCAAGAGTTCAAATTCTTGACAATTTTTGTGCACAACCCTTCTTCTTCTTCTTCTTCTTCTTCTTTCTTTTTTATTTTTTTTTATTTTTAAGTTTAGTAAATTAAATGGTAAACCTTCAAAGCTGGCTTTTAAGCAGACAATAAGCAAACCTCTACGAGGTACTTCATCTTATTCTTCTCCCAAGTTTTCTGTAGATCTGTGAATAGAGCAACAAAAGAGTGATGAAGAGCAACATGGTTGCAAAATCTTATGAGGGTTTATCCAAACATATGCTGCAGCAGCCCATGTATGTCATTGCCATGCTCTGGTGCTGCTCAGATTAACCCTCTCAAAAACAATGCATCCATCTCTTCAGCTCTCTCTACTCTCACTACCCTTCCTTTGTGCACCATTTTCACACTATTTCAGACACAAAGAAGAAGACTTATTTCAGATTCCTACAACTTAATTTTCTGGAAGGAAGGAAGAAAGGATAATGCATTTATTTCTATTTCTATTATTATTAGTATCATTGTTGTATGAGCATTACTCAGAGGAGAGCTGCTGGGGGTGCAGAGCATTATCTTTCCTCAGATTCATATGCTGAGCAGAGGAGTGGACCCAAGCATTTCTGAAGAGTTTCCATGAGGATAACATTTTATTGGCCTTGGTTACCTCAACCATGGCAGAACTTCATGGGTGGTCCTCTTCAATAAATAAATCAGAGCTCAAGGTAACCAAATTAATAAATAAATAAACACAATCTGAAGAATGGATATATGTGCTTTGTTTGTTTGTTTTGCTTGTGTAATTGCTCAGTACATGTAACTTTGTTGCATGGTCTGGTGAGTGTGTGTGTTTTGTACATATCAGACTTCCAAGGCAGTCAGAGACTGTCCAACTGTGCAAGCTCATATACCCTCATTGATGTGGAGGATTCACCCACTGTTCTTTTTGCCTGTTTTCATACAGTCAGACTGAGTGGAGAAGAAGCGCCACTTGTTTTGCTTCCTCCGCCGCCATGGCGAAGAGTAGTACCACAGGACGCTTCAATGCTGCAGCTCAAATAAATGAGTCTGATGAAGGTCCACAGTCAGAAAAGTGCAGGACCCATCTCTAGTCACAGAAACAAACATACAGTTTCAGTTCACACAAAGTTGCAGTTTCATTTCTAGCTCTTCACTGTCTACAGCTCTGCAGACTTGTGTGAATGTGCAATTTAGGGCTTGTTTAAATGATAACTATTTTATTTTATTTTTTAGGCTCTAATGCCATTGGATCTAATTGACATTTGGGTGTTTTAGATGGGTCGCTATTCACTTGTGAAAGGGAAGTTTTAGAGAATCCAATTCTGGTCATCTGTTCTGATACACATGGGGCCTACATTCTGTAAGTCACTATTCACATATATGTTTAAATTAAGGTGCTGTTGTGATTGGACTGGGGTGTTGGGATTATGTGTCGTTGCTGTAATGAATTGTCTAAGTAAAACCTTTTCTCCACTCTCCATAACTTGCTCATGCCCAACTCTGCCGTTCACAATACACACACCCATTTCATGCAGGTCTGCATGTACAACTCCCCTGCTGGTGATTCTAGTCAATCTGTCATGGTAATCGGACAAACAAAGGGGTAATCTAGACTTTACTTTTTTCTTTTTTCTTTTTTTTTTAAATTTTAAAATAGTAGTCGTACATATCTTTTATGGTACCACTTCGACAGTTGTTACTTTCAAGTTAACAGAAGTCATGGTAGCTGATTTATTCAGACCAAGTTTGACATGAAATGTGGGACTCTTTGTCCCGGGCAAAAAAAGGGCAGCTTAATGCCGCTTCACTAACAAGCACCTGCATTGGATATTGTTTTGTTTTTGTTTTTTTGCTACTTACTGCACTATTTTCACCACTCAACGCTGAAAGGAAGCTTCTATCTCCACCGTGAAGTTTCCTGGTCGCCAAATCCTCACTACCACCCATTTTGAGTTTCCAACCGTGTGAAATCAGCTCTAATTTACTCCAATTTTAACGATCTGAAGAAGAAATTACCTGTTAATTGGGTTATAAACACATTGCGTAACCTCGCAAAGCTTACATTTGTTGTAATGGATAATGAACTCTAGACGAAGAGCCTTCAGTCTGAGGATAACTAGTAGAGGATGTGATATATATATATATATATATATATATTTATACATGGTTATGGGATGTAGTATCGGTCGCCGCACTGACATCGCCATACCTCCGGGTAGTACTCAGTCTGTGATATCATGCTGTGCGGACTGCCAATGGCTACGTGCACTGGCTTGCAGGGCGTGCACGTTCCGCACTGGAATCGGCAAGTTGGTGGAGATGAGCCCACCAGCCCTCTCCTCCTGCTGATTCCACCACCAAACTCTTTAATCTGGAAATGACCAAAAATCGTGTCCTCTTCCTGTCGAGGTGCTCCTCTTCGATCTAGACTCTGGAGAAACCCACAATGGACGTCGGTAATGATGGACTCACCGGGACTTACAAGGTGCTCTAGATGGGATTACAAAATGATGGACTCACCGGAACTTACAAGGTGCTCTAGATGGGATTACAAAATGATGGACTCACCGGAACTTCGATGCCTCGAGATGTCTTCTCAACGTCAGCGGAGGGAGATGCCAATGTCCGCTCCAGATATGAGATTGTTTCTACCGGAGGATCAGTCACTCCTGTCTCAGTTTGCATTCAATTAATCAGTTACATTCTGGGGACACTAGTCAGGTTCTCCAATTAGATACAATCCACTATTTCACCCGCTTCTTTGCTACTTCAGACCGGCATGCCTAACTTCACTACAGGACTTTCACATGAACTTCATTCAATGATGTCGACGCAGCTCCCCTGCCGAAAAAATAATAATAATAAAAATGACGAAACGAACTGTCAATCTCTCAGAGAAAGGTCTAGCATTCCAGTAACTCGCGGAAGAAAATAATTGAGTACTCACGCCATCATGATTCCACGGTACACTAGAATTTTCAGTCCTCTTCATTGTGGTGGGGTAACGCATTGGGTAAAAACAGCAGCATTCAAAAAATTTCGGTTTCTCAATGCTTCCAAAAATTGAATGGATTACCAGCAGGGCCAACTCGAGCAAACGCTGAAGTAGGAAGTAGAATCAAAATGGCTAAGCTCCCCATCCAGAAATCTACCATGGCTGGGGTCATGTTGTACTACTCAAGCCTTCCTCCGTTGCCTGTCCAACTTGATCTCTCACATCTCCCACTGGCACCGTTTTCGACAAATTTCGACCTTGGTCCAGTCACTGCTCAAGTGAATTCGCAGGCCGGTGACGCAGTCAGTGTCCTGCCTAGCTGAAGGGAATGTCAAAGTGACTATGAAGAAGCGTCGTTGTAGAGATTGACGAGATTAAACTAAACTGGTTAGCTGCGCAGTAATCCTCAAGAGAGCATCTTACAGTTAGCCTCACTAAGCTAAGCCTATAGCAGTTCCCGCATTTGTTCACAGACAGGGAATGTAAGTACAGCCTTAAGAATTCTAACAGTGAGAAATGGGTGCACCCTGACGGCCTTCAATCCACGTTGTGGATGCATCCGCATCTTGAACAGTTGTAGCTGATAGCTACAACGACCGTAGTCCCGGAGGCGGGTGGAACTGGAAGCTACGAGAGTTCCACAATCAAACCGCCTACTCTCAATTCGGAATGAACACAAAATAAAACAACACAACGATGAAGGGTCGCTGCAGCTCACTCCTGATCTCCCCACACCGTGGATTCAAGCACACCACGGGCTCTTTCACAGCATCAGCAACTGCGGGCTAGCTAGCAGAGTATCAACACCCGCATTACCGACAGCTAAATTGGCCAACAGGGCCACTGCAATGGGAGACGATACGCAATCCTTCACTGATTCTGGTTCATTGAGATGACCAGCCAATCAACCAACATAGCGAGAAGCCTGGGCTTGTCTGTGCGAGGTAGTTGCTGGTCTTTCCTGCACACTCGCGCAATCGACCCCTGGAATTAAGTGATCCAGAGTAGTTGGGTGGGGTGGGTTAAGTGAGCACCATCATCTAGCATTGACGGACTCACTCACTCACTCACTCACTCTCTCCCTCCTTCCCTCTCTCGAATGGCTGTGCTACCATGGGGGGTGCTACACGGGCAGTGCCATGGTCTCGAAAACGGCGTTGCAGTAGCAGCAGGAGGAGGGTGGGCGAGTGGCCAGGCAGGTGGCACGCACCACAAGGAGGAGCAGCAAGCATCTAGAATAAAATAAAGAGAAAAAGGGGGTGGAAGGGGAAGGGAAGGGAAGATGCAGCTGGTCTGCTGCTCTAGCGCACCGCCGACCTCCCCCTGGTCACCGCAGCATCAGACACACACTCTTTTTCCCTTCCCCTTCCCTTCCCCCTTTCCCTGGTCTCATCTGGTCTAGTCTGCTCTGCTCTATATTTCATAACATTTTACCACCCCCAACTAACCCACTGCAGCACCACCATCACCACCAGGACCATGACATGCTGCTGCAGCAGCAGCAGCTCATCTTCTTGCTCTTGTTCCTACTCTATCTCTATCTCTCTCTCTCTCACTCCAGCTGCTGCTGCTGCTGCAACTGTACAGTGTGTTGCAATATGTGACAAACCACAACATTCATCATCCTCTGGGAATGTGAAGATCATCTGTGGCCAAGGCGTGGACCCTTGTGAATCCTGGATGATGATGATGCTGCTAAAGTGTAGAGGAAGAATGAAGAAGATGAAGTATATGAATACGGGTGCTGGGATTTGGCTTTGCCTTGCTCTCTCTCTCTCTCTCCCTTCCTTCCTTGAACCCACTTCATAAACCCCTGCCCTCATTTCTATTCCATGAACTAACTCCCTCTCTCCCTCTCCGCCTTCTTTTTCCCATTCTGAGCACATCCTTGTGTGTCCATGTGGAGAAATGCACACTTCTGATCCTGCTTTCGCTTTCTCTCTTACCACAGGATTCAATCTTGTGCGCCTTAGTGGAGTGGTTTAGTGAGGCTGGTTGGAGGAGGGCTCTTATGGGGTCAAGGGAAATTGCACTTATGGTCTATGTTTAATTGGAATCTCTGATGCCATTTGCAAATGCTTGCACTATGTCCTAATTCTGTAATTTGAACCCAACTCGGATTTGGCTTTTGATTGTTAATTGTAGATTTTCTGGTGGGATCTATTCAGATTTGTTTCATATTATAGAAAGGAGTTTGATTTAGCATTTGTCAGTATGACAATATTAATGAGGTTGTACTTTGTTGGAGGTGATTTATTTGAATTTGATCAAGTGGACAATGTAGCTTAGTAATGTATATATATAATTTAATTGTGATGTTTTACATACCACTATGATAGTTTAGTGTGTGTTTTAATATTGTAACTAATTTACAAAAACACTTTTGAAAATGATCATTCTTCATTAATGAACAGATGTAATATATATATATATATATATATGAATGTGAATGTACTCTATTAAAGTCATGAAATAGATTTACCTGCATGAGTGATGTTATGTAGAACCCCCAGCCATAGCCACTAGATAAACATGGATGACTTAAAACCATCAATTTATATATTTTTCTGTTTTAAAGTAAGAACAGTGTCAAATATTGTATTTTCAGATTGACTTCATTGTTATGTTCTTTGTAAAGAATACCTTTGAACATTACTACATTTTAAAAAATAATGATACTTGCAACAACCATATCTATATATATATATATATATATATACACACATAGATAGATAGATAGATAGATAGATAGATACACACAGTTAACAAAGTATTGGAATAATACTGAAATAATACAATACAATCTGACCTGTAATGAAACCATCTATAAGAAAAAGTATTTCTGAGGCTAAGATTTTGATGTCTTTATTCATTTATACCATAAAATATAAACATAGATGTTTATCAAATTAAAGTAGAACCATGTGATTTTTAACACTAACAGAAAATTGATTCATTTTTAATTCAGTTAAATTCCAAGAATATTTACTAAAAATTGAAAAAAATAAATAAATTATTATTGAACCGAATTATTGTATATGTTTATTATATTCTTAATACAATAAAAACTAAACAATTTTCTCAGCTAAATCCTAAAATCAAAAGTTAAAACTTTAAAATATGAAAAAAGAAAAAAGAAAAAAGAAAATGAGGTATAAATCTTCACAAAAACCAATACATAATCAAATGAATTGATGATTTGGTCAATTTTTTTTAAAAAAATTATAGATAACAGTCTGTAGTTAATTTAATCATAGATATCAATTTTTGAATGATTTAAAAAATAAAAAAAATAAAAAAAAATACACTAGTTTCTTAGAAAATAATATGTAAATAATTAAGAATGCAGATTTATTCTAATTTCTTTTAACCTTGAGATCATTTGATTACATATTTGTAAAAAAATTAAAATTTTGAGGATAAATTCAGGATGTATACTTTAAGAACAATTCTTTTTCAAATTGGTAGCATAATTGCCATTCATTATTAGTTGATTTGAATCACATAAACCAAGATTAGTATTTTTAAACATAACACTTTTAACATCAAGGAGAAAAATTAGTTCTATAAATTCATAATTTTATTTCAAGTATAAATTTTTGATTGATATATTGCTTTTATATGATTATACTACATATTAATTTGAAATATATATAGTTGAAGAAAATAAACAAAATGTAAATTTTTCAATAATATAAACACAAATTTACACATACCAATACTAAAACCAAAAACTACACAATCATGTTGTTGGCAAGTACAGACAAGTAGGTGTAAAGCAATTATAGAAAAAAATCTTTTTACATAAGGCCATAGCAATGGACAACAATCCTTCAAATAGCAAAAAGCAATGGACATACAATCACCATCTCCTCATCTTCTTTGAGCCTTAGAATATTAAAAAAGACACCCATATCATTATCCTTCATGCCCTTTTCTTTATGCATTTCCGTATATTTGAGTGGCTCCATCAGTCTATTGACTACTTCCAAGATTCCAATATCAATATTGTCTATCCATGTGTAAAATATGACCTCTCAAATGCTTCAAGTATACTTCTTGGTACAAGTTCATAAAGTTTTTAGCTCTATTCACATGGTACTTTTTTAATTTATGACTTTGTTTTACTGAAAAATCTTGTACAAAATTTGCTCTTAGATAAAAATAATTGTTATTTTTATTATTATCATTATTATTATTCTAGTATTGAGTATTGTCTAGTATGCCAAATAGAGCATCAAAACACATGCACCATTCAATAAACAAAACTCATGTTTTGCATCAAGATGATCCATGACTTAGATTTAGTAGTCCATTCTACACCCAATTGAAAAAGCATAATGTAACTTAATGTGTGGGAATTGTGCAGGCTTTCTCTCTCTCTCTCTCTCTCTCTCTCTCTCGCTTTCTCATTCTCACATTAGCATCGTCATGTGTGTTTTGTGCTTTTTGTTGATGGAGGGCATGGAAACTGCAGAGGTTTTGCTTTGTGCATTCTGAAGGGAATCCATCCCACTGCCATAACCCCCCCCCCCCTCTGCTCTCTCTCTCTCTGAAATAAATGACTTTTATCTTATGTTCAAAACGTTTGTGTGGAATAAAGTTCCATGATTGTACAAGAATAGTCTTTTTTTGCTTCTTTGCTCTTTATTCTTTTTTTTCTTCTTTTTTTTTAAAAAATATTTTTGGAGGAAATATAGTTTGACTTTGGATACAAAGTGTTGATGGGATAGTTGATTGTAGAACATAAGTGATTTTTTTAATTAATTATTTTTTTAATTTTAATTTATTTTGTGAGAGATTGGGATTTTATGTAGTAAAAGAGGTGCATTAAATTTGGTGCATGTTGTTCCGTTTGATAAAATTAGAGAGATAAGGAGTTTGGTTACTCTCAACTTATTTGCGTGTTTACCTTGATGTGACATCATTTTCAAATATTTGGTACTGTTGTTAGGAAGAAATTTTAATGTTAATTTTGATTCACTTATTTTTACTCAGGTTCGTAAAATAAAGTCCAGCTGGGTTTTTTGTAATAACGGAGCAATCAAAATTGAACATTGAAGACCAGATTCAACGAGAGACTGTTCTCAAGCCTTACCGACTACGCAGCGTTGAGGTTCGGTATCCTTTACCTTCTGGCCAATCGTAAGAGTTTAAGAAAAATACAACAAAGGAGGATCCATGATCTGTAAAATTACGATATGAGAATGTGAATGTAGGTATATATATGTATATTAATATGTATTACCATCAATATGACTTTGAAAATTTCCAAAATGGAGAATATTGATGGATTGATGCAACTTGAAGATAATGAGCAGCCAAAGCCAACTATACGGTAAAAAACTCTTTACAATGCGTCGTACACCAGTACCACTTCACTGAAAAAAACAAGTATAATAATTTGGTTCGTAATACAGAAAAAATAAAAAAATAAAAAAATCGTACCGAACCGCAAGGCCAGAGAATGCAATCAGGCCATCAATATCGAATTGAATAAATTACATAAAATAAGCTGCCTCTAGTTTTAGAAATCTAACTTCCGGATGGATCATGCGGTTACCGCGTGGGTTGGGGTTCTAACTAAAAGGCCAACACCTGAGACTAGTTCCTACGTTAATAATCCTCTTTACTGAAAAGCCCACACTAAAAACGCTGAGTTGTTTATTCAAAGCACCCAAGTAGCTCCAGAAACGATTGATTATACCTTGTAAAAGAGAGTAAAAGCGAAAGGAGAGGAAGAATGTTTTTTTCCTGATAATATATTAATGCTGGCATAGCTTCTCCAACTCCGTGAAATAAGTGGGGAATGTCTTTCGAGTACAACCTGGATCCCTGATTGTAATGGCGGTATCTCCACATGCAGCAAGCGAGAAGGCCATGGCCATACGATGATCATCATACGTGTCTACCTTTGCTGGAGTGATCCTCTTCGGGGGAGTTACTATGCAATAGTCTTGGCCCTCCTCTACCTCAGCTCCCAGCTGCACGTATCATGTTATATCAGTGCAACTAATTGAAACTTGATCTTCAAACAATCACAATCCAATTAAGTACTTCTAGCCTCTTCAAGTGAGGCAACTCCTTGGTAATGGCTTTAGGGTCTCTTAATATGCGACGGCGATCTTTGAAGCAATATAGTTTCCGATCACAACTAAAAAAAGTCCCATTTTCACACAGGTCGCTTCCCTGCCCTAAATGTGGTGAAAATATGATGGGTAGGGTAATTGAGTGAAAAGTTGGTTTTTGAAAACAAAAATGAAACAATGTAAAATAATTAAAATAAAATAAAAAGCACACACACACGTACGTGCCATCCACAATGATGCAGACTCTGAAACGCTACGGTTTACAGCACCCTTAATGATCATGTCAGTAGAACCTGCAGATTTGAAGGTTCAGTACACTACCTTGGTCAGCTCATCAACAATGGCGCGCATGCGCTCTGTCTCCTTGACTCTCCAATTCTCAACTGCAAAGAGGGGATCGATGAGGTCGTAAATACCAAAAGCAACCACGTGTCAAAAACCTCATCTACATCCTATTTTTTTTGGGTGCAAACAACTACCAAGTGAAGGCTTGCCACCAAATAGTAAAGTCCAGAAACGTACCGTCCCGAATTGCCACGGGGCCATCGGCGAAAAGACCCAACACAGCAAGTGTCATCGCCACGTCAGGCATAGCATTCATATCTACGTCGATGGCTTTCAATCTTTTCCCTGTTGTGAAATCTGCAGGTGCCCCCGTAACTGTGACTGTATGATCACCCCATTGGACTGTGGCCCCCATCTTTTCCAATACTTCGGCAAATTTGACGTCTCCCTGGAATTCATCGATCAACCATCAAAACCAAGATAAAATGTTCACGTTGAAACTAATATTAAAATCCAAACCAAAACCAAATCCCTCAATTATTATGGTCAAAAGGCTACTTAAGAGGGAAGTCACAAGACTACGTAGCTTCTAAGTCCGTGCAGTGCTTACAGAAGATCAATGAAAACTAGAGGATAATGTGAAATACTCCTCGTACTAAAAATCAAGACAGCTAGTTTAATGAAAGTAGCGCTGCCGATTGACTCCAATTCCAGGAATAAATAAATAAATAAATAAAAATTACGAAATACACATACCTGAAGACTGGTGGTTCCACAGCCCTCAACAGTAATAGTGCCTCCCGTGACAGCAGCACCAGCTAAGAAATAACTAGCACTCGATGCATCTCCCTCAACGTACGCGCTTCCTGGTGACCTGAAGGAGGGCAACAGAGGCATCCAACATCACCTCAATCTGTACTGCATGAACCAACTACTATTTCAGCGACTTTTTAAGTTGATTATTAACGACAGCTGCTTTGAGGTGCGATGAGAGGATCACCAAACATACTTGTAGGTTTGACCTCCCTTGATTGAAAAACGTTCCCAGCCGTCGTGCCTGTCGACCTTCACTCCAAACCTTTCCATCAGCCGTAAGGTCATGTCGACGTAAGGCACAGAGACCAGCTTGTCAACCATGATAATTTCAACGTCTCCCAGAGCGAGTGGCGCTGCCATTAAAAGCGCAGACAAATACTGGCTGCTCACTTTGCCAGAAAGACGTACCTGCAACGAGACGGAACACTCCGTTCAATACTTTCTTCCAATATGCAACATCACCATCCCTTTTTATTTTATCAGAACGGCCTATAATGATTGTATCCATTACTAAAATAAGCTTCTACTAGTTTGGAGGCCGAAATTTGTACCGTTCCTCCGGGAAGACCGCCCTTAGCGTTGATCAAAACAGGAGGACAATTAGGGTAATCTTCTGTGCAAGTAACATCGGCTCCAAGCTGCTGAAGGCCCATCACCAAATCAACGATGGGTCTTTCTCTCATGCGAGGCACTCCATCCAGCTCATAACTGCAGATTCGCGTCTCAGTCAGCTGTAGGAAAGCAAAATTTTCTTGAACCCATAGTTTTAATTTGTAGACACTAGAAGGAAAGGTAAGAGGAGGATTGATACCTGGCGTTGCCACCCGCTGCTGTCACAGCTGCTGTCAAGGGACGCATCGCAGTTCCAGCATTCCCCAAAAATAACTTCACCACTTGGCCACGCTCTTCTGCGTCACGAGCTACAGGAAATACACCTCCGCTCCCTTTAATTACACACCGATTCTCTGCACGATCCTCATGGATGTCGTAGCCCAACGTCTTGAGCGCCCCAATCATGTAGCGGACATCCTCGCTGTCTAGCAGGTTTTCAACCACAGTCTCTCCCTATAAACAACTAACACAAGCACTCAGGAAATAGGAGACAATAAAACATGCCCCCAATTCTATGAACCATGACAAGAGTAAATACTAAAGAGGGCTGGAAGACGAGGGGCCAAGGAATCAGATTCAAAGGAAAATGTGGCAAAACCACGAATTCCAATAAAATTTAATATTCAAGTGAGCAAAACGGTCTACCTCTGAGAGAGCTGCCAGGAGAAGGGTGCGGTTAGAGAGTGACTTGGATCCTGGAAGCTTAATTTTCCCACTGATCGTTTTAATAGGCTGCAGAGTGATCTCCTCTACACTGGCAGCTTTCTCAGCCACATGAGCTCTTGCGACTCCAGCCTTGAGGAATGCTTTCCTCCCCCACCGATCCTTCTTCTCCACGGCCTTCAGTAGCTCATAAACCCCGCATTTGGACGCCACAGAATTTCTTTGCGGCAGGGCTGTGTGCTTACCAACACAAACCATGTGATTCTCCAACCTCTGATTACTTAGAAGCTCACATCTCGTCCCGAGGGCGCCGGCGCTCCATACCTTGGCCGATGAAGACAATCCAAGCGCCTCCATGGACTGCAGTTCCCGTTCAGGCGCCTCAAATTCTGCACTACAGACGTGCCGCGTGGGAGAGAAACTCCACAATCTGCCGATCTCAAACCCAAACCCAGAATCTACAAACAACACCTCTGAACCCACACTACAAATGCACCCACCACGACGTTCACAATCACGTGAATACCCTAAAACCGAACTGGGTCAATTCAGGCAGCAAAACTACCACCCAAAAGTCTCCAGCACAAAAACCTCTCGATTCCTCCCTCCCTCGCTCGCTCGCTCTCTCTTTCTCCCTTCCCCCACCTCACTCTTCTACCCAATTCCGATCACCCACCATCAATTCGTACAAACCCAACTGCCAAAACTGCGATCTACCCACACCCATCAAAAAACCCACCACATTCTTCACAGACAGGCTCTCACTGTGAAGAATAGAAATTCTCGGCGTCGACGCAACAATACCGAATTGGAAAGTCGCTGCGGTAGACTGTGTGAGCTGACCCGGTGACTCGCTTTTTGAAACCCCATTCACAATACAATCGCTATGGAACACTTATATATCTACATATATCTAAATGAAATTCCTAGATACTCCCGTGAGTGTAGGTCATCAAGTAGATATAAAGAGACGGGCAGAACTCTCTTATTCGAAGGAGATGCTGTGGAGAGTGGAGAACTTCGGGTGAGTGATGGGTCCGACGTGGCACGGGTGTGGGGCCGTGTGGGGTCGGGTTCAGGGGTCAGAAAAGGTGGGCTGGGCATGGGTCCGGAGGTCAACACGAGCGTCCTGCTTTTTGAAAATGAGAGTCAAGGTCTCTCTTCTTTGGTCCTCGGGGTCTCCGCCCCTTTTTTTTGCCTTCTTTTTATTTATATTTTTGTGGAAACGACTTTTTGGAGAATAATGTTTCCAGCACAGAAATGCAACCCCCCCCCCCACACATATTAGTTTCTCTTTCTCTAATAGTAAAGGACCAATTTTGGTCAAATATTTGGACAGTTGTTTTTGGAAGCACCAATTATCAATCGTTGCAAATTGATGAGCATTAGGGTGAGAATGTTTTACGAAATGAAAATAATAATAATAATAATAATAATAATAATATAGGACGTTATTTTGAGGAGTATAACATCAAGACCATGAAATATGTACGGATGTTTGTTAGGACTTTTTTTTATATATATATATTCCTCAACAAAACAAACAAACAAACAAAAATTGCACTTTTCTAAATTGTAGTTGGGTATGATTTGCAGATTTAAAGAAATTTGCAACTTGTAGGAAACTATAGAATTAGCTTGCAAATTTATTATTATTATTATTATTATTATCTTGTACATCACAAAAGAATTATATTGAGGTAGATTATCATCATCAAAAGATAAATAAACATTACAAAAAAATGTCAAGATTACATAATCATTTTGACAAAATGATGAAGCAATCACAGACAAGTTTACACGTCTTTATTATTTTTTTCCATAATCACATTTAAATATTTGATTGTATTAGAATGTATTAGATTTTTACTTTTTCATTTACTTCTTCTTACCTGCATCTTAACATGTACGAATTATGAAGAGATTCTTGCTAATTAACCTGTACTCACAACTGATTTTTGAGTTGCATTGTTTAACTTGTTCATACTATTCAAAAGTGAGAGTTGCATAGGAAAAAAATATTGCAAAAGCAATACGTGACAAGAGGATTTGTACCTAAGTTGTAAATTATTATTATTATTATTACTATTATTTCTAATTGTTATTTAATTATAAATTAATACGTTAATACATCTTCCATTTTTTAACAATGTGAAGGATTTTCTTTTTTCATAAATCTGTGTGTATGCATTCTTAACAAAATTTCATTCATGAAGAAAAAACAAAAACAAAAAACTACAATAAATATACTTACAAATAAAACAAAAAATATCTTTGTTGAAAAAAAGTATCATTAAAATCAATTTGATGATTTTAATATGCTAAAATGACAAAATGAAAAACAAAAAAACAAAAAACAAAAAACAGAGGTTAGTTATTAAACAAAAGATGATAGAATATATTTTACATTGTTTATTATTGGTAATGGCATTATTTTAAGAATATATATATATATATATATATATACACACACACACACACATCCAGGGAATGTTATTGGGGAATGTACAGGCATCTAGTCTGGGGTAAGCTCAGATCACACAGGATCATTAAACCAGAGAATGTAATAATGCTCGGTTTGTTTCAAATTCTAGCTACAATGGCGCAAACAAGGGTTATGATGATTGCCGTGTTGTTCATGTTTGGCCTTGCATCATTGTGTCCCCATGCCTCCGTCCAGTCAAGCAAGACAGACTTGGAAGCGCTGTTTAATTTTAAAGCAAGCATCACCAACTTCTCCCTGACTGCAACCTCGGCGTCCTCTCCATGCTCGTCGGTAGGAATCACTTCCAGCAGTCACAGGTATGGACAGATAGCACCGGCTCCAAAACCAACAAGTGTGCAGAACTGATGCACCTCACGAGGTTCGGCGGATTCCACCACAAGTCCTACACGAGTACGCTCCATCGATTGCACCAGTGGCCAACAACGAGCTCACTGGTACACTTTGAGCCGATGTAGCTCTGTTGGAGAGGACCAACATGGAGCTTCGGCAGCAGCATTGCGAGCTTCAGCACATATACGGGTGAGAGCGCTTTCAACTGGCGGATCTCAGTGTGTTCTCGATGCAGGGCAACAATCTGTCCGGACCCATACCTCCAGTTGCAATTGCGTCCGCCTCACGACTCTTAACCTGGGCAACAATACTCTCTCGGGAAACATTCCTTCGCAGAGTGGGAAACTTGTGAACCTCGACCGCTTCGTTCTCTCCTACAATCAGCTCACTGGACCAATTCCCGCTGGGAGTGCAGCCGATTTTTGCGACCCGACCTTGCTCGAGTCCAGCTTTTTGGACCTCTCCAACAACCGCTTGAATGGGAGCATCCCGACCACTATCGGAGAGTGCGTGTTGTTGGTGGAGCTCTGAGGCTCGAACGATGGAATAAGTTCAGTTTTCTTGGGCTGCCCAGCGAGAGGAATTGGGTCGATTTTGTAAAAGTCAGGGTCGATATATATATATATATATATGTCACATTCTCAGATAGATATATGTATACATGTAAAAATAATTAATCACAGATATTTTGTAGTTTTTAATGCTAAAAATGATTTGTAAGGTAAATTTTTGAGAATCAAATTCTGAGTATTATATTATTAATAAAAAGTATTAATTAATTAAAAATATATTTCTTGAATTCCAATAATTTGTAAATTAGAATAAGTCATATATAAAATTATGTTTTAAAATTATGTGTATTTCTTTGCATATTTGAGATTATTAGGTACTTAATAATTTAGTTTAAATACTAATAAATATGTTTTAAAATTCATATAATTATATATGAATATATATATATATATATATTTCAAATTCAAGTCATTTTTCAAGTATTTTAGATTTTTATTGAAGACAAACAAAAAAGTAATAAAGGATATAAATAATTTTTCTATTGGCAAGAATTATATTCTTATTTTATTGACTAAATTATTAACATAAGGTCGAGGATATAATGTTCAATATAAAAAAATATAAATATAAATGAATAAATAAATCCAAATTTTTTTTGGTAAAATTAGTTTTTTACAAGCAAGAATTTAATCAATTACAAAATTATTTTAATATACATGACTTATAAAACTAAAATTTTATACATACAAAATAAGAAAGTCTTATATAATGTCAATGAACAATTAGAAATACTAATAAATTTAATATGACACATATATTAACCATTTAGACACATGTAATTATTATGAATTTTGATTTTAGTATTAAAAGGTTTTATTTTATTTTATTTTATTTTAGGATTCATGTTGTTCACTTCATTTGAAATTTCTCTTTGGAAAAAAGATGGTACATGATTAAAATATAAAAGTAACAAAAACATCTTTACATGATATGAGCTATTTTAAAGTTGGTTGCACAATGGATATGAAAACAACAAACTAAACTAAATAATAGTTTCTATATTACTATAAATTTTCCATAAATTACAATGTTAGATGTATTAGATGTTAGATGTTGTAATCTTGTAGTAACTATACAAACACAAAATCACAACTACTTCAAGCTTAAATAAAATATCTTCAAATTTCCTATAATTTTTTTCTAATATTTTATAATATTAAATATTATTCAATCTTTTCTTTAATGAGTATGAACTTAGAAAAACTTTTGTTTACTTTATTTCAAAAATCAGTAGAGAAAATTAAAATCTAAGAATTTGAACCATTAACCTCACATGCAAATGACATAGTTTACATAGATTAGAACTTAATTGGTTCAATATTGTTACCTTCAGAATGTCATCATCTTTATTAAAAAGAATTGGTGCTTTCTACATAATTTAATATATTAACAAGTCTATTATTACATCTTTTACACATAATCTTGAGTGCCTCTATGTTGAAGAATATATGTAATGGTATTGCTATTTCATACAAGTTGTCAAGGTTCTCTACATCAAATTCTCTTTAACATATCTAAATTACTAGGATAATTTTAAAATATCTAAAAACATATCTTGTTGTATACACATGATAAATAATATATATATTTATAGTTTTAAAACTTTAATTTTTTTGTACAATAAGATAACTATTTCAAAAGATTGATTTTTTTATTCAAAGTAACACTAATATAAAATTAAGATGAGAGGTTTTCCATTTGACTATATGATTTAGTGCCCTCTATTTTTTATTTATTTTTTCTAATTTGTTCTTTAAAGAGTATTTTTCAATATATATATACATATGTGTAGAAAAGAAATAAAATAAAAATTCATATATTTTTAGTTTTTTATTTTGTTTAAATTATTTTAAATAAAAAATATAATTAAAACATATAATTAAAAAAATCACAACTTTTCAGTTTCACACTCTTACTATCAAAATTTATTTTCATTCTATTTATTTTTATTTTTATTTTTACAAAATTATTTTGAAAAAGTAAATTCAAAAATATTCTATGTCCCTCTCACATAAAATACCAATATCCTTCTTAACTATCTATGAAATTATTGTCCTCGTTGTCTCTAATAAACCACCAAAACAAACATGTTTGAAGTCATCAATTGGATACTACCTCTTAAGTCCATGTTGCATTAAAAATAAAAATAAATAAATTTAAGAATAGAAATCTAAATAAAAATTGAAGTTCTCATGTATATTGCATATTTTGTTATCATAATGCATTTAATTGTTTCTCTAGATTATTATTTTTTTATAAAATAACATATTTTTTTATTTTTCATTTCTTTGAAACTAAAACAAACTATATTATACCATACTTTATTAAAATAAAATTCTAACTATTTATGTAAAACTTATACAATGGAAAATATTAAATCGATCCAATCTTTTAAAAAATAGATCTACTTTTGATGAAAAATATGGTAATCATGATGAATTTAGTTGGTTTTTATTGGTTTTGGATCCAATAGTAGAGAAATGAATCTAAATGTCATTTTTACTTTTTATCATGCTTATGATGGATATGTTGACTTAGTAAAAACTTGGGTCTATTTAACATTCTCTTAAACAATATTCTTAAAAATATTTCATGATTATGTTGGATGTACATATATATATATATATATATATATAACTTAAAATAGTTTATTGTGATATCATATAAAAATCATTACTAATTTTATATTTAAAATTTTATTGAATATTATTCTTATTATAATGATAATAAGAATATTTTTCTGACTTGTAAATTCTAAAATGAACAAAAAAAATAGTTTCAATAACTACATATGTTTATTCTAAATTACTGTATTGTACAAAAATATTGTTTTGTATTTCAATTCATTCAACTAAATGTATATAAATGTAGAATAAAAAATACAATTTAGAAGTATACAAATTACATTTGTTGATGGAAAGATTTTGAACAATTTAAAATATTTTACATCAATCATGTGAATCATAAGCATCACATTAATTATTCCTTCAAAGAAACCACTAGGTAGACACTACCCCTTTATTGTGTGGACACCCCTATGCTATGTTCTCCCACATGCATGCCCTTGCAAAAAATATTTAACTTTGATTTTAAATGGGTTTATTTTTAATTTTCATCATGGTTTCTCTACGTGACATTCATGAATAATAACAAATAAAACACAGTTTTTTATGTTTTTATTCTTCAAAAAATTAATTTGTCAAAAGTCTTCAAGAACAAAAGTATTGAAGGTTAAAATATTATAGAACTATAAAACATCAATGGAAAAGGGTATTTCAAATTTTGACATTAAATTAATAAATATAACAATAACCATGATTTAAAATCAAAACTAGTTAATTTTTTGTAGGAGTGTGTGCAAGGGATACATGGCAATGGGATGACCGCCTAACTGTTCCCCTCTTAGATTAGGCCCATTTTATTTTAATTTAAACATTAGCAGAAGGCATTAACCTTGCTTTCCTAAGTGCCAACTAATCTAGTACATTTCAAACAACAAAAGAGAAGTAGCAATGAAATCCAACTTAAGGTGTCCCAAATGCAAGCCTCTTTTCAGCTTTGAGGTTCTCACGGCATACAGCAGGCTGATGGTATGTGATAACATGATAATTATACTGTAATTTGAGAAATGCTCATGATTCGTTACCTTATGATCAATACCTAATAATTGTATCACTTCCAGAACAAGTTTGAGTAGAAACACACTAGAATCTCACAGGACTTACTGGTCTCCATGAAACTCGCCAATCGGTTACTGTGTCCGAGGTCAGAATTAAACAGAATCAGTTTGGCTACCATATTCATATATTTGGGAGCCAAACTGTTAAAACATATTGTGTCTAGGTATCATGACGAGCCCCACTATACGTGATCAGAAAATAACCCCACTCTCAAAAAAGAATGAAAAATCACCAACCAACCAAACAACCACCAGGCAACTACTCTTATATTTTCTATTGCTCATGTGGATTCAATATTTACAGATTAAGGTGAGGGATTAGCTTGTAACCATTAGGCTAACTGTGCACTATTGGAATCCTTAAGAGACACACTCCAAGATACAGAATCTAGCTCCCGGGAGCCAGAGAAGAATAGAGCATCCCAAACCCGGGGGATTTCATCATGGGGTCGAAGAGTTTGCCCCAATCTTCCACGCTCCAGGAATCGTCAGCTCCGGCGACTGCAACGCCATTGACGAGATAAGTAGGTGTGCCGACCACGCCTCTGGAGCATCCATACTGCAAACAATTCCACGAAGGCTCAGAGGAGTAGCAATCCTTCCTCATACAAAACAATCACTTGAGAAAGAGTATCCCTATAGTTCGAAATGGAGAGGGCAGGAGAAGAGGAGAACCAGGAGGGTGTTGGATACCTTGAAAGAGATCCGGGTGGCTTGATCGGTGACTGCATCGTTGAAGGCGACTTCGAAGGAGTTTGTAGGGAAGCCGAGGTTGTCTGCCAGAGAAATGAGCCGGCTGACGACGTGTGCTGGCGTTTCGTGGTTAGTGCTAGGGTTCAAGAAGGACTCCTGTCGAAGGATGTGAATGGTCACATTTTAGAGAATTCCGGATCGATGTAAATAGTTTAAATTTTAAAGAATAAAGAACAAACATGAGGATGTAAGGGGTAGTGAACCTTGAACATACCTGATTGCTAAAGATGAGCTCCAATAGAGGATACACAAGAGACGAATTCGTCATCTGTGCGACATGGAGTCCCCTAGAGGCGAAGAACGCATTATGATGAAACCTGCCAGACAAATCAAAATCAGAGGATGCTCCAGAGCCAGAGGATGTAGCACACAAAATATACAGCGAGAGCACGCATAGGAGAATTGAGCTTACGGAGCTGGAAAGGGATGGACGATGAGGAGAAGAGCAGAGCCATATTTCTCCACCACCTGCTTCACAACAGGCCACGCGTTCTTGCAATCGATGCACAAGGGGTCGACGAAAACCTCCCACATAACAGGACCCCGCCCTTGCTCGGTGGAGACGTTGTACACAAATCCATCGTAGCGCTCGGGGATTGCGAACTGAGCGCTGCTGCTGGCCACAAGTGAGAGCAGCGTCACCACCAATCCAACTGCTCTGAGCAAGGAAAGAGCTGTTGAGGAGGACCTGCAGTGAGTCGCCATCTTCAAATTCTGGAGTTAACCCAAAGAAATCCAAGAGTAGAGGATGTGGGGCAAGTAAATGGCCTGCGTCGAGTGAGACGTAACGAACCCACCTACTAGATTTTGAAGACCGTATGATTGCCATGGTGGAAACCAGGGGAGATTCATGAACTTGGGTAGGCGCTGGCTCAGTAGCGCGCGGTAGATTCTGGGTTTTCATCCTGCGGCCGCAGTGGGTGGACCCCCACACTCGCTCCCGAGTGGGAATGGATGAAGCGGGACGAGGACGCTGCAGTCTGTTTGCGTTTGCGCTCAATCTGAGACCCCATGCAGACGGGTTTGAGTTTTCAAAGACAGCATGAACAGCTTCTCATGTCTGCGGATTCACACGTCTTGCAATACATCTAAGCTATAGTCTCAGGCGTGAATAAGTGTGGAATCATTCTTCATGAAATCCTCCGTCATCTGTCTCAGGGAGTTTTTTTCTTGAGTCCTTGTTCTTTCAGATTGATGTGGTCTATCCTCCCAATTCCTTGGATGTTTCCAATGACCACTCAACAACCGAGAAAATCTCATCACATGCTCACACATTTTGTTAAGCCAGGGTTTTGTTACCAGAAACTCTAACCTCCACATGGTAAATCATCCCATCCCGAGTGCCTCTATAATAACATTGTTTCCGTTCTTAGTTCTGTTTTTCCTGTCTCGAGGTTCTCTGGCTATGGCGATAATCTGTGTATCATGCGTCTTTTAGGTTTTCATGGCGAGGTCCTGAACTCACCGACTGTTCTTTTGCAACGCACATGAAGATGGACAAGGATGAGATGCACTAAGAGGAAATAAATTTTCATCACCCCACAATACGTATCCCACGTGGATATTACCTTAGTGCGATGTGCGAGCGCCCCAGAGAAAGCAAGGGCAGCGGAATTGTTGAATGATCAGTGAGTGGGTATTTGAGTTGTCACCACATTCCCGGCCTCAAAGAACCAGAGGCGATGACTGATCGACATCGCAAACAGTATTGAATAATTGCCAACAATGTGGATCTGCTAGACCTACCAAATTAAAAATCAATATAGGCATAATTCTCTGCTGAAAAACAAGTAAGACTGCGATATACTGGAAGAATGTAAAGAAGTGATATCGGTTTCGAATTTCCGCCCCTCATGAAAAATCACGCGTGCATCAGAACAGAGCTGCCTTAACTCCATCATATGCTGCATTAATCTGGGAAAACGAGAATACCAAAAATAGCGAAGCATTGACGCATCGGAAAAGCTGAGTTTAGCAATTTCTGGATGAAACAGTCGTTGCCGTATTTAGAACCTGGGAATATTTCAGTCTATTCATCCATGAAACGATGCAAGCACTTCGCCCTGAGCATCCAACTCCCCCAGGATGATCTAGTCTTCTCGTTGTCCCATGAGCCCAAATTTTGAGCATCGAAGCTACAGTACATTTTGATCTCTTGAAGTCTTGACAGTGTTAGGTCGACTGCCTTTAGGTATTCTCCCTCGAATGTGTCTAGCACCCAGATAGTTGAAGTGTGTTTGTTTTTGATGCGATTGTCGATTGAGAGGTGTAAGTTGGTTGATATTGATAACTGTCAGATTGGTGATGGCGCTTTCGTGCACGGCAGCTATGACAATCCCCTTGTCCTCGACGACACTGTCATGTCTTTCTGCTTGTGATACTGGGTCATGTGCATCTGCTCCATTTTTGCCGACTCTCTCGTCAGCTGTGCTTGTGAGGAGCAAGAATAGGACTAGGAGCTCCGAAGTAATTACCTGCTATGGCACACCGGCCTACGGGGCGCCCCGCCCTTATCAGACACCCGGTGCCGATTTCCACTTTGGCGCACGATTAGCAGAGACCATCTCTCATTCCAGCTTCGGTGAAATCAGCAAGCCCGATTTCTCGTGGAACCACGGTGCACCGTTGAACTACTCCTCGCCCGTGAACTACCAAACTCCAAAGGGCTATGGCGCGCCATATGCATATGGACCTGGAGTGGGATCGACAACGACCGAATTGGGGCAGGAAGCTGATATAGTTGAGGAGGCGAAAGAGGCTGAGCTTGATTCGGGCGATGTGGGAGGAGGTGGTGAAGGAGACGACGATGGTGGCAGCGGCGATGGCCGCGGAGATGGCAAGGGAGACGATGGCGAAGGAGCTGATGATGGCAAAAAAAAGAAAGCTGGGATGTCTATGTCCCAGAAGTTAACGTTAGCATATGCCATTCTTGTTGGTGGTGCGTGTTTCTTTTCCCCTTCCTGCCTTCCTTCTCCTTGCATGCTGATGAATGCCCGTCTTCCGCGAGTTGTTGTTCACGATTTCTCTTGCCCCATCACCCTTTTATTTGTGTAAACCCTAAGCCTCTCCTTCTTAAAGTAGCTGGTATGAACTTGATGCGGAATTACAAACTCCGGGGGTGGCAGGTGTACATGGAATTCATAGCCATTGCTAGGGGTATCCTCTGAGTGACCATGGCATTGTAGATTTGCATCGATTCTGTGCATTTCTTGTCTTCTCTGTCGTCCACTTCTTCGTTACCTCAGGTCTTGTCTCTGATGGTGCCCTGTTGGCTGCAGTTGGAGGGCTGATGGGATTTGCCAAGTCTGGCAGCAGTAAATCACTTATGGCCGGTGGAGGATCAGCCTCAATCCTCTACTACGTCTATCTGAACCTCCCATCAAATCCTGTCATGGCTTCTGCCATCGGTCTCGGTAATCCATTGCAATCGTCTACTCTCGCATACATCTCATTCTCATCCCAATAAAGAGTCTTTTTGAGTTCCTGGGATTCAGCTTAATGTTTCATTCATTAACCTCCGTCTTGTCTGTCCTCCTCAGGCATCTCAGGCATGCTCTTGTTTATCATGGGCTCTCGGTATATGGAATCAGGCAAGGTCTTCCCAGCAGGAGTGGTTTCTTTGTTCTCATTGGTCATGGCAGGTGGATACATCCACGGAATCGTGCGATCCGCTCACCACTGAGTTTAGGAAGCCAATAAAACTCTTTGATTAGCGATGAGACAAAGTTACATGCTCCACTTACTGAAACTTTTGTACAGTAGATTTCTAGGATCAGTTTTGGAGATAACTGACCACATCTGGTTACATTTGGCAGATATCCTCACCTTTACCGTTCTTTCTCTTGTTTCGTTTGCATGGAACCCCGAGCTTGTGTACTGAGCCTTCAAGAGGTTTTCACTAACAAATGATTGAATTCAGTTCTTTGCATGGTCCTGTTCGATGCTTTGTAAAATGTTGAGATTTGTATTGCCTCTTGACTTCACTGTTGCAGAAAGAGAACAATTACACGGTTGTGGATACGTGAGACTGTGCGTTATGTGTGTTGATTACAAGATCGGAGTATTGATCCAGAAGTGGGTTGCTGCGATGGCTTACAAATTGTATGCAATGTGCACACTGAACGCTGCTCAATTAGTCACTGGTTATGAACGCTCCTAATATAGAAACACACTGTTATGCATCACGAAAGATGGCCTTGGTTTTAGGGTCTCACCAGGCTGTGGATGCTGTGAAGAAATCTTGAAGACGTCGAGAATTTCCCCATGGCTCTGGTGGTTCTTCTGAATGCTTGGACTCATGGATGAGTTTCATGATATGCAAATCATGCCAAACACGTCAATTCAGAAGAACCACCAGAGCCATGGGGAAATTCTCAGCGTTTATTTAGAAAAAATATATATATATGTATATACACATTTTTTAGGTTGGGGAGTTGGGTCCATTAGCATGTTGTACTAATTTAGATGCGAGAGAACGGGGCAAGAATTTTCATTTAATCAATTAGTTTATAGTGTAGACTGGAATATGTTAATTTCATGAAAAATTGCCACACAGTTGAAAATCGCAAGAAATCGTTTTGCTGAAAATAACTCTGTACTCTTTACACTACAATACTGTATCTACAGAATATATACATTGTGTTGAATTTCAAGAAGGCTTAAAAATTTGTTTCAGTTCTCTAATTAAACTGTTGTGAAAATGCTCATGATGCGCATGTGTAGGATAGAGCTTCCAATTGCATACCAAAGAAACCTGTATTTGGTTTTCAATGTTGAGATGAACAAATTACTGTAAATAATGATAATAATTAGAATCACCCATCTAACACGCTTATTTCAAGAATAAGAAAGAAAAAATATACATCTATATATATATATATATATATAAGACATACAAAAATAGAACAACATGTAAAAGTCATCATGACACAAAAATATCACGAAAACGAATAGATTTACTAACATAACAACTAAACTGAAACGATGATAAGCCAAAAGAAAAAATCTCACTTTAAAAAACACGTTAATAATTGAATATAAATGGATTATATATATATATATATATATATATGTCTATAGAATGGGTTGGAAAAAGGAAGCTGTGAGGGAAAGCGGAAGGAGGTAAGGGGGATGAAAATACGTCGGATGAGGGCAAGGATACATCAATCATCCAAACTCACATCCACCCAAAACTGACTTAATTCATCCATTTTGAAAACAAACATTCATCCATTATGTTGAGGCAATAACGGAGGGAAGGAAGAACGCCGCGAGGAGGGAAGGAGGATTGAGTGTGGCACCGACGCGGCGAATTCATGGAAGCGTGGTGCGGCATTTTCATTTCATGGCGCAGCGTTGAGCTGAGTGCGTAGTAGCTAGCGTACTACTACTCCGCAGTGCCGTTTGTTTCATGACTTGGGCGCTACGAGTGGTGCCGCCTGCGATGGCTGCTACCAGGGGCTGTGGCTTGCCGCGCACTGTGTGGGAGCTCCGCGCGCCCAATTGCCTTCTCGCGGATTCCCGAGGCCCGTGCGTCATCCTCCTGGAGGCAAGAGCGCTCCGGAATGTCCTGCAGGTTGGCATTTTGGGTTGTGTTGGGTTGTGTTGGATATTTCTGGGTTGAGTGTGACGATTGCGAAATTGGTAAGATGGGCCAAGCCCGTGATTTTTCCTTTGAGTGTTACTGGTGCTGATGAATAGGTAGGGTTCAGGGTTTAAGGTCTTCTAGGCAATTTGGGGTTGTAGCCGCGCCGGTGGAAAGGAAGCCGAGATGGGGTATCGGCATTGGAGAATTGAAGGTGAAAGAGCCGAACAGTATAGTAGCTGCTGTGAGAGAAGATGTGGAGAAGTCTGTGGTTGTGGTGGAATCACCTAGCAAAGCGAAAACGATCACTAAGTACCTTGGAGCTGGCTACACTGTGTTGCCCAGCTACGGGCATGTGCGCGATCTTGCTGCGCGTGCAGGGTCCGTGCGGCCTGATGAGGACTTCAATATGCTTTGGGAGGTCCCTAGTACTGCTCGTCCTCATATCAATTCTATCAAATCTGCTCTGAAAGGGTTGGACTCTTCCTTCCTTTTTTCTTCTGATAATGGCATAGTTCGCTTTCGTTATTCGATGCAGTTTGTTTTTTTTGTTATGTACTTTTTGGCATTGTTTCTGTTTGTATTGAGTTGTCAGTATGTGATCGTGGTTTTGATCTTTAATCAATATTTTCAATTTTGTGGGTGTGCATTTTTAGAGCCCAGGTGTTGGTTCTGGCATCCGATCCCGACAGGGAAGGCGAGGCAATTGCTTGGCATGTATTGGAAATATTGGCTGTGGAGGGGGCTCTGAAGAAAGAAATGCAAGTGAAACGGGTAGTATTTCATGAAATCACAAAGACAGCAGTGACAAGGGCCATGGATTCTGCCAGAGATGTCAGTGAAACATTGGTAAATGCATACCTTGCGCGTCGCGCCCTGGATTATCTCATCGGCTTTAATCTATCTCCTGTTCTCTGGCGCAAACTGCCGGGCAGCAAGTCTGCGGGACGTGTGCAGTCGGCTGCTCTTCGCCTAATCTGTGACCGTGAGCATGAGATTGAAGCATTTCGATCCAGAGAATACTGGAGTATAGAAGCTCAACTGAAGAAAGGTGGAACCCAGAGTACAATTTCTGCTCGACTGACTCATTTGAATGGAAAGAAACTTGAACAGTTTTCTATTGGGAATGAAGTGGATGCTGGAGCTGCATCCAAAAAAGTTTCAGAAGCCAAGTTGAGTATTGGAAGTGTGAAAAAGAGACTTGTCCGTCGCAATCCTCTAGCCCCTTATATTACCTCCACGTTACAACAAGATGCTTCTTCCAAGTTGGGCTTTGGAACTACCCGTACTATGTCCGTAAGGTCCCTTCACCAGAGCATCCACATTGCTTGGCTTTTAATTGTAGTAATGTATGTGAAATGTGTTCTTACTCTCTGGTTGTCTCATCCATTCAGTGTTTTATGGCTGCAAAGCTCTGCTCAACCTTTATATATTCGTGTTTAAGTCGAATGTTTACTATTATAGTGATGTCTAGTTCAATAAGCAGAAACTTGTGTATTTGATGAATTTGGAGTAGTTAGCAGTCCGCTTAAGTACTTGAGCTCTGTCATTTAGTTCCTTGTGTGCTGAAACGATATAAATAAACGGTTGTAGATTGGTGTTTCCTGTTGCGCCAGTATTCTGACTTAGATATACTTCTAGTCGGATGCATCCTCATCTGATCAGTTATGCCTACTTACGTTTGAGTGCGTCATTTTTTCTCAGTTCCACTACCTGTTGAAGTTTGTGTGACTTTTATTGTTTAATGTCAAGATTTCAAATTTTTAAGCTTTTAATCAATATTGGTGCGCATCGTTGTTTTGAGAAAATTCTTACTAGCTTTCAGCACAATTAAGCTTAGAGGTTTATATCTAGGGCTTTTCATGGCCCATATGGAAACGGCGTATTGGTGAAATCTGAATATTTGACGAAATGAACATATGTTGTTTGCAACGGCATTGTCTGGATAAGTTGGTCTGAGCAGACCTGATCGTGCTTGCAGTTGGCTCAGCAATTATACGAAGGTGTAAAGCTCAACAGTGGCGAACAAACAGGACTTATTACATACATGCGTACCGATGGTGTTCAGGTCTGTGGAGTCTTTTTTACTCGTCATTTTGTTTTTATTTTTATTTTTATTTTCTGTTTTAGATATTTCTTTTCAAGCGGAGTCTATGTTACCTGCGCCTCATATTTACATGTCCATACACGTCACTTCAAATTATCGTGATCTATTAGCGTTAACTTACCAGCTAGTTTTCTTGAATTTCATATTAGATATCGCCAGAGGCATTGGAGGACATACGATCACTGGCTTGCACTAGGTATAATTCGTATACTATCACTATTTTTTTCTGTTCTATAATCTGAATTCATTTCATGTTTCTTTGAGTTCTTCTAAACGAGAGCATTTCCATCACATTTTTTAATTGTTGGCTTTACTTTTATTGGGTTTAGTATTGTCCAGAAGTAATTGGGAATACTTATTTCCTGCTCGGTCGAAGTTTTTTTCTTTAATTCCAGATTGATTTGCTTCCTGTCGCTTTCAAATTACGATTCAGCTTCAGGTTTTTGCCCTGTTATTCGGACTTGCAAAGATGGTAGTCATTGTTTGAATAATTAGCTTCTGATTGAAGTCATGCTAAAATACATTGCCGTAGGTATGGAGATAATTACGTTCCTGCTGAAAAGCGAGTTTTTGTATCTAAAGTGAAAAACGCACAAGAAGCTCATGAGGCTATTCGGCCAACTGACATCTTTCGCCTGCCATGTAAGCTCGTTTTGCTTTGTACTCTTTGTATCCACGTTCCTCTGACAAGGTTCAGTTATAGCTTAAAGTCCATTCGCAACTAACAATAATTTGGGGTAATCAATCATTCTTCATCATCGTTAAAAATGGATAAATGCGTAGATTTGTAAAATGTGTGCTTTTCGAGGTCTTTCTATATGTAAAGGATATACTGATTGTGTTATTCTATAGTTGTCAAGCATACCCGATATTATACACGCTTATGCACGGAATCCTTCTGTTGAAGGTGTACGTTTCTTCTTGATGACGAGATTTAGGAATAAAATCATTAACAATACTTACTCTGTGAGTGCAGCATCTGTAGCCAACGTCCTGGAGGAGGATGCCTTGCAACTTTACTCCCTTATATGGGCTCGCACTATGGCGTGTCAGCTAGAGCCTGCTGTATCCAACCAGGTCTGGATGATGTATATTATATCGAACGATGTCTATTTAATTAGGTGTCCGACATCAGACAAATCAGTCTTGCACCTTGTGGCTGAAGAACATTAACTGATTACTAACTCATTGTAAATTTATCTTAATTTGTCCTTTGCTTCACGATTGTTCATTTCTGATATTTTGCAGTATGTATTAGCATCTTTTCAGGCCTTTTAAATATGTGAAAGTACCGGTGTCAATTTCTTTTCATGCACAGAAGGAGCGACATTTATGTTGATCTCATCTGACAGAGAAAATTATCGTGGTTATGCTATGTTTTTGGATTGGGTGATGTGCAGATCTCTGCTGACGTTGTCGATGATCATCAGAATGTGCAGCTACGCGCCAGTAAATCTGCTATTTCTTTTCCCGGATTTCTTGTTGTTTACAAGGTAAGAAGCTCCTACATTCTATCTTTTAACGATACAATCTCCAACCCAAGGAATTGAAGTTGGTCATTTTACTAATAGGTCAAAGTTTCAGGAATCATATCACTCGATCCCCAGTTCTAATAATGGGGCTAGGTAAAGTCATCCAATACGTATCATCAATTTTGGGATTTTATCCCTTCAGATGGGTTGACAACGGAACTTTATTGAGCATTTGAATTGGCATCCTTAATGCACAGGATGCAAAAGCTCTTGGAAAATTTGTAGAAAAGCTTCAAGACGATGACAACAATGGGCCTAATTCTGATTTGGATCAGATTGAGGTAACAATGAAAACACGTGATTAATTGTTTTAGAAAACAATTCATCATGCTCTTGTAGTTGTTGAATACATTTGAACATGTGAGATGTGGTTGGTTTGATCCAATGAATTGAAGCCCCTTTTTAGGTCATCTTTAGGATAGCGTCATAATTCAGTGGACTTTGTATGAGGAAAGGCAGGGGATCCTTTGGTGCTTTCAGGAGTCCAACCAATTCAACATTTCACAGAGCCACCCCCTCGATTCTCAGAAGGCACCATAGTAAGTGATCCAACTTCGATGTACATGGCATTTAAATGCGAATATTTATGGATAATACTTGCAATGCAGCCCTTGTGCAACCATGGGGAGCTAACTACCACTTGGAGAGAAAACGTACTAGAAATTACATCCATGGAAGTTAGCATGGTGCAAATCTTGACCTTGATTCAGTTCCATATCTTGACTTGTAGAATATTTGGAGCTTTTTCTAAACATGAAAGATGCAGGTGAAGCATTTGGAAGAACTAGGAATCGGCCGTCCTTCAACATATGCTCCTACTCTGCGTACTTTGCAGGTATCGTTCTCTCGACTGGTTTACAACGCAACTTATCAGTGGCTATATTATTATGTTGCGTGAGAAGTCCCTTGGTTGTATTTTTTTTTTAAGTTGCGTCTTGAAAGCGTCGACGTTTCATGTGCAACTTCAGAATTTTTGTATTTTTACTTTTAGTCACCTTATATTTGGAGATGATGTTAATATAACTTGCTTGGACCTTCCAGCCCAGTCAATTTTTTAAGGATCTCTGGAAGTAACGAAAGCAGAGGATGTGTTTGGTTCCACCTCCAGTCATGTCCTGTTAATTATTTTGTAAAAAGAAGTTTGTCACGTTTCTGCCATTATAGGACCGTCCGTGGAATTTGTGCTGTATTTTGCTAATCATGGTTTGATCTGTTGCAGTTGAGGAATTATGTGAGAATAGATAAACGTCGGATTTTCCCTGAAACACGAGGACGCATGGTACGTAATGAATTATTTTTGTCCATCTTCCTCATAGAACAATTGTTAAGTATGATTACAACCACTTGAAACTTCCTATGATTACAATTTTCAAGGGCTTCATTTCCTAGAAATTTTGTGGATCCTTCTTTCATTTACAAAAAGTTAGCTCATTTTTCTGGACCACCCACTAATTAAATGTGCTGTGCAGGTCTCTGCATTCCTAATGCACAATTTTCCAGAGTTTGCAGACTACGCTTTCACCGCCAACATGGAGAGTCAGGTATGAAATTTATTTAATCTTATTCTTATTATTTTATATATATATATTCTCTCTTCCAAATATTTAAAAGTTAGTAGCGAATCAATGAGTGGCACACTGTACTTTATGTGGAAATTGGCTAAGCGTGTTATGTTTGCTTTTATCAAGTTTGCTTCATGACGTCTTTTGACATTTCAGGATGCTCATCTAGATGTACTAGTGACCTTAAAAAAGTGTTGTTTATCTTGCGAGATATCCGTAAAAGGATGTCATGTGTTGCTTCACTTTATTCTTTTAGATTGAAACTTTTTTTATCAACCAACTGGACGATTTTAGTTGTCACTATGTGTTCGCAACCTTTTCAACAATTCTTACTTTTGATACAGCTTATTAAATTCCTGTAGTATAGTGTGATGGGAAGAAGCTCACAAACCTGGATGGTTTTGGTGGAATAGCTCGATGATGTATCAGCAGGAAACGCACTTTGGAAGAACGTGTTGCGTGATTTTTGGCCTGGATTTCATGAAAGTGTTCAGAACGCCATGAAGGTTCCTATTGAGAAGGTGTAGATTGTGTTACCAATCTCTTAATTTTTCACTACTTTCTACCAGTTTGCATGGCTTTGGGTACTTCTTTGGTGTTTCATTGCTTCTTTTAATCCGTTTGAAGGTGGTGGAGATGCTTGAAGAGGTGCTTGCCGAGCAGTTCTTTCCTTCAACAAGTGCACAGGATAGGGACAGAGTTTGCCCAAGGTAAGCTGTAGCTTGTTGTTAACCCAATTTACCCGTCACATTTGCAGATAACGTAGACGGCCACCGAGGCCAAGGTCAGTACCTACTGGATTTGAGATCGGCACTATTTCAACAGTAGATTTTTATCAGTAAACATGCTCGTATTTTTTTACTCCTTGAGTAGTGACTGAGGAATGTGACACCTTGAAATGAAATTGTGGCAGCTGTCACGAAGGAAGGATGTCTCTAAAGCTGAGTCGATTTGGAGCCAGTTATTTTTTTGGATGCTCTCGCTATCCTGATTGCCTGTACGTTTCTTCCCATACTGAATCAAACCTGCATTTTTTTTTGTCTTCACTAAGTTTCTGATGTAGTGCAGTAAGGTGTTCCTTATATACTTTTCACTGTGTTTTGATTGCGATCTCCAAGATTTTACGTTGAAAAAAATCATTTACTCCGTTTGTTTTACTTTGTTATCTGACTACTGGCTTGCTTCTAATTTATCATGCCACGAGCTACTTTTAACTGATATCAATGTTTATTTCAATACCTCTGTACCATAGCTTTAAAGCTAATATGATACATGGCGAGGAAAACGAATCCAGTGATAACGAAGATTCCGAAGCAATAGGTGCTCAATGGTCTGCCTTAGCACGCCCTCCGAAGGTTCTTGGTGTGGATCCAGCCTCCCAACTGCAGGTATTTTCCGAAAGTTTGACCATGAGAACATCCTCTTTTGTGTCTATTTGCCAGTGAGATGCGTTGGATTATGTATGAATACCACCATCGGCGCTATTATTAAGGAAGGCATGATCGAATTTTGCCTAAAGAAATGTCGGATGAAGTTATTTGATAAGATCCTAAACTTTACTGGTGATTTCAGGTGCTCATGAGAGTGGGACCGTATGGAGCGTATGTGCAACTTGGAGAAGCTTCTAAAAACCAAAAACCTCGTCGAACTGCATTACCCAAGGCATTGTAAACTACGTCAATTTGATTCTGAAGAGTTCAATTTCTAGAGCTGTTCACGGCTTTGAGTTTGCACAGAGCTTGCATTGATTGGGGTTATTTGCTTCCTAAAATTTTAAATTCTTTGTTTGTTTATTTAGTTTTTTATGCTTTTACAGGGCGTCGAAGCAGTGGAAGTGACTTTGGAGAAGGCTTTGGACTTATTAAGTTACCCTCGTGAGTTGGTGAGTGTCCCTTTTTGCCACTGTGTTGCGAATATGACTTGGTATATCAATTCCTGTGTGCATCTAATTTCATTCTCACTGGATATCTCTTCCACAGGGAAAACATCCTGTAGAAGGGACGCCCATTACAATCAGCATCGGAAAATTTGGTTATTTTCTTCGACATCGGGCTGTTAGTGCCTCTGTCCCACAGGTATGACTTTGCATTTCAATGGTATTTACTGTCACGCCGTTTTATGTCACCTGCAGTTCATTACTGCTCTAGTATTGATGAATCACTTCATCTCAAATAGGTAGTTTCGAGATCCGTGCTGATTGTCATTTACAGGGCATTAGTGTGGAGAACTTATCCATAGACAAGGCCGTCGAGCTATTGAACGGAAAACATGTCTCAAGACGAGGACGGCGGCCCCATAAGGTTGCAGTTGAAGAGTCCGGTTCAGAACCAGAGAACTCTTCTGAGAGTTCTCAACGTGAAAGTGTTTCTTTGCTGCAACACAATGGCTCAGTATCCCCGGGACAGCAAGGTCTAAATGTACAGCTGCCGCAAGAGAAACAGAAGAGGAAGTATGTTAAAAAGTCGGCACAGAATTCCAATGGTGAATCCCCTTCAAAAGACGAGGTTTCAGTGAAAGGGTCTGATCCTGTCGTCAAGAAAAGAGGAAGGGGCAGACCCCGGAAAAATGTCGAGGTCCTTCTCGTCAAGGTCTTTTCCCCAATCCTCGGTGCCTCTCTGATGTCTTCCTTCTATCTCTCTGTGAGTACTTCAGGAGTTATCTTGTGCACAGAAGTTATGTTTTAATAATCTTGTGCTTTATTTTCAGGGCGAGTAGACGATGTATTTTAATCGAAGTTTCGGAAGATGATGATTCTACAGGTACATCTAATTTCTTCCTGAACGTAGGGTCTTGATGTGGAATTACTCCTCTTCAATCCGATGTAGTCGTTATTATTAATGAACAGTAGTGCCATTCAGAATCTTATAATCTTAATGCAATGCCATTGTCTTGGTGCTTCACAAGTGCTTACATGTTCGTTACTCGTTGACTAGGAAGAATGCGAATAACAAGCTCTACCTTCAAAAAGGTGTTGAAGAAGATGAGTTGAAGCTTGCTCAATGTGTTAAAAGTGGAAGAGAATTTTAGAAGCGGTCTGGTGGGGCCAAAGGACGAGAAAAAAATTAGGGCTCAGATCATGCTCTTGCAGCTGTACACTAAGTTCTACTGGAGCAAATCTCTCGCAGGATCTTTTGCTTCCTAAGTTGTTCAGGATCTTTCTATTTATAATTTCAGGAATAATCTGTTTGGAAGCTGGCAAGACAACCTCAGAACTTCTGCAATGGAGTTGTGTGTCAATGTCTTCCTGATGGTAGAACTAAAGGAGGTTCGGTCAGAGTGTTCTAGGGGTACTCAAACTAATCAACACTTCATCACAGGATTCAAAAGGTTCATTTGCTCATATCAAGAGCGTTCTCTTGTATGCTCTTATTTTTCATGGGTTAGAAAATTAAATCACTGGTTAGATAAAAAGAAAAAAAGAAGAAGAAATGTGCAGGGTAGAAAAAAAATAGATCTACTTCGCCATTATGAAGTCCACCTATCCTTCGTCTGCTAAAACGGTAGATGAAGTTGCTCTATCTACAGATGAACACATGCATTTGTAATGTGGCTGTGGAAAGGTCACCCACACAAATTGTTCAGGAATGAGCTCTGAATCCCTCGTTTGTACAAATCGTTTCATAGAGTGTGCCTCACTCTAGCCATTACTCTCAAACCCACATATCTTACCCCCTAGAACACCATTTTCAAGCATTCCTCATGTTCGGCGGACTTGAACATCGGAAATGATGAAGAGAGGAATTGCGTAGTGGTGAAGATTTGGGGCAGAATCTGAATGAGAACATAGCTTCTCCGACAAGCTAGGTCTTGGTTTTTGGAGTTGATTGAGCAACAATTCCAATTTGTAGCTCAACTTCAGCGTCAAGATCTGCATTCTCCACACATGGGTAGTGAAGATGTTGAAGCTATCTTATCAAGAGAAATGGTACACTGAAGTTGTGGTTCATCTAAACACTGCTGTGAAGCTTAGTGGAGGATATCTACACCAGTTCCTTGCATGATTTGTTAATGAAATGGAAGATTGTTCAGCGAAGGTAGTAAACTATGCTCTGAACAATAAGACAAAGTGTAATCTTGTTAACGTTATATAAATTGGAAACACTCTTTACATCGTTCATTGTTGAAGGAAAACTGACCTTTTTGAAGAGAGAAATAAAAGGAACGTGATTTTTCTATAATACAAATGACATGGACATGGTAGAATGAGATTGATGAAATGTTGTATCGATGGGACAACATTCAATGGAAAGGAGAGTGAAAGATAGATAATGGCTTGTGTTAGATATCATGAAATATATTGAGCAGAGGATTACTATATTATATGATGTATTGTCTCTAGGATATGTAATATTTTCATGTTTTCTCTATTTTAGAATTTCATTAGCATCAATGAGATTTTTTAGAGTGTGCCTTTTTTATTTTATTTTTATTTTTAATTTAATTTAATTTTTATATTGTGAGTTGGATTGTTTTTTGCTAAAGCTAATTGCAAGTTAGTATATTGCAATTTTGTATAAAAAATGTGGTGGATAAGGATGTGATTTAAATATAATGAAAATGTATTATTTGAATATAATAATATTTTTAAGTTTGAACATAATAACTTGAGGTACATACATACATACATACATACATACATACACACACACACACACACACACATATATATATATATATATATATATTCGATTTTTTGAAGTTATTTAATCCATTCTCACCATGTAACATTATAAACCACTTAAAGCAAGATAAAATTAGCCAATATACATGTGTATATATATATATATATATATATATATATACACACATAAATACACATATATTTAATAAAACCACAATGGCAGTCTAAAGATGAACCTTAAACTTATATCACATGCACTTTTGGTCACAAGTAATTAACAAATCAAATCATGACATAACATATTATATTTCATACCTCCAAACAATTGTGCCTTGCACATCAAAATCCACAAGCCCATAATCACCCATACCGAAAAGACCACCCCCAAAACAAACAAACAAGCAAAAAAACAAAATAAATAAATAAATAAACGATATAATTATTATTCAATCCCTTGGCAACAATCCCCATGTGGATTATCCCCCCTCCCCACTATTCAATAATGTGCACACTCTCGCACCGTCACTTTTACGTTTTCGAGCAGCAGGAGCCTTTTACTTTAAAGAAAAAGCCGGACCAGGCAGGCAGACGTCAAGAAAGGCGACAACAGGGAGCCGGTCGGGTATCCGCTTCGTCAACAACTCCTCCCTGAGCCCCGCCTCGGGGGCTGCTCCTTCCCCCGCTCTTGCCGAACCGGGACAGGCTCGGCGAGGCCGGGTCGGGCAGCGCAACCGGTCCGGGCAGGAATAAGGAACCTTCCCGTCCTGGTCCCGTCGCGTCGCGTCGGATCCCACCACGTTTCTATTGGAAACGCGAAAGGGGAATTGAGTGCGTGTGTGTGCCGTGATCGAAGCCTCCGTCCGTCCTGCACAGCTTCACACCTCGTGTCACTCAGGCCCCCACCCCAGCCCCCGAGGCACAGTCATTGACAGCGTTAACCGTGTCCGGGATTCTTCTCCTCTTCATCCACGTTGGCTGCTACACCCGATCCAGGCTATATCGCAGCTTATAGAGATCGTCGCCTAGTGTTGGGAGTAACAGTGGTGAGTGTGTGAATTTGGAGGCAAGGTTGGGGTGAAATTGGGACATGGACGCTGGGATTGTTTCGTAGGTTGGTTAGGGGGTTGTCGAGACGTTGTGAGTAGTGGTGGTGGTGAGGCTTATTTCGGGTGGCGATCAGAGGTGGTTTGATTGTGAGTGAGGCGAATTGTGGGCAGAATTGTGTATGTGTGTGTAGTATGACGGAGGTTTATAGCGCGCGTGAATTCGAGCATGTTGTAAGTTGGGGTGGTTTGGGTTTGATGGACTTGTGCAGGGTGGATATGGTTTTTGGGTTGAGGTGAGTGGGACAAGGAGTTTTACGGGCTTGGGTTTCTCCGTTCTCGTAGCAGTTCCCGCTGGCTTTGTCCTCTCCGTTTCATTGAGGACGGATTGTCTGCACGAGATTCCCCCTTGCTGGACTCGCTTGCTTCTTCTCCCTTTTTTTTTTCTTTTTGTTTTTTTTTGTATGCTGGGTTGCATCAGGGAATTCTAAGCTCGCCAGGATGAGTAGGCAGGTGCGGCATTTTCAGCCCAGGCTTAGCCGGTTTCGTAAGTCTGAGTTGATTGCCGAGGGGCATCGGGTAGCGAAGCTTCCGGGGCAATGCACTTGGATGTCATCGCCGAAGAATAGTGAAGCGGCATTAGAACCAGAGGCCAAGAGGAGGAAACTATCCCTCAAGGGTGCGATGTCCCTGGACCCCGCGCTGTGGCGCCTCCTTCCAGACGAGCTCCTGGAGAAAGTGGTGGCGTACATGCCGTTCCCAGGCCTGTTTCGATGCCGCGCGGTGAACAAGCGCCTCAAGGAGTTCGTCTTCTCCGATAAATTTCAAGAAGCGCGCGCGAGCGTGCCTTCCTGGGACGCCCTCTCTCCGAAGTCCAATTATCTCCTTGTCTTCGCGATCATCATGAAGCACAAGATGTGCACTGCCTTCGACCCGGCGGCGAAGCGGTGGCTGTGTATGCCGCCAATGCGGGGGCTCGACCCGCGAGCCAAGGACTGCATCGCGGGAGACGGTGGGCTATTGTGTTTCCGCGACGTGAACGCGAGAGGAATCGTGACGCTGTTTGTCTACAACCCCGTCACAGCCACCTGCAGAGAGCTTCCTTCAATGCAAATCGGCAACTGCATGTTCCAGCACACCTGGCTGTGTACCCACATGATCGCCAACACGTTCACAAGCTCCTACAAGCTCCTCGTGCTCACCAAATCGGCCACCACACGCATCGCCGCGAAGTTGTCCATCTACGACTCCCTCACGCAGAAATGGAAAACCGACACCTCTTTACCGCCCATCCAGCGCAAGTACAAGCTCCGCTTTTTCCCGCAGGTGGGCACGCATTGCGACAATTTCTTCTACTTCGCGGCGACGGAGGGCATCGGCCGCGGCAACGTGGTGGGATTGGTCGTGTATGATGTCTATGAGGGCGTGTTCAGGTCGAAGCTTCTGTACCGATGCGAACCTCGAGCCCAAGGGAGCTCGATTGAAGTTCAAATCGCAAATTGCAACGGCGCAATGCACATGGTGGTGCGAGAGGACGACGACAAGGGCACCAAGGGCATCTCCCTCTGCAGATTGTACCCTTCCAGCGAGTACAAGGTCGAAGAAGCTGTGTTGTTCGAGAGCTTCTTCACCAAATGGGCCTCCGTGTTTCCCACCTTCCGGTGCGTGTCGGTACACGGCGACCTGGGCCTGCTCCTCTACAACCATTCCCTCTCCGTCCTCACCGACGATTTTTCCGAGGAGTTCCAGTTGCCTCCCTGTCCATTGCGAGGCCTGCAGCATTTCATTCCATCCACAATACTGTACCCACCGGAATCGTTCCGATCTTGCCAATCAAACCAGAGCGTGGTGTCGAATGCTCACTTTCAACCCAACGCCGCAGCACGAGTCTAGATTTAGGTCACAACAGGTTATTTGGGGCATGAACACAACCACATTAAAAACATGTAAAGAAACATGTAAAATGGAGACAGATCTGCACATTTCGGGTTGAAGTAGCCGGAACTGCAACAGCAGGTGGATGAACACAGAGATGGACAACTGCAGGTCCGTTTTCGAAGCCAATTCCTCTAGAAAAAAGCTGCAATGCTGTCGGTGTGAATCTCCACACACACACAATCGTACAGTTTTCTCTCTTTTTTCTTTTTTCTTTTCCCCCCATGTATAGAACGTGTACAGATTAACGTGTTCTGGACGATGCGTGAGGCTTAGTTTAGCAGACAATAGACCCAGTGCATCAGGGAAAGGAATTGGTTCAGTGACTGATTCCTCACAGGCTGAATTAGTGTCAATAGGCAACAGTGAAGCTCTAGTCCTAGAGTTCTTTTCTTCCTATTCTCGAAAAGGGTTGGTTTAGAACCCATTGTTCTCAATAGGCAGACATTAAGAAGATTCGACCATGTACCAGAATTGTCAGTGAATGGATTTATTAATGCGTAATATGTACGATGAATGGATTTATTACGCATTATCTAGATGACAAAATTGGCGTTTTGCTGGTGTTATGTTTCAGGAGTTCTGTGTATTGTGGCAATTTAATGAGTGATCCTTCACAAGTCTGTGTTGGACCGGAACCATGAAATTATGTGTTAATGAAAGCCATTCAGTGAGTGTGTGTGTGTGTGAGTTTGGCTCTAGGCCATCTCTTGCAATGCCCACACCATGTTTTTCTTTTTTCTTTTTTTACATTCTTGTTTGCATTTTGGTTTGTTTGTGATAGGGAAATGAAATGAGAATTGGTCACGATTGAATAGCTTTTAATCTTTTCCTTTGAGGAATAGCAAATAAGTGATACTGAACTAAGACAGTGCCAATATATATGTATGTATGTATGTATGTATGTATGTATGTGTGTGTGTGTGTGTGTGTGAATGTATATGTTTGTTATTGTTTTCAATAAAGAGTTAATAAAATTGTGGTGACCATGAATTTCAGTGGACAGGATATCAACACATCAATTTCAAGCTTGAAGAAAGAGCTATATTTAGTCCAAAACAGTAGACCACAAATTTCATAATACTAGTCTAAATATATATATATATATATATATATATAAAAAGTTTGTGTTGCACTCTAATTTTCATCAATTATTGTCAGATCCTTCCCACTTATTTGTTGCTGTTAGTTCCGTTTTCTCGTTGTTCTTTTATTTATTTATATTTATATAAATAATGGTGGATTAAATTCCTCTTGTTCAAATATCAATTTCATATATGAACAAAATTATAGTGATTTTCTAGTATTAAATCCTTACAATAGTTTAGATCTTCACAATTCACTTTTTCCTACTATTTTATCTTTTTATAGATTTTTACTTTTAAACAATATACTTTTAGATCAAAAAAGGAACTACGATAAGAACATTTCGTGCTTTATCCCCTGCACATTATCTGATATTTTAAATTATCACAAGTCTTCAAAAAATTTATTAGATAAAATTGGACCTAAAATATAAATATGCAAACATCTTTTCAAAGTTTTATCATGAGTTAATGCTGTGCCATGAAAATGAATTTTTTCATTAGTTATATTGGGTATTATTTTTTACATTGTATTTTTTGTCTCTTGGATAGATTTACATTATTTTGCCACATATCCTTCAGAGCTACATTTACTTTGTTTATCAGCTGAAATTAATGAATTTTTTTGCAACGTATTTCTATACAAATGTTAGAAATGACTTTGGATCATTTTGTTTCATAATCCCACTGAGTCTTTGCACGATAGTTTTACAAACTCAAGAAGATATGTCTATGTTATCTTGCAGTATAGCTTTGAAAGTAAATTTGCTTCATTGTGCCTCAATAATTTTTGATACCATTGAAAAGCCAATGAAGCAAACCCATAATAATATAAACCCTTTTTGATTATCTGAAATCAAAAAATATAATTAAATAAATAAAATTTATTAATTCTAAAATTATGATCGATAGTTTTATTAATTTCGACCAAAGGTACTAATTCATGAAACTAGTTTGTTTGCTTCTTTGATTTGATTTGTTTTGTTTTTTTTCACTTTATATATACTTTATTAAAGTAAAAGCCAATATAAGATCTATTTTATTTATTTATATATAGGAAATGACCTCCTCTTATTTTTATACACCATGAGATGAAGATGTAGTGGAACATCATTTGTAAAGGATGTCAAATTGATATTGGAATTGTCTGCAAATTATTTTGCAAAAATATGGATGTGCAACATCATTGAACCAAATATATATATATATATATATATATATATGTATATAAAGATAAATTCTAATAATGAAATAATAAATTGAATGGAAATTACAAATGGATATTATATCAGGAAGTATAAAATTTTAAAAAAAAAAAATCACTCATGTGTAAATGTGTTATTGATCTTTATAACCGAATTGCCATAGTTGTTTATTAGATTTCACTAAAGAATACAAAATATTTTTTTAATATTATTTAGTATATGAATGTATTTCTCTTAATATACAAAAAATCAAAAAAAATTTAAAAACTTATTTCATTGAGTTTTAAGCATGCTTATGAAATTTTATGATTGGTAATATGCATAATAATTTATTTGGTTTTTTTATTCTAACTTGTCTTCACATTTACTTCTTTTTTTCTTTTTTCAAATTTTCTGCATGGATATAAATCATGCAAAGTCAATCTCATATATAGAAAAACAGCTGTACATATTGAAAATCTGAAGAACTGAACACATTTCTTTTAAATGGTGTAATGAATTGACCGCATGCACAATCATGTCCATTATCATACAAAGTTTAGGAAAGAAAAACTAATTATTTAATTGATTTTTAAAAAGCGAAAAATTTCATGTTGATTCTCTGACAAGCTACTATCTACTTGTGACTGAAGCAGCAATAAGAATGTGAAATTATTTTTAGATTTTACATTTTTTTTAAAAGTAAAATATAAAATATAAAAGAAATAACAAATCATAAAAATTCTTTCAATTCTATTTTTGTTAGTTGATAGTCACTTTGTTGTGTTAGCAAGAAGTTATCATAATAGAAGTATTATAATTGTCTAAGCTGTATGCATATATTTATAAATTACATCATATTTATCATTATTATTGAATATATATAAAGAAAAAATATTTCTTATGAAGAATAATTATACATCTACTTGATATAAGTATTTTATATTGTATATATTCATATCTATTTGAAAAATTCTCTTTAAATTATAATTCTAATACTAATCTTAGGACTATTTTTTTAATAATACAAAATAAATGTTCTACAAGACTACTAAATAAATAAATTTTATTACATGTTTGAAGAGAATGTTAAAACTAAAACGAACTTCTAAGTGGACACCATCCATGCCATGCACCCATGCATACAAACAATAACATCGTTATTATTTCATTATTTTATATTTTATAGCCTTTTCCCTTCAATATTTGTGGATAGTTGTGCTTAATATGCCCAATTTCTCTATACTCCTCACAACACTTTCTTTTGCTAATCTCCACCAATTTAAATGTGGAAGATTTCTCTTAGGTGCTTGAGAAGGGAAGAGAGGCTAGAATACTAGTAAGTCTTTTTTTTGCACGTGTAATTTGCAAATTCACTACTAACATTCTAGCTACCCTAAATTTTAGATTTCGATAATTTTATTGATACCAAAAGAATTGTAAAAAATTGATTTGTAATAAAATTTTATATACCAATTGTCACCAAAGCTACCTCTTTTAGGGTTTCATATTCAGATGTGCAAGAAATAGGTTGACTTTGTAGTCTGTGCCCCCAGCTTCGCTGCCGACAACACATCGGAAGAGTGACCTTCACGACCAGCTACCGACACACAACGTGGTAACATGGGGGTATAGTAACCGCAGATTTCGTGTTTCTGTTGAAGACTGGAGAATCGCCGTGTCGCTGGATTGATACGCGGCGGTTTGCAACTCGAAACCCTTCATTATATTCAGCAGACTGGTGTCAGCTGAATGTGTGCATAACGTGCAAAGTCACCCTGAACTTGAGCATCTGGCATTCCGGCGTTGACCTATACGTAGGACATTTGTACACGGTGTATTATATATATATATATATATATATATATATAGGACAAATGAAGTTTAAAGTCATTCGTATCTTAATATAGTTATGAAAACATACTTGATCGTGAGCTCCATTTCCTTGAATGCACTCCAGTCTGGCCAATTAAAAGAGCGACGGGAGTGAAGTAACACACACCACCATCACAACAGTTTTCCAGCTTTGCTAGTTGCTTCTTCAAAAGATAAGATCTCCTTGATGTCATTTGATGTGGTGTACACTGAATCACATCAATGTCTACAAATTACTCGGTTCTTCAATTTGTTCTCTTCACTGTACTTGAACGATTTTTTAGGTATGGATTTCATGCCAACACTTCTACTCCAGAAAATTCATCTGACACCAAAGCTCCTGTCCGGCACATTGACGATCTTAGCAGCAGTTACCAGCTCCAACGGGTTCCCCACATTCCTAAACCGTCTAATGTTGTTGCCCAAACTACCGACTTCACTCAAGTAACTGATGCTAGAGGCCAGGCGAGTCAGTTGGAGCGGCAGAAGGGCGAAACTACGAGTCGTTCAACTCCAATAAAATCCTTAAAGATGGCGTTTGTGAAGTCGCAAAGAGCACATCAATCCTTGCATTTCATCTAAGGCTGATATTCTGAGGTTACAGCTGAGTTGCAGTTAGAGTTTTCCTTAACAAACGGAGCTTTAGGGCAGATGAGAATGAGCTGAAGTCCAACGCATCGGGATAACATTGATATGTGTGCAGCAAATTGACTCGTGAAAACATCAGCACAGGCTGCACCACGCATCTTCCTAATACAAATTGCATGTCTTATATATTCAGGTACACACTGATATATTAACTCAAAAAGGGTTTCACACAACGTAATATATTGTTGTTCAACCAACACGAACACCTGTAACACCTAAGTCCATGTCTATAACGAAAACCTCCATATTATTCCAGTACCTGCACCTCCACCATCACCATTCCCCTTCTATACATAAAATTTCACTAATTTAGGGAAATTTTGAAACGCCTTGAAAGAAGTATGACCTGCAAGACAAGCGCGACAACTTGTGATAAAATAATGTTCCTTCGCCCATATTAGACACTCTCCAAAACACAACATTAACTAATCTCCCAACAATAAACAACGATAGCATAGAAATAAAGATTGATCCAATTGATAACGAACACAGAGACAATGACCACCGTCATCATCCCCTAGAGAATGGTGAACTTTATTTGCTGGAGCTTCCTGAGCCATGGCATTTCCTGTACTTTTCATGACAATTATAAGTTGATCAACTGTGAGCATTGTCCGAAGAACAACTGGTGATGTTGATGCTCTAAGGATCAGACGTGATTCTAATTACAATGGGAGTACCAAACACAAATACGATATTGAATGATCTAGGATAATAATTCTTCACTTGCCTTCGGAAGCCAGTAAAAAGCCCGGCAATCGTGACTCAAGAACTGAGAGAAGCTCGTGCTTGCTGAACTTCAGGAGCATTTCCTCTGTGAAGAATAGACCACCTTGATTGAGCCTTACAGCTGCTTCGACAAGCTGACCTCTTAGCAACTGCGAGAGAATCACTCCACTTGCAGCAACACACTCTTTGTAAAGAGGAAGATAAGCCACAGTAACTTGCAGTTGCAAAGGAAGCTCCTGCAGGTGAAGAGGCGAGGAACCCCGCTTCAGGGCACGCATGACATTCAGATGGTGGGCTTCACCAAGTAGACGGCCCTTGAAGAATGCTTCCTCCGACCATTCGTCCAGTAAAAACGCCCGTAGCTCCGTGGTGATAGCCTCGTCCTCCGACTTTGCAATGCTGTCAGCAATCGTGTATGTTGCCTCCGGGTTGTTCAAGAAATCCGCTTGCAACAAAAAAGCTATGCCCTTCAGGGATCCACCCGAGCGTTCACCTGCTGCCTGTGTCCCAAGCAAATGATATCACAGAGTCCAAAAGACGTAAGTACTATTGAAGGAGACCTTTGACCTAAGCTATGAGCACATTCCGTCATTCAGGAGAAAAAAGTTCATAATAAATATACCTTAAGAATCTCGGCGCTAAGAGTCTGCAAGACATGATGGGGAACGTGGCTCAAGAGAAAAGCGGCAACTTCCACGCGGCTACTGGAGGCTGCAGCAGTCAGTGCCAAACATAGTTCCATGTCTTTACAACCCTTCTCTACGAACCAATGGACAACCTGCACCATACCCAAGCATGGGTGCAAAATTAGTAGAATAATAGTACCGCAAAGTGAATGGAAACCAAACCTTTCTATTGAAGTATAAAGTACTGTAAGTTTGAACTTGGAAGAATACTCGTTCAATAAATCGTAACTACTACACCAACCTCAATACAACCCCGTTCAGCAGCTCTCATAAGAGGTCCCAGAAAAGAATCTGCTTTGCCATCTTCAACCAGGCATTCCATAGTACCAATTTTACTATAATGAGAGGCGAACCCCAGCGCCAAGTCCACATCTAACTCCACTCCATTTCTTTGTGCGATCTGCACATACATACAAGACATTACCTCAGTGTCAGCCTCAACACCTACTCCACTCAAGCTACACGTACCCTAGGGACAAGATTTGTATAAGCTAAATCGTAAAGACAACCACAAGTTTGCATTGCTTAATACCTGGAGCAATATTCGTACAAGCTCAGTACTCCCAAACCTAGCGGCTTCCAAAAAGCATTGGTTCACATTGTCTGCACCTCCTTCTACCAGAAGCCCAAGCAGCCCTTGCATAGCACTGGCAGCTATGCCAGTTGCCCACCCAGGGTCAATGGCGCTGGAGAACAGAGTGAGAGGAAAACATGCTGCATCAAAGGCTTCCGTATAGTCTTTTTTCGTCAGCCGAGAGGCTGCTAATTCCAAAAACCTCTTGAACGCCATAAGCTGAAGACGTGACTCTACCGCCGAGCTATGTATAATTGCCATGCATATGTCACTAGGTGACCCAGGGTGTGCTCCTTTCCCACGTGAATGTGATCCAATACACTTCAGAGCCCATTCAGTGAATCTCTGAACTTTGGCCGCAGCTTCAGCCTTCAAAATTTCGTCGCCGTTGCATTCCTGTAGTCTTTCCCGTAACCTGTAAAACCAACAATAAAGTTAAATTTGACTATTTCGTAAATAAATCATGATACTTCTCCAATTACAACAGATGAAGTGAATGTTGATTGACTACATGTACTGAATTTTTTTTGACGGGAAAAGTTGAGATAAATTGATAAGAACGAATGGATATGAAAAGTCTACCTTTGTGCCATCACAGTAACAGTGTCTGCTAGGCTCATTGTCCGAGATCGGCATGCTGATACGCATGAAGCCAAAAAGGAAGTACGAAGCGCCGCTCGTGAGAAGTCATGGGCTCCAGCGAGGATCAACCTCTCAATTAAACATGTTGCACCCGCCAATTCCTGTGATGTGCTGGAAGTAATACACAAACGGCTCTGCTTAGTTCCTTCATGTAGTCCAAGTAATTCCTTCATTCTAGTCCGCAATGTATATGCGAGTTCACGTTGCTTTCTACCATCTCTTAAGGCAGTGTTTTCAATGGATTAGCATTTGAGAAACCTAAACAAGACCTGAAATGAGTACACATACGCACTGCAGAATCTAATAATATGGCTGTTAAACTCTAGATGCTTTCAAGGTACAGCTTTGCACCACTAAAATAGTAAAAGCAGAAGGACTCGAGCCCGTTTTGCACGATATGTCTCTCACCTTAAGAACCAAATGGAATCCAAGGCAATACACAATCCATCGTTGAGCCTTTGAGGATCTGCTAGGGGTACAAGACTCTCAGCTAGAGCCCAGTCATGCACACTTACTGCCAGCTGAAAAGATCTTCCCAACTCAATATGGTCTTTCTTTAATGACATACCATCGTCCTCTCCAGCAACGGTTCGGGAGCAATGAAGCTTCGCAGGAGTATCCCTCCCACTAGCTTCTGCAACACAACCATCGGTGCCTTCAAAACATTCGGCTGTGCGGCTGGAAACTTCTGCACAGGTGAAAACACAAAAACCCGAACACACTTAAATCGCAGACTTACTAAGTTGAATACATCTTACTCATGAATCCAAACCGGAACGACACGCACACTCAATAGTACCTGTAACTTAATTTATAAAAAAGTTGAGCATGATCAACTATGTGAGAAGAACAAATACATCCACTCACCACTTATAGAGAACGTAGTGGTGAATGTCACAAGACCCAAAATTAATACCAGTGAACCGGATATTGGCAGCAAAACAACCATGAGTGTCCAAGAGAGATGGTTGCAGAGTCCAGCGTACCATCGTTGCTACCTGAAGGACTATCAACTCTGTCCAATTCGCTAGTACTGGCCCTGCATTCCTGGCTGTGAATGTGGTTCACATTCTGCCAACCACCACAAATTCCCACATCACATTCAAACGAATGTCGAACTCCCAGTATCTCGTCCTCCTCCATGGGCGTTGCCTCGACCTCCTCCATCCTGTAGTCAGCTTCTGCTCCAGCGTCACGACATCTCATTGTATATTCACAATTATCTCTCAACGATGCTTAAATATGTGCTCATGATTAGTGTTCGTAGTATAGGATCCTTAAGGCGCAATGTGAACATATGGGTAACAATTCTCCTGCGAAGAGCCCTCGAAAGGGTCGCAAACTGAGGTAGAAGCCATGATCATGTTCCAAGTACAACTTGGCGACAAATCTAATGCTTACGTGTACATCCTTGCACTCCCGTTCTCAAACCAGGGTTAACTTCAGCGGCACCTCGCCAGATTGATCTGTGAATTCAGTCGAAATTTATGTCATGTGAATACACTAATGAAGAGGTTTAACATTGACACCTTCCGAGCATCGGCTATGAACGCAAACTTGATGTCATCTTGCAACTCCTGACGGCCCTCGCCGTCCCCAATATTGGGTAGCAGACGTAAATTACATTGCAAACCGCAGGTCTCCCGCCATCCTCAGTTACGGAACGTTAATTGGAAGTTTGTATTGCGATGCAATCCACTCTGCTGTCCTCAAGTCTAACGTATCTTGATGATTGTCGTAACTATTTGATGTTGATGTTTGCGCACCTTCACTGGCATGCATCGTGAATGCTCGTCCGAACGCTCAAGATCACAGGCAGCTGACAAAGAGGACACCAGTCAATTGATCGAAATAAACCTAAAAGGCACGCATGCGACCCACACAGAGGAATCACAACCACGAACCGGACTAATACCGCAATCCAATCTGACCACCGTCCTTCCATGAATCCCACTAGCCTAAAACGGACACAAACTACCGTCCGCAAGAACCTAGAGCTGGATACACACTTAGAGGGCGGTGATGACACATGCATGAATTCGCACCACCGACGCCCATGAAGTCACACGGTACAACCAATTGAGCTGGAGGGTAAGCTCCACATATAAAATTCAAGAGAGTACTGCACAGTCACACCCACAAGAAACCTCCATCGCGTTCGAACTCTCCTCTAAAATAGCACCAGAATGAGAGAAGGGGATGGCGAGCTCCGAATTACCACGTTCACATTCATCACATCGCACAAAAGTGTCACAACAATTGGAACAATCAGCGACCCAAATTAGAAACCAAGCAACAGGACGGAAAACTCCCAACCCTGCACTGAACGCAAAGCAACACCGAATAGCGATTGATCATCCATTTCTTCTCTTACGAATATGCACAGATAGGGCCGCTGCTGCTGGTGCTGCTGCTGATGATGATGACGATGACTTTGCTTCGATAACAAACCGAATTCGATGGAGTAGATCTTGATGAAGGGTCAGCAGGTTTAACGATTGGAAGGGAAGGCCAGGTGGGTGGGAAGCAAGAGTGGGGGGGGGGGGATCGTCGCGCTCCTCTCTCTCCTTCTCTCGCTCTCGCTCTCTCACAGCGTAATGCTGAATGATGAGAGCGAATGAGGCGGTGCTCCAATCTGCAGAGGGGACAGACAGACACCCACCCAGCTGTCTGCCTGGCGCAGCGACGGTCGAGCTTGGCTGTCTGGCTTTGCGTTGGCTTCGCAGTGGAGCAACACTTCCTCACTCTCTCTCTCGTTCTCTATCTCGCTTACAGCCCTAACAGACGGAGGAAGGCTGCGGGCACGCATTCCATGTCCATCCAGGCAGGCAGGCAACCATTGATCCCCTCCTCCTCCCCTCCCCGCAGCCAGGCTCTCTCTCTCTCCACATTCGCAACAACGTTGTCGTCATCTCTCCACCAGGCGCACAAGGCGCACCCCTTCGTCGCCATACCCGCCCCTTCCTTCTCCATACCCGCCCCTTCGTTCTTCATACCCGCCCAATATACCCGAATCGTACCCGCCGGTAAGACCTGTGGCTCGACACCCGCTGCCGGACGACGGGTTTCGTCCACCATTTCCCTGATTTCGGCCAATTATTCCAGGATGAGTGCCTTCGATGGGCCTCGGTGATTAAGAAGACAATTTACTCACTTATCAAATAATTTACTCACTTGTCATGCGCGTGTAATTTTCCTCAATAAACTAGGAAACCCTCAGTTTGGTTTTTATTCCATTTTATTTTATTTTCATAAACTACTAAATTATGTTGAATGTTTTTTTATTTACACATACACATAAGTTAAAGTAGGCAATTGATTTTTTCTTGTATATATACTAGTGGTTAAACCCACTAGTATATATACATCAAATACATTTTGCCAGCATCAAAATATATTTTTGGCAGCCAATCAAAATCAAAATCAAAAAAAAAACAAAAAAAAAAAAAAAAAAAACACTCACACACACAAAATATACCTCGGCAGCCAATGGGATTTTTGATGCTGCATACATACATGGGCTGCTTGATTTATAGATATATATATATATATATATATATATACATATCCATGTATAATAAATAAATAAATAAATAAATAAAACTTGAATAAAGATCAAAGAGTTACAACAAATAAAAATCATGTTTATTTTTTCTATCAGCATTTGTAGATTTATAATTAACATATATAGGTTTTGGATTTAAAATCTTAAAATCAATTTTATCTTTAATGTTGAATTTATTCCACAAAAAAATGGAAAACAAATTGGTTGTGAAATTTCATTACATAAACAGTACATTGAAGTTTTTATATGTTTTTTATTAGTATCTATTGATTTAATTAATTTTTATATTTTTAAAAAATAAAATTTTAAGAAGTAATATTTATATTATCTTAGTAATTTATACACCTTTGAATTTGGAAAGAAATTTAGTATGTTGTTTAGATTGTATGCATAATAAAACAACATACAATTGATTATAGAGAAATAAAAACATTTGGTAGATATACCTCAAAGATTAGAATCGTCCAAGATTGTGATTTGTTTACAATCATGAAAAAATTAAGTATTTTAAGATATTGCCTTTAATTTGGCTCGAATACAAATATATATATATTTCACAACCAATTTGTTTTTCATTATATATATTACTAGGTTTTCTAATCTTTGTTTTTGTGTAGTCAATAAAGTGCTTTGTAATTGCATTTTTTTTTCTCATCTCTTGATATTATTTCTTCTAATTACAAGCATGTTCTTATTTCTATTTTTCTTTTGCCTTGTAGAGTATTAAATAGCTACATGTTATTTATTCATTAATTTATTTCTTTCTTGTAGCGTTTTTTGCAGCTATATTTATTTGAACTCCAATTAAATTTACAGATATTTTTTGGAAAAATAACTTGAATATAAAAATGGATTTAAATAAATACATAAAATATTAAATTATATTTATGGTATTATTTTATTAAATATAAAATACTTCTTATTCTTTAAAATGAATATATATATATATATATATAATTAAAGACTTTTTTAAGAAACAATTTTTTAAATGATTCATACATCATACTTATTGCTATGGATAAACAACAAATTATAATTTTATGATTCTTATTGATGCTTTGGTTATTTTCTGTTTAATTTTTGGAAACTTACAAAACCTCTAAAATCTTCAATTGGATTTGAAAAATTTCTAAGAAGCTTATGAGAGTATTTTATATTCTTTTAGAAGCTTTTATATAACATTGAACAACAATTTAGGACTAGTTTGGAAGTTTAAATAAATTAAGAAATTTAATTAGGAAGTTAAAATAAATTCAACACATCAAATTCAGAAAATTAAACTAAAAAAATAATGATCACTTCTTGTATATACTACTCATATGTTTAATGAACTTCTTATTAGAATTCAATATGTTTACTGTAAACATTTTTATTAGCAAAATTACATTTTTATAAATATTTATTTTAAATAAATTAACATATATATATATATATATATATATATATATATATATTTGTTAGCACATACTCAAACTAATATCTCACTCAAATTATATAAAAAAAATATTCGCAAATAAACCACACAAGATGTTCTCAAAACAAATAAAACATATCAAAAACTTTAATCACCATTTAATGTGCAGATGTTATGATTCCAACACATCACCACATTATTTCAGTAAGAAAGGGAAAGAAAAACCCATGTGAAAAACGACCCACATGAGACCCACCCATCAAGATAAAAAATAAAATAAAAGAATAAATCCCAGCCAGTCCCTTCTAACCAACCATCCAGGGAACCGCTGCACGGAGAATGTATTTCCGACCAATGACCAGAACAGCAATACCGACCCCTTTTACTTTAAAGTAAAATTTACGCCACGGTGGATGGGATCAAGTTTAAAGCAAAAGGAGGGGGGCAGGGGCTTCATGGGTTTGCTTGCTGTGAGAAGCGGCAGCAGCCTCGACGCGGCCACCGACATCGTCAGAAGAGCCTTCTCTTCTGCCTGTGTGTGTGCGTGCATGCCTGCGCTTGATTTCGGTGGCTGATTACAGATTGATTGATTGATTGCTTCGAGGTTTCGACGCCACATTGCAGCGTCGTCGAGTGTACCAGCCATGTCAGGAAGGCAAGGTAATGTTGCGCGAGCGCGTCTCCTTCTCTACGTGCTTTGCCGTGCGGTATTTTGGGCAAACTTGAGGTGGTGGTTGTCGTCGTCGTCGTTGTTTTCGGTTTCTGAGATTGTGAAGCCCCCTTTGTCGCTTGATTTTGGTGGCGGTGATGACATCTCGATGAGGAATTTAGGGTCCTTCGAGTTAATTTAGTTCAATTTGGTTCGCTTGGAGCGTTTTGAATCCACGTCTGCATCTTTGCCTGTTGTGAGTCTCTGCGGGTGCTTGGTGGAGTTAAAAGTGTGTTGATGTTGTTTTTGTTTGTTTGGCTTCTTCCCCTCTCTCTCTCTCTCTCTCTCTCTCTCTCTCTCTCTCTCCCCGTTTTCTTTTCTTTATTAGAGACATATAGTTGGATTTTGCAGCCGTCCAATTGATCTCTTGTTTTGCCCACGAGTTAGCGTTTTATTTATTTATTTATCTATTTTTCTGAAATTTAGGGTTGTTGTCACTCGTCTTGAGTTTTTGATGATTTGGGTGGAAGCCTTAAATCTACCGTCAAGCATCGTTAGGGTTCATGGGTACACGCCCTTCTTATTGTGATTTTATAGGGAATACCTACTCGAGGCTTTCTTCATGGAAAACTCCCTTGTGCAGGTGGAAAGTTGAAGCCCTTGAAGGCTCCGAAGGGCAAGGAGAAAGAGTACGATGAGGTGAGACATTTTGACAATTGCCCAATTTTGCCTCCGAAATCTGGTCACATGGAAGCCAGTTTAGAGATGGTTTTGAGACCTGGCAAAAACTTACTGATATTTTGGTGTATCATGGTACATTGTTAAGAAATACTTCATAATTGACATAAAATTGTTTTTACCTTGTTGTGGTGTAGTCGGACCTTGCCAACCTCCAAAAAAAGAAAGAGGAGGAGAAGGTAAGAACTTCAGTACGGTTTGGATATGTCATGTGGATGGTTGAGATTTTAATGTCTTTATGAATGATCGTTCTTCTTGAGCAGAGAAGGCATAGCTTACGTGTGAGGGTTTATGGTGTTTTATTGTAGTGATCATCAGTGTCCTCAACTACATTTGGGACGTTTATTATTTTCTAGCCATTTTTCTTTGTGAATTAAAGTTGTGATGAGTAGTCTTCTGCAGATAAGTTCAGAACATGGTGCTTTTCTAGACGGGTGTAGGACTTCACGTTCTTATATTCTTTGATTTTTTTTCCACGTACAGGCCTTGAAGGAATTGAAAGCGAAGGCCCAGAGTAAGGGTGCTTTTGGTGGAGCTGGTTTGAAGAAAAGTGGTGGGAAGAAGTAAGCATGTGGCCATGATGCCCTGAAGTTTATGATACGATACAAAATTGAAGCTAAAGGCACTGAAAGTTCCACTGTTGACCTTCTCATTATGGAAGCACCATACCAATAGCAAGAAATTGATGAGGTTATTATCGTATATGCTGGTGTTTGTTCTGGTATTTCTAAAGGCCCTAATTCCTTACAGAAAACAGCTCTCTGCATTTTTCAACCATCGCAGAGGATTTTATGTGCTTGTGTTCCTCTTGATGAGGGGTACTTAACTGTGAGCGACTTTCCACAATTCGTGTACTGCGACTGCAATTTGTTGTCAACTGTTACAGTCTCTTGCACACTGATGTTTGAGTGATTGATACGTTTCGAATGGTCAACACAATAAGTTTTAATTGTTACGCTTCATGATGATTTTCCTAAAAATTCTTAGTCAATTTGAATCTCAAAGTTTAAGTTGAGTTGCAATCGAGCAAGATATCATCATATGCATCATGTGAGTCTTAAATGACCCAATGGAGTAGGGTTTTGTCTACTTGTCTGGAATAGTTTAGTATCCGGTGAAGTATAGCATACCGAGTCTATGTTTATGCTGTGGTATCAGAAAACAATTAGGAAACAGTCAAGCTTCTCTATCCTGTTTGCTCGTCAATTTCGACACACATTAGGTTATAAAAATGTATGTCTCAAATACTACATTCAAATTATTGAAAGCCTGTGGAAATTACGAGCCTTAAACATTCTAAATGTTCATGTTAATGTCAGCATGGAAGTTAAATTAATCCTTAGAATCCAGGAATCTCTTTCAGAGAAGTCCATTTAGATTGATTGAGTTTAAATTTTGTTTTCGATTGGTCAATTGTTGCTAGGCTTGCGAATCATCATCTCTTCAGAGAAGTATTTTTGTTACAAAGAGATTTAATTTTTACACATACATAGACAGAGTTGAATATATAAGTAGCGAACCTTTTATCTATAATTATATTACTGTGTTATTTTTTTTTATTGCTATTCTTAAAACTTAAAATTAAAGATCAGATTGTCTGAAAGGATCACTAACAACAGCTTTGGAACATTATCTTTAGTAGTCTCTGTTAATAATAATAATTTTAGTAATTCATGTTATAAAAATGATCATTATTATATATTGTACAATTAATATATGAGTATTTAACTTCCTAAAGGCATTTTACGAAAGATATCTAATTGAATTAGTATAATTCACAGACTTGGTATTAGAATATTGAGGCGAATGTCACATTAGACCAAAAAAAAAAATTTGTTCATATTTCAAAATAAATGGCTGAAGCCAGTTTTAATGAAGTGTTTGGTTGTTTGATGTTAACATTCTTTATTAGACTCCACTCCACTTAATTGATAATATTGTTTCGAATACATGTTAGAAACAACACAATTCTTGTGTTAATAAGCATTGTAGTATTGTGAAATTTTGAGTTTAAGTTAGTACTTTATGCATTTACTATTATATTCTACTTTGTAGTCTAAACCCATGTTTTACATTTCATTGTCTGTTTGCAGGCAATAATCTGCAAAAATTCACAAGAATTTTCAGTACTTTTGTTCTTCACATTGAACTTTTATTAAATCTCCATTTTGACCAAAGGTTTGTAAAGAAAGTAAAATATAGTTGCAAAGAAGTTAGGAATATATTTTCAATATATGGTTCAATAGCACGAAACTGAAGGAAAGGATCTAATGAGCTGGAATACTAATCAAAAAAAAAAAAAAAAAAAAAAAATCCTTTTTTGGCCCTAAAAAATAAAATTTATTTGCATAATCTTTGTGAATTCTGTGAAATTTAAAGAGTTGTGATCCACAATAGTCAAATGTTCTTTTTATGCTTGTATTAATTGCAGTAGAATTTTAAAATAATTATATATACACATATACATAATTTTATATGTAAATAAGGCAGTCTTTCTTTCTATTCAAGAGTTTGTAGGCAATAATAATTACCTTTGATTACTTATGAATCATTATATTTCAACTAGCAGTGATGTGATGTTTAATGGTTTTTTTCTAAATCAATTATAATGTGTCATAATTGTATTTATATTAAAAAGGTGTTATTTTATATATCAATTGAATTTTCAAAGATTTGTAGTTGCATGTTTTTTCTTTGGCACTAAATATGGCACTTATGCAAAATTGATTTATAATTTCTTCATTATCAATTAGTTAATATCAATGCATGTTTTTGTGTATATATATATATATATATATACATACATCATGTGTGATTCTGACATTTTTTTTAAGAATGTGTAATTTTAAATGTAATGCTATCTGTTACCAAAAATTATGAAAGCTTTTACAGAAGTGCCATGTGACCTCACAAGATCCTTTTACAAAGTCTATGAACTTAAAAAGCCTCAACAACAATGCTACATAGTTTTAAGAGATTATTATTTTAAATATTTAATTACTAATTCTTGATAATTTTTTTGTATATAATTATAGAAAAAATTGAAACTATATGTCATTTTAAAAATAAATTCTTTACCATAGTAATGTCACAATCTTTTAACTTTGGTGTATTCTTTTAATATCTTCACTTCAATGTTAAAAGTGAAATACAAAAATTCATCAAAAAAAAAAAATTAATTGATAGAATTCTTTAGTATTGCTTACAAAAAGAATTGTACAAGGTCATAATGCCACAATTTCCATAATTCAAGCTCCGTTTTTTAACAACTCAAATTGATATATTCACATTCTTTTAGAAAATAGTTAATACTAATCATTGTCATATTTATTTCTCTAAAAAAAAAAAACAATGTTATGTCTAAACTAAGGTTGGCAAGTTGGTATATTAAATTCTTTTGATTTGTGTATATATATATATATATATATATATACTCATATTTATTTTGATTATTATCATTTTTATAATTATTATTAATATTTTCTATGCTACACAACAAAATTTGTTTCTAACATAAAAGCCATCCCTTTCATATTGCATAAGTGATAAAAACATATATATCTCTTATATATAACATCTTGGGAAGAAAAAATACACAAGATAAACAAGAGGAGAAAAAAACCCTCCCTAATTCGTCGCATGCATCATTACTTTTATTAAAAGATTTCATAACTGTAGCATTTACCAAATTTGAAGTATGTTTGTGTTAGTTGCCAAAGCGAGAAAATACATCACCTAGGTAGTGATGATTTGAGTTTTAAAAGAATATATAACAAAGAAATCTAATAAAAAAAATCAAACAATGTTTTAAAGAAATATTAAAATAAAAATCCTAATTGAACCTTAATCAAATCCTAATGTAACCATCAACAAATCTTGAACAAATCCTAACCAAACCTCAATAAAATCATAAATTAATTCTAACCAAATCCTAAACAAATTCTAACCAAATTCTAAATCCTAATCCTAAATCAAATCCTAATGAAATTGTAATGAAATCCTAAATCTTAAACAATTCTAAAAAAATCTTTCAAAAATCTTAATCAATTGTTATAGCTATTTTTAAACCTTAATAAATATTAATTAAATCATTCATCTTAACTAAAACTTCATGCAAATTTTAATCCAGAAGTAATTTACAATCATACAAAATTTGAAAATAATTGAACTCATTGATTGAAGAAAAGCTTTCAAAACCTCTTAGATGTTAGCCACCTTCTTTTTCCAACTTAGGTGCTGATCTTTCAACAAAAATTTCTTCTTGTTGAACATTCAATTGCTCAAAAAATTGGCATATATGTAGGTATTTAAGTCTAAATTGCTCTCACTAATTTTTGCTTCAATCAAATTAGTTGATGTTTCAAGATTGTAAAAACCCTCATTGATCCTAAATTTTAATTATTTGAGACCATAATCCACAAAAACTCTTGCAACCTTAAATCTAATTGCTTGATTGACATCAAATTTCTTACACACATTTATAATAATAAGCACAATTACAAATTGATAAATTTTCACCCATAAACATGCTACGACACTCACAAAATCATCAAATTTGTGAACTTCTTTTTATTTCTTAAAATCAAAACCTACTAGATATATCTCTTACTTTAAAAAAGCTCTCAAAATCTCAATATATCTTCAAATCACATGAAATTAACTCTCAAATATCCTCTCACAAGTTTATTCTTAGACCCCACTCTCCAATCAACCAAAGAACCTTGGAATCACTATAGGTGCATGATTTTGTGCTTCTAGGTCTGATTTCAACCTTGGTTCTCAATCGACCCTCTTTAGATATCAATTCTTCACATTTTGAGGTAATTTTTACTAAAATCTATTCTTAATCTTCTCCTAAACACGTCTATATCAATTTATTATCTTATTTACTTTGATTTGGTTCATTTATTCTTCTATAAAGTAAATAAAAATCTTTTCTACAAAAAGACAACATTATGAATAAAATTTTTACTACCTTCTTATTATTTATCTTTATTTTTTTACTATATCTTTCAACTAGACTCTTTTATAATAAAATACTTTCTTTCTTCTTTCACCTAATAGGCATGTTATTTCACAACAATGAAATTCATTTTTCAAATGCAAGGCTACACTAACTCCATTCTTCATCGTTAAGGAATGAAGCCCAAAACTAGACCCGGTGGAGGCCCAGTGGAGGCAAGAGAATTGGAGAGAGCACCCATCTCCTGCCCGGACCTTGCTCTACGCTGCCCGAACCAATAGAGCTGACGTCACCCCAGTCACGGATGAGAACAAGCGCGGGCGGGGAGAGGAGACCCGTTCACACGTTTGCAGAGAAAAGGAGAAAAAGAAAAAGAAAAGGAGAACACGCATAAAAGATGTGAGGGGGAAGGGGGCTGGATTCGCGGGCTGGGCTGGGCTCGGCTGGGCGGGACCGCCCGGCCCGGCACTGCCCCGCCATCTTGAGCAATTCGAGCGTTTTCGGCTATGGCTTCGTCGCGTGCATTGTGTTGTTTTGTTGCTGCTCCCCGGCTGCTCCAGCAGCGCTATGGACAGGCTGCATGTTGGCTTTGTTAGGGCACTGCACCATCGCCGTCATCTCGCTGTTTAGTCCTCTCCTCCTCGGTTACTCTTCTCTTCTTCTCTTCAATCGCCTGTCGACTTTTCCATCGGCTTGTAGCCATGTCTTTTCGCGGCGATGCCGACAATGTAAGTTGATGCTGTTCGGTCCGGAGGTTAATCGTGGTGGAGCGTGGTGGGGTTTTTCATGTAGCTGAGATTGGGATTGGTGACGATTCTTAATTTGATTTGTGAGGGTTCCGGTAGCTTCTTGCGAAGTGGGTGAAATGTTGCAGAACTGCGCTCTGCTGCCCGTATTTGATCCCGTCATTGGAAACGGTTTGTGGGTTGGGAGTGTGGAGGGCACTTGAAGGGGATTGTATGGGAAGGAGCGGAGGTATTTGTGTGGAGTGTCGACGTGCGGATTTTTTTTGAAATTGTTGTTTATTATTTTGACTCTGTTCGAAGGAGTTTTTTTGCGTGGGTGTAGGGTTTGTAGGCCGAAGAGGGCGGTGATTGTGAAAATTTGCATCGTAATTCTCTTGTTGACGAAGTTCTCTGTTCAATGTGGATTGGGTTGAGCGCGTTCACGTTCGTTTTTGTATTGTCGGACCATGACCTAAACTGTCGCTGAATCTTGTCCTTTGGGTTTTGGTTTCTGTGTGAGTCGGTTTCGCATAGGTCTAATGGTCGCGCATCTGATCCCCAGTTCGCCGAAAAGAATGTGTTGATCTCGCTCCTAATCGAATCACTGTGGGTACTTGGAAGCCCTGATTTCAGTCGAATATCTTGACATCAAACTGATGGAAATTATGTCTCATGAGTGGCTTATTAGCGTGGTTGAGGTTTGTTTAGTATAATTCCAGGTAGCAATGAAATTCAAGCTGCAAGGCTGGTAGGTTAATCCCTGAGTGGATGTGACACCTAGCAAATTTGTCCTCCTGACTTGTAGACGTGTTCCATGCTACTGTTAGCGTTCCTTTCACTTTTGCAACTTTTTTTCAACAGTTGTGTTTCGTGGTAAGTTGTCGCACAATTTGGCATACTTCTATTCTTGTGCGTGTAATTTGTAGTTACAGTGGGACAGTAACCGATCTTGCTGTTCCGGCTCCAGGCCATCGGACTCTTTGATCTAACTTGGATAGGTCGTGTTGTACTTGGTAGTTCCAATATTCTCACACTGAGGTTTAGAGTAATGGTAATTTGCAGTTAATTGTCATGAGTCGGTACGGAAGTCTAAGGTACTAAGGGTGCATGAAGTTGAATTGACTGTTACGGTTCTTGCTCAAATCGCACGGTATTCCTGGTACGGACCTGAAGGTATATCTTTTTCACTTTTGTATTCCACGATCGATGCTAATGGTGGGCACCAATTGTCTATTTTTCAGGGTAAAACTCCAGATAAGATGGCAGCATTCTCTGTGGTTAGGAAGAAGACACCATTCCAAAAACATAGAGAAGAGGAAGACGCTAAAAAGAAGGTAACAGTCGATTAACATAATTCACTGAAACAAGCTGCCTTTTATGAGCTTCAGTATGTGAGCACCTTTCGCGGTATTCGGACAGGGAATTACGTGGCGTCATATTCGTTAACTATCTAGCATAGCCATTGGAGTCGTGCCTTTCTCCTTAAAGAGCCAGGTAGAGATTGTCTTACTTTCCAGAATTAATGCTATAGGAAGTTTTGAAAAGATTACTACGTGCTGTTGCTTACAATTGCTAATTGGAATGAGGACTTACCTAACAGCGAGCTGATGAAGAAGCCGCACGGCTATATGAGGAATTTGTGGAGTCGTTTAAAGCAGATAGTGTACCTGGCGGAAAAGCGTTTGTTCGGGGCGGGACCATTAACCCTGATGCCAAACTACCCAGCTCTGAATCTACGTCTCCAAGTAAGTCGTAATGATTCAATTGACACCAATGGCTGCATTCCCAGGTTGAATAGATTCAAGGCGTCTTTTATCCCTCTTAATTTTAAATTCTAACTTTATTCCTGTCTTTAGGTGTAAGATTTGTGATGCTAAAAGGTGCTTTGAGTGGTCTTGTAATAAAGTTCTTGACTGCCAGTTGCTAATTGTTGTCCATATGTTATTACTGGTTCAGGGGCGTCTTTCAAACAAGAACCTTTATCTTCAACACCTGCATCTTCCAAGAAGCCTGGCAGCAGGTTTTTGCTTTCTCCATAATTTTAGCTTACAGGACATGATTTCCAAGTTCACGGTCTTCTATTTTCACGTTACGTCTTATAGCATGTTGTTTTTAAACCATCTGTTCATTCTCAACCCGTTTTAGATCCGTAGGTTGCAGCAAATTCACAATTTTCTATCGGAATGCTGAAATATCCTGTAAACAATAACGTTATATTTTATTGTCATCCAGATATGTTCCTTCGTTCATTCCTCCTGGATTAGCGGCGATGGTGAATAAAGAGAAAGAGCCTGAGAAAAGGGTGTGTAAACAATATTTCATGCCATATATTTATATTTATTTTTACAATTAAAGTAACCTCGCATTGGACACACCTCTTATTTCAACAAATTTTTAAACTGTCCGAGTTACTAATGCTCTTTTCTCTCGTAGGTTGGTTATTGTTACCGTGCTTATTTAAAGTTTGAATAGCATTTTAAATGGAAAAGAGATGCATTGGTTTCTCATTTGGATACATGTGGTTGTCTATTCTATTGTTCACTGGACTCAAAGTGTTGCTTGTTGTATTTAATCACGTAGTTTCTGGGGATATTGTTCTATGTATTCGTTGAATGCGTAATTATTGGGTCCTTTGCTAGTGATTTACTTGGCAATTGGTTGTTGGATCAGAGGGATGAAGAGCGTTCCAAAGACAGAGATAGAGGGAAATCTCGAAATATTGATCATTTTATGGAAGAACTAAAACGTGAGCAAGAAGCTCGGGATAAGCGGACTGCAGAGCGTGAGAATCGCCGAAATGACAGGAGGTCGCTGAACTCTGGAATGGTATTCTTCCTTTTCGTGGTTCATATTCCGTGTTTTGCATCAGGTTCAGAAACGTTAGCTGCACAGATCGAGTTGATGCTTGTGTGTATAGTTTTGGATTCGATAGATAAACCCATGGCTGATTGCTATGATCATGGTTTTCCTTTTTGCAACTGCTAACACTTCGTTCTCTTCAGTTGTGTTTCCCAACGTATTACAAGTGGATGTTTCTGTTGCTCAAATCACGTTGTAAGATATGAGGTGATAGAATTTGTGTTCTTAAAAAGCATATACCTGAACTAATCAAGAATTTTCTCTGCTTGTTTTGTATTATTTTTGTGCGAGGGTAGCAGTCTGATCAAATGATGATGGGACCAGATGAATCTGGTGACTTGGATGATAAGCTTGGATCTTTTGATGAGGGCGATCCACAGACTACCAACTTATATGTGGGCAATTTGGCGCCTCAGGTCATACTTCCTGACGATGCCTTTTGGAATACGTTTAATCAATATAATTATTACTGGTTTTGTTTATCAACTTTTTTTTTGTTTTTTGTTTTTTGTTTTTCCTTCTCTTTTCCCTCCAGCTTTCCTTACGTGTTTTTTTAAAAAAAATTATTATCAATGTCACATAGTAAAATGAGCTCAAGGAACTTCATCTGTATCGTGGTAATTCTCCTCTAGTTATACATTTTTTGGTAGTAGTTTGGTTTAAGGAAAATGTCCACATCTGTCACGGTTGTCGTACTTTTCTCAGAGCATATATCGTAATGCAGGTTGATGAGAACTTTCTGTTGAGAACTTTTGGGCGATTTGGGCCTATTGCCAGTGTAAAAATTATGTGGCCGAGGACAGATGAAGAGCGCAGGCGGCAGCGAAATTGTGGTTTTGTTGCGTTCATGAACCGCAACGAAGCGCAAGCAGCCAAAGATGAGATGCAAGGTGCTTTTATCTCTTCTGGTCTGAGTATCAGTGCAGCAGTATTACAACTTGTAAATTAAATGTGGGTTTTATCACTTTTAAATGAAGGTCTATGTATCACTAATGTGAAGGGTAACGATACAGGGATAATTGTGTATGAGTATGAGTTGAGGATTGGTTGGGGAAAATCTGTGTCGCTTCCTGCGCAAGCACTTCCTGCTCCTCCGCCTGGTCAAATGGCTGTTCGAGCTAAGGAGGTATATTCGATTACGATTCATCAGTATTAATTTGCATCTCCTTATGTACGAGGCGTTGAATTTGTGGAGGGTCAATTATTAGTCAAGAATGTGTTGCTTTCGATTTGAGACTAGCACTTACTATGGTTCTTCTCAGATTCCAAGTTCCGTTTGCATTGGTATACTGTGCTTATATGGTCTAGTTTGAGAAACTCTGTATTGATCTGCGTGGTTTAATGCTTTGCTCCTTGCAGGGCGCCACAGCATCGACAGTTGCCTGGTCAGGACCGGGCGGTCCGTCTATTTCATCTGTCTCTGGCCAGAATGCGGAATTGGTGAGTTTTAATTCTTCTTTATAATCGTCATTTCGCATGAGCCTCACTCTGAATATTTTCAGGTCTTTCGTTTCTAAACTCGTTTGATTTTTCTGCTACCAGGTTGTGACACCTAACGTGCCAGATATCCAAGTGTTGCCACCAGAGGATCCACATCTTCGTCATGTCATAGATACAACTGCTATGTACGTCCTTGATGATGGCTGTGCGTTTGAGCAAGCTATCATGGAAAGGGGCCGAGGCAAACCTTTGTTCAGCTTCCTATTCGATCTAGCATCAAGTGAACACACATACTACATATGGCGGCTCTATTCTTTTGCTCAGGTACCATCATTTTTCCAGCACTTTCAGATCACTACACCCTTGACTTGTTACCTTTTTAATGTGGTGATTGCAGCAGCTGGTCCAAAATTTCAATTTGTTCACAATCTCTGGTCTAATCGTTAAAAAAGAACAATCTTTTGCTTACAAGCCCACAGTCTCGAAGGAGGTTTTGCTCTGTATTGAGCTCACTTACATCAAGGGGGGTCTCTGTGAGCTCTCTCGAGCTGCAAACTGGTGCTCTATAGTTTCCAAAAGGGAGAGTTGTAGGTGTACATCTAGTGGGAAGTTCTGTTCGAGCTGATTGACAAGGGTGTGACGGTGAATTGTAGGGAGATACGCTTCAAAGATGGCGGACAGAGCCTTTCATCATGATAACTGGGAGTGGGCGGTAAGGATGTATATATTTGTGCCTGCATTCAAATATCAGTAGTGATGCTGGTTTTAGTCCGATGCCAATTGTACATTAACTTGACACATATCTCGTACTTATTAGAGACTTGACATCTCTCTTTAGGTCGAGAGATGAGGTCATTACTGGGTGCAATTTATCTGACAGCGTATATATTGGTATTTATGACATACATGGTATAACTCAGAATATTTTTGTTAGATTGAGAGAATTAGCTGCTAAAATACGAAGCTCTACAAGTTGACACGTACTTCGCGTTCTTAAACGTCCAATCTATAAGCTAGTCCAGTCAGGCTCTCTTACTTCTAAGGTTTAGCATGTGAGTCCATCCGCGCTAGATTTTGCATCTGCGTATCATCTTAAATCGGCATGGATGTATGAGAACTGACTCAAGTTCGTAGCATTACACAGCGTCATTGGCTATCCAGCGCATCTGTCATTGGTTGACAGGAACATAAGCTATACTTTCGCTTTTCTCTCCGGTTGTTTTATTCTGAGTAAACATGAGGAATTGTTGCTGCGTCATGTGCGCATCATGATAGGCAACTGGTAGAAGAGAAAGCTCATGGCTTTTTTTCAAGGGGTGTAAGAGTATTTCCTCCTTGTCATGTATATGTCAGATGCTTGTAACGGTTTAGAAAGCCTTGTACTGACGAACGCTCTAGAGGTTTCTTGCTATGTTCTGAAGAACCATTCAGGGAACTCCCCTCTGCACGTGATAACTGCTCGTCTTTTCGCTCATCGGAATTCAACTCGTGGCAATAGCGTTTGTCTCAAAAATATGTGTCTCTCGGTTTGCTTCCTGCAGATGGATACCTCCACCTTTGCCAATTCAGGATTATAACAAAAGCCCTAAGCGTGAGAATATTACGGCCACCACCTTTGCTGCCGGAAGAGGTCGAGTAAGTAAACTCTCTTTTTCTAGCCCTTGGATTTTCCAGTGTGTCATCTGTTTTTGGTGATGTACAAAAAGTGGATGTTCATTATGCCGAGGTGAAAGTTGATCTGATATTCATACTTTATTTGCTTGTGGGTTTTTATTTTTCAGAGAATGGACCAGGAACGAGCATTAACTGATAGCCAGCGCGATGAATTTGAGGACATGTTGCGGGCATTGACACTAGAAAGAAGCCAAATTCGAGAAGCTATGGGTTTTGCGCTTGACAATGCAGAAGCTGCTGGAGAGGTACGACTTTGGGTTATGGCTATGACAGTGCTCTCTTTTAGTGATCTTACAGTCTATGCCCATGTTAATGAAGGATGACTGATGCAAAGAATACTGTTCATCCCTTCGAGTTTGTATTTTTTGTTCTACTTTTGGCATAGAAAACTCTTATATTTGCTTTTGAGAGGCGTCACTTGTGGGTCAAGTTTATAGTTTTTGTCTCTCTTACTGTCTAGATACTTGAACCTCAGGCCAAGCTGGAGCTCAATCGTTTTCCTGTGACAGGTTGTGGAGGTGTTAACTGAGTCATTGACTTTGAAAGAGACTCCTATTCCAAGCAAAGTGGCCCGTCTCATGCTCGTGTCCGATGTTCTACACAACAGCAGTGCTCCCGTGAAAAACGCATCTGCATATCGTACTTTATTTGAGTCCCGACTCCCAGACATAATGGAGAGTTTCAATGATCTCTATCGGAACATTACCGGACGAATTACAGCAGAAGCTTTGAAGGTAAAAACCGGAGATGATGAAACGAAGTTACTGTGGGAGGAACCCTCCAGTTATTGAATTAGCTTGATGTAATCGCATTGTCTGTTTGCTACCTGACTCAATGCACTTCTTCAAGATACCAGTGAACTGTAATTCACTCCGCTCAGTCCTATTTCATACTTTATTTGCTTCTGAACTGAGCGTGTGGTTTGCCTTGGTTTTGGCAGGAGCGGGTATTGAAAGTTCTTCAAGTTTGGGCAGACTGGTTCTTGTTTTCAGATTCTTTTGTTACTGGCTTGCGTGCAACATTCTTGCGACCAGGAAACTCAGGAGTGCCCCCTTTTCACACTCTTTATGGGGATAACTATCCTGTGAAAGAGAATGAGGTCGGAGCAGATACGAGTGACGCAAGTAGTTATTTCCCTGAAGGATCTGATCTAGTTGCAGACCAAGATGCAGCTCTTGCAATGGGAGAGGGTGCTGCAGCTCGTGAACTCGCAAATCTACCTCAGGCTGAACTAGAACGGCGATGTAAACACAACGGTCTCTCAATACGAGGGGGTAAAGAGGTCATGGTAGCTCGTTTGCTTAGCCTAGAAGAGGCTGAGAAGCAAAAGCATCAGGAACAAGAAGAGGAGATTATAGCCGCTCAAAGTTACTTGAAACCAAATATATCAACAGCGAAGGAAGGCAGTGATATTGGAATAAGAGTACGTGGTGAGGAGGCGAGGGGGGCATGGACCGAGCTTGGGAGTGGATGGCGTGAGGTTAGCCGATTTGAGAGGCTGTTACAAAATGCCACTGATACTGCTGATCACAGCAGAGGTTCAGGTTATCAGAGCTCAGCTGCACAACCTAGGTCCGGGTACTCTGAAGGAGAAGATGTGAGATCGAAGGATGTAAGCAGGCATGCTGGAGCTGTACTCAGTGCAGGAGTGTCTTCAACATTGACCATCCCCATGCCTGGCTTGAAATTTTTTGGGGAGAAGTCGGAAAAGGCTGAACCGGTGCTTCCAGCATCCAAGTGGACACGGGAGGATGCAAACAGTGACAATGAAAATGAAGTTGACAAGGGTTTGGGCTTAGGTTACTCCACAGATGGGAGTGATGACTTACCCAAGGTTGATACGAAAGGGGACAAACAGGAGTATGCTGTTGCAGACAGCAGTATGGACGAAGAAAGACGGTACGTTGCCTGCGTCATTCTTTGCCTCTTTAATATGACCTCTTCTGAGAATACTCGTAGAGTATAATTCATAGCCACTCGGATTATTCTTTTTATTCTTTTTGATGTTGATTATACTAAACTTGATGCGACTTGAGTTCTATGTTGGGTGATCACTTGATGCGACCTTGTAAATGTTGTTAACAATAGGTGTTTCAGGATAAAGAATTGTCTTCGAAGGCTGACTACAAGTGAATGCAGGCAAAAGCTGCGGAAACTGGAAGTGGCTGTAATTGAGTACCGAGAGTCTCTGGAAGAACGAGGAATCAAGAATCATGAGGAAATCGATAAGAGGGTTGCTCTTCAAAGGAAGAAGTTGGAAGCAGAATGTGGCCTTGTGGACGCTAGTGCCCTACCTGGTCGGGATAGAGATACTAAAGGACCCGATTCAGGGTTGGATCGTGGCAATTCTGGGGCATCAGGTAATTACCAATCTTGTTACCAATTGTGAACACGAAATCTGCCTCAAAACGCTGCCATTATTGATTATGAGATTCATGACAAGCTGTTCTTATGTCGTTTTTCTATTTTATGCTTGTACCTCTCTTGGCTGCATCACACATAGTGAAGTGACCAAAGACCTGAATTCCTTAAATGGTTGCAGAAAAAACATCAGGAGATAGGAAGGAGAAGCGAGATGAAAGACGAGACGATAGAAAAGATTCGAGAGACTCTAGATCCTCTAGGAAACGAACAAGGACTCGCAGCCGCAGCCGCAGCCGAAGTTTGCCAAGGGTTAAAGAAAGAGTGTCCCGAGATCGAGAGCGCGATCGGGAGCGAGAGCGGGATAGTGACAGTGACAGAGGGCGAGATAGAGAAGACCGAGAGAGAGATAGATACAGCAGTAAAGATAAAGAAGATAGAGATAGAAGGAAGGACAGAGACCGTGACAGAAGTGGTAGGGAAAGAGATCGAGTGGACAGAGAGAGAGATAAGCGAGGACGTCACACTTAGATTTTGAGTGCATTGGAAAAACTGTTACCCCACCTATCAGTAGTGGGAAACACAGCTTCTCTCATGCATGCTGTAAAGTCCTGATGATCTAGTTCAGAATTGTAGAATTTGTGGAAGATGGCATTGTTATACAGAATCTACTTTCAGGTCCAGCAGTGTCTGGTTTTGACACTTCTGTGTTCTAGTAATTGTCTTGAACATCAGAATTGGTGCTTAAGTTGCAGTTATATTTTGTACGTAACTCTGCCTAAATCGATGCTCTCTATGATGCTTATTGAGGTCGTAGGAGTTTTAGGACAGCACAGAATTATCTGCCTGATGGAGCTCTTAAGAAGACTCTTGTGCCTCATCTTCTGAGATTCCTGGGCTGATTTGCAAATTTATGTACTGCGGTTCGGAGACACCTGTCACACTAGTTTTGTGATCGTCAATAGCTGGGTCGTAGGATGGGTATTGTTACAAGATCTGTGTTGAAAATGTGTTAGCATAACAAAGCGGGGTATAATACAGTGTCTTGGAGTATCAATTGTGTTATATTTGTATTTGCTATTTAATGTGGAAGTTTGGTAACACAACAACTATTTCTTACTTAACCTATCGACTAGTGAATGAAAATATTACGGTGTCACTTGAGATTGATGATGTCCGTGTTCTCCAAAAAACTCCAAAACGTTGAAGTAAACAGATCTCGGAGATGATAAAATGAATGAATAAACAAAAGAGAGAAAGCAGTCAATAAGTACTTGTAATCTTTTAGATAAAGATCACATAATGCTTAGCTAACAATATAGTCAAAAGAATTCCTTTCAAGATTAAAACACAGTAACTTCTTTCACAGTCTACTTCAGTTTTTAAGATTTACTTCTTTAAATTTAAATAGACATTTCTCCTTTTTATATTTTTAGTTCAATAGAACCATATATATATATATATATATATATATAGTTTTCTTTTGAGTTTATTTTATCTTACACATGATTTTTCTTTCAAAGTTTTACCAACTAAAAAGCACACTCTAAAGATTACAATTCTTTAACTTATAAAATATGTAGTTTATCTTTGTCATAATAATTTCTATATGTATCTACTTCAACTTAAGAATTCTTATAGAAGAATAAACTTTTTTTCTCTCAGCATATAATCATTACATAAAATATAGGAAAAATATCATATATATATATATATATATATATATATATCTTTCAAATATGCTGAAATATCTAGAATATCCATGTATTCTTGATAATAGCAAATCTATCTTTGAATGTAATAAGGTATCACCACTCTTCTTTTTTTAGATGCATCTAGGGCTCAAACCACATGTCGTGCAGATTTTGCCATGACCCTTTTTGGCACATTTCACCTCTTCTTCTTTTGTCAATGTTAGCATTCTATACAAATTTTTGTAAAAATACATGGTGAAAATTTCTACACTATTGCACCACTTGTTGTATAGATAGTTTAAGGGTAGTGGCTTGGAGCTTGGTTTGGGTACAAGTTTAGAAGCAGTACCTCGTTGAAGATTTGTTGTGTTTAATTGAAAGTGATGGAGTCAATTCCATGACTTGGACATTGGTGAGAGCCAAAGTGAGGTGAGATTGCTAAGGTCAAGGAAATTGTAAGGTTAGAAGGACATTCTTTCAATCTCTAAGTGTCACTTCTTAGCTTCAATTCTCGACAAGAAGAGTAGACTTGGTATAAAGGACAAAAAATAAAAAGAAATAGAAAAAAAGTAGGTGTCACTCTCTAGCTTCAATTCTTGCTAGGAAGATTGCAATGATAAGAAAGGTAGATCTGACAGAGAGAACAAAGAATAAAATGAAAAAAAGAAAAGAAAAGGTCTAGCTTAATTTTTTATTCAGGAGCTTCTATTGCCAAGACTTGAACTTGAGTTACTTGGATGAGAGCTGAGTATCCTAACATGTGAAATTTCCTCTAGGATTAAAAGCAAAAGCACCAAAGTACATTACATCAAGTGCATTGGCACGTGAAAGAAGGTTGTTTGCTATAGAAGAAAAAAAAGACTTCTTCATACTAAACTACGTAGGTGTGGGACTATAAGTCTTATGAAGGTAGGCCATCAATCATGCCAGAGCAATCGAGAAAATTAAACAATAAATTGATTGCTATTATCTACACAACTTAGTATTTACTCTCCGATTGATTGACCACTTGTTTTTGAATTGTGACTTAATCCATTTGCCTTAATAACTAATCATGAATTACTAAGACAACTCTGTTTACTATTAATTCCAACTAAATTACTACTTATATTAGTATTTGGTGAACTTATGCATACTACCCTGTATTTATAATAGCTAAAACAACTTTATACTGACTTTTAATCTCCAAATAGTTTATCACCGTTATTAACAACTTGTGAGCTTAAGCCGGCTGCCTTGTATTTATAACTAGGACAACTCTACCTTATATTGATAACTAAAACAACTCCAAATAGGTTTCTACTTGTATTAGCATCATGTGAGCTTAAGCCATTTGTTCTATATTTATAACTAAGCATGGACCATTAATTCCTTAAGACCTTGAAAACCTCTGTCATTCTTAGCAATTAATATGGGTATCTTCTACCAAGGCTAAGTATTGACTACCATCTACCATCTATGCTTGGAAATTCACACCTTACAGGTGTTGTCTCCCAGCTATATAGATTTATGGGGCAATAATGTTGCCGCAAAAATAGAGACTTTTTTTCATCCAATTGAGTAAGTGGAAAAGGTCTTTAGGTCTATAGATGACCGCATCAAATTGTTGTTGGCATTCTTCATCAAGTCGCTATTGGCATTTGAAAATATAAGGAGATTCTTGCATTAATTGTACTTGTCTTGTATTGATCAATATTTGTTCCATTACTTCTACATTATTTGATATCTGTTCCATTTCTTCTAGTGGAATCTGAAGTTAAGGAGCTGTTGATTTTTGTACTTGAGATGCATTTTGTGAAGGAGAGAGGGTGGTTTCATTTTGGAGTTCTATCTCTACATCCTCAAATAGAGCATCAATAGTTAGTGAGAGCCCATGACTACCGAAATGTGATGTTCTTGATTTATTAGAGAAGGTTAGACGTATTGATATAGTTTATACATGTAGGTCCTTGGCCAATGAAACTTGGAGAAAAATTGTTGGAGAGAGCCAATTCTATTGAGGTGGATTGTCAAGAGCTACAAAAATGTTGTGATCTCTGTAGACCTCATTCAATAGTGTGATCAGGTTTTAAATCTTCTTTTGTAAGTGAGTATGTCTAGTAATACTGCACCATACTTCTACTCCTATTTGAAATACAATTTTTTACAAATAAAATAGGATCTTATCTAAAGAAAATGATTAAATTTAGATTTCTACTTTGCATCTTTATATCCATATATTCCAAATTAGACATGCTTGGAGTAGATTCTATGATATCTTGGTATTGACTTGGACTTGGTTCTTAAAGTTCTAAGAATTGGTTGTTGAAATATGTTGCTCTTTTGGTCTAGTCATAAGTTTAAATCATATGGTTTGCTAGTCATTATAAGGCTCTTGTTGGAAATGAGTTTGGAGAGCATTGAACTATATCCAAACTTATGACATTTGAAGGTATACATGTAAGGCATGTTCTACTATTTTTCCAAGTTAAATTCTACATTGTTCCATATTATTTGCTTTAGCATGTCATTCACCAACAAGTAGGATCCCTACAATATGCAACTATTGCGTTGCATCTACGAGGGAAGCACAAGTGCCATACTCATTGGATAAAACTCTTTTTTTGTTGAGAGGTGTAACTCAGCCCTGTTAGTTCATGGAGACCTCTTATTCTATGATTTGTCTTAAGTAAACCTATCCTATATCCTCTCTTGTTTGAGTATAAGAAGAACTTATATTCTTGGAGGACCCTGATCTTTTTTCATGTCCAATCTTTAGGATCCTAATGGAGGTGACTGATTGGTACCTCCTTATATAACCATATTCATGATTCAATATCATGTTTTTGAGGATTGTACTCTCAAACTCCATTTTTAGGACCAATTGTACTAATGATTCTAACACGATGTGCTTTGCCTTATAGAAGTAGTTGAGGAGTCCCATAACATAAGAGTTCTTCCAAAGGTATAACTTGATACTGTTGTCTTATCCAATCGATGCCTTCTTGTTGAAGAATATGATATAAAACTAAAATATTCGTCATAGAATATGAAACCCAATCTCCAACTATAAAGTTTGGATATATTGCTATCTATAAAATAGCATGTGATATAGAGGTACATTGTGCATTTTCCATTTACAAATGGATTGAGACTTTGATAAATATAGTTGAATGCCAAATCCTACTAGGTTTATAGAAAACATCTTTTATTTAGAAAACTCCATTGCGAGCCTAGGTAAAAAATATAGAAGTTGATTTGATACCAAAGAAGTCTACTATAGATTATATGATTAATTGATTTCCAAATAGAAGTTATCATAAGATTTCTATTATATGATCAAATGGCATTTGTTAGAGTTTTATTCGAGTGATTTTTCAATCTTGAAATATTGATCTGTACAGTGGTGGAGATCATTTTGAAGAAAGGTTCTTCCAACTACTATCTAATGTAGATTTTTTGGCCACCTTTCTGCTCCAGTGGATTTTATACCACCTTAGTAATGTCATACAAAGGCATTCCAAGGTTCAAAGCCAGGTTGTAAATTCCTAATAACTAATTTTGTCAAGAGTGCTTGAGATTGGAGCTTTGGATCAAATATCTTAGTACCCCTTGTATCCATTGTTTATATCAATATTGTCCAACAAATTTTTGCTCTTGTAGTAGAGCCATTTTTTGCTTTCTAGATGTAATTATATATTAGTGCTTTGATATTCTTTAAGATAGAATTGGTAAATGTAGAGCAGCAGCATAAATACTAGATAATTGCCAAAATGGCTTAGTTGGATGTCATGATTCTTCCTATAAGAGAAAGGTTTTGATTTTTTCATAATTTCAATCTATTAGTGAGGCTATAGATAATTTTATTTGTGATATTTTTAGGTGGGACTATGAATCCTATAGAAAAGCCTAGATATCTTATTGTAGTTTCTTGTGCTAGCCATTTTAGACTTGGATCTTTAGCCAAACTCTAAAGGTGTGGATGTTCAAAAGCCCATATTTTGATGGATTTTTTCCACTTACTTTTTGGTCTACAAAAAGTATTAAAGATATCCATGGCAATATCTAGGTTAGTTTTATTAGCTTTAAGATATAAGATTGAGTTATCTACATTTATTTGATTATTGGTGTATCTTCCATTAGGTAGCTTCAGTCGTTGTAATGCTCTTGTAGGATTATCGAGTATATATCTTAAAACATCCCTTGCCAATAAGTAAAGATAAGGTGCTAAGAAATAGCCTTATTTTACAAACCTTTGGAATAAAAATTATCCTATTACATTGCTATTGAGTGAGACTTTAGCTGTTACTTCATTATAAAGTAACATTATCAAATCTATCTATTCTTGTAGAAAATCCATATGAAGCATAATTTATTGAAGAAACTTCTACCTAATCTGATTGTAGACTTTTTGAAATCCAATAAAAGGAGGATTGTAGGCTGATTACTATCAACTGTCCATTCTATTGCTGATTGGGCTATAAAAATATTCTCAAAAATACACTTACCAAGAACGAATGCAACTTGAGAGCTCATGATTCATATATGAAGGTATTCAATCATTCTATTTGCCATAATCTTTGTAATTATTTTTTATATTAAATCAAATAATGAAATGAGGAAAAAGTTAGTAAAAAAAAAATAAATAAGTTCTTATCTTTGAAAAGAAGAGTAATTTTGCTTGTGTTGAGAGATCTAAATAGAGTTTTAGTCTCAAAAACCTTGACCGATCCCATAATATTTGGTTCTAAATCATCTTAGTTTTCCTAAAAAAATTTCATTGGAATTCCATCAATGCCTACCACTTTGCCAGTAGATAGGACTTTAATAGCGTCTGCAACCTCTTTGCTAGTAGAAATCATTGTAAGCTTTTGACCTTATTTTGTAGTTATTTTTATTAGAATACTACATAAGCACTCTTGTCTAACTATATTAATATTTTCTACGTCGTCATCTCTTGAGTAAAGTTGTTTATAGTACCATCTATATAATGTTGTATAGAAGTAGGGTCTGTTAGTGCCCTACTATTGTCCATGAGCTCTCGGATTGAGGTGAATTTCTTGTTCTCGTTATGATATTTGAAAAATTCCTTTATACATTTATCTCCTATCCTTATCCATTTTGACATCTTTTGATCATGTCGGGCCTCCAACAGGTTTTGCCAATGTATGTGTAGGTTCATTTGTGTCGTTGTCATATTATGTGAAGTCTTGCTTAAGAATGCATTGGGCACCTGGCTATAGAAGGTAGAATGGAAATTTCTACAAAAAAATCTTAAGTCTAATAGAATACTAAATAAAATCTAATTAAACCTTAACAATGCTAAACAAGCTTTAAAAAAATTTAAAAAAAACCTTAAAGAAATTACAAGAGAAATAATAAGAAATCTTAAAGGAGTTGAAAGAAAATCCACAATAAACCTTAAAAGAATCTTTAAGAAATCCTAAAAAATATTAGAATATCACAAATATATCTTAAATAAATCTCAACCATATTTTAATTTAATCCTTGTTGAAACCCTAATGGACTTCAATCAAATCTTAGACAAATCCTAAATCCTAAATCAAACCCTAGACAAACCCTAAATCCTAATCCAAATCCTAGACAAATCCTAAAGCTTAGACCAAACCTTAGATAAACCCTAAATCTTAGATCAAAACCTAGAAAAAACCTAAACCCTAAACCAAACCCTAAACCAAATTCTAATCGTAAATCAAATCCTAACCAAACCTTAATCAATTCAATCTAATTCTAGTACTATTTAGAACCTCAATATCTATCAAATAAACCATTGATCTTGCTTAAAAATTTATATACTTTTCAACAACTATTTGAATAATAAGCAAACAAAATTTGAAGATAATTGTATTTACCAAATAGAGAAAAAATCCTAAAATCTGCTTAAGTATTAACCATCATTCTACTCCAATTTGAATGTTATACTTCCAATACCAATATCTCATTTTTAAATTATTCAATTATTTTAAAATTTCATATATTTATAGAAAATCAAGTTTATTATCTTTATATATAAATTTTATCTCAATCCAATTAGTAGATTGTTGAAGATTTTAGAAATACTAACTGCCTCTCAAAGTCCAATTTCTAAGACCTCAACCTACTTGAAATTCAATAACCTTCAATACAACTATTTGATCAAATTCAAACTTATAGCATATATTTCAAACAAATATTCTCATAAGTACTCAAAATTTAAACCATAGATCTATTACCAAACTCAGGAAATTCTCCAAAATATAATATTCTTTTTATTTTACAAATTCTAGAGTCACTCAAAACAATTATGACTTTGCAAAGCTCTTGCAAAGTCATTACACTCAAATCACTCAAAATCAATGCTTAAAGAAACCTTTTTAAGTCTACTCTCTAACTCCACTCTTTAATATACAAAAGAACCCCCAAGTTGCCATAGATGCTCTATTTTGTGCCTTAGGATCTGATTTCGACCTAGGTTAATAATTGGTCCTCTTTGGGTATCAAATTTTATCTTTTTGAGTTAGTTTTTGCTAATTCAACTCCTAACTTTCTTCTACATATGTTCATATTCTTTATTTTTCTAATCTACCTTGTTTTGCTTTATTTATGGCCTCACAAAGTAAGTAAAAGCCTGCTTTGGAAAAAGGTAGCATTTATACCTTTAATTTTACTTTCTTTTGGACTATTGTCTATTTTCTAAAATAATTTGCTACAATATTTGAAGTAAGATTTTTTATAATATAATAATTTCTTCACCCTTTTTACCTATTAGTTGTGTTACATCATGACACTATATTCAACTTATCTCAGGCTGTCTGATTATTCCAATCCATTTGTAGTTCCATTTCTACTTCAAAGATTGGGTTGAATTGTGCTAAATATTTTTCCCTGTTTTCTGCCTTGTGTGCAACAGTTCTCCCGATATTATAAATTTTTACTGCTTTTATACCCTCCACAAACTTCTCATTCCATATTTGACTAGAGTGAATAGTCATTGTGGGCTGCCATTTGGCTAACAAGAGGGGCTTTTCTTCTATTGATAGCAAAAATTGGTTGAGCTTGGTATTCTGTTTAGCTTGTGTACGTTTGAACTGGATTTTCACAAAAATTGGCACATGATCCAAAACATGTGCCAATATGGGCCAGATCGCTATAAGTCCTCCAACTTGAGTTAAGTTTTGATTCAAGTAGCATCTATCTAACCTCAAGCAAATCATATCAAGGGCTGAGCGACAATTATCCCAGAAAAATTGTTTGTTGTTTGCTTTTCAAAATTCATTGGCTCTAAAGATATCATGAAAACCAAAATGAACCATCAATTCTCCCATGCTATGATTTCCCTAGTTTAGCGGCTGTCGTTGGTTGTCCACCTTATTTATCCTCCAATTGTTCAATAATATTAAAATCTCCACCTATTATCTAATGAGCATCTGGTAGTGGATACTGTCTAATTTTGTTCCATAACCTTGTGCGGGAGCCAATATAGTTAAAGGCATAAGTATTAATGATGCCAATTTTCATTCTCGGGGACCATTGTATAATAACAAATTGCGCTCTTCTCCCATAATAACCCCATGCTCCCTAACTATATTGGTTACCTTGTCTGAGATTAGAATGGCTGTACCTCCCTTGAAACTATCCTTATTCGCATAGTAAATGGCCTCATTCCAGAAAGAAGCCCCGTTTTTAAAACCCATTTGATTTCCATGTTTACTCCCTTCATCTGGTGATAACTTGTGTTCTTGGATCAAAAGGACGTCCGGTCGTGGTTGAGATTTCCGCAAGAAATCCCTTATCTTCCGTCGTTTGCGTATCCCGGTGTGATCTCTGCCGAGACCCTGTACATTGTACGACGCGAGAGTCAACTGACTATCCATCTGGTATGTCCGTTTCAGGGGTTTCGGACTCCCCATCCGGTTCTTCAGTACCAAAGGCAGTGGTGTTATGAGTTTTATTCTCTTGTGGTAGGCTTGGTGTAGTTAGGCCTAGAAGGTTGCAAGGTGAGTGTTCTCTACCTGCCATGCTTGGGCTCCAAGCCGAATTTGATGTGATATATTTTCTTGGATAGTTGGTGGGAGTTTTCGCCACTGAAGTCCACTCATACTTCTCATGGTACAGATTTCTGGGTTGTATTCTACTAACGCCACCATGATACATAGATATTTATCAGGAGTAGGTTGAGTCCAGTGATAGATCCAGGATGTCTCCTCCCACGTTCGAATCGGGTTGACATGTTTGTGCTTGAGGACGATTCTTTTACGAAGATGTAGCATGATTTGATTCACTAAATGTGTTTGTGCTGTTTTCATTGCCCATGTTTTCTCGTCGCGTCCCTGTGTAAGATAGAATGAGAAAGGGGATTTGTCAATCGTCATCAATGTCTCGATTATGCCCCCGGAGTGTCTGTGGAAGGTTGGGATAATTACAGCAGATGCTGCTTGTCCTTCGAAGCCGCTGTTTGGTGCAAGTGCAGTCCAAAATCTACCGTCCATCGTATAAGTATTATAGCCTTGTGTACCCTCTAATCTCGTCTTGGGCTGACTGATGGGTGGATCTCTTTTGGGCTTCCATGTAAACTTTTGTGTTCGTGGTGTATTAGTGTCGGTTTCATGAGCAGTTCGAATCAAGGTTGTCATTTGTTCTCCCCTCCTTTCCTTCCCACTTGTTCTCCTAGGTTTTTCCATGATTGGGCATTTGGGGATTGGACAAGATTGAACCTTATGTTCAAATGAGCGACATCTACTGCACTGTGAGTGTAACCCGCTGTATTCTAGCGAGTATTTCATCTCACCTTCCTCGTCAAGTTGAGGGAGCAAAATAGATTGCGGTAATTTCTTCACATCCTCTGTAAGAATGCGGACCCGTGGTCCTGATAGCCTACTGAGATACATATCGGTATCATCTACAAATAGTACTTCAGAGAATGCCAAGAATGTTTCCCTTAGGAAGTCATGTGTTCTTAGGAAAGGTGGGAGCTCGCAGATTTGTGCCCAGAAACACGTTTTCAGGCTGGATTTGTCGAATGGTGCGTCTGAGTTAAAATACGGTGACCAGGCATTGAAGGTTATCTCATTGTCATCCAGCCTGTATCTTTGTTCCGCCAACGTGTGGATCCGTCCCTCTTCTTGAGAGAATCTCAAAATAATTGTTGGAACGGATCGTCAATTGGCGGAAGGATCTGTGTAGAGAGGAACTAGCCCATATTGTTAATTTCCTAGCCCCAGGAGTGCGTCCTGCAATGTGTCCTAATACCATGTATTTTGAGAGGTTGTTCATCCTCGTTTTGTATTCTTGAAATCGATCTGGTTCCAGAGTTATCCTCAATGGCTCTGTTTTAACAGGACTCTCAGGTGTTTCCTTCGGTTCCTCTACTGTTTCAGGTTCTTCCAATGCCTTCTCAGATAATTGTCTTTGTATGATGTCCGGGTACATCTCTTTGGTTAGATTTGAGCCTAATCCGTTTTGCTCATCTCCAAACTTTGGTAAGCTCTGCGTTTGTTGATGATGTGGGTAGTGGAGAGTGAGGTAACTAATTAGGCCAGGCGCTATTTATTTGACCAGCGCTTCAACCTCTTGAAACTCCGAGTTGGAGAATGTTAAACCAAGTTGTGGATACTTCCTCAGCATCTGCTCTCCCTTAAATCTACGCTGCTGTACATGGTTCTGAATTGCCCGAAATACTACGAGATTCATGTCCTGGCTGTCTTCTGGGGTCCCTTCCATGAATCCCGCATGAGGATCGGCAATATTGCAACCCATGGGTGAGGGAGTTTGTACTCTCTTCAGTGAAGTGTGTTGGGGGGGGGGGGGGGGGGGGGGGGGGGTACGACATACATTTTCGTCTACCGCGCCAAAAACTGGAAGCCAATGGAGAGTGAGTTCCGAAGTTACCTGTTTATTTGATGTCCAGTAACTGGGTATGCCACATGCGCCGATTCTGCGTGCTGTTCCTTCTCCGTTGTGAACTCCATTGTGCCTCCTTTGTTTTCCGCCCTCGCCCAGCTTGAATTTCCACTGTTGGCTTGCGAAATATTATTCAATACTCTTCTATTTCTAGTGGATTCGTCTGTTGATAGAGTTTCTACCTGTGTGAATCTTTCCTCCGAATCGCCCACTGGCCCTGCGACTGCGTGAAGGGCAAGAGATTTACCCTTCAGCTGTGCTCTGGCCCGACCAGCTACCCCATTCTTATCCATCTCGACCAAAACTATTCGAATTAGGTGCAAAATGATCAGCTACTGACGCATTTCACAACACTGATGGTTACGCAGAGGGTAGAACACACAATCAATACATATAATCCCAACTATCCATCTTCCTAGAAAATCGGATCTGGGTCGAAAAATCGTCTCCGGCTTTCACGGAGCCCCGAGCCGCCCGAGTATCCTAACCATCTAGACTAGAACGGATGTGAATAACTGATCTACATGCCGTCACCATTCTATGGTACGTAAGTGTCGCATGACTACTGCGGCACACCAACCGTGCCCTCCGCACGACTCGCTTCATGTTCGCAGGAGTTAACTAAATTAACACACTCACTGCTACAGCATATTGGATATAGTAAGAAGAATTGGAGTAAAGGCGGCAAATAGAAACATCACAGGTCTAAAACAGCATCACAACTGAGAAGCTACGAGGGAAAAAAATTAACTGAATACTGGACATAAGGTACCAAACACCCTTAATGCATGACCACTGCTATTCTGCACAGCGAGGAAGATATTCGGCACACTGCATTCACTGATGCTTGGCTCTGAATCCATCGGTGAAGGCTACAGTGTGCGGCGATGATCCTTGTTGCGGAATTCAGATACCCCATCTCATTCATCTCAGCATCGGAACAAGCTTTAGAAGCACCGCTACGCCTCCAGGGCCTAGAAGATCGCGATCAAACTTGCTGGAATCGTCACAGCGGAAAAGAGACTTTTGCAAACCCGGAGCAATCTTCCTTACGCCTGTGGGTGTGATCAAGCCTCCTGCAAAGCACTTCCGAATGGATGACTCCACTTGGTTATGTCTGCGAGAATCGATATTCGCCTCCGAATGCCTCCCACTGTTGCAAATACCCACTAACAGCTCGAGGATATAGCTGCTAGCTCTGGGTCCACTTCGCGTCATGAAAGCAGCTTCATTCTTTTGATCTTCGGAAACTCAGTGACTTTCTCTGTGGGGAGCATCGATGACCTCCTCTAACTGTAGTCCATGGTGTGAATCTGCGTCGGAAGTGCTTGTAGCGCTTTGAGAAAGGATCTGAAGTTGAGGCGAGAAGAACAATGAGTGCATTCTGCATTCGTGTGCTACGCTCCGAACCAGCCCAAGCCCGTGCCAATGCAGCACTCCGAGCATGAGCTAGCGAACGGGCTTGTATCTCAGACATCACCACCTCAATTTGCCTTTGCTCGAATGTTGGAGCTCTGAAAGGTAAGAATTGCACCCAGGAATGAGGAATCAGCGGGTCATTCCACAAGCTTCGTAAGGTTCCGAGCTGCCTCGCTCATAAATGCTAGCTACTGATGGCTGATTCAATAGCAAATTTATTGGAATCTAATCGTGCGTCATCGAACCAAATTCTTTTCCAGAAAAAGCGAAAGAATGAAAGGTAGGGGCTCGTACTTTCCATCGTAATGGCGGAAGAGGAAGAAGTGAACCCGAGAGTAGTCATCTCGCCATTGAATCTCATCTTCATCGATGCACACCCAAGCATTCTTCGCGCCGTGAACTGTGAAGGCAGATTGTTCCGGCTCCATCGACGTGTTCCGGGACTTTCCGAGAGCTTCTGGGAACTGGGAACCGAGAACTCCGTCTCCGTCTTCATTGTGTGGATTAGAAGCCTGTGGAGGGTTTTCGGAACTCTTAGTTCGTACCCATGTTGCTCTCTGCCTGTTGCAACTGCACCATGACTCTCCTTCAGGTACCTTCCATATCCTCGTTTTTTTACTCATTGAAGTTGTTGTCAATGTTGGTGTTAATCCTCGTGATTTGATGCATTCGTTTTGAACTGATTTGATGCGTAACTCCTCTGAAACCTGGAGGTATAGCACTTCGTTCATGCGTCTGGACACATCTAGAGATATATGATGTGGTTTTCAGTAGTTTGTGGTGTGGAGAATTGGGCAGTGTGGTAATTGGGTGCTGATTCATTGGTTTTTCTTTTTGGACATTCATGGCAAATTTCGGTTTTGTTCCTCTGGTAATGTGTAGTTTTGCTATGCTGTGAACGAATCGTGTGTTGTTTTTCAACTCTATCGCCGTGGTAATCTGATGAACGGGAATCTGGAAACGCAGCCAGTTGTAGGAGCGCTATACAGGCCACGAATTAGTGGGTTGGGTTCTGAGGGTTTCAATGTGAGACGATGCTGGGATAAGAAGTTGCTACATTGTCAATCCAATTTCATCGCTGTTGCTGCAAGGAGTGTTGCGGTTGCTGAATTGGGAAAATCGGAATTGGGTTACGACATCTCATCTAAGCGTGGCGTAAATCCTGGTGCTAGTTTCACTGTCCCGTTGTTGGCAGCAATTCTCATCTCCTGCCCACCAGCATTGAGTGCTGAAATGGCCATGGACTCGGCTAATACACAGTAATGGCCATTCAATTGGTGTCCACAATTCCATTCATGCCTCTAAGTTCCACTTAAACTTGCACTGCAGAAGGCTGGCTGTGGCGCAAGTAATTGCGATGCTGTTTCGTCTTTTTTTTTCCTTTTTTTTTCTGCTTCAATCTGGTGCCGCTCTTGATTCTGGGTCGGCTTCGCTCAATTGATATATTTTAACGTATGTATCAAAATGATGATTCTGAGAATGAACCGATGGTTTGACAGGTGTTCACTGAAGAGAGTGCAGGCTAATGGATACGATTATGCTTATCCTGAATGCTGGGTTCGTGATAAAATTCGCGGAATCGAGGTCATTTTTGCACTACACTATCCACCGCAATTCTAACCTGTGCAGTAGAATGTGCGTGAGTAAATGACTTTCTTTGATTTTAAGTCGTTACAATTGTTGCACACGGACAATAATTCGGGGTAATCTCTATGCAGGTTTTGGCTCATGATCCAGAGGTTTCGGAATTGAATATGAGCATCTTCACTAGTCCTGTTCAATCCGGAACTTTGTCAGGCTCAGCGGAAGAGGTAATAAGCCCCACATGAATTACGTATGAAGGCTGTAGTATTATTGCAAAGTTGAGCTGTTTATGTTTTGAACTGAACATGTCAAACTTCGTTGGATTATATGAGAAATAGAAGATGAAATAAAGTTAACAATTGCATATTTTTTATGGTCGTGCTGTCAGTTGGTTTTCAGGATTTGAACAGGAATACCTCGTGTTTAAATTTACTTTAATTTGAACATACTACTGTTTTTGAATATATATATATATATATATATATATATAGAAGTTGGTGTATACCTACTGTAACTTCTTACGGTGAATAACCTATTGTTAATCCATGTGGATGTCCAAAATTCTGATGCACAGGTTGGAGGAGCAATTATCGCTCAATACCTGAAATCCCCTACCATAAGCAAGGTTTGATCATTCATATCTCAAAGAAAATAAGTTGAATCTATGAGTAAGTGTATTATTTATGCTCTTCGACTGACACTCATTCACAGGTGTGAAAATATTCGTGTTCAAGTTTAAAAGAATCACTTGATATGTGACGAACGACAACTTTCCTTGTAATTTTTGTAAATTGTTTCTCATAATGGCTTTTTAGCTGTGTACCTATTGTACTAGTTGCATTGAATTTTATATATTAAATGAAGTCTTTGAAGGAATCTTTTAATGAACGTTAAATTCAAGTCTGAAATCCGTATCATGTAGGCAGAGCTGCTAGGAGTTGTTCTGAAGGAAGATGAGTCTAGCAACAGGTACACAAAGACTTACTGGGATTTCCCCACATTTTAAAGATCAATACAAACCACTCTTGAGAAATCACAGACGATGCTAGAATCCCTGGGGGTTCTTTGTTACCTCCAGGCAATGTGGTAAACATGGTAGTCTATTTAGCTGTATAAAACTTTCTAACTTACAATCACATAGTAGCATCTAGATGCAAAGTTTGCTAAAGAAGGTGGTTATTGTTAACCAGTTCCTAAGGAAATATAGTTGGACACGAAAAGATTGACCGGGCAGGTTCGTAACCTAGAGTATTGTGGAGTTGATCTGCAGAATCTATTCATTTGAACTATCTGTTGAAGCGGGTTCAAAACAGCGGCACCTGCTGACAAAGCTGATTCGAACAGACCGAAAGGTTAGAATAAATTGATCTTAGCCTGTTTATGACGTGCAACCTAACAAAGGACACAATCAATCTTATTATATCATCGAAGTACTTTGTCTCAAATGGTTATGTATTGTAAAGTTCCCCTTGTTGCTGAATACTCCTGCAGGTAAATAATCCTTGACGTTTATACCAGCGACCTTTCTGCACCTGATTCAGATGTTATGCTCTCAGGTGCTTTCTTTGACTCTACAAGTTCCAGAGGAGTTGTGGTCGAGCTATGCAAGTTGCATGAAGTCTGTTACAGACAATTTCAAGCAGACAACGCTTATGTAACTGATCACGAGGATGACTGCGGGTTGAGGATTGCGATGGACCATATCCATGTTTCTGCAACCGTTGGTGGTCCCTCATTGTAGCGAACCCAGAGAATTCTTGTGATACGACGCGCAATTGAACTATATGGAGTTTTCTTCTCACTAAAATATTTGCAGTTCATTTTATAATTTTTTGTTTTTTTTTTTTAATTTTTTTTTCAGAAATCCCGATTCTTTACAAGTTATTTCAAAATAAGGAGTGTTATGTGCAACTGAAAGTAAAGTATTATGGTGTTATGCAATCGAGTACTTTATAATTTATTGATCTAATTGTATACAAACAGTTGACGGAGAGTAAGTACAACTTACACAATTCTCAATCTACGAGGCCTTACATACAGGTAAAAAATGACAGCTGCCATTTGCAGCCGGAACACCTTTTAATAGTATTAAACATAGCCAAATCTACATTGCACCCACACTTACTAATAAGTGGACCTTTCAGCCAATACACTCAACTATGCACCAAAAATGGGCTTGAAAAGTAACTATTCAATGGTGACGAATCCAATCAAACTCTCTCTACTGTTTTGCGGTTTGTTCAAGCCCTTCAACATCCAGTCTCTATAAATCATCTACATCAAATGACTTGAAAAATCCATGAATTACGATATTCTCTATGGTTCATTACTCTTGACATTTCGACCATTAATGTATAAGAGGAAGCCTACTGCGAACAAACTTGAATCCTATTTCCAAGCTATTTGCACCAATGAACTAAATCCCGCTTCAACTTTATGTACACTGAATACCCAGATTAACTAGTAACACTAAACCGCATAAACTCTAATAACTTGATCAATAGCAGCCCGGCAAACAGGACAACCCCAGGATTTGGCCTTGATTTCTGACAAACACTCCATGCAACCAGCCAAATGACCACAAGGGATGCACACACCTTGAGCTGGGGCATCCCAGCAGACAACACACTGGCCCCCATTTTCCTTTTCCTCGGCTTTAGATGTTGATACCGATGCTGCCACAGCAGAATATCGTGAATCTGCAGAGGGAATATCAATAGATGGATATCGGATGGGGAGTGGAGGAGCAGAAGGAGGAGGAATAGTTGAGCTTGGGGATGCTTCACTAAGAACTCCTGAAACTTCAGAAGGGTCCTCGGACAATTCCGAAACGCGACTAGGTCCTGCCTCATTAGCAGAACCCCATCCACCATACTGAGAATGGCCGGTATTTTCATTGATTAAATCATCAGGATCTGTAAGATGATCCACTGAGATCCCTTCAAGAGTAGCAGTACGTAGGGAGGCATCGATAGCCAGCTTCAGAGCAGCTTCCTCTGATAACTCTGCAGGGTTCCTGACACTTTGAGAAGCAGGACCATGAGCAGTTGCTGGAGAAGCACCTGCTGGTTGTTGTGCTTGAGGTTGGGCAATAGAGTGAGTGAGCGCTGTCAACCCTTGGAGAACAGCTTGCGGGGCACTAGGATATCCACTTGGTGTAGGGGCAACCTGTACAAAGAGAAACCGAAAATCATAAAAACAAAAGATTTCCAGAATAAATAGAAACAAATGAAAAGATCCTAATTCAAATTTCGTCTACGTTATGCAACTCTATACCTGAGGAACGCCCTTGCAAGCCTTATAGAACCGTTCCAGTTGAGCCTTATCACCCTCTGATTCTGCTAAGAACTTGTATTTTGTTTCTGTTAATATTCACAAAGCGCCGATGCTTAGTCATTTGTTTAAGGTTAGCGTTCTCTTTCTCTAAGCTAATGATGAACTGCTGACACAAAAATTACACAACAGCGCTTCAGTTTTCAATGACGGATGGAAAAGATGAGCTTTGTTCTCACATTCGTGAAGAGATAATTGTGGGAAGTTAACTACGGTTACAGGTGAAAATACACACCGCTTCTCTTTGTCACTAATAAACCAACTGATTTGACAATTGCAGCAGATTTCAAGATCTAAACTGCTCAACACGAAGTAATACTGATACAGAATCGCTCTGGATCAAAATCCAATCCTGCAACCAGATCTAAAGATGCACCAATGCAAAAGAAGACTTACTAGTGTTTCGATCCAAGATGATTACAACTGGGTCTGCTAAGCTTAAATCAAGCTCCTCTATTTCGGCCTTTGACAATGAGATGATTGTCCGTGGGACGGGAACCTGTACAGAAACAATTAAAAGGAATTTGTGAACTAAGAATCTGAAGATAATTCGAATGATAGCCTTTCATGTACCTCATTTAAAACTTCCGTCTCTCATAATCCTTAAATAGTTGCCTAATTGTATTTCAACGAAGAATGATCACGGGATGAACAAGACATCTCTTCAGTTTTCTAAACAGCTTACGAACATTGTAGGATCCCGCGACATGACCCGGAGGTGACAAAACCCCTCCATTCCAAAGGCTCACCTGCCATGAAACGAATGTTTGAAATCAAAATCAACGCCTTTCTTGTTCAAAATTTTGCCTTGGATGGCGACATCATGGAACTACATGTGGGCTAGTAATTAAATTTTCTTACTGCAAGATCTTAGACATTGCACAACCCTGTGTTCCTCCATTTTTACTAGATTGTTAAGCCGTGTGAAACGGCGAATAATAAGATATAAAAACTCATATTGATGATTAAGTTAAAGGTGCTCAAACTGAACTTCGGTAGCAAGGACGTGCCTACAAAGGAGTGAAGATGTTATGTGCTAATTCTTCACAAACACAGCATTATCATCACTCTGCCAGAAGTTATCTATCAGCACCCTGTGACCATGTCAACGAATCCAAAAATCTAAACCTAGGCTTGATATCATAACCAAAGTAACCCGCCACTTTCGACAAGTCAAGTTAACTAAGAATATCTGCTACTAAGAATTATGAGTCATCCTTCGAGAAGAGATAGTAGCAAAGTTGATTTACCTTCGGTGACTGGTAGATAACAAGTTCAAACTTACGAGTTCGCCTGGGGTCCGTCTCCGTTGGCAAAATTACAGCCCAACTACCAAACCACAAGCTCGAGTCAGTTCGAATACTTTTGCATACTATTATCATGCAACAAATTAGAGGAAGTAGCAGATGAATAAAGAGTAATCACATTTTCTTGGTCACCCAATTAGGCGCAAGGGCTTCCAAAAACCCAGGTCCAGACATCTCCCGCAGCAATCCGCTGAATGTGCAAATTCGATCCTACCATTTTCATCATCACCAGTAAGTTTCGGAACTGAGTACATGCTGACGACCTCAGGCACACCATGCAACTCCCATCGACTGCTACAGAAATCTACTATCATATCCAGTTCATTCGTGCCAAGGACTTAAATCACTTTCGAAAACCTAGATAACTACCAACCACCATATGTCAGGACGCCCCAACTGAGCAAGAAATGAGATAAAACAATACCTCAATCATGCGGACCACAGACACGTGGCCTCGATTGCGAGCCATATCTAATGGTGTAAGAGAGTCGTCATTAACAGCTAACGGATCAGCTGCATCACAACAATACCTTTAATGGAAATGTAGAATCAGAAGTGCATTATCTGTACATAAACATTTAGCGTAAAATTTGAATAATGCTAGGATCTGGCAGCGCACCACCACGTGATAAAAGAAGCAAGACTGTCTTGTCAAGACCACGCTTGGCTGCATGATGAAGAGGGTAGCCCCCATAAGTTCCTGCATTACAAAGATATCCAACTTAAAATCAAACTGCAAATTCTATTCAGTAGTCGCTTTTATGAGCCGTTGTGTCTCAGCTAAGAATAAGAGAAGAGAAACCATTTTCTTCGTAGAAAGAGCAGCTCACCTGGCCGATAATGTTTTATATTGGCTCCAAGATTAAGAAGTGTCAAGACCATCTCAAACAAGTCACCGCGAGTGCAAGCTAGAATTAGCGGTGTACGTCCCTCTTTGTCAACCCACTGCATGTCAAGCAGCAGAACATTACACCCACCCACGACATCTTCACAAAGCATGCTACATGGTTTTCCATCGGCCAGATTTAGAATCATAGCTGCATCCACCAGTTCTGAAATCCCATAACAGAATGCCAAACTCTAACATTACTTTACATACAATAAGCAAGCTTACGACAAAATTCGTAGCCCTTCAAAACTGACCTCCAAGGACGCTCCATCACGGCGAAGAGACTTAACAGCGTTATGGTTTGAATTCTTGACAGCTTCATAAAGCTGTTCGTCTTTGCTCATCCCATTGCCCATCAGATTCCGTTGCTGCTATTGTATCAAGATACACCCTCTGAAAATTGACGAGGTCGAAATTTAGTGAACCAAACACACTGCTCGCTAGTAGTTCCTCTAAATACAGACAAGTGGTGATTTCAATGAGCTATTCCTCTGGAGATGACTCCCACGATGTATCTCGTAAATGAACATTGTGATCGGAACAGAAGTTCGTCAACCCTGGAATAGAAATACTAAAGCGTGACCAGCCCGCCAACTTCCAATACTAATTTCAGACGCGCAACCCTGCTAAGTGCAATTATTTATGAATACACATATATACAAAACCAAATCATCAACTCGTATCGTGCACTCATGTATACTATTACTAAACAGTAATCCCCGCATTCACATTCAACAGCCTAAACTTCACTGCGCTATTTTACAGACACCGTCCAACTTCAATCCTCGTCTTTCAAACACAACTCAAGGCTAATACAAAAGACCCAGAAGAACATCTACAAACTCCTGAGCGTCGCAGCTCTGATTACACCGTCCCTCAAAACGGCCACAAAAACTCGTCTAACTTCATTCCTGATGAAATACCCAATTGCTACTTAGTAACCATAAATTTCATGCTCATAACCAAGCTGTGCACCACAATTGCGAAACCCCCAAACTACATCTTCATGACTAACACGCTTTGCGCACCACCAGAGTGCACAGCCTATGCAGTTGTACGCAGGGAATCCTGAAGCTTCACTGATCCCTGCAGCAGCCCCACAAATCCAATCCCCAATCCTACTTCCTCCACAACCTCATCACCCCTCATCACCTCGCTACATCCAACTGGAAGAAAAAACCCAAAACCAACACCAAGACCAACGCCGCTACGGAAATGCAACGCCCTACCTGATGATGAAACCACTCAACTCCTCCGCCCTAATTGTCCCCAAAACCTTCCTCCGAACCTTCAGAATCACCACATCCCTCACCTTGCCTTCGCCCCCTTCGCTGCCCGCTCCACACGATGATTCTTAGATAAAAGTCTGAACAACATCCACAGCTTCCTCCTCTCACCCCAGCCGGATCCCAAATTCCACAAAAACCCACAACCGCCGAGGTGCCAAATGTTCCCAACTACCCAGATTGCGTTGATTGATGAGCTCTGCTCGGAAGAAGGGCAACAGAACGCGGAAGATTGGACGTTTCGGCTTGGTAACGCAAGCGTGTGCGCAAGCGTGAACTTCTCTTAATTAATGGTTGCAAGTAACGCTACAATGGGCGATTGATTGTAATGAGGCTGGAGGCAAGACGGGTGAATGATGAATCTGGAGCATGCAGGGGCAAGCGCAAGGCAGCTTGATGATTGATTGCCATCGAGGCAGGACGCACAACGATTACAATGATGAATGCGACGAGGCGAAGTTCAGTGGAAACTGCCCCCATCCCAGTTGCCCCTCCCCTCCCCGCCCCGCCCTCCCGGCGCCAAACTCTCGCCGCGCGGCTGTCGGTGACCGCGGTAAGCGATCGGACACAGCCACAGCGGCGAAGAATCCTGCGTTGGACTATTGGTGGGATGTGGCTGTGGTTATGGTTGGGGTGCCGTTACCAATGTTACCTTGTCAGCGAAGACATCACCCCACTTCCTCGCATCTGTATCTGCAAATCCATGCCAGGAGGGGGGGGGGCGCTCACAAACCTTGAAACCGTGATGAAAACAGATTGCAAGGAGACACGCGCTTTCATGGATCTACCTCACGGTTCGAAGAAAAAAGCCTGACAATGTACAGTCTCGGTACCTGAGTTTCAGACATACAGTGGTACTTTGTGAGAGCACAAAATTTCTTTTCTGGTCGCCAGCAGCCGAAAATTCAAGTGCCTGTGGATACGAAAATTCTGTATTGTTCAAGATAGATCTTGAGCTCCACAACCAGATCTCGGTTAACTATGGCGTGGAGTTGGCTGGTACTGTACCAAGAGGGTGGTTGTGTGAGTGCCAGGAATCCCAGTTCAGAAGGGTTGAGAAGATTTGCATAACGAGAGAGTGACGGTGATCTCTGATCTGTGTCATGCACCTACTAGATCATGGATGGCATAGCGCAATGATTTCCCCCCCCCTCTCTCTCTCTCTCTCTCTCTCTCTTTCTCTCTCTCTTCGAAACATTGTGTAGTGTATGATTCTGAGCCAACTGTGCCGAATCGGGTACTAACATTAATTCAATCACTGCAGAGTGTGTGCATGTTTCGCTGCACAACTGTTTCCATGCCATTATCTGGCTTAGTTCAGTGGACCTAAGAGTTCGCTCTTTTTGTGGAGTTTTCATTTTATTGAAGAACAAGAATCTGGTGCACGCAGATGGAATTGTGAATCACGGAGAGTGCATTTGAGGACTGATAGTCAATGTTTTCTACTTCGCATTGGGCAGAAATGAACAGATGCGGTCATTTGACTCATACTACAATTCTCAACAGAAGTTAACTATGAGAGTTTGGTGCGGGCATTGGAGAATAACATATATTAAGGTACTGGAACCCATTTTCTTACATCTATTTTCGTCCGTCAAATATCACCATTCTTAGTGTCAGAAAGTGGTACCCGAACAACGCGTCAACAACTTTGCCATGCGTGCGAAGAGAAGAAAGGCGGAGATTGGAACCCTGGTTTCGAAGAAGTACAGTGCGCAGTTTCGGGAGCGGTGCGCTCCAGGATCTGCAGTGCTGCTCCATACCCATCTTGAACAGCATTTGGATGTATATTCTCCGTCCCGGGATGAGATTCCTGCTTTTGCATTTCATTCGCACACGCACCAGGCAGGGTCGAATCCTTCCGTAAAGTCTTGTGAGCCATTGACTCGGTCTGGCTCTTAGTTGCAGGATTATTATAGAAAATAGAGGAAATTGGTTCGAACTTGACCTTGCCTTCACCATGAAGGTAATGCTGCGTTTTTTATGGCAACCCTCATTAGGAGCACAAAGGAAATGGGTGATCAGTTGCAGTGTCGAAAGCAGTGATGACTTCTGAATGGAACACGTCAGGTGTTCGTTGAGAATACTGCAAATGAATCAAGACATCTGCAGAATAATGAACACCGGCATTGAATGCCTCCTCAGTCTGGTCGACCTCTGCACAGCCGCCATAGATTGAAAATCCTTTGAGTATACAAAATTGTTGGTTAAAATTGCAATCGGAAGGATGCAACAATGCTTTCGATCGATTGATTCTGCAGGAGATGAACTTAGTCCCCTTGCTGAAGCTGAACACAACAGAGCCACACAGCAATTGCAGCAACTTGCATTAATTAATTCGGTTTCATCTTGTCAGTTTACATCGCTTATCGATAGCACTGCCCGGGCCAGAATTCGTCGGAAGGCTCACACGAATCTCGCAGTGAAGATGTACTTTAACTGGAAATGATACCAGTCCACCAATTTTCACACCCACCTTCGTAGTGGCAAAGCTCTGCAGAGGGATGCTCCCGCTTCGCACATCTGCCTGAAGCGCGCTTGCTAAACTAAGGCTAAGTGCATAGTTCTTCACTTGAAGATCTTCTGTCAACGTGGTTATGTTTCGGTGACCCTGGTAAAAGCCGGGGATTCCGCTACGGCCAAAGACGTCTCCAGCGTAGGAGGTTTCGATGCTGATATCGCCGTACTTGAAGCCTATCTTCTTGTTCCGATTGTTGGCTATGAGCGTGTACTTGAAATTAGCATTGAGTAGAACCCTCGGGGTCACACCGAACGAGTATTGCGGTGTGATGCTGAAGGAATTCAGATTGAAATCTTTGAGGGAGTAGCTAGGAGCGTGGATGGGGCGCACTATCAGCCAAAAGATCAGCGCTGCAACAGATATCAAAAATATTAGTAAGAGAAGAACGGAGCAGAGGGTGACGATAGTGGTACAGCAACAACCCCAGGAGCGGCTTGATTTTGCGTTTGGGGAGGTAGATGGAGGAGGCCATGCTGCATCCCTATTGGAGTCAGAACACTGCTGCACAGATCCCGACAGGACCAGATCCCGGGAATGGACTTCTGTACTCATAATCATGTTGCTTCTGCACAGTTAGCAGGCGTTTCGTAAAACTCAAGAAACACTCAAACCCTAATTTGTCTAGGAAGGCAGGATCCTTTAACCACTTGAGGCTGACGCTCCACTCTCTAGATTTGCAAGAACTTATTGGTCTCCTGAGAAGGAATTTCCTGTGTCAAGAATTGACCAATGACGTCCAAGACCTGTGACGATTTATGGCGATGGTAGTCTCACAACAACCAGGCCGTTAAACTAAATGCTATCCGTGAACTGCAGAAGAAGATTGGCTACAACGCAATGTGTCATGTACGTCTGTGTGGTCTTCTCGGGCTCCGGCCTTGACAATTGAACCGAACAGGAGAGTGGAGGCTTTCACTGCAACCACTCGCAGCCTATTAAAGGACCTAGGATATTCAAGGGAATAACCGCATCTCTGCGTTGTGTCGGAACTTAGCTCCATTGTTGATAGCTCACTTGACCGCAATTTACATGATATATTATATTGCACCAATCTCCCGGTAGTGCTGTTGCAGTTGACCAAGTCAATATAGGTTTCCTTCAAGACCAGCACACAAAGAGTATCATAGTTGAGAAGACTCTTGTTTCGTCTTGGCAGACCAACTGTGCACTTCTCAGTCAAAACATCTCTTGCAACATCCGGACACATGGTCACAGCCTCAAGAGCTGTATTGGCAAAAATCCTTTACAAGGCCGTCGGAACCTTTGTTCCAACTGAAAGAATGATGTACACCTACAAGATTACCTAATCAGACGCTGACAAAATTGATCCCCGGAGAGCTTACCCTCCGATCAGACGGCACTGACTTCTCTCAAGTGGGACGAAACTCCGTCAATATGATCAATCCTACAAACAATTACAACTAGCTATAAGGATCGTCCTCATTTGCTGACCACACATGTTTTGTTGAGCACACTGCCTGGAGAGGTTGCTGTAGGAGGCTTCACGGTGAAATCGCAGTCCACACGAACCCTAACAGCAAATGACGTAATAGCTCCAACTTTAACTCGCACCTTCGCGCTCCCTCTGGCATGCAGAGCCACACTGCCGCGGTTCACATCTGTAGCTAATGCGGTACCAAGGCTTGCAGGGACGAACTCGAAGTTGTTGACAACCAACTCCGACGTCAATGTGGTAACATTCCGGTGACCTTGAGAAAACGCTGGGATTGACGCCTGCCCGAAGACTTGCCCTCCATAGGAAGTGTGCACGGCGATCGCATTGTGCTTAAAGTCGATCTTTCCATTCCGATTGCTGGCCATAATGTTGTACACTATATTCGCATTCAAGGTGTTCTGCGGCGTAAGATTGAACGTCTTGATTTGCAAATCACCAAAAGAGTATTTCGGTGCGTAAATGGGCCGCAGAACCAGCCAGGCGATTAAAGCCGCCAAACCTAAGATGAAAACAAGAGTAAACAGTAAAGAGCACAATGTGGCGCAGATAGAGGCACAGCAACACCCCAAACCACCGCAACCCCTGCGACGACAACGATTAGTATGTGTAGCAGGAGGAGGCATTGCAGTAGCTTTGGGATAGAACAACTGAGTGAAATGCATCGGTGTCGGCTCTTGCGGATACACCTGCGATCCCATCCTGCTGCTGCTGGACAGCATTCTATTCATCTTTGACGCCATTCTGCGGCAGACTTCAAACCAGCTCGATCTCCTCGTCACACCAAAAACCCTAATCTGAATTCCGAATCAAGATACCTCAACTTCAAGCGTCTCACTGAGCCCGAGTCCAAGTGATGCAGGCACACAGGCAACTGGTCTCAACTTTCGATGGATTACTTTTGAGGAAAAGGAGGCTGGGTCACCAACTTGCTAAAAGAGACTCAAACTCATCGCCCTCCAAGATGATGCACCATCCTAATAAAGCTTCTGTAGTGCTGTATTTAGATTCCTCCTCGCAACACACTACGTACGCGGCATGGAGGGAAACCGTGTAATGCGTAGCCATGAATGACTGTGACCACGGTTTTGTGTCCGACTCACTACTGTTTGGCTGCGTGCAACAACTGTTATCCTCATTAATAGATCATCGCTTCGTACACGACAAGTATGGGAGCTTAAAAATCATGAGGACCTATTTTTACCCCATAGCATTGAATTGGAACGCACAGAGATCAGGAATAATAGAGCTCTTCTGTTTGTTACTGACGAAGAGGGACCATAGTCCAATCCAAAGCAGGAACCATTGTTTAAGCGGAAAGTGGGACCATGGTCCAGGCGATAAACAACAGTAACTATCGGTCAAATAACATTCAGTATATCTAATTTTATCAAACATCTTATCCGAAGCCCCGAGCAAAGTTTTTTTTTTTTTGAGAATTCACTGTCCGTGAAGTTCACCGGCAAATCTAATTCGCAAATATAAGTTAAGCAGTCTGGGTTCTTCATTGATCACAGCTTGCAAGAGCAGTGGATTGTGGTTCAATTCATCCAACACAATCGATTCGCATAGCCATTCTTTGATGCAATCTCATGCACAATGTGTACCCGTCTTTGACTGCATGTGTGTTTTACTCACAGAGTCGCGGGGACAGGTTTAGGATTACAGGGAGCCGAATTCGGCACGACAGTTTCTAGAATAACCGTGAAAAATACCGCACCCCCCTCCCGTCAGCTGAGGACAAGCTCCATTAGCGCGGTTCCCGGAAACCAAACAGATGGAACTTTAGCTGGCCGCGACTTCTTCAAGCGGACGGTGGCAATACCAACCCCGCCGCGCTCTTTTCCGTTTGTGTAGCTGGATTTCACGTGCTTCGCGGATGGAGTCCTGGATGACTCCGAAACCAGCGGGGAAATTTCGGGGTTTGAAAATTTAAGGCAGGCAAATGTTGATCAGAGCTCTCTCACCGCTTAAACAATGGTTCACTGGATAAACACAACTCATGGTCGTACGGCGTCATTGAAGTCGTCGGGGGGAATGTTCGCGGTAACCAGTGTGGTGCACAGGGGCGTCCATTTTCAACCACACCGCGACGTGTTTAATCTCATCAACTCGACATCGAACTGGTCCAATCAAACGCAAATTCAAACCGAGTTTCATCAAGGAAGAAAAGCGTAGGCCATAGTTTATTGTACCAAGTTGCCTCTTCCGAAACATGGTCGTGACTCATCGTCGCAACTGGATCCCTCCAGTTCAGCGGAACTGCACAGACTCTGAAGAACCCGATTGTGCGTTAGACAAAATAATTTCTCCGCCACATCAAAGCTTCAAAGGGGTTTTTGCGAAGAATCGGTTGGGATGTGACTGTTGCCAGGAAATATTTATAAGCACAGAAACCGATTCTGTGCTTGTAAACAATCGGCTTTCTCAAGATTGGGAGTAGTACTGGATCCGTTGCAACTGAACACTGGGGAAATTGGTGACAACAGCCGGTCTCAACTAACAGTACGTTTCAGCTCCTTCGGTGAATTGTGCAGCTTGCATTCACAAACTCACTCTTTTATATATATATATATATACATACATACATGCTGGTTGAACCAGTGCAGTTGTCACAGAAAATATGCAAAAAAAAATTAGTTAATTTCTTCTAAGGAACTACTCCTAAAATTTAATCAAGAAACATGCCTCTCAGCATGTCCTATGATTTCACATTTTCACCAGCTTGGAACAGTTTTCATATATAATATCCACAACCTAGCTGCAACAAAGGCCACAATAAAGTGATGGCAACCCAGTTCTGTTTTCCTTGCAATAACCTTAATGATGTCAGAGTATATGAGAGGGCGTTGTCAAAACACCAAAATTAAATTCTATCATGCTTTGATGGCCACTCATTTAACAAGACTCACAGTTGCTAGAGGAGGAATAATTGGAAGAAATACACCTTCCGAGATACAAACAACTCAAACTCATTAAAAATATCACTTCAACTTCCATCTTTGCCTCCACTTGTCCATTTCTGGCAAACTTTTCTTCAAACCCCTACATTGTTGTATCTTAAACCTTTAAGCTAAAACCAACCCTTTCACATAATAGCCATAACCAAGTTCTGAGATATAGTACACTTTACCACACAATCACCATAGTTGTTGCAATAAAATTGAATTCCAAGCCATTTTACAACCAAAAGTTCATGGAAAAAATCAATTCAAAAGAAAATTAAGATGATAGTCTAATACTTGAGAATTAAAATTACTACCAAGATTTACACCATGGCAAAGATAGAGTGTTAATATGGGTAATAATAGAATCTGGGGTGGCAATAGTGGATGTTGCATATCGAAGGAGATCTCTTCAATGTAAACCTCCTTAAATTTTAAATATTGGATTGTGATTGAATGGAACATTTTTCTAATCTTCTTCAAGTGTTAACTCCACTTCTTATTGTGATTGCCCATAGATTACTCCCAAGTGGTTGATTGGTTTTGTTAAGGTCTTGTGAATTGGCAAGTTAAGTTTTGATGAAAACAATAAAACAAAAGTTTTGATAAAAACTATGATGATTGAGAAATCCAACCAATCAAAAGGCTAATTTATATCTCTAGTTTATCCCATTACTTTATATCCCCTCTAATGTGTTTGATAACTTATTCAGTTCTATAATTTACTCCCAACTTTCAAGCCTAAAAGGTTAGATGGCATTAATTGACGTTGTTTGTGCACCACATCACTGAAGCAGCGAATATTTAAAAAAACTGCTTCTCGTGTCCAGGAGGCTGCATGAACAAACACTCTTCAATTCTTCGCTTTTTTTGCCAGATGAATCGCGACATGTGATGGATTGGCTGGTTGAAAATTACCAGAGACTTGCAGTCGGCTTGCCACCAGTGTCTCACACCGCAGTCGGAAAGCCACAAGCGCAATGGGAAAAATTGTGATGGGCGTTTCTTAAAAAACTGTCTACGGGGTGCTCTCTGAGCCCCAAATGAAAGCAATGGCGAGAACGCAATGTAGTGGTATGGTTTCATAATTGCGAGCTCGGTTTGTTTGCCGGTACCGCTGTAGAAACAATATCGTACTGCCTAACAGCACACCGAAACTAGGTTAAAGAGATATTCCATTAGATATTATTAACACTGCGTTGCTGGGTCAAAAAACTATTTAGTTCATCCCTAGGAGAGGATCTTAAATTTGGGATTTCAATCTTTGACTTGTGAAGCCTGGTTTAGACATGACGAGTACTTGGCTCAGCCACTTTGCCCCAGAAATTATTAACAGAATTTTAGTGCATAATTCTGGAACATATGACACGAGCTCTTGAGTTGCCTGTACAAAAGACATCAAGTATTACTGTGAATCTAAGAGGATCCCGATTTCAGGTTGGATTGGCAACTACAAAATTGTACAATTTCAACGAAAACCCTGAGCGATTTTTGTGAGACAACATTACCTTCAATCCACTAGAGCAAATTTTGATGTAATGTGAATTTTGAGATGCTACCGTAAGTAAGGAGGTGGATGTCGCTATCTCACCTCATTGTTGCTTTATACAAGTAACTCTAGAACATGCTGGGTTTTGTAGTATCAGAACATGTAAAAAATCAATATTTCCGTCAGTTTCACTAACTAGTTAGAAAGAGGCTGCAATAAATAGATTCACTTGAAATGTGATGTCTGTTATTATATGGATCAATTTTTCTCATTGTCGAGTAATCCCGTGCTCAATAGAGCAACGGCAAAAACTAGTACATCAATGTCATTACCGAAAATTAATCATGAATGCTTGGTTTGACCCAAGTTCAAATCCCTAAACTCGTTTTTTTACATTTCCGCCATGTGTAAAATACACCAACCTACTTTTGGGACTACCATAATATCGCCCTCTTGCCTTCAATGGAAGGACTGTGTCAAAAATACATGTAACCTAGTCTCCAGTGATAATCCACGTTACACCTATCATTTGGACCTCTCAAAACACAGAGCAACTTCCATCAGCTGCACCACTCTTTCCTAAAGCTGATGGCCGATCCAGAATGAAGGCCAATCTACAAAGTTGTAGGAACAAGACTATTACCTAAACTTCAGCCAACTCAACGGTTCCTCCTTTTACATTAGATAGTGTATACTTCGATCTGAACCTACGTCTTTCACGTATACCAAAAGTGAACTGACTTGTAAAAGCAGGCTTTACGCAGCTGCTTCAGCTCCATTTTAATTCCTGTCAGCAGTCAAATTCCTAGGCTCAGGTACAGAAGTTTTCGTATAAGGTGCCGAAAATTAGCAATGGAGGCTTTTACTGAGCAACCGCGTGTGCATGTGTTGGTGGTAAGACCTCTTTCAGAAAACTACTCAGCTGCTCACTGTAAAGCTGCGGGTGGCTTCGGAAATGATCAACATGAGGAGAAGACTGCAAATTACAAGCCCTCACGACCCGCCCAGCTTTCCGCTGATCATCGATAAAAGCTTCGACTGCTTTCACAGGAATAACCTTGTCAGCAGTACTGTAAATGTAAAGTTGTGGGCACGGAGGCTGCTTCTTCTGAAGAACTGTGACAATCTCTGCTAGTCGCCTATACAGATGGTCAAGGATAGGGGGTGAGTACTTGTAACGAAATGTCAAGACGTTGAACATTGAATCACGTAAAGGTGAGCCCTGTACATAAAAAGAAGTTATCCCAGAATGCCAATGATAGCGTAACTGGAATACTTATGCTTTTACATTGCACACCAGGGGTTGAACCACTTACTGATTGATGGATGGCAGCTTCAAGAACACAGAGAAAAACCTTTCCAAAACTGTCAGAACTGCAGTTTCAAGTCCATCGGTTCCTTCCACTTCTAAATTAGCAACGGAACCCTGAGATGCAGCCTCTACTGTCACACCTTCCATCACTTCAGCTTTGAGTAACGCTGGCTTTGTAGCACTACTTCGTTTCTTCAAAAGAGCTGCTGAGAAACCCGATGCCCACACCTGCTCAATCACGTATACCAGTTAGGAAATCAACAACAATGCTCAGTCCATTCGAGGGTAGTTGAAACCGGCAAAAAAACCAGATTTTGAATTCAACAGTTTAAAATCAAAGATTCGTAACTGAAAGATCTCTCTCTCTCTCTCTCTCTCTCTCTCTCAGATTTGGGAAGGGGGGATAGAAAGAATTTAATATCGGCAAATCCACAACCTGAGGATCTGGATTAGGCACTGGCGCAGAGTCTATAACACACCCTTTGATTCTCCCCAGAATATCTCCATCCTCCGCATGCATCTTCTCCAGAATAGCTCCATATCTGAAGAAGTAAAGGGGATTTAGCAATACTTCGACTACAGAAAGCTCGTTACGACTTCAGAAGTGAGCTATTGATGAACTGAGTTACCCATAAACCGGTGAAACTTAAACTCAAATTCAACGCCGAAGAATTGAGCATGGAACCCTAAATTCAAGTAGGAGTGACCATGGCTCAGTACTATAATGTCTCCCCTATTCACTGTGCACAACTATGGATATTCCGACCAACTTTCACGTAGATACTGCGGACTGAAGCTCGCAGGACTTACACTTCTGCAGGCCTCTTAATTATGCTCAGAAATGTTTAACTCCGGAATGCGTCAGTTGATAAATGGCACTAAAAAGAACAGGCAAGAATGCTTCTCCTAATGCGATCATGTACATTGCTGTAAAAACGCACAAACTAGAGTCTAACAGACATTAAGAAATCTACAGGTTAAATTCAACACAAGTAAAAAAACATCCCATTCAAAGCGCTACTTACGTCAACCAGCCGGTGTTACTAAAGGTGTGAAACATAAGCTGCTTCTCTCCCTCCAAGTCTGCGTGCTCGTCCTGAGCAGACAACCACTGGGCAAGATGGCGTGCCAAAGAATCCACATGCTCTTCCGCGTTTTCCCCAACTTTAAGGCTCAAGATATCAGTCATAGGAATTACAAATGTGACAGCATGAATTCCTCTCGCATTGTACCATTGAGCATATTTTTTCAGATGTTTCTGTTGCGCGCCCAACCACCCTAATAGCACCACAGTGAGGACAGGCTTCTTCACAAGATGAACTTCATCACAATCATTCTTATCTGGTTCAAACGTTTCCCCGTTCGGTGCGTCCCACGTGTGCAGAGATTGCGACGGCCGTGAAGAAGGATTCAACAGCGAATCCTGAACCGAGGAAAGCGTTGAAAGAAGAGATTCCAAATACGAAGAACAACGTGCCTGCGCATTGTAACTACTCAACGTGGCCAATGTCACAGGCACATCTGCCTCCGGTTGAGACACAGAATAATGAGGCAACGAAGACGACTTCAAAGCCTTTTCTCCCAGCTTCCAACTACGTAAATAGCCCACGACATGCTTCTCCATCACCGGCGCGACATACAACCCTGACGTTGCGAAAGCAAAAGGCGCCAACGAGGGACGCGTGACGCCAGTTGCACCCGGCGACAACACAGAATGCGCGGCTGAAAGCTGCAGCATTACAGACGAAGCACTGTGGACCGACAACATGTGCGAAACCGCCCGCGACGAGACTGAAAGGGGTCCAACACTCGGCGCTCCTTGAGTCAGGGAAAAAGGGGCTGATGCGTAAGGAGGGCAAGTGCCAGATTGACGTCCGCTGCCAGGAAACGCACTCATCTGGGAAGAAGCCGAAGATCGCAAAGGTGGAGTAGTGCACTGCTTGGGCGGTAAAACCCGAGAAAACGAAACTGAAGAGGGCGATGAACTGTCCACGCAACCATGGGCGCCCGAAAGCGAGGAGAGAGGCGGCAGAGGCATTGAAATCGGCACCGCGTGGAAGAGCACCGGCGTGGCTTTCAGATGCAACTTGTCGGGAATGTCGACAGTCGCGGCTGCCGTTGCCAGTACTGCCGCTGCAGCGGCAATAGATCCATGGATAACCCGCGCCCCTGCGCCCCCTCCCATTCACAACCTACGCATACAAATCCTGTCTATCAGGCCCCTACAACACTCTCCCCTCCTTCCCCAATCGCAATCCTCAAACCCTGCGCTCCACCAACAATCTCTTCAAAAATCACAATTCTTCCTCTCCATATCATTCCACAATCGCTTGCTTGCCTTCACGCCAAGAACAACCTCGAGAGAAATGAAACTGATCGAGCACGCCGTGCGTCCCCTCTCAGCCACCGAACCCGCCTCTCATCACCACAAGCTTACAAAGAAAGCAGTGGACAAGCCTTCAAAGCGACGTTATATATCCCTCTGTTTACTGATACCTTTAGATCTCTCAGTTTAAGCTGTCGGGAACGATGGCTCCTACGGCGTCCAGGAACCCAACCAGCCCCACAGTTAGCCTCGCAATCCGACCTTCATTTGTGGGTTTTAACCCACCTCAAGAGATCGATCCTGCGGGCGTGGGAGAGCAGCGAGAGCAGCGAAACGGGTCCAGAAAGGAGAGCTTGGTAGTTTATAATGGGGCCTGCGGTTGGCTGATTGATTTCCTTTTTGCGGCGAATGGACTTGACGTTGGGCCACGGCGTGCCTGCCAAGCTGGCTGGGTCGGAACGCAACGTCCAGAGTCCACAACGCATCACGCAATGCATTTTTCCCGTTTCGCTCCCACATTCGGCAGTTTATTTGAACCTTTTATCGAGAGACGTCAACGTCATTTTACTTTTCAGATGCAGGTAATCTTTCCAGCATCACGGAAAAAACCTCCGCCTGGCTCTCCTCCTTTTATTGAACGACATGTGTGTGACATCAACCAAAGACGCACAAAATAAGAATAAATAGATTTCCACAACCACATCCCGAATTCATCAGGACGTCCCGGAATCGTGACCAGAACACAGGGTACTTTCACCGCGACCGCGGAGAAGGTGGCGAAAAAGTAGAAGCGTCAGCGCCGCTCACCCACCTCACTCTCACAGTGCCAGGTCTCATCGTCAAACTGTCCCAGCGATGCTCCAATTCCTTCCCTCGTGGATTCCACACGCCGCTGGACCCTCCATCTCCCACCAAATTCCAGTGTTTCTCGAATCCGGTCCACGATTCCCGTCTTCGCATCGTTAACCAGGACCCCCCCCCCCCCCCCCCCGAGAAACTTACATAAATCGCCGAACCGGACCTCCGGTTGCAACACAAACGTGTGTGGTTGAACAAGTGTGGTTTCACTTCCACTGAAATTTCAACACACAAACATTATTAATAAACTGACTTCGCTTCAATTGGCATGTAATTCGTAAGTTGGTGGGTGAGCCCGATGACAGCCGATGACTTGGACGTGTGTGATTGGCCTGTGATGAGTCCTTCTTCTGCACATTTTCGACCTCTTTCTCTTGCTCACACTCAACTTCACTTTCCCTCGCTCATCACATGTTCCCTCAGTTCGTGTTCATGGATGGCCTTTTTTTCTCAGCAGTCTCGTTTAAAGGCCGGGACCTATTTTTTCGTGGTTGTCAAACTGTTGCTTTCATTTGCAGGAAGCAACTCTTTCATTGGATGCGTCATGTTTCGGCACTTTTTCCTCTCGGTTTGTGGTGGGTCAGTTTTCTGTGGCCGGCATATTCCGACGCATGTGGTTTGAAGGTTGCCTCAATTTCGACTCAAGTCAATAACTGTTCGAATACTTTGTTTTACAAATACTGTTTTACGTTCGCTGTGTGACATGAAGCTCAAGTTCCAACGCTCTGCTGGTGCAATATTCGCAGTCGCCCACCTTTAGAAATTACCCTTGGAATGTACAAGAGTTTTTACGCCATTCTGAGGATGGCTTCACCGATGACTTTACTCGGAGAACACTGCAATTGTCCTGCAGTCTAGTGGTGTAAACATAGCCATAATTTTGGAACCGAAAACTAAAAGAAAAAAGAGAAAGTGCTGCTTTAAACACGAGGTTCAGCTTTTGAACTTCCCATGGCACTTCAAAGTCAGTGCCAGAGGGGGTTAGTCCTTCATATTCTATTTTATCGTAGGGTAGATTGAAGCAAAGTCCAGTGTCCATTTCGAGTGCACATGAAATCTGGAAATCGTTCCATTCCGAAAGCATATACTTTTGCAGTGGACAATGAGTGCGAGAATCACTATCATTTCAATTATTAACTCATCTTTATTCGCGTGATTGTGGACTACTTTGGCTTCCTGAAAAAGCCTGAAAGATGGTGACCAACAGTCAGGATGCGCTTGCTTGGAGTGGGCAATGTGGGTTTGCCGAAGTAACAACGAAGAGATTGTTTTACGCAACGGTCCCGGTATTTAATTTCCCCTGGATAAGAGCTCGAGGTAGAAGCAGTAGGCCACCGAAGATTTCTCCCCCAGTGGATTCATGGATTGGAGCCACTGCTCCAGAAAACTCGACCTATGGCACCCTGTCAATTCGACTTCCTGCACATTTGGCGACCCTCATAAGGAAAAGTGTTGATGACTGATATTGTTTCAGCCACTGAGCTCGCCTACCCCCATCCCCAGAAAAGCGGTTTCTGCTTCCCGAATCCCATTCCAGGCTCAAGCCTACGGTGTACCACAATCTGAGCACCGAGAGGGTGCACGCCAACTTATCCTGTGGGCCACAAAGAGCGGCCACTGTGGTCCCAGCGCGATGACGTTCGCCACTTTTCGGTGACGGAGGGACGACATCTGGAAAGGCATTCTTAGGATCCCCCCTCGCTAACCAACTTAACTGCACCACCTCCACCCACTTCTTTCCGATAGGTGAGAGTCCACAGCCAATCCCCATCACCTCACCGCTCCTGCTCCATCGATGAGGGCAGAGGCTCTCTAATCCAAGTGCACTTTCACCATCTGCCACTACTTGCAGGACTGGTGAAGATGGGGAGCTTCCACCACCCGATGGGTGACGCGTACTCGGAGCAGCAGGGCATCTTCGGTCGATGATGCTTGGCGTCATCGTGACGGCGATCGACCCAGAACGCATTGCACACCGAGGCCATGGCAGCCGCCACGTGCAAATTTGTTTGAAACGGGGGCCTAGGTGGGCTTGCGGTGGATCGTGGACTCCGAGGTGGGCGAGTGAGGGACTTCCAGGTGGATTTCAGTGTTGTTCAGTTCGTCTTGCGAGATGGACTATGTCATTCTAGAAGAAAAGCACCAACTAGCATTCAATAACTAAGGAATTTTACTTCATAGTTGATGTGTGTGTTTCCACAAGCATCACCGATCGTACTTGTTACGATTGAACCTCTTTTTAACGCTTTTACTTCAAGACATACGTGGTCTGTGTTGCCTTTTATTTTGGTCTTGAGATCGTAACAATGGAGGGAGCGTAGGAGTACTCGAGTCAGATTCTTGTTTTTCAGTCTACATACGTCAAAGCACAGTTTCTCAAGCCTTTGGGGAAAATAATATTTGTGATCAGATGTGATTTGTTCCTTCAAAATGAGTGGGAAGTGAGTTGATTTCGTTAGTGTCACCTACGGGAGTTACTTGAGCTGATCACGCATGTGATGTATGCTTATGAAGTGCAAATCGAATCCATTTAAGAATCTGCAGGGTAGGGTTTACATCTGTAGGATGCGAATGGTATTATGCAAGCTTATCAACTCGTTGCGAGGCTGGATTGTACCTGATCAGTGGACAAGAGCGAATCTCGTTGAAAAACTCGAAATGATTCCAGGGATTACCATATTTGACCTTAAAGCACAGCAACATTCCCAGCAGGGAAAGATCAGAGACCAGGACCACGACTCTCACCTTAGAAAACTCAAAGATTTCCACTGCCAGAAAATTAGCGCAGAAGACGCACATGAGAAAATACAGCAACCTTGTAGATATCTGGGAAAGGCTTCCCTTCACATATTGAGTTTTCTATTTGATATGGTTTGGAATTGTCAAATAGATATGAAACGTGGATGCAGATCTTCTATTTCACATAGAAAGTGAAGTTGAGGGACCTTCAAGTCTAAGATAATCTCCTCACAAATTTTGGAAAACCTCAGTGTGCATCTCAAAAATTATCTGCAACGACCAAATTCGACTATTGCTAGCCAAGCTAATTTGCTTATATCAGCCAATTCAGAGCGTCAGAACACCAGGAAAATAAATAATCAACGACTGAGGAACATAGTATCATCTTTGCACCGTCATCTCTGTTTAGAGTACCCTAAATGCTCAACGTACTTCATGTGCAATTTAAACCGAGATCCCATAACCTGCAATTTTCGAAACTCGTTTATCCAAAATTTTACGATGTTGTTTAGCCAAAGATGTCATGGCTGCAACCTGTCATAAGAGAAAGTGCAATAAAAAGTGAGAAATTCTAAGAGTCTCTCCAAACCATAATGAATAAAAATAGTAATAATAAGGACCTTTGCAAGCCACACACAAAAATACACAGAATTTGTCGTACCTCAGTGCGCAAACGAATTGATTCTCTACCCGGTAGATCGACCAAGTTATCTTTAAGCCCTGCAATCACTCAGCATTATGTATCATCAGAATAAACATAAAAATGTATGATGGGATGGTCCATAAATTACAACTTCAGGTAGATCACGACCAGACTTTTAAGTTACTTCATAACAGCACAGACAAACTGAATCAATGCCAGAAAATTAAAAGCGGTAGGGAGCAGTATCACATGTGAGAGTATCAACGAAAAACAAAATCATGAATCTCCTTTCATGCGTTTCACACACCTCTGGCAGCTGATTCAGTTTTATAGGCACTCCTGGAGAGATTTCTTAGCTGATATCCACTATTTCTGCGACACACCATGTAATATCAGTGAGCATGGCGCAATAATCTTGTATCAGATCAACTGTGACTAGAACCGTGATGTGAAGGAGAGGTTAGGAAAACCCACGAAACGCACATCGATAACGATCGTGATCAAAAAACCTATGTTTGATGGGAATATAGACGCATTACTCTCAAGCTTCAATACGAATAATTTTTCAGCATAGTTAGGGTACTTACTTTAACTTAGACCTCCCCCGTAGGAGCTCTTCTTCTGCAAGCCTCGCTCTCTCCTGTGGTTATCCCAAACATCTGTTACTCGAGTACCTTGACTAGAGGTCCTCATTACGCCAACGAATCTTTCACTTAAGGATATTATGTCATGTAGTATAGACAAAAGTCCACAACAATAAAGAGTAATACCTCGAGCTTTTTCGTTTCATTTCTCAGGAGGTCCACTGTTTGGCGCATCTCCTTGACCTTCGTCTCCGCCCGAGCAAGCAATGCCTGTACCAGGAACAATAAGCTAGTTATGTGATAAGTATTGAAAGAGCCGTCTAGTGATAAAAATGATAAGTAAGCCTTTTAATGAACTTGAAAGAAGCACAGTAGTACAATCCAAAAGCAACATTTGGTTCTTGTATGGCCTAGTTAGATTTCGGATGTGTTACTTAAGCTCATTGAACACCAGAGAGAAAGATTGGTGGAATACCTGCTCATTCTGAAACCGCCCAATAGTGTAGCGATACAACATCCGCCTTGATGCTGCAAAGAACATACAATCATCAACAACAAAAAGGAGCATCGGTCGCTACTAACGTGGATTAAGCATCGCATCCACATCGACCGAATACACGAATCATAAGGATCACACCGTTGCTTACTTCTCAAAGCGAGTATTGTGGTAACTCCAAGAACTCCACAAGTTGCGTTTGGATTCTGAGCAGCTGTGTGTACACCCTCTACACCCAAATCCACCATAAATATGTCAATTGACAGTGCTAAGGTACTCCCTCGTCCCTCGAAACAATGACCACAGCACCAATATGACCATAAAGGAAATTAATTTGGATAGACGCCTCAAATACGATCCCCCCTTACCTTTGCCAAATATAAGAAGGTATTCAGATAAATAATCATGTACTAAGTTAATTAGAAGAGCACAGTTGGCATTAGAAAGACTCTCATGACAAAAAAATTCTAGAATCAGGACTACCACGTCAATCACTCGAAGAATCCGAATAACTGCTTAACGAAGAAGAAATGTGATTCCCAAAATAGTGTGATATGCAAAACATCATTCAGCAAAGAAAGAGCACAATGAGAAACCTTTCAATTTTTTGAAGAAGAGACTTTCGTAGTAGTTGTATTCTTGCTGAGCTCTGGCAGCATATCCCTGTATAAACAAAGTGTCCCAAATGCAATCTCAGCTGCCTCAGGAGAGGGAGACTACTCGGATTAACTTCGTAAGGTAGGTCAATACGTGACACCTGTCACCTCAGCATTAAACATATTCGACACTTCCTTCACGAATTTTACTGAATTCATTCCATAAAACCATCTAACAACCGAAGGGATGCTGCCTGTTATGTTTGTTTGTTTGTTTGTTTTTTTGTTTTGTGGATACAATCCAAATGGAAGTTGAACGACGACGATGGTTTGAACTGGTTGATTTCAAAAATCATCAAGTAATATCACCGTTCAAATTGAAACCCGCAGAATTCAGAATTTCAACCACGAAACCACAAAGGGAACAGGAAACCAGTGTACCAAAGTGCGATAAGAACTAAATTCGCAGTCTGCTTAATCAACCTACACCCTCGTACCACCAAACAAAGGATTGCAAGAAAATTATTGGCTAACAATGAAACCCAGATCCTCCATCATCGCCACTATCTGGCTGCGGATGGAGCTTTAACACGCTTGTCACTGCCTCAATGTTTCATGTATCGAAGCAGGAAGCGACTGTTACATTGCAACGAGTGCGAAATTGTCACACAAATCGAAAATTACTGCGCTAGCAATGACGAATCGGCTAAGCCCACCTGCCAATACCCCATAGATGCTTCTTCAAAAGATACACAATCTCAAGCACGATGAGCATGTTCCCAACGTCCTCATCCAAACCCGAATTCTAAAGCACTCAGAGCTTCGCGAGACCTAAATTTCACCGAAGTGAAGACAACACTCTTCCAGCCCAATTGCGCAACCACAACACTCAATGCCCCTGATCGTGTTGAAATTCCGTTTTAGGGGAAAAGACTGCAACCACAATTGGGAACCCTGAATCGTTTGAAAGGAAAGCTCAAAAAACAGAACGAAACCCACTAAAGTTTTGAATCGCAGTACACCTCGATACATTCTTGCACACACACACACACATTCACACACACACACACACACATCCACACACACACACACATACACCCGAATGCTCATTCGACACCAGAAATCGCCGTGGAATCCAAAAAGATGGTTTCGTCACCTGAGCTGCAGCGAAATATTGCGAGGACGCGTCAGTCAACTGCTTCATCTGATTTCGAGCCACTTCGATGGTCTCGTCCGTGGAACTCAGCGCTCTCTTCCCCAGGGTCTGTGCCTGCATGCTATAAAACTTCCAAGTCTCTTCAGCATTCTCAGGCCAGCCCTTGGAGCCATCGCCATCGCCAGCGTTGGCCATGGCAGTTGTAGCAAACGATGATGAGACCCACGATGTTTGCAAAATCGGTGGGGTGAGGGATGAGCTTGGCCTCGATTTGCCTCGATTACGGTCGACTCTCTCGCAATCACTCATGTTTTGGGAGCCACATTCTCTCACCCTGCACAGCCCTCCTTCTGTTTTTTGCCGGCGCCGGGCTAGTTAAAGTGCCCGTTGGGGATACTACGAGTTTCTGGTGAGCCTCTACATGTGGCTTCCTACTTCAGCCAGGGTCTTCGACTTGGACCCAAAACTTGACCCCATCGCTGTTGATGCGGCTATGAACTCTGGGACTATTGTAACTTACAACGTTTTGTGGGGGATCCATATAAGTTCTGAATTCTTGTTTGCTTTGGAAGACCCTAAAACAGCCATTTTTCTTTTGCCCAAACTCTCCCTTTCAGTCTCAAGTCTCAACAAGTCTTCTTGTGCGAGTTCTGGTGGATGTGGGCTGTGGGGTAATCTCTATTCAACTTGTTTCTTTTATTCTCTCTCTTATTTCAATGCCTTGTAACCTTTTGTATCCCTTTACTTTATCATGTTTCACTTATTTGTTTTGTTTTGTTTTGTTTTTTTGTTTTTTTTTCTCTTCTTGTTTAGTAATGATCTTAGTTGTTTTCATTTCATGGATTCTTTTCCTCATATGGGTTATGTTGTATATTGATTCCATATTTTTTGCAAGCTCACATTTCTCCATTGTAGTGTAATATGTGTTTACTCACAAGCTGTGTTAAAGTTCATAACATCCATTCCATTAGGGGGTTTCAAACATGGCCTTTTTGGGTGATATTTCACCCATGATGCAAGCTCAAAGTATCCCATAGTATTTAAAAATATTACTTGATACTTCACCTTGGTCTACTTAAATTGTGTCTACTCCACTTCTTGAACAATCCCTAGTTCCACAACAAGTCCTTGACCTCCTTCTTGACTCCCTAAGAAATCTCTAACTTGTTACTACCTTTGGATCTATTCTCTTAGAGATTTTAAGTAACAACCATTTTTTATTATTATTGTTACATATTTACAAAACCTATACAACAATTATATTCTTTTTTATTAATACAATCTTATAGAAAATATAAATGTTGTAGGAGATTGAATATGATGACACCACCTTTATATAGAAGCAATAAATATCATAATTGGATGAGACAGAAAAACAAAATGATACAAGAAAATTTAGATCATGGCTAAATAAGAAGTACCATAGTAGAATAGGTACCTAGTTGGTACTTAGTATTGGATGAACAGAAATCCAAATAGTTTTTCACTTCTAAACATTTTAACAAATCCTAAATCCTTACCTCTACCTAATTGCTAAGAAATGATTTTGCGTTTTTTTTAAATAAAAAAAATCTAATTCTTTAACTTTTTATGCATCCTACCAATACTCTAGGAATTCCCAAGGGTATATTGCTTACAAAATCTAAGACTACTATCCAACATCTGTGTGCGTAGAGGAATGACAAACAAATTAAATAAAGAGGTTAGAATGCAAGCAAGATATTTGTTTCACAACATCAAACAAGAAGAAGACAAGAGGAATAGACAAGTAAAAAGAATAAAGAAAGATGAAGAACCATGAGAGGTGGAGCAAATAAGAATTGAAATAAGAAGAAATAAGAATTAAAAAAAGAAAAAGAAAAAGAAGGATTGTCCACAAACACTCAGGCTAATGCAAGGGGGCTCCATTTTGGGCCTACAAAAGCAAGTAAAAATTGCATTTTAAGACCAAAATGTGTAGATATATTCCGAACTTAGCAAACTTTCTCATATTTTTTAGTTTGTCTTGTTATTGCATTTTTTAAATAATTATACAGTTTGGTCTCTACTCAATCTGAAAACGAATGAAAACAAATTCCATCATTGCTGCACATAAGGATCTTTGTAAATCCAACACAAAGCTTTAAATGTTTTTCATCAAGATTTGAACCCAAACGACTGCTTTGTGGGAGAAGCTGTTGAAGAGTTCATCACAGAGCAAGCGTTTTCAATCCAAAACTTTGAAAAAATTCATCTTGTCAGAAAGAGACTCAATGCAGATTAGAGCTTGGCAGAATGACCATCAAGTATGGGAATTGAATGCAAATTATTCTGCTTAGCAGACTTGCACATAAACTCAGATATTTATCATAAATTGATTTAACTTTCGTCAGCTGTGTATAGAAGAATACATGCTCATTTCAAAACGAGTAGATAAAAGTTACATTTTTTACTGCAAGTGTTCTACAAAAAGATGTGCAACACAAGTACTCGAATGGCGGTTTAATTTCATTGAGCTTTCCCAGATGATCCAAAGATCTGCATCTTCTCAGCAGCAACAGCCTGCATGGCTGCTACAGATGACTTCATAACGTCCACCAAGTCTTTCTTTGGTGCTCCAAGTGCTTGCATATATGCGCCCCGCACCTCTGTGTTCACATTGAACTTTCGGACTCCTCGTTCTATGCAAGCCTACAATTACAAACCCATTCACAAGCACACAACCAACAGTCATTGCCATACCCAGATTCGAACACATACACGTTGCTGATCATCATGTTCCATTCTTCATGTTTACATTTTACAACATTCCCTTGCGTGGGATAAAGCTGGTAATGCATGTTCTGTATCACAAGGCGAAAAGTTGTGGTCTCAAAAGATGGTACCAAATATTCGCCGCTATTTTGATCTGTCGCAAGAATTTAATTACCCGAGCCAATTTTCCAACTGAACGTCCACCAATGTGATAGTTCTTCTCTCAAGCAGATATTAAAATAAATTGCAAACAAACATTGGAATGAAACTTACCTTCACAAGATCCGTAGCGATTCCTGAAGCTCCATGTAGAACAAGCACAGCTTCATGCGCAGTTGCTACTGCATGCAGCTCCTGAATCACATCATAGAAAGGGGGGATCAACGTTGTGCCCTCTGTACCAAAAGTTCCTTCAGTATACACCAACAGTCCTGCATTTCGTCTAAAAGACGAAGAAATGAAGAGTGCAGAACTTCAAGGGTACACAAAAAGAGGGATTCGCTAACCATATAACGAAAGCATACTATATCTGAAAAGAAGGGTTAGAGAGACGCAAAAGGTTGCTGAGGAGACCTTCAGAAGGTTGAGATTCAGATTCGGGCCACTAGCTGGATACTTTCCGTGCACGTTTCCAATGCATACTGCAAGCGCATCCACTTTCGTTTTCTCTAAGAAAGTCTTAGCCTGCAGTGAGCAAAATCACAACTCAGCAATATTAATTCTACATTATCAGTACAATAAGATTCAGGAGAATATTAGCTTTTTGAGGCAGTTCGGTACATATCTTTAAGGTTTCGCCACAACAGGTCCCCATTTCTGTTACCTCCTAATGCGACATATTCCAATAAGTGTGTAACATAAGGTTACATTGGAATCTTGAAAGGGCGTCGATGAGGGACAAGAGGTAAAGAGATACAAAAGTATATTATAAACGGCTGAGATAGAAAATTAAGTAACCCAACCTGATCCACAGAGGTAAGCCGTGCTTCGTACTCTTCAACCGTAATGCCGTCTTCAGTGCCTGATAGACGACCAATCTCTGCCTCCACAGGCAAGCCCTTAGCATGAGCTTGTTTAACGACTCTGCACGTTAACGCCAAATTGTCCTCAAAGGAGAGATGAGAACCGTCCACCATCACTGAATGAAAGCCCTGTAGCTCAGAAGAACACAAGCACCATCAGTAGCAGTCAGCTCTATTATCATTCACGTTTTCCGTCAAATATTACAAGCTATTATGAGGCATACAGCCAACAAAAATCATATGATTCAAGGCAAACTGAAGAGAATGAATTTGACAAACCGGTCGTGATGGAAACAGGAGGGACATACCAGTTCAAGGGCTTTCATGATTACATTTTCCTCACTTCCGTGATCGAGGTGCACAGCTATGGGAACCTTTGAAGACCGAATCAAGGTGTCAGGCATTTTATAGAACGATCAGCTTGTTTGAACCATTTTCCTTCTTAAAATTGTACAGGTATCTCCTGTAAGGCCTACCTAAGCTAGAAAATGAAAAGAAATCTAAGTACATGGACATCATGTTACCCGAGACTGCTCATTGACAGCAATCAAGGTCAAAACAATGATTGATCGCGAAATCCATAACCACAGCTGGATAGCGTTGTTGTCTTACTTGAGCGGTTTTAGCAGCGGCAATACAGCAAGCCACAAGAGGTTCCCCCCCATGACTAAGTGAACCAGGATGGATCTGCACATCGAAAATGGCACCACAGTAAGAGGGTGATAACTCCTGAACCAGAGATCAATTCTGGATTATAAGAGGACTAGTAATCATTAAGAAGGAGAAAAGAGACACGCTTTGTGCTGTTTAAGTTGTTGCCCATCCAAGTAGCTTCAGAAATAAATTATCAATTTGAGAAACCTTCAAGCAACCGTTATTGCAACTATTACTGCTAACTCGCAAGCAAGTTGCAGTTACGCAGAGTTTAAGGCTAAGCTAATAAATCAATTGGAATTCGTGTTGAGATGCTGTATTTATTGCCTGGAGGATTGCTGGACTCTTCTCGGCCTCGGCAGCAGCTACCACAGCCATAATTCCTTCCAAGTTATACACGTTGAATGCGCCAACAGCGTATCTTCCTTCTTCAGCTGCCTGTTAGTTGTCATTTGAACAGGACGAAGAGGAACGTTTTCAATAATACTGATTGAGTTCGATTCATAAAGTAGAAGCATAAACTAGAATTCAGCGTAAAGTGTTACCTGAAGTATATCTTTCGTTGTGGGTCTACCAGGCCGTGACCACATTTTCACGAGTTGAGCAAGAGCATCCGGACCCCCAACGTTGCCTGCAAGGAACAGTTAACAGTAATCCTAGAGTCAAGAAACCATTGTTTGGAGCAGCAAGGTTGTCAACGAAAAAAGTTGATTCAGATGCTAGGATTATAAAGGTCCACCAATTCAGTTTACTTACCAGGAAATACAATGTAGGGAATGTTCGGGTGGCGACTACCAGGCCCCAGCTTCCAAAGGGGCACTCCGGGTAGTGCTTGACCTGCCACTTCTGCTCTCCGTGCTCCCATAGCCTTTGTTGCTAAATCTGAGGATGTAATTCCTCCCTGCCCTCCAAAAGCCGAATCCACGATCAAATTTCGTAGACATATCTTACTAAACTACAATACATACCATGAGTTACAGATCTATAACAATTTATCTGATGTCTTCAAAGTCATAATAAGATGCATAACTACCTTAGCAAGAAGGTAACGTGGTCTTGTCTTGATGCGAGACACAATCTCCACCAGAGCGGAGCTTACTTTGCTTCCAATATCAAGATTCTCCTTCGCAGCTGGAGTGTGAAACAAGATCAGCAATTAAGTAACAAGATCAAACCCAGCTGATCCAAGACACTCTAAGATGATCTACCTGTTTTCACATGACTTGCCAGAGTAAAATGTATTCACGTGCTCTAGATTTGCATGTTGTCACTTCACTAAAATAGGTTGAAACGAAGCTATGACTCACATGATCCTGTCACGAGTTCTCGGCTGGTCACAATAAGAGTGTCTCTCCCTGCAGATAGCAAGCGGTCAGCAATCCTAGCGGTTTGAGTAATCTCTAATTCCCGTTCCTTGACTGATCCTTTTGCCAACGTACTTACGCTAACCTGCAATTATATAGTGAACAGTCAGCCTTCGATGCTCTCTCAACATGAGAAAATCAATGATAAATAAAAGATAGAGCAATAGTTTTCTCATGATAGAGTAAACGATGGTGAGGGAAACTCACAGTGATACTCTCAAGAAAATCTCCACACTGTGCTCTCAACTCTTCCACCTGTGCAGAATGAAGGACCATCAGCAAAGAGAGGCAATTTCTTAAACAAGAAATCAATATCTGATGCACCATAACTGTTTTGCAAATGAATGCAGTTATTCACCTGTGAAGTAGTCTTTGGTACATAGGAGCCTACTACCACAAGGCCCCCGTTAAGCCCACTTGGTTGGGAATCTATGCCAAGATCATGTGGATTGACCAGGCATGGACGATGCCCAATCCTCGCTGACACAAAGGCTGCTGCAGTGCGACAGAGAAACCTCTTCCCTTTCTCTTCAGCCTGATACATCAAACAAACCAAAGACAACAATATTACAACAGGCCGCAGTTGAGTGGATGATCAATAGATTTGAATGATAGCACATTTTAGATATCTGTATTATCAATTTCATGTGGAAAAAGTCAAGTGCACAATCTCTAATATTATGCAGAAATTGGGATAAATTATCAAATTTCCCCTAGATGTTTTTCTGTTTTCAAGTAAGCTGACACTTACCTGGATCATGCCAGCCGAGAAAACCTCAATGTCACGGTTGCTAGCCGCATTCACAACACAAACTGATCCCTGAATCGAATTATTCATGGCACGGGATATAAGAATTATTTAATCTTCTATCCTAATCGTTAAGCATCAATACATGTAGCATTTATCAGCGTCACATTGAAAATGGCATATCGTATTCACTTAAAATACAAAAGGAGCAATGCTAATTGTCAAGAAAATGAATATGGTGATTATTGATAATCTAGAGCTGTTTGAGCGTACGTACCTGAGGTAATTCACAGAGTTGTTTACAAACGGCTGATGGACCACCTTTACGAAGGGTTTCAATGGAAACAGATGCCACGTCCTTGGCTTTCCACCGACCTCCCGTCTTTTCCTCTACCCACTGCATCAAGAACGTAGTAAGTGAAAGTCACATAAAACCGAGATTGAGTAGAACGAAAGGTTCATTGGCCTATGAAACACCTTTGAACGATGCTGTTACCTGAGGAATCCTGTGAGTTAGTTCCGACATACAGAGTACAGGTAAGTTAATGTGAAGCTAAACAACATTTTTTTGTGAGAAATTACTATGCCATCTTTTTTAAGAAGAAAACCTGAAAAGACGTTTACCTCACGAATGTTTGAAGCCTTGTAGCCAAAAACGGCATCCTTCGCAAATTCCGTGTCTCCAGCTGGAACGAGCCTGGACATAAAGATAACCACCGAAACGAATTCAACCATAGCCCCATCACAGACATCAGAGGGTTTTTCACGGAGGAATTATGAAGTACTACCACAATTCTTGCTTCACGGATGCGACAATAAGTTACAGCGTTCGTTTTAATTAATGTGGTACACTAAGACATGTACCCTCCATATGATGTCAAGAACGATTATTTTCTTGGAAGTTGTGTGACCAACGGACCTGGTGTTTGATAAATACGTTAGAACGAATTCTTCTATGTAACAAAAAATTGGGAAGGGAGATGTTACAACATGGCAACAGTCAACTACTTTAATGGTGAACAGCTTCTCATGCTTCTTCAGAATGCGCACAGTCCAGTTCTAGACGTGGTGTTTATTTAAATTTATAATTGAGAAAAGCACATGACTGGATGAAGATGATTGCACCCTTTAATTTAAAAACTTTTGGTCATATTAGAACGTACACGTACTTCTTCATGACTACCTTCTAACTTAAAACCTTCGAGAGTTTCCTTGCCGCCTCAAACAATAGCATTTACCATTGTTGAAAATGTGGTCAAATTGATGTGTAGTTTTACCAAGTCACGCTGTATTATTAACTTGTTATATCATGAGGATCATCCTACTTTTAGCTTTTGAAAACTTTGAAAGCAGTACGGTGTTTAAAGATAACAATTCCTACAAATATTCATGGCTTCAACACTTGAAATTTGATGGTGTAGATGATCTGATGTGTGCATATTAGAATGAAAGCTGAAGTAATTCCAAAATAGTGCTTGGCAGGTCAAACTGAGGACAGTGCACAAACACTGTTGCAGAACTAAACAAAGTACAGAAAGCAGAAAACTCACGTGTTTCCATCTACAACGTAGTGAACATCATTGATGGTGTATCGGCCTCCTTGTAGGAAGAATGGACAGATCAGCCATGCGTCAACTTCTCCAATTACAGATGCTGCGGCATCTGGTTCCTGTCAGAAATAAAACAAAATAAAAATAAAAATAAAAGTTATTTCGAATCACGTCATAAAAATTAACTGCAGAAAATATTCATAAATCCTGTTAAAAAATAAAGAACAAAAAATCATTAAATTAAATTACATTAAATTAGCCACTTTACTAAAGAAAGTGCTGTACCTGAGGAAAATGGCCACGAAGGGTGGAATCACCACGAAGAACAATTGTGTAGCCAGTATTGCCAGCTGCTGTAGCTGCCTCATCTACGTTTCTACATATTTCTTTCGTCAGAGCAACAGCCTGGGGAGACCACAAAGCGTGAAACCTTAGCGTTTTATATTTTCCATTGTAAAGATGAGAAAAGGACTAACTTATTACAAACTTAGTTTATGCTTACTCAAGACTACCGATAATTTAACCTAATTCAGAAATTATAAGTAATATTGAAAAGAGTCACAATAGAAGTTGGAAGGAGAATGAATCCAGATTGATACCTCGTCGGTACCAAGCGCCCGTGAGTTGGTGAGGATGAAGAAACAGTCGGGAGAGCTTTTAAACTCCTTTATTAATGAGTCAATACTCCTGCAGCAGACGATAGAAGACAAATACGATTACAAATATGAATCAGCTTTCGAATTCGTTCCTTGTAGCAGTACACTTACATTTAACACGTTTAGTGACATGAACCTTACCATTCCGTAAGTACTGACACTCCATGCACAGTCTGAGTACCGGTGGGATCATCATCCAGCACAACAAGCACCTTAGCACGACCCTCCTTCTCATCCTTCAAAATTTCCTCTACTACATCCTCAGGCCACTCCTCTGGAAGTGCCTGCAAAGTGGCGTCTTTTTCAAGTTTTTCACATTTTGTGATGTTGCAGGTATTGTTGGCATCACCACTTGGGGTCGGCAGAGGAACCTTGGGAGCCGCAACAGTCACTCCCGTTAACTTCTCAAACACCTGTTTAGTGATAGAAGATACATACTCCTCATAAGTTTCTCCACTACAAATGGGTCATTCAACAGAATATGTAAAGTAAAAGACCAGGGAAGCGGGAATGTGAAAATAAGATGATCCTTTTTAGGTGTTAACGTCGAATAATAACAAATTATGCCCAGAGATGGATTCTATATAGAAACAATAAGAAATTGCATCCACAAATTCAACGAAAAAACTAGAAATAATTCTAGACCGATTGAAGCTCAAATAAAAAGCGCTATTGTACTCGCGCACCTTTACAACTGCAGCATCGTCCTGCCTACCAAGGCCAGCCGCAGATCCTACACAAAGTTGCCACTTGTGCATCACTTTACAGGCATATGACACGTTCCTTTCAGTTATTAAAGGACTCAGGAGGAGCAGTGGTACATTACATTCCTTGAAGACCTGTCCAGGATACTACAAAGTATAGTAATTATTTGAAATATGTTAAAACTTACGAGAATTACATCATTTTGCATCATATCCCAAATGAAGCAGTGCATACAAGGTTACTAGACAGCTGCAAATGAGAACCCAAAATGACTAAGAAAGGGTGAAAATGCTTGAACCCACTGCAAACCTTGGATTTAATTTCAGAAACTCACGGTGCCACGCGCAAGCTTTGGTTTTAAAAGATCATGGCTTTTACCAAATCCAGTGCGGTTGTACACCTTTGTAAATACTTACCAGAAAGAAATTGCTGCAAAGCTGAAGAAGCCAGTGGTACTGGAAGGTTCAAGCGCTTAGCTTCTCCTGCAACTATCCCCTGTAAATAGGGTAATTAGGAATTTAGATTTCCGTCGGACTTGGGTCAGATCCAACTTTTTGGAGCAAATCAAAGTGACCGTTGGAATTTGGGTGGGCATAAGCATGCTGGGACAACAATTTGGGTGGGCATAAACATGCTGGGACAACAATTTGGGTGGGCATTTGACCACACAATTAATCTTTAATAACAGAAGCATCTCTACTTCAACATAACACATGGCAGCTAGAAATCATACAGCGATATTCTTATCCATATTATGCAGGGCAAAATACACTTACCAGATCCTTAACAAAGATATCAAGTGCAGAGTATGGTGTGTAATCGTCATCGAGCATGTGAGGCACTCGATTTATAAACATCCTATTTCACCACACAATATCGTTATTAAATAATAATACTTGACATAACTTGTTCCTCCTGCTCATTCAACGAAGTCTAAAACATTGAGTGGTGTTTACCTTGCACATGTAAAAATTACTATTCAACCTAAAACAACGGTTCGAAAAGGAAAAAAGAAAAAAGCTATTTCAAGTTTTGCTCTAGCCCTTCTAACTGTGAAAGATCAGTATGGACTAATGAGATCGAAACCAAACCAGGAAGATCCAGAGGAACATGACACAATGTCATAAATGAGGCGAGTATTCAAGCCAAGCCGAGCTCCAAACGCCATGCCCTCAGCGGCAGATGCAATATGCACTCCAGCAAGCAGCTGATTAACCATCTTCACCGTGCTGCATGATTGGCAAATCAATAATGAAATGTGAACAGTCAAAGAAGGGATCAATTGCCTTTCTAACAAATCAAAAATCACTTCGCTAAAGAGCATGCGTGGTTGCTTAACACATAGGTGATGATAACAGAATCTTTTCAACAAAGAGAAGGTCCTCTTAAGTTCTGTGCTACTAAATTCTTTTTAGCATTTCGGCCACCTTACGTATCAAGCAGCCATAGCAATAGGGAAATGAACCAGTGCAAGATACCTGCCAGCCCCAACTCCTCCTTGAATAATGTACAAATTCTCGCTCATTGCTGCATAAATTCAAGCAAGAACTTTAGACCTAACTCTGCATCATAAAGGCAAGATGGTTCGAAGACATTTGCACCAAGCAATTGCTGATACGTCAAGCACACAAATCAGCTGTTTTGTTCGCTTTCCACACGAGAACCACTCGAGACCCACACTCAACCTCATCAAAGTAGCACCTGAACGTTGCTAGTCTCGAGAAAGAGTATCGCTTAAATTAGCCATCAATTCCATGGATTTTTCTGAGGTATTTGAAATGATGCTTCTCATGGTTCAGATTGTGCTACTCATCAACGAACTTGCGAAGTTTTAAAAAAATGCCTGAGATAAAATAGAAAGTATTGAACCTTTAAGTACTGAACCGGCTCCGTGCAGGGCCGTGTTGGAGCCAGCCGCCATTATCTGGAAGTATGCATGATTATTATTAGCACACACGAGTATTATTAGTAACAACACTATGAGAGGGATGTTTCGACCCAGAGCTAAAGAATTTCAAAGCAGAGATTTATGAAGAATACAAGTATTAAATATGACAATGCTGATGCAAATTAGCACTGGGATCTAATCATACAGTCAGGGTCCCGTTGGCAGCTCTTGCGACACCTCCCGATACTGGAGCATCCACCAGCATTAAATCTCTTCCCTCTCCTGCCAAGGTCAATCATTGACTTAGTAGGCATATGTGAGCATAATGGAAAAGATGTGTCATATGTTAAGGAATACAAAAAATCAGTCTTTAACCACAAGCGCCTTGGACAACGTCACGAACCTTTTAAATGCCCCTCGAGCTGGCGTACGTAATCGGGCGATACTGTTGAACACACCACTACGACTGCACCTTTTGCCAATGCTGGAACAAGAAACAATAGACTCCTCAGTTCTTTATGTCTCTGAACAGTATAAGTATGTGTAGACATTCATGGCTGGTTAAAAAGTAGAAAGATCATAATCCCAGCAAGTTATCAACGATGTTCATAGAAAGAGTGACATGCCTGGAACAGCCCCATTGGGGCCGTACAGAACACTTTGGGCTTGGTCTTGGTTGGTTACCATGATGACAACCACTTGTGCACCTGCAGCTCACAATCGAAACATTGATTTAATAAACTAAAGAATGAAAGTAGGATTATCAGCACTGCCAGACATACATCTATACATTCACAGGGAATCTCGGAAATGTAGCGAAAATCACCTTTAACTGCTTCTTCTGGACTAGAACTAGCTTTCCCTCCTACTTTCACAAACCGTTCTAGACTTGGCGGGTACACCTGCGACAATCATCACACACATTGCTGGAATATGTAAGCCTCTTGAATAACCATGAGAAAAACAGGAAATTAATCGAAACGAATACATTCATAGTTCGATACTTTCACCGCCCTGGTGCTTACATCATAGCCACAGACGCTAAACCCCTCGTGAACGAGCCAGGAAGCCATTCCAAAGCCCATAGCTCCTAATCCGATGAATGCCACAGGAACAGGACCAACTGAATCGGCCACAGCCTCCTCCTCTGTCACGTTTGTGGAATCTTTTGGGGAGGCTACACTTAATTCCATCATTTTCTCCCATATCTGCTCATGAACATAGGAAGTTTCAGAACTTCTTGATGAAATGTAAAAAGTAATTCAGATCTATTACATCCTTACAAAAGGTGTGGTCGCGGTAGTACTGGTTTTAATGCTATCCACTGATGGCCAGAACCATAAAACGTAGTTGTACCTTAACAACCGCTGCATCGTCAATTCGACCATAACCACATGCAGTACCTGGAAATGTCACATCAAATGTTGAGATCAATCTAAGACGCACCCCGGTAGGCAAATACCAAAATAAGTAACTCGCGACTCGCAGCGTAAGTTCAACGACATTTCCAAAGAGTATGATACCATTCCAAACAGCAACCTCTCAACTAATTTCAAATCTTACCCATTAGAACCTGCTGACTAGCTACGGAGCCCAAAGGCAGGGGAAATCGCAGCGCTTTTGCTTCATCCATTATTATTCCCTGTTGGTAACTCAAAAGTTAATATAGTGCCTACCCTCGTGTAACTGTGACAAACACAAATCAACTAGAAGCCATTCGAACCGGAGTAGAAATTCTTACAAAGTCTTTCGCAAGTAAATCAAGAGCTGACTTTGGTGAATAATCGGCATCTAGCATGTGTGGAACTCGATTAGAGAATGCCCTGATCATAAAAAGGAAGTGTTATGTGGCCACAGTAGCTGAAAATAGTATCACGGAAAATCCAGTAAGATTTGACTTCAGAGTGAAGGTGAAGAAAAAGATAATTCGATAATAAATGAATCCATAGGTTGTACCAGGAGTTGCCAGCAGCAGTTGAGATGATATCAAAGAGTTTGCGTACGTTGAGGCCAGCCCGTGCGCCCAATGCTATAGCCTCTGCTGCCGTAGCAAGATGAATTCCAAACATTAAATTGTTCACAAGCTTCATTTTGCTGAATACAAGAAACCACGTGTTCAGAGGATGTCAACTCAACCAAAGCATCACACCTCAGCTAAAGGAAACGAAGTAAAACAGTGCGTTCACAAATGCGATTAAATGACAAATGAAAGAACGCGAACTAGAAGGAAAGACGTTGAGTTATGAATGAACGCAGAGAAACGCCGCAATCAGCATCAAATCTCATATGAAAGGCCTTAAATTAATACCTGCCCGCTCCTATGCCACCCTCAACAATATAAAGTTTTTCGCTCATGGCTGCATGTTGAAGGGCGATATAAGATCTTAAAGCAGTACAACTTCTGGATTTAAACCATTTACCGTAATCAAAGAAGAAACAGCTCTGCAACTATTCAGAAGACCAACTCGGAGAAACTAATTGTTAAACAATTACTGCCTGATGAATGAATGCAATAAATAAAGAAAGAAAGGAAGCATCCACGAAATAAAAAGTTACGTACATCAACCATGTACTATTAGAATTATAATGATAGCTCAAACCTTAAGAAAACACAACTACTTAAAAGCAAACACAGGTATAATACCAGAGAGTACAGGCCTGGCTATTTTCAATGCATGGTCAGACCCAGCTGCCATTATCTGCGGAAGTCAAGATTTAGGATTAAAAATATTGTTCTAGTAATGCAGGATTTATAATACATGACTCGTGAGCATACTACAAGATATCAAACCAAAGTAAACGTGAGAAGCAAGAGTCTACAGACAAAAGATAATGAAGTGATTACAGGTGGCAAGGTCATACCGTCAATGTTCCTGCCGCTGCTTTCTCAGCTCCTCCGGATACGGGTGCATCCAACAATAATAACCCTTGCTCTTCATAAACAAAGAAGTTTCCATTCAATCACTCACCATGTCAGACATAATGCTAATTGTCAACCAGCTTTGTGATAGTACAAATGCAAATAGTCTTTTAGGATTTGAGGTACGTTAGACGTCATGTGCTTGTTTGAAAACCAATGTACATAAAGCAGATCAGGTCACTTACCTAAGAGGCGCTTTTCCAAATTCTGTATGTAGGCTGGCGGTACTGTAGAGCACACTATGATCAGTGTTCCACTGGCTGCCGCTGCATCACGAACCAAGTCTTGATCGTTAAATAACTATACACCACATATGATATAAAAAGAACACGATATGCGCTCAAGGTGTGCTCTCTGGTCATCCGAAACAGGTTAATCCGCTTTTTCAATTCACTAGGAATATCCATGCTCGGATATGTGACTTCTTTGCAAAATTCAAACATTAAGTACAGGGTTTAGGGAACAGAAAATAACCAGAAACAATCCCTTCGGGTCCGAAAAGAGCCTCATCAACTTGTGCGGAGTTCACCACGGATAACACGACGATATTGGCACCTGCAGCAGCACTCTCTCACAACAAGTCATATAGGAACATATAGGGCTCGACTTGTGAGAAGAAACTTGTGAGAACTTGGGGAAAACATAACATGATGCATTACAGTGAAGTGAATTGAGTAAGTAGTTATGATGTCACACAAATCTAAAAGCCACCAAAGATGCTCCCAAGAGGCTGTCACAAAATTAAATCCCGATGAACACTCATGGACGTTATATGCCACGCACCTTCCACTGAACCTGCTGGGCTGCTGCTTGTCAATCCACCAGCCTCCTGGAACTTGGATAACTGAACCTCTGAGATCTGAAACCCATAGAGTACATAATGCCCATCTTGGACTGTTAATTCGACAATGCCAACTACTGCTGATTGAGACTGGATTCATTAACCCCTAGGGGATCCACTTCCAAATGTAAATACTACATAGAAACATGTAGCACATGAAGCAGGCTGAAGGTGTACTCACATCAAAACCATTAACCTTAAATCCTGCTCGGAGGAGACTAGTGGCCATCCCAAGGCCCATGGCACCCAATCCTAGAAACGCAACCTTGGTGTCCCCCATGTCTTCTGCTTTTTCGACCATGAATTATCTGTAGCAACGAAAACTACAAATCAATGATTATTAGCAGTCTCTTACAGTGGATTAGAAGCAGGATTCTATAAGATTTGCGAAAGGAAAATTAGGAATGGATGGAAATGATCGAGGGCACGGGTCAACGTAAGATCTTATCACTACTCTCTTTTCCAAAGACAGACCCAGCTCAAAAAATTTAGGAAGTTTAATCCATCCGAACTCTCTGGTTCTCTTCATACATTGAAATGTGATCGCAATGCGCACCAGATTCATATGAAAAGAAGGGAGGTCGAATTCAGTAGAAACGCTGGACCTTGTTCCCCAACCTCATTGTTTCTACCTCGGCTCTACTGTATTCATGTGACCTCGATCATAGACAAGCGACCTCCGCGAGGTACAAATTTCTGATATAGTACAAAGGTCTGTAATCTCTTAGAGCAGCTCGGTCTATTCAAACACATTGGTATTCAATCTAGTTGTACAGGTAATATCAAACTCAAAGAGCTTATAAAATGAAAAATGCGAATATACATTAGAATTTAAACAAAACTCAACACACAATCCATCTCCGTTGCGAACCGGATAGTGCTCACAATCATCAGACATTACTGCCACGGAGCTTCTCCTCTATCATCTAATGCCATACGCAGAGTATTCGAGACCACAAATCCCCCGCTCCCAGGCACATCCGCCCATAATCAAACCCCATGGCTCCCATTCGATTTCATCTCAAGCACAAAGTCAAACAAAATCTGATCCAACAAAACCACTTACACCAAACCACAAAAATCTACATTCACGCAAGCCTACCTACAGATCTTCTCCATAGATCCCCACGCGCAACCAGCAACAATACTACCCCTTCCCTCAAAATCACTCAATTAACCAACGAACCACAGCAAAAATTAGCCAACACAATACCATTGACTTCCCACATACCCTGCTTTGCCGCTAATCCCCCGCTACCGCTAGTGACAGATTCAAGCTTTAAGGTAAAAGCTCCACCTACAACAGAAACAAAGCTCCTCTCTCCCACGACCCGAAGCTTTCATTCTAACACAAAACTTGCAGAGAAAAAAACCTCACCAATGCGAGTGAAATCCCGACCTCGTCGCACAGAAGTGCTGAGGATGCGTAGCTAATTACAAAATCGGGCAAGCAATCCACGACAAACAACGAAATGGCAGCTGGAAATCGCAGCGTGCTGCTGCGTCAAGAGCATGGAAGAAAACTTTCCCAGCGACCAGGCCTACAATCTATTGGCATCTCCCGCTACAGCATCTGCCAGCATTCATCGTATGGATGAAATACATTCATCTGAACGGAGATCCGACTACAGCCAGATGGGTCACGCATTCCTTGAGGGCGAGGTGCCCTGAACACGGCCCTGCCCGGAGCGATGGCACATGTTACACATGGAATCCTCCTAGAGCGGACAAGGGAGCGAGCGCCGAGAGTCGGTGATCGGTGACCAGGCGCGGTCACTGGTGCTCTTCTCCCTTCACAGTGTGCATCCCAACCTTGTAACTGATGTTTGAACGAGGTGGGCAACTAATTCCGTCCAGTAATGTTCCTGTCACTTACCGCAATTCTCTGCACAGATTTGTTATTTCCTTTATTTCATTATTGAGAATTTGCATCGAAGATTCCGCGGTGTTTGAATGACATCTGTACATGTATAAATCTGCACCGATGGAATCAATGGATAAGATCTGTGGGTTAAGAAGATAACATCGAGTACATTTAGGCATTTTGTTGCGTTGTTTCTTCGTTTAAAATTTCAAACTTTTAAGCTATAAATACATCTTTTTGTGTTGTTGTGGTAAAACTCTTTCTTTCTTCCTTTCATTTGCAAAAATAGGGATAAGTTTACCCAACGTCAGGATAATGAGGGCTTGGAATTTAGTACAATCGGAATTTATTGATTGACTTTTTCCCCAAAGTGAGATATGTTTATACCTTGGTTTATATTTAACACCTATCTTGGTTCAACCATGAAAGGTTGCAATGCTGTAATAAAAATAAATAAATAAATAAAACAATTAGTCACATGATGATGATGATGATGATGTGGGATTCCGGTATTGCTCATTTATCCGCATTCATTCATGTCCGTCCAACCCTATAATGTCAGTTGTGAATTATGACTTTTCATAATACCACATGAAATTATAAATTAGCATAATTTGTTTAAAGAAAATTACTTGTCAAGTTTAACACCCTCATTACAAGGAAATACAGTATATTATCCATGTCACTCTTACCTTATTTGTAATGTTTTTTTGATCCCCCCCTCCTCTATTTTCACTCTCCTGTGTGAAAGGGGTATATATCAAAGCCTGCTTGAGAAGAAAAAGATACATGGTGACAGGATTGACAATATAGGATATTTTGATCACCTGTTTTGCCACCCAATCCCCATTGGACCATGACGACCAATGTGGGGTATCACATATAGCGGGTTGAGTGCTCCAAGGGCATGTGCCTCCACAAAATCGACCCAAAGTATTTATTCTCCACACTATTTAAGACGTCCACTGCGTTCTATTCAGTCACGATGAAAAGATCACACCAAGTGGTTAAGTTTAAATTTTTTTTTTTTCTTTCAAGGCAGTTCTGACATGGAAAGTCCCGCCTATAGGTGCTGACTTGGAATTCCAGGTGGATTTTGATGGATATCCACGTGTCATGTAAGATTACATCCATTTAGGGATGAATGAAATGGATTATGAGAACATCGGTTTCCGAATGCAAGGAACTCTTCAGGGAAAAAACCTGGTCGTGAGGGTTGGGAATGCGGGATTTTCTTGGATGGGCCCCGCATCTTCGAGTGAATCTTGACCGTGTTTTTTTTTCTTTCCCGGAGGATTGCTGTTGAATTTGCGGACATGTTGGAGTAACGTGCATTGCTTGTGCGAGGCTCCTGTTTTCGAGGACTGTTTTTCGTGGAAGGTGGTGGTGGAGACGCAGCTAGGGTTTGCTTGGGGTCGAGGATGAAGTAGCCACCGATGTTGGTGTGGAATTTGTGCAAGTTTTGTACACTTTCAAGGATGTATTGAAGTATTTGAAAGAGGTAGTGGATCGACCACATCATAACTGGAAGACTTGGTGGGAATCGTTTGTTGTGGAGAAAGGAGTTTCTAGGCGAAGATCTGTTGAAGTGAGGGTCGTGAACCGTGAGCACATGGTCGGCAACAGGAGCAACAGTGAAGGTGAGACGTGATGACTGACGTTTACGAGATGGAAAGAGAAGAGGAGACGTACGCGTCAGATAGGGATACGACGGGTTGGCGGAATTTCTGGGCTGTGCGATGGACGAGAACGAAAGTTATCACTCCACTTATGGTGATCCTCCGCAGGTAAATGTTCTGCTTCTGTTTTCGCAGTTGTCTTTACGATCATCTGTGTTGCGACGAGTTCTCTACTTGGAAGCTTATCTGTTGTGTCTTTCTGCACGGGCAGAGGAAGCGAACCGAAACAACTTGCCTTTTCGGCAGCTCTAGGCTTTACTCTTGGCGTTTTTCCAATTTATGGAGTCACTGTCCTTCTTTGCGGAGTAGCAGTGGCGATGCTAGGCGCTAAATGCAATGCTCCGATACTGATGTTGGCCAATCTCATCGCGACTCCATTCGAATTTACCTTGATGATACCCTTTCTGCGTGTTGGCGAAACTCTGGTAGACGCCAAACCATTCCCGCTGACGAAGGATGCACTTTGGGAAGCTCTTAGTGGAAAAGCCTCTAGCGAATTGCTCCATGCCATTGGTCATGGGCTGCTTGGATGGCTTGTTGCTGGCCCTTTCCTGTGCTTAGCGATGTATTTCGTGCTCTTTCCGGTTATAAAGTGGTCGCAACGTCAACTTGGAGGTCAGAATCGGACGCCAAGCGAGCGCGTAGTGCTATTGAACGAGGATGCTCTGGGAAAGAAAGCCATCGGAGAGTGATATCAGGGTCTACGTACCAACGTAAAGCTCCACGCCTCCGTGATGTCATTATTTAACCGACTGTAATTCCACTCTCTCACTCTCTTTGGTAGTTTGGCAATTCAGACTCACTACCGTGATCGAGTAGTAAACATTACTCTATGCTGTACTGGAAGCTTTGCTTGCGACTTCCAATTGTACCATTGTACACTACATCTAGTGATGAGATAACTATTCTTACTGCTTAGCATCAATGAGAGATGCTGACTGCTCTGGTGGTTCTATTTTGATGAAGAGGCCGTCATTTCAGCGGCCGTCCCAGCATGAATTTAAGGGCATCTCATTCCCACATTTCACACAAATCGAGATATGTCATTGTGGAGTGTACCCGTTACTGAATATTTCCTGATCAGACAACTCAATATAAACAAAGCTCGCGTCTCTGGCATCGAATACGAAACTTCGAACTTAGAAAGTTACCTTTCTACAACAAACATCACTTATGAAGTAGGCTCCTAAATGAATCATTCCAGAAATTGCCGCTGAAACTAGAAGAGAGCGAATACTGACTAATCTGATACTTATGGAGACTGCTCGTGGAGTCTTAAATACCTTCAAAGGACATAATCATCTACTTTGAGCACAAAGTCCCACATAAAACGTGTCTCTGGAACAACCATTGCTGTGCTGAAGGCTGCTAATCTTTAAGCACTGGAACCTACAGAATCTTGGCCTCACGTCCAATGTGAGCAAGTTGGAGTTGCACGGGTCATTGCGTGCTGCAGCCAAACTTTTATTACAATTCCAGTCGCAACGTTTTAATGCGCTGTGTCTCGACAGGGATACGGTTCTGACGATGCGATTAATCAGAAATCGAGAGGAATCGCTGGAGTGTCTTCAGAATAATTTCAGGGGTACACGGTCCGAATAAGCCAAGCAGATCGTCCTCGTTCCAGTTGGGAACGTTGGAGCGTCGCGCCAAAGGACATTCTCCGATTTGAAATAAGCTATCTAAATTTGAAATTTTCGGGTTGCACGAGGAAGTACGTCCACGCGAGCTGCACCGGGGGGTTCAACGTCAACTGGCGTCACCGCCAACGAATTGCAGTAGACTAGACGGAACTGACCGAATCCATTAATTGCGGTGTAGTGATATCATCATCCAGTCAACTGTCATCTCTCAATCATCACCTTCCTTTGCCGCTCACAAGTTTCAAATTGCTTCTATGCTCTCATCTGCATGGTTATTTTCAATTTTGCATGGTCCGTTTTGCAGCGGGAGGAGTTGCAACGGTTGTCTTCGTCGTCGTGGATGCTATTTGCAGCTTGTGAAGGAGTGGGAGGGCATTAATTTTTTTATTTTAGGAGAAGGTGGCTTGGTATGGTGGTGTTGACTCAGTGGTTGTACATTAGTATTAGTAGTTGAAGTTGTTGGACTTGAGCTCAATGCGGTTGTTGTTTGAAGTTCAATTGTTGAGGTCGCCGTTAAACGCTACTTCTTGTGTAGTGTTTACATTGTGAATTTCGTCGCGGGAGGGTTAGGAGATGAGAGATTTGCATTAGATCAATGTGAAACGAGGCACTCAATTGTGAAGTACAAGGAATCTGCTACAAGTTTGTGTGACGTCGCAAGGATAAATTGCGCGTCGGGAGTGGCTGGAATGTGCTTGCGGGATATTGATGTTCGGAGAATGAGCAGGAACAGCCGTCGCAACTGCGGATAGTTGAAACACTTACTTGATTGTTAGTCTGGTCGTAGGCAAACATCTAGCTCGCAATTCTTCCCGTACTTTCTCGTTATCAAAGGGTCAGTGACGAGGCAGTTCATGAGTAAACTGCCTTTGTGACGGTTTAGAGAATTCCTTGAGTTGCACACTTGAGGCTGTCCATGGACTTGGTTATGGTCTGGACGGTATGCCACAGCTGTAGCCAACGACTTGGTTCAAGAGGTCTGATTAACTCGATGAAAGTCTGCCACAGATTTGGAGTGTGTTAGATTTTTTCAAATTCAGGTATGTATTTGTTGTGCCTATTGATTTCCAATCTCCGCACTGGTCTTTAGTCGTACCAAGTCGTCCATCATCATGTTTTTGATAACGCGCTGCAAATTACTCATTTGTGCACAATCCGTGAAATTACCATTGTAGTTTTTTTACGAGATTTATAGGTGGTGCTCTACAAATTAGAAGACAATGTGGACAGAACTGCAACAGATATGACTCTTTACAGGGAGAGACGCTGTGATTACTTAGAGAAGCTCTACTTAAGCTGTAGGCCAACTCTATTACTCGATTTTATTTTATTTTATTTTATTTTAAGTTGGTTCAACCTTCCTTACATGGGTGTACAAATGTTTCTTTGTCCAGTAGTGAAGCTGGAGCATACTTTAAGCAAGATGAAGCACAGTCCTAACGCTGAACAGTTGCGAGGTGCAGAAGTAGTAAAGGGTAGGTTGAACCGTACTTCGAGGTCATTACAAGCAGCTAATATGATCATTGCTCGAAACCCGAATCCGATGGGACTTTCAGATATGTTGGATAGTACATCTGACAATCTCAATGGTCAAAACGGGAACTCGAGTGGGCTGCTTGGGAACAATGTGAAGCAGGGCAATGAAACTACGAGAGAATTCAAACTCGCGGAGTGCCTCAAGGAGCTCGCATCATTTCAGAGGTCTGTCTTAGAAGACCCTCAAGAAGATTATCCTATGCAGCCCAAAGATCTCAATACTCTGTTTTCGGCAGGGATAATCCAGTCAAAACGAGTGGAAAATGCCGATGCACTGTCTGCTGAAGCCAAGGGCACTGTTTCTGAGGATCTTGGTAAAGCAGGATGCAACGTTGGTGCAGTGAAAAGCACAAGACGACGTGAAGTGAAAGCCATACAACAGAAGCCGTGGTCGTTCTCCACAAAAACTTCCGTGCGGCAATTGAAGGGGGATGCCGGTGTTGGCAAGATTGAAAGGCTTATCCGTATGAGCAAAAAGTCACCTGTGGTGGGCGCAAAGTCCAGACAATATGTCATACATTCGAATCCACTTGCGACTGGCCGGAGGTTGTCCACAGCGTCTTCAAAGAGGAGAGACTCACTTGAACTGTCACCTACGAAGTGCAAGCGTATGAGTAACTCTCCGACACTCAAACCGAAGTCGGCTGAGAAAAAGAAATATGGCTTTGGTATCCAGGCGGCAAACGCGGGTAACAGGAAGACCTGTTCAAATAAGGAACAAATGCCAACCCTTAAAGGGGGAAAGGCTGAAAATAAGGCATTAAAGCACACGGACAGGCAAAAGGTGATTCTCAAGAGAGTGATGAGTAGTCCAGTGAATGGGAAGAAGAAGGTTCTTAGAGAGACGGCTAGTGGCCTCATGTCAAGCGTTGATCTTTCTGCCGCAGCCCGCAGAGCACGTCGTTTGTCCCAAGTTCTTAGAAGCGAGCACGAATTAAAGCACCACAACCAGCAGTACGCAAAAGAGGCACAACAACTGCGGCAGCAATTGGCCATAAAGGAAGATGAGGTGATTCTTAGAACTTTGTTTGTTCCGTTCAATAAATTTCCTAATTGTACACCATGTGGAAAGAAGACACCTATACATGTTACTTCTTCGATGGAAATCGCCCGAGACACGAGCTCTCCAAGTTTTTGGAAAACTTGTCATTTCTGCTACCTGTAATTATCGGCGAATCACCGCCAATATCCTCTGCAGTGAAAGATCAGTCTCAACCATTTCTTGCACATCCTCCAACGTTGTGCAGGCTGATAGGGCTCAATCAGCGAGCATGTTGTTAAGGCAAATATGTGCAAACCAGGCTGCAGAGCTGAAGTCTTACAAGGAAGCGGTTCCAATTCTTATGAAGGAATTGTCTGAAGTTCGAGAGAAGTACTTCAAGCAAGAGGACGATTTGCAGTTCGAGCTCAACGCTAAACTTGGCTTTCAGACAGAGGTCTCCAATCTGCGGGATTGTGTTGAGTCTCTTACAAATGACATCCAACAGGTAAATTTCTGAAATAAGATATCAACTGCAGTCTTGCTATTGCATCATGTTAATTTTGGCCAAGTATACAAATATGGAAAACTCAGAATATAACCTGGAGTTATCTTTCGCACAGGCAGGCGAAGTTGCTAACTTGGTGTTGTGTTGAATTTAGCGACATACTTCGGTTGAACTTAGCGACATACTTGTGTTGTATTTTCGGTTCGTAACCTCGGGATCTTTTGGGTTTTCCATTATTGGATTCCTTGTGTATGAGGAGCTGTGATATATTGTGCTTTTGAATTTTTGGGGGCTGCTTCATTGCAATTAGCTTTAGCTGGAGAATGAAGAGCAGTGGAGGAGATTTCGTATTGAACAGATTTCTCGTCCAGAGGTTTTTTCGGTCTGGATAACTCTGCTATGTGTGTGCAGACAAGAACAGTAAACACTGCCCTGGCGAAACGTGTCCATCAGTATGAGAAATCCGTGTGCACCAGTTGTCGACTTTACATTAATCAAAAGCCGATGAAGAAGGAGGTTTGTAAATTACAGCTAGATTTTTGTTTGAAACTGTCGAAACTTGTAATAGGATGGATGCTATGTAGATCGATGCCTGTATATATCGATTCTAATGAGATGAGATGTGTGTACAGATGTCCCCCATGCCTAGTAAGACGAAGGCTGGTCATCCTTTAAAAACACCTATAAGACTACGCTCAGATTCTAACCTTGGGAGATGGAATAGTCCAAGGGCTGCTTTGACGTCAATGAAGGAGGTAGCCTTCTATCCTGCTCCTGCACTCTTGAATTACGACTAGAGATAGTGTAACAAGATGTACAATATCGCAATTTCCTTAAGATTTAAATCTTACTTTGTGACGTTATGTTTCCTCTCGAAGTGACCATTGTAACATCTAAACTCTGGGTGCACTGCTATGTCAGATGGAGAATTCTTGGCAACTGGAAAACCAGAAACTACCTTTTAAAAGCACAGGAGACGTCAATCAGAATCCGCTGAAAGATCTGGAGCAGCACGATTTCGCTCTTCAGGCAAGGTGTGAGAATGTATCACAAGGATTGTCAAATTCAGATTGCCCTCCGGTTGATGCACTGAAGAACAGAATCAGTAGTCTCTTGTTCACTGCTTCTCAAGCTTTAGAAAATCAACACCGAGCCATGTAAAGTGCTGTACAATACTACATATCTATGATCGGTTTATTTACATCAAAACCCCCACTCAGTCTTCACTTCGAAGAATCATCTTGAACTTGGTTTAGCTGCTTTGAACTTACTTGCCTATACCCCGTCCGTGGCATAGATCTGATGCGAATGTCGTGCACATTTGATCAAAACCTGTAGTTGACTCGAGTAGTGAGGACGTAAATCTTCATAGCACATGTGAATTTCCAGTGGGATGTCGAGATCAGTGCGACGAAACATCCTGTTGTAATTGTTGAATGGATTAATTACAAGTGTCTGGAATATTCTAGATCAAATTACATCCTGAGATTATGATGCTTTTCACTAGGAGGAGCTAATCAAGTGGGATCCAGGTTGTGGTGCTCGGTTTGGATGATAATCAAATTTGCATTCCTCTTCTTAATGTGGAAACTTAGAAGTGCTTGGTTAAATCCCACATCATTATTGTTCTAATTTTCTATGACCTTTTCTTCGACTTTCTTGCAACGCATGTTTGTTTAGTCAAAGCAGTACAAGTCAGGTTCAGAAATTAGCAAATTCTAACAGCCAAATCAGATTACTTTGACGCATCAAAAATCATCAAAAAAATAATCCTGAAAGATAACACAGGAGAAGTTCTATTTGAATACTTTCTAAAGATTTCAGATAGAGAGCCATGATACAGTTTGGTAAATTTCCAAGATGTGTTTTTACAGTTTAAGTTAACTTTTTAGGGTTTAAAGTGAATGAAACGGTACATTGTTTAAAATTTTCAAAAATCAATTTCAATTGAATTATTTCTCTATTTCTCTATATTAGAATATGAATATGGAAAGTAACGAAATATTATCACTAGTAAATTTACTTATCGACTGCAAAGCATATTCATTTGCATACAAACTTGTCGTTATTTCTTATGTTTTGATTGTTGGACATTTAAAAAAAATTGTTCTACTTTTTTAAGACAGTACATGTTGTTTTTAAAAAGAAATCAAGCACTCTCAAATTAAAAAATTGCTTTTCTTTTCTTTTGTGAAATCTCTTACTTTTTATACAGAATTGTTTTCTTTGGTTTCATAGAAGAGATTGTATTTTTATTGACAAACATTTTGTCCTAAAAACATCTCACAATTTTTTTTTAAAATACTTAAAAATTGAAATGAGTTATTTAAGACAAAAACATACTAAAAATATATATGTAATTTCAAAAAAAATTAGTTGTACTTTGTTTTATTGAAATTAATCAGTTAACATATATTTTAAATTATAACTACTCTTTCAAATCATATTTTGTACAACATCAATAGTAACTATCTTAATCAAATATGTTTCTAATAGCTATATTTCAAGTAGACCTAAACTGCAAAGAAAATTTTGTAATTTTATGTTTTATGACTTTAATTTAAAATAATTAAAAAGAATATGATTATCACCGTGAATTTCGTTCTTTATTTTATTCAAAATTATGATGGTTTATATTTTCTGAAAAATAACTATAGATGAACAAAAAATTCATGAAAAAATTCATAATTTTTTGCACGTAAGTCATACAGGTAGATTTATATCTAGATACACATGATCAATTTTTACAACCCAAGTCACCACAAAAATTCCATACAGTAATTGAAATAAATTTTCATTATAAAATTTTTAAAAATATGAAGTTGTGCATAATTTGAATGCACATGCAACAATACATTAAAACACAATGATTGATGATTTCATTCCGGAGTTTTCATCATTTTGCAGTGAGCTTGGTTGGTTATTAAATAACTTCTAATAATCTCCACAAAATAATATACGTGTATATTCTCATACAAACAAAAAGAAAGAAAGAATGAATACCTGCACCCAAAAACACACATTGAAGGGGTTATAAAGACGTCTGTGCCGGTCACCGTCCGACACCGATATCTATCGAAGCTTCCCAGTTTCGCACGTGCCATAAAAATCCCAGTTTTACATTCAGTCGGCCAGCCCGATGCACTTGAGCAGATGAATGAGCAAAAAACTCGGTGGCAGAATTTCAATTCCCGCAGTTGGGTGCCCTCGATTCTATAGATTGAAACCATCACTATCTACCTAGAAGTGGCAATGAAGCTTGAATGTGACTGCAAGCATTATTGGAAAATGATTACCAAAGAGTTTCATGCAACACACCAACAGTTTATAAAAGTGGCGAAGGAGTTGAAATTTGCCTGTCCGATGATGCTACGATCATGGTTCTGATCACTAACCCAGCTGAAGCTGTCACCCACCTAAAGCCCTGACGCAATTGCGTTGCGACCGCGTGCAAACTTAGTTGCACAGGGAATGGAGAAAAAATATTGATAAAACCAACAATTGTTGAGAAGTTCAATTTGTGTGTGAGCTTGTCGAATGTAAAATATGCTTTGTAGAAGAACATCCATTAATGTGTGGTTAAAAAAATTAATGATTATTTTACTGCTTTAGATACAATTCAAATTAAGGTAGAAGTTGTTATAAAAATGTCTTGTATTTTTGTCTAATTAATGTATGTATGTGAGTTTCTTATGTATATGTAAGCTTGTTTACAATTTTATCAAATAATCCATTGGAGGTGTCAAGAGGTAGTAGGGGCAACACCTTTGCATCATAATGTACAAAACCTGGTATGCCAGGAGAATACTTTTTGGTTGCCTTTCTATGAATCGTTGTATAACGACACAGGGAAAGCGGAACAATTGAGTGTGACGTCCAAAGTAGTTCGAAGGAAGATTGGGATCGATGGGTTTCATCATGTTGGACCTGGAGTGGGTGGAGTGCGGATTGCGATTGTGATACTCCGTGAATTCAGCTCCATTGACTGGTGAAAGTGCCGATGGGGTCCATCATTGACTGATGATGCAGTATGAAAATGTGATCGCCGTCTGAACTGTAGCAAGGATGCGGGAAGATTTGTGGTTTCGAGGCGGCTCTGATTCTGCACTTTGTGGGGCGCACTTGATTCTATCCAACGTCATCTTGCTCACTCACAGAACTGAGGAGAATGATTGAAGAAAAATATTAAGTTCTATGCAGCTGTGCCGAATTCCTCATCGTGGCAGAAATCAAGGTATGTGACGTCAGCGGTATGGAGAGTGCATCTGTCATCTTGGCCTGTAAAGCTTATGTATATATATATATATATTTCATAAGGGAAGAAAGGCCAAAAGCTAGATCGTGTTGGTCGAGCCGCTATGCTGTGTCTTTTCATTTTCGTCGTGTGAAAATAGGGGTTCTGCTCTTAAGCATGATCAACGTTATGACCATTGTGGCTGAGATCGTGGCGCCAACAAGCTCGATGGATGCAGAGTACTTATTACCATCCTGTCCTTTGCTTTAACCGCCGTAAACTCTTCGTGCCATGTTGCTTCGATTGTAAGACGAATCACAAACTCCCAGAGGCAATTGTGCTTCCACTTTTATGAGTGAAGGGAATCTGCAATGAACTTTTTTTGTTCTTGCACAAGTTAAATTCAGGATTGGTCAAGTAGGTAAGGCACAACTAGTTCGCAGACACGCACATCTGCGTGATTTAACAACAGTATTGCATGTATGTTCACGCAGAAGTATCAACAAAGAAATGCATGCATGTGTATTTGACTAAGCGGCAAGCGAGGTTTGCATATGACTACATGCTTTATTTGAACACAATAACTCAAAGAATACAATCATCGAAGGAGACTGCAAATGAGCAGACAAGGCTTGTAAGCTACAGTGGAAACAGAACTGCCAAATAGGCCTGCTGCTCGCTAATGGCTCAGTTTGCTAAGACATAATTTAACTCGGAATGCTGCAAGACAGAAAAAGCTCGGAGCACTGTCTAATTGTGTCTTCAGGACTAGTCACAGTGTGACCGATGGTCTTCTCGGACTCAAAGATTTCGTGGTCGTTGCCACCCTAGAAAGAGATGGAAATGCAAAATAGATTAGGGAGCAAATCAAACTACTACGAGTAGAACGATTACACTAATGTTCCAAGTCACAAACTGAATCCTAGAGTATTAAGAGAGGGATGACTTAAAAGAAAAATGTGTACCTGGTAGGTTTTGTCACCAAAGAAATGGATCTCGGAGAATTCGTTCTCAACGAATTGCAGGCAGAATGTCTTATCCCATCCCTTGGGAAACACCTAAGTCGAAAGAACATTCGGGTTTAAGATTGTTAATACAATCGTACGGAGCTTTGCGCAACTATCTTTGACCAGTGAAGTCTTTCCTAAATTTAAGACCTGACAGACAGTGCCTCTAGAATGGCATAAAGGTGGCACGTACGAAAATGAGCAACTTAGAATAAACCAAGCTTGCAAATCCAACGGAAAAAGTTTCAACTCACATCGAAACTGATTTGACCACCAATGGAGAATGTCAAGCTGTAGTCCGCAAACTTCTCCTTGAGGATATCCACGAACTGCTTCCTCACGTTGTGGATCTGGAATAAAAAAAAGTTGCACGGTTATCGGCTACTTCAGAAACTATTTCAGTTGCAACAGATCAGACAATAAAACAAGCACACAGGCCACTAAGAGCTGACGGGATCGCACAAATTAACCTGTTTAACAAAGCAAAGATTACCTTATCATAACGCTCAAACTCGTCACGCTCTTCTTGGCTGCAGTTGCGGCCGATTGGAGAAACATTGAGCATACCCATGCGAAACTCGACGAAAGTTCCCCTGTCATTGCAAACAATGCTGGTGTTAAATAGTCTCTAAGCTTAAAGCTTGCGAGCCAGAAGTTCAGAAACACACATCAACGCTGATGACAGAGGCATTCTCCTCACATTTTAAAACTATTAACACTGAAACAAGCAATTTATAGCTATGATCGGGCTTGGCGTGCCAAGCTTAAGAGCAGGCCTGATCTACACTGGTCTGCTAAAAAAATGGACGAGGTAAGGGACAAACAATTTAGTACTATACAGCAATGCTGGCTAGAGAAGCTACAAAGTGACTTCCGCTCACCTCTTAATGGGGATATCAAGATCAGCAATGTAGTGAAGCACAAAGTTGATGAATTCTTTCAACTTTGCCTCTCCCAAGTGTGACTTCAGACTCTGTCACCCCACGTTCACAGATTTGACTTAAGTAGTTGCACCATGAACTCAAATGGGCAGTTCCGAAGTCAACCTGGCACCTACGTAAAGAGATGAGAGGAAAAGCGACTCTTAATCACCTGGCTTCCGATAAGCTTTCCCGCCTTGTGGGCAACCAACCCATTCTCAGAAAAAACGTAGTCGTAATCCGTAACAGCTGCAGGGAAAAATATGTAAATGAAATGAACTCCACGTCCAACATCACACTTAAGCAATACCAGTTTGGACATTCATCAAAGATATCACAAAAGTCATGCATAGAAAACCACGTACCACAATGGCAACATAGGCCAAAGGAAAGCACTGTCTTCTACCAAAGTTAACAATGAAAGGATACAAAAATAGTTGAACTGTACCAGTTTTCCCAAGTTGTTCTGAGATCTTGACGAGATCCGAACCTCCCACAACACCTATGGTGACCACCTGTACACAAGCCAGCAGATAGAAGAGTAACATTAGCACGGAGCAAAAGTAGAGGAAAACTGTGAGTAGATCTAGCGTTAATGCCGTGTATCGCTTCAATGCACTATGCGGGAACTACGACATTGCAACTTCATAATTCACTATGATGAGCCATCGCATACCCTGACATATGGGTAGTGATACATACCTGACGTAAGTCCTGGAGAAACTGGAGCATGTCCGCTGACACCTCCTGTTACACAAACCCCAACAAAAAAAAAAGTATCGTGAATTGAGTTGGATCTGGATAAATTGGCACACTAAAACGACAAGCTAGGCTATTCCCCATCACATTGCCTCCTCCGACCACATTGCTCCCACAGGTTGACGAACCCATTCCGAAAAGGCCCAGAAACACAGATCTCAGGAACCAAGTCACAAAAAAGAAAAAATTGCACCAATTTGCAACAAATCGACAGAAACTGAGCAAGCAGGGTACGAGACGATCCGAAAAGACAACGCTCAGATCTTAAGACTCTACAGTAATCCTCCAAACCTAGCACAAAAGGACTTGAAGCATTCCTGGCAGATTGTTCACCTTCCGAGGAGGCGTGAGGGTGCCATCCACATCGAAGAGCGCAATCACACCCTCCTTCCGTCCCATCTCTCCCTCCGGTCTCTCCTCCTCGCTCGCTCGCTCTCTTCGACTCCTCTGCGGCACAATACGACAAGACCCACAAACCCCCTCACAACCAAAATCTTCTACACAATCTCAGAAAGGAAACACTCCCTCAACGCTGAAATACCACCGAGGCTCCCGCAGCCAGACGCCAACACCACATCAGCTCCACGGAGTACTCACCGGGCTCTGACAGGGCTGGACTGAGTCCGGATGAACAATGGAGGGTTTACGTGAGACGCAGGCACGGACTAATACAGTAACACGGATTCAGAAGCGTCTAGTGGGGTCCTCGATCATCACGCCAGTCACGACTTCCCTCCTACCCATCCAATCATGCATTTCGTCTTCGGGGCACGAAAGGGGACGACGATGCGAGTGTTTCTGTGCATTATTGCAGCCCTGATGCAATTTTCCAGTGGCGCCATGTTGCCTTCGTGTGGCCTGTGCTTTCAATTCTGTTTGTTCGGTGACCATGGGAATCGGCATCCCACGGGCCTCGCATGGCAGCAGCGGAGGAACCCTATATTTCCTTAATTCACTATCAGTCTTCTAATCGGTTGTCCGCCATCTTCGCATGGTGATTAGATTATTTGAGGAAAAACGGAGTTTCGGTCATGTTTGATCTTTTACATCAACTATGATATTCAAACAATCAACTCGCATTTTAACACCGATCTTGCTTGCAACTCTGTTAAGATAGTAACTATAAATTGCACACCGAACTACTGATATTTAATGGGGGCAAAACAATAATGTGTTGAAGTCACAACAAACTACGCGTTGTTTAGAAGTCTTTTGTGCTAATTGAATTCCATGGGTGCTATTTGGAATTTGAGGCTGCGTAATTGCTGTGCTCAACGATTATAACACTCAAATGTTCCCTGAACACGAATAGAGACTTCAAAGTTGAATTCTTTTACATTTTCGCGTACCGTGTTGACATTACTGAAGCTAGGTTAGGTATCTCACTTTAACATTCTGGTTTTGTTTTGTTTCATTTAAAAAATATCAAGTTCATGGTGTTCTGTCTTTCGCTTTTTCTCCAGTAACTCAGGTGACAGCTCTAATGTTGTCTGTACACTTAATTCCAACAGTGTACTACACTGTTACTTTGAACCTTATCTATAATTTCAAAATAATTATCGATTGAAAGACCGTCGAGAACTTGCTTGGAAATCGGTAGCTCGGGAAATGCAAGATTTCATTTTGGATGCAGAAATTCTCGTGTGCAGATTTTTGCCAAATGAGCTGTGATGAATAGAAATGTTTCATGTTTTATCCATTGTTCAGTGCTCTACGAGACAATGTATGAAGTTTCGCAACCAATTTTGAGTTGATTACAATGGAAGGATTATACTCGAGTTACTCTGGTACTGACAATGCGATGAAGTGATTCGCACAACCCTGCTGATGCTCTCTTCCCATTGCTGGTTTCAGCGAACTGACGAAATCAGGAGATGGAGAATTTGCCTACTGCAGAAGTTGAAGAGATGGAAGTGAGGATATTATACCATTCTACTGTGATGGCTTGCAAGTTCGAAGATACGAGTTCAGGTACGCTCCGGCAGGGGCCAAAATAATTTATCTAGCAATGGGAGAAGGCATTGAACTGTGGAGAATAGGACTGCAGGTGATTTGTGGATGATAGGTAAAATTACTTCTCAAAAGCAAATTTCAACTCTTATCAGAAAGGTTGCAAGTGCTATATATTCTGACTAATGCGTGCAGAATTCTTAGTACTACAATTTCAGCTTCAGAGACATGCATATCTCAACTGCTGCAGCATGCTTTCTAATCCAAAAGTGACCAAACATGTGCTATACACACCACTTGTAGATTGGAGTAAGAATATAGAAGCAGAGGCAAGGTATTCACAACCATTCCGTGACTGCCGAAAGGTCGGAAACTCATGGTGACAGTAGGACCCCTAAAACTCTAGGAAGAGACACACGAGGCCTTTTGTTAGAGGCAATAAAATGCAAGTGAGTGAACCCTACCCTGTGTAGAAGTGGAATCTAGTAACTTGTATTCGTTGACAGCAAAGGAAATTCAACAGTCACTTGGGTCAGAAGTGTGGGTTGCGTCCACTGGGGTAAAGGTTGAACAGAGAAGGAAGACAATTCCCAGAGGAAGTCAATCATACGAGACGAATTTTGCAACCTTGATCTTAAGACCGGCTCATTGAATTATCGTAAAAATGATGTACATAGTCTACAATCCGAATGAGAAGGGTTTCTCTCTGCAGATTACAATCACACAGTCGTCAACGAGAAACCCAAAAAAAAGGTATGCATTCCCTTCTCCCATCAGTAACGGAGCGACAGCAGTTTACAAGCCCTACATTGATCAAACCTCACAGGAGGGCAGAATGATCGAACCTAACGATGGATTTTATGCAGTGGCCGACTGCTCCGCAGCGGCGAACTGGGACGCCAGCTTGTCGAGTTGCCCCTTGACGCTCATGTCGATGTAGCGGGAGCCGTCCTTACCGTATTGCACAATAAACCCAGCGATCAAGGTAGGGTCCAAGACATTCTTAATCCTCACATTCTTCGCACCACACAAACTCTGGATCTTCTTGGCGATGAGGGCGAGCTGCGGCTTCTCAATCTTCACAGCCGAGATAACAGTGGCCACCTGGGTATCCGTCAACTCGTTGTAAATGACCTCAAATTCCTTGGTGACTTCCTTGATGAGGTCGATCCGCTTCTTATCGACCAAGAGGTTGAGGAAGTTGAGGGTGACGTCGCTAAACTTAGCATCCTCAGCTACAGTCTTGAGAATGCTCTTCTTCTTGTCACCATCAATCACAGGCGACACCAAAAAGTCATACAGAGTCTCGTTAGTCATCAGCTCGCCCAACGCCTCCATGTCCTTGTTAATCGTATCCAAGGTGTTGGTAGCCTGCGACAGGTCCGCCAAAGCCTCAGCGTACCCACCAGCGGCAGTCTCCGTCTTTGCCACCACGACGGCCCGGCTGGGGCTAGAGGAAGAAGACGCCGACAAGGTCTTGGACACCGAAGCGACCAACGCATTACCACGGAACGCCGACCCACTTCCCGAAACGAAGCTCATTTTCACCTGCGAAACCTGCGAGGTGGGCACACCGGTTGCGGACGCGACGGGCACCACGGCCGCTCTGGCATTCGCCACGGATTGCTGTAGGGCCTCCATGTCCGTCAGACGCTCCGGTCAAAGAACACGAATACGCAGTAGGGGTCGAGAGAGAGCGGAGTCGAGCGAGTGGGAATCGCGAGCTCGAGAAACCTGCAACGCTGACTGTGGGTGCGAAGTCGGGATGTGGGCGAGAAGAATAGGAAGCAATCCAGCCACAAAGCAGCCGCAGCAGCAGCCGGCAGGGATGCGCCGGGGTAATGCCCCGCCCCACCTCTCCTCCTCCCAATGGATGGTGGCCGTGAAGATAAGGTGGAGGATATGGCACCCGCCTCTCCTTTCCTTCTCCCTTTCCTTTCCTCACTCCTTTCTCTTCGCAACAACGTTGTTGCGATGCAGATGCCGAAGTCTGTCCCTCCCTCTCCGTTTCTGCTACTTCCTCACATTTCGTGGCCACAACGCTCCCTCCTCCTTTCTTTCTGTCTTTCCTTCTTTCTGTCTTTCTTTCGTTTCTCTGCATTCCATTCGTCCACTCCGTCGCTGGTTGCGACACTAGCAAGCAGTTTGCTTATCCATGGCCAGGTCCCACCTTATCACTCACTGGAAGGAAGGAAAGTGAAGGAAATAAAACGGGGAAGTCAGGCAAGGAGTGAGTGAGTGAGCTTTGACGCCGCTTCTCTCGTTCCTGCGTTCTGGTGTTCATCATCCCCCCTCTCCCCATTTCTTCCACTTTTTAGTCACTATTATTACTTTTCTTTGACACGGTAATGGGCATCATTCTTTTGCTATTATATTGTAGGAAATAGAGCATTACCATATGTGGATCCTTTGTAGTTTGAAGGACCTCATTTGTAAGAGCAAAAGTTCTTGGAATGGATCTTTGCATTGTTTGTTTGGTTTTAAGTGGCATCCTAATTATATAGAAGAGGTCCTTTATATAATACATGTTCTTACATTTGAAATGTGAAATTGTTTATTTAGGTAAGGGTTTTATCCCTTCTTGTTGGTTATTAGGGTGAGGAATAATTAGGAGACCCAATTCTTTGTTAAGACTCAATTTCTTATAAATGATAATTTGTTGAATGGTGTTGATTTATAAATCATCTCTATATGTATTTATGTAAATTTTATTTATTTATTTAGTTTTTGTAATAATTTGGTCTTAAATTAGGAGGGTAGTAGGACAAAGTGAAGTGGTTTATTTTTCTTATGATTATTGTATATAGTAATAATTATACAAATGTATATGTATGTATATATATATATATATATATATATATATAATTATTTTCATCAAGTACAATCTTAATTGCTTCAATTCCAATCATAAACCTTGAAATCGGCAATTGTAGGGAGGCACTGCAATTGAAACTAAGATTTTGATACTTCAATATAATTGCTATCTTCCTTATCACTAAAGAAGTTACATCATTATAATCCCCTTATTTAATGGTTTTTAGTGCAAAATAGTATTTTTTATTTAATTTTTTTACTTATTTACCATAAATACTAAAAACTATAGAGATATTAACAAATAATATAAGAAAGATAATTTTTTTCAAGATTAACTTATATTATAATTCTTTTTTGTATTTAATAATAAATATATCTAAAAATAATGACTTAATTATTTATAATAAGAAATTAACAAAGTCTATCCAACTATTTATTATAGAATTAATAAGAAAGTATTATAGGATCAATGACACCACATATGAATCTTTAAAATACATACAATAGTGATTATTATTATAATTTCTATTGGCACATAATAAATCTATAATAAAAAATACCATAAATACTTATTTTACTCAAGTAATCATAAAAAAATTAAATTAAATAGAAGCTAATAAAATAAAGTTAATAAATGATATCTAAATGAAGAATTATACATATGTAAGAAAATTAGATCTATTGGTGTGTAATAAAATTGCAATATCTTTTCTAGGAAGCTTTTTACCTCTAAAATGCTACTACAAAAGCATCTTGCAACTTAGATACTTGGCCCATTAACCTTGTATTCCTTTAAAAACTTGTATATGGTCTTTTTTAATTAAAATTATTATGAAAAAGATCAAAGTAATTTTATTCTTATTATTATTTGTTTATTTTAATCTTTTTAAATAATTTGTGGTTTTTAAATATATGCATATATTAAATTATTTATTATATAAAAATAGTGATATTATTAATTTTATTTTATTTGGTAAAATAATATCCTTAATTTTTTAATATTTAAATATAGGCATTAATTTATGAATATTAAGCATAAAAAATAATAATTTTTCAATTGATAAATCCAAAAAATAAATTTAAAAGGTGCACACTCTATATTATAGTTGCTTCAAGTATTATGATTTAATTTCTATATTTCTTTTAAAACCAATATTGCTACCCTATAAAACAGTATTTTCACTTTTGTTCTTTGAAATAAAAAATAAAAATACGCACAAAAATCTATCGACATAATCAATGTTTATATATTATTAATTATTTTCAAAAGTAGGATATCACAAAGTAATAGATCTGAAACTCACTTTTTAAAACACATAAAAAACTTAAGATCTTTATGGTTATGGCCTCTTAATAGTTTGTTTGCTTATCAATGATAATAATGGATACATGTAAGTTAAGTTTTTAATAACAACTATGCATTTCTACAATAAAGATATGAATGTAGTAGGAAAAAATTACCTATGTGTTAACAAGACATTACTTCCTAATATTGGTAGTATTTTTATATAAAATTATAGAAAGCTTATTTATTTATTTATTCGTACATTCTTTTTTGTTTTGTTTTGTTTTTTTTTTTTTTTTCAATTACAAATATCATCTACTAAATCTATAAGTCTTGCCTACATTACTTTCATTGCAAATATTAATACCATTTCTTAGATTTTACACACTTTCTGTATAAGATTTACAAACATGTTAAAGAAGATATTGTAGGTAGCAACATGGCTACAATGTTTGCACCTTTTACACCTTGAATTAATGTCCTCATCTACCAATTCAAATCCAAAAACGTCTCTACATGGCAAACTTATAGAAGGTCGTCTATTAGTGTGGATTGGTGTCATATCAAAGGTTTTGCTTACAATAATAGAATCTATCACAAAAATTAGTTGCTTCACATTAACTTATTAATGAAAAGAGAAGTTTCCAAGCCTTTCTAAAATTCTAATACAAAGTTCTTGTAGATATATATTTATAGTTTCCAGTTATCATTGTTTGTTAAATAACTGGAAACCATAAGTATCAATTTATATAGCTACCAATGCTAGTGAAAGTTTGTTACATCAAGATTTTATTTTTCATTGTTAATTTGCTTGAAGACATGAAGGCAATGTATGCTAAGTATTTTTGATAACATATTTGTGCATTGATCTATATTGTTAAAGAATTAAAATTTGCAACATTGCTCGAGTATTTGTTGGAACATTCCAATGATTAAAATCTTACAATTTGATTGAAAATGCATAATAAAGAATGAGACATAATTATATTTGACTCAATGAAAAATGAGACATTCTCAAAAACACCTCATTCTAAAATAGTTTATTTTCTATTTATTAAATAGGTGTAATTTCTATATCAGAACTTTTTAGGTAATAGCATGTTTTTCTTGAGAATTTTCAAGTTCTAATTTATCATACATAATATTGAGACCTTTATCCACACCTTGACTAATTTATGCCTTTTTTTAATGTCAAATATTGTAATGTAGCCCAAATTAAGAAAGTTCTTAATTTAAGCCCCTATTTTTTTTAAAAAATATTTAGCTATATATTTTTTAGGTATTTTTACGTAGGTAGGACTTCCAATTCTTTAATATTGATCAAAATAGTTTTATATGTGTTCTTCATCTTGTAGTATAATGCCTGCTACGTTTGTTATGAATTCATCAAATCAATCACTTATTGTAATGATAGATTTTACATTTAAAAGATCATTCTTTTTCATATGCCAAATTCCAAGTGTACTTTGGTATTTGGAATCATACTAAAAATGGAATTTATCAAAGCTAGTTTCAAATTTGTGAAATAAATCAATCAATAATGAAGAATGAATTCTCTAAAATACCTCTCTACTCGCTCTGAGGCTTATCTATAATGCAATTCTTTCCAACCACTCATAAAAAATAAAAAATAAAAAAATTATTGGTAGATGAAATATTCATTACATGCAAGAAGAACATCTAATACTTCTCTAGTGCAAAAATAATTAGTAACAAGGTAACAACAGACTAGAAAATAGGCACAAAACTACATTTTAAAATCTTACTTCTTTGTCTTGTAAATGTAATGGAAAGATTGACAAAGTTTTAAAAATATTCTTTAGCAATCTCATTAATAATTTTAGTATAAAAAGACTTACATAAACTTGCTATTTTATCAATTTTGATGTCATAATTTTTTTTTTAATAATAATGTATATTAACTTGTTTGATTAGCATTGCATTAGACTCCAAACAATATGATGCAGATAATAGACATATATAAAATAATAAAGTTTGAAAAATAGATATACTGAGATTAATAAGGTCTAGACAATAAATAATGTAGATCCAAGTAAAAACTTATTGTGGGACTCAATTAACACACATCCTCAAAGACACACTTGTTCAAAGAATCTCAACAATTGGAGTTTTCTACGTAAAAGTTGTATAACAAAAGATTGTCATGTATGGTTTGGATGGCAACATAACTAATCCATATCTATTTTCAACATGCATGGGCTATAAATGACTATGCATAAGTAACCTCTATATGTATGATTTGTATTAGTGACAATATTCTTACACTTATTATTTCATCTAATATCAGCAAGTATATATGTGTCTAATCAAGCACCAATGTCTTGGTTAAATCAACTAACTGTTTTGAACTGACTTAAAAAATCAAAACTCTGAATAGAATAAATTGATTTAGAATATAACAATGAAGTAATTTCCTTAAAAAAAAAAAAACACTTTGTCAACATAATTAGTTAGAGGGCATATAAGTGTATAACAAATTTAAATAAAAACCAATTCTTCTAAAATTTCCAAATTTTGGATTAACAACTCTTTAAGATAATAACTAGATTAAAAAACTGCATCTATATGTTTTTTGATCATATTCTTTTTAACTTTCATCCTCTTAACTTTGGTGATTATTTTGGACGAAACATCTTTTTTACCATCTCAAAACTAAGGTCAACAATGTCCAACATAGCTTTAATTGGTTGCCTATTAGCAAGAATTTTTGTCTTTGATTTATTTCTTTAATTGTAGATATCTGAATATACCATCATGCAATTAATGAAATATAAGGTTTTTACAACAACCTTCAACTAACACCATCTTTTAATAATATAGTTATTATGTATTTTTGGTGTACACTTGTTCACCTTGGTACATGATAGGTTACAATATTTTTAACTAGATTGTAGAAGTAGCAAGTATTTATAATATTAAAATCTCAACTAAAATATTTATTCTAATTTCTAATATTTAAGAAGATATGAAATATATAAAATTATTTTATGAATCTTTTGACTTTTACAAAATCTTTGATTGTCTTTTGACTTTCTATAAAGATTGTATAAAAGCCAAAAGATGGAGCTTTCAATAATATCATATTGTAAAAAGATATGATCTCTATCAACTATTCTAGAACTTGTGTGCATGCCTTCATGAGAACTTTAAAGCTTTAGGTGACAAACTTTCACTAATATTAGTGGCAATGCAAACTCATTCTCATTGCTTCTAATTCCATTGAAAAAAAATAAAAAAATAAAAAAAAATTGGAATTTCAAAGTATAGACATATAAAATTTCTTTACTAGAATTTTAAAAAAAATGTGAAAGAGCTTATTCTCTCACTAGCAAGTTAATTTGAAGCAAGAAATTGATGCATTTGATTTCAACATTGTAGGGGGAGTCTTTGATCTTGCACCAATTTGGATTTGTGGACAACCGTCTAAAAGTTCAAAATATAGAGATATTTTAGGATTCAAATTAGAAGACAAAGACATCAATCCAAAATACAAAAATTGTGGATGTTTAATCAAGTAATTATCCACATAGTCTATAAATATAATATTTATAGAGTTTTTTTTAGTAAGTGTGCAATATCCAATAAATCATAATGAAATTAGCAATGAGAAGAATGTAGGTAGGGATGACGAATTTGTCGAATAAGATTTATTTTTTTACAATTATAATAAAATTTTATGTGCTTTTATTTTTAAAGGTTGTCTATATAGGAATGATGTTTCACTAATACATTCCTAAAAGTTAATTCTTTGTATGATGCATGACACTTTTATTAAAAGCCGACATTAAATTTAGAAAAATATTTAAAAGACCTAAGTTTTTACTAGATTGATCCACCCATTCTAATCATCATGAAAAATAATAAATGACCTCTATATTTACTTTTCCACAATTGGTTTTGCAACCAATAAAAATCAGCCACATTCATTATGATTACCATATTTTTCATCAAGGGTGGATTGATTTAGTAAAAGCATGCATCTATTTAACATTCTCCTACATTTACAACATCATACATAAATATATGATGAATTCTACAACCCACAAAAAATTAATGATTAATCTTTAAGATATTATTTATTAGTAATTTCACAAGATAATATTTTATTAAAAATTTAATTCAAAAAAGGATTTTATTATTATTTAATAATTAGAAATAAATTAGCTTAAATACTATATACAATAATTGAAGTAAAAAATACAATAAAATTCTTAAAATTACGTATTTAAAAAAAATTAAAATTTTCCATTAATACTAAATTATAAATTTTAAAATGCATAATGCTAAAATAAAAATTAAAAAAAAATTGAATCATAGTCTAAAAATATTCTGAAAGATATTATGAAAGGTGTAAGGTGACTATAAAAGAGCTTTTTTAATATTTTATTGTATATCTTACCTATAAGCATCACATATTTGTTTTTTTAAAGACTCACACATTATTATTAAATTTTTTTGTTAGGTTTAGAGCAATTTTTTAAAATAAATAAAATATTTTCAATCATAAATTTTTTTTATTTTCTTTTGTCTTATTAATCTCTTGACCCTGATATTCAATCTTGTCACAACTTAATCGTTATGATATCTACTGAAAACAGTAATTTTCTTCAAATTTATTTTAATTTGTTATTGTAAGCATGAAAATATTTGAAAATGTTTTCAATTTCTTATTGAAAATTTTCACATCATATTTCCAGCTTTTTTTTCTTTCTGGTTTACAAATCAAATTTTAGAAATTCTAAAGGATTAGATTCTTGTGTACCATTTATAAATTTAAAATTATTCAAGGAATAAAATTTATGGGTAAATTTTCTTTTTTAAATCGAATTCGATTTACAAGAAGTATACACATTTATATTGTAATATATTGCACCTTAAATACTATTTAGTTGTATAAAACCTATTGAAAGTATGAATTAAATTTTATTACTTAAAAACTCTCAACATGTCTTTGAGTATGTTTACATGTGTACAATGTTTCTGGTTATCATGCTTTACAAATATTCAAGTACTGACTTGTGTTTTTAAAGTAAAAATGAAAATAATTTGAAACAAATATTTGTAGATTAGCATTTGACAGTGAAGCTTAGCTTTTAAAAGCACTGTTAAGTTTCTACTGATAAATAGTATTGATATTTTTTCTTTTCAATTTGAAGAAGAAATTTTGTCACAGAGTTCATACAGTAGTACACCAATATATTATTTATGATTTTCTTTTCCATATATAGCCATATTAGCAACTATTTACCTTCGCACAGTTGAAAACTGTGACAATTTTTTTAATAAGTTGATTTATATATTTATATTTATATTTATAAAATACAATATTAGTTTTTTTAGGTTGTGTCATGCGTTTTCCCTTGTAGTGATGATGAAAATAGATTGTTCTTTTACTTGGATGGTTGTTAATTACTCAAATTTCAGGATTAACAAAGATAATGTTAATTTGTTATTGGTAAAAGATTACTAATGCATAGTTTAATGCATGTTATTTGAGACCATTTTGGGTATTTTCAGAACAAACAAATATCTCTTAATAATTTAGTAAGAAAGAAAGAGATCAAAACAAACAAACAAACAAACAAACAAACTGGATCAAGTTTCAACTAGTCTTACATTAAAAAACAAGAGTTGCAAAAATAACTCCTAAAATGGTTGAAATAATCTATCATTTTGATAAGGGATGAAAAACCATATGCAAATAATCCTAACTATTTATCATGTGATTAAAAAAAAGTAAAAAAGTAAAAAAGTAAAAAAAACCAAACTAAACCAAACTAAGAAACTTTTCCATTCATTTTCAGGTTGCATGTGTTGATTACAAAGCGTGATTACAAGAAATACAGACCTCATCTATCATGGTTTTATTGGAAACATCCAAACTTCACATGACAATGAACTCACCCACAAAACCAAGTCTCAACCAAAATTTTATGCTTTGTAACCAATCAATTTGCAATCACATTGCAACCATCTTGATGCCCAAAGAGTTTACATGAATTAAAAGACTAATATAAAATAAGGAATCAATCAATTGTGCTTTCTCATTGATGCTTAAAACACTAGGGTTATGCATTTGGATTTGATCTTCTTATTGAGTGAGTGAGAGGCTTAGCCTCATTGATCATCGAGAAATGGAGGAGTTTGATTACAGAAAGTTTGATGAGTTTACAAAGGATCCATGTGGGGTGCTTAGCATGGAGGAGGAGGAGCCCAAAAGATTAAATGCAGAACTTGCTGTTTTGAAACCTTGTAAGCAAATATTACTCGGTGACCCAATTTCCATCTTGGTTTATTTATAACAAAGTTTGTTTTTTTATAAAGGGTTTGGTGACAAAACCCGAACAAAATAGAAATTGAATGAAAATAAAAATGTAATTTTGTGGGGAATTGTGGAATATATATATATATATATATATATATATATATACATATATATACATACATACATACATACACACACTTGCACTTAAGTGTTGATATTTCTTTCCTTTATTAATTTTATTGTGTTTTTGTATTTTGATATATTTGTTTTGACTTTTGGATAAAGACATTAAATTTTTTGGTGATGGTTTTTGATGTAGAAGTCATTAAATCAGTTCCACCAGAGCCCTTCTTCACAAGAGTTCCGGATGTAGCAAAATATGAAGCAATGTGGTATGATGATCCAATTCAAGTGAGATTTTTCATCTTCCTTTGCAAACTCTTGGCTTTAGTGCAACCACCCTGATGTAATAAAACTTTAATGTGACCACAGATTGTAACAATTTATGATTGTAGTGATACATAATAATTGAATAAACATTTGGTTGCATAATTGAAAGTTGCATTTTTTTAATTAAAAAAATACATTCAGCCACAAATAAATCTCAAAGTTTTTGGTTTCCATGATAAATGTATGGAAAGTGAAGAAATACTCAAAACCTAAAAAAAAATGGACGCTTTGCTTTGGTGCTCCATTTGAGTAGGCAGTCTCATCTTTAGAGAAAAAAAAAATTACATGTTTTTATTTTATTATTTTAAATCACTTTATTCATAGAAAATGCTAATACATACACAAATAAAATACATGTAAGTAAATGGAGATTATTCTCTACAAAATTAAAATTGTGTAGGGTATAGAATCTATTGAAACGGCTCATGCCCTACAACAAAAAATTGAAGAGAAAGCAATTCCAATTCAGTTATGGCTGGTATGATCCCTTCTTTATCTCTCTATTTACACTATTTAAGATTTTAGTTTTTAAATTATGTTCGGTATGTTTCGAAAATTTCCACGTTTCATTCTCTCAAAATGAAATGGGTTTTTATACAGTAGAAATGTGATTAAGTAGATCTTATACATCTTACTAAATTTGAGTTTGAGAAGTCAATTTACAACTTTGTTTTAAAATAAAAGGAAAGATTCATCTTGAACACCACTTTCAGAATACTTAATTCATATGTCACATGTTTAATAAGTTTGAACAACTCCTTTGTTGAAACTCATCAATGAATTTAATCTTATTTAGAAGGCAATTTGAACAGTTGGATTCCAAAAATTTGGTCAAGTTTGCCAACTTAATCATTAAAAACTAATATTATTGTAAAACACACACACTTATATATATATATATATATATATATCTGTGTGTGTATTAAGTAAATTTTTTCTTATTGTGTGGTTATGATACACCAGGAAAAGAACATTGCACCACTTCTTATACAAGCCTTAAATGCGCTTGTAGCTAAAAGGTAAGTTTCTATGAATGACCAGTATACAATATACAGAGAGGCAACAGCAGAAAGCTAATACTGCAGTAAACTTCTAAACTTGGAGCTGAGCGCAAACATTTACCTGCTTCATTCTCGATTATTGATCCACTGAAACAAGAGTTAGTGGATCTTTGTTTGGAGGTCAAGAGAATGCCAGACTGTGGGTGACATCTAAAACTTATCCTTCCCTGTGTAGGCCAAGCAACATAAAGCTTGCATGTGAATTTGTGTCAGACCACCTGCTCCAGCACAACCCACTCAAAGACACTTATCCGGAAGAACTTGGACCAAATACGAAAGAGTTAGTTCACCTTTTACTACGACTCACTTAAAGCCTACAGATTTTTCTGTTTCGCACTGAGACGTTCTGCATGCAACGGGATAGAAGTTACACGCCTAAGAAAGGCAATGTGATTTTCTTTTTTCGTTTCAACTCCAAGTAGATTTGGGTTGATGTTAAGAAATTGTAAGCACTAGGAACACTTAACTGCAATTAGTTGAATTTGTTGCCTCAACACTGTCTTCTACTAAGAGAGCTTTCCGAAACAACAGCATGTGAATTTCGGAGTCCTTTCTTGAGGAATACTGAGGATTGAGTGGGTTCAATGAAGAGGGATTGACAAAAGATCGAGTGACTCCTCCATGAGGATTACTGCATTTCCAAATTTTGTCCAAAACACTAAGCGATACTTCTACATTCAAGCGCTCTTCATGAGAGTCTCCTACACCCCTCAGTGAAATACATTGCACTAGAGTTTTAATCACAGTTGCTACTGGTTGCAGGCCTGAGCCTCCATGCGGCTTCACCTTGCCACCAGAAGACTTTGACAAAACTGAAAGAGTCGATCCATGCGGTTGCCAATCCCAAGAGCCTCCATGCAAAGATGAGCTTGGTGAGCAAGCTGCGGCTGGACCGCCTTCAGCTAATCAAATGGCCAAGAAAAATGTCATTGCAAAAGATGGCATGTGGAACGCAGAGGCTCCAGATGCGATCGGAGCGTCGGTTCTTGCTCGAGCAAAGTCAGGGAGAGCCGATAAGTAAAACTGATCTGTGGTCGATTCACAGGTTGCCGATAACATGACAAAAAATTCCAGAAACAGATGCTGTAAATTAGATTTTTTTCTTTTTCTTTTTCATAAATGAAAACCACAATTCCTGCTACAACACATTACGAGTTGACTGTACACGAATTACAAGGGCCTTGTCCTGTTCGCCAACTCTTGGTTCAGAAAAGATAATGCGCCCGGGAATGCTAAAGGAGGAAGGGTGAAAGGAGGAAGAGCTGGTAGATTGAAATGCAAGTGAAGGTGGTTGTTAACGTTGATTTGGGGAAGATGGCTGGATTGGGATTCAGAGGAGGTTGCTGCTATGGCAGGCCTAGTGTGGTTCATGTATTCCAAAAGAAAGGAGAAGGCTCCGAAACTAAGACAGCTCTGCGCCAATGCTTGAGGTGTTCCTGAGGGAAACATGAAGAGCGACCAAATAAACTCAGAAATCAATTTGTGCCATTTCATTTTGCCATACCTATATTAAGTGTCATCACAACAAGTTGCAACCCTCCCGATCATAAATTAGAAACCATAAATTACCAGCATAAATCAACAACTTAGTTGCTGCAACACTCTCAGCTTAAATACACACAGGAATCACATCAAACCTAGTTAGATTCATCAACTTAATAGAGAAACACATACCAGGGGTGCTTAGTGCTAAACCAGTTGCGCAACCAGCAATTCCAGCGTTCCAAGCTGCGCCAAGTCCCAAACACAATATACTCTAAGCACAGGATTTGCGAAGAATTGTTCCACAGAACGCTACCTGGATTGAGACACATGGCTTGGTACATATGCATGAAATGCTTACCATCTTCCTTGCCGCGGACTTTCTTCAAGTAGCACGATACAATGCTGTGCACGCCCGATAGGATTGCAAAGGTCTGCAGGACCAACGCGAACCAAAAGTCGCTCAGAAATATTGGTTCACAAAAAATAAAAAGGCAGAAGAAGTAGCCAAGATCCTAAGTCTTTGCATGCTCGTATACAAGACTCGAAATGTGTAAAGTAGAACTTGGAGCACAACTTACTCAAGCCACGTACAAAAGCTTCCACGTACTACCAAATGACACTATCATAAAAGCTAACCACGGCAATTAACACAACTGATGAAGATAGGTTTTCAGAAACTGCACAATGAGTGGTAATGGCAAGGACCACAACCTTGGCAGATGAGCCACCCTCCCTCAGAGATCCTTTGAAGCCTTGCTTCTTAAAAAGACCCGATCCTGCATCAATACCAACACGATTCAAGTGTTAAGCCTCGTTGGAATGCAACGTTCTATTACATTGCATTTCCGTGAAGATTGCATCCTTGCTGTCTTCATTCAAAGAAGCTAAACCCCTATTGAAATGACCATAAAGCTAATAGGGACCCTAAAGCGGACCCAATTTGGGGACTACCATTCGGCAATTCAACTCCACTAATGAACATGAATCGAAGAGACAAGTAAAAAATCGTGAGGAGACTCTAACCAACCACCACTGCCGTTCCTCTACATAGGCACAGAGTCAAAACCTAACAAGAACAAAATCTCTTCGATAAGGAGATTTACATGGCTTCCTTAACAGAACGCTGATTAATGCACCTGAAATCATCCACAACACCCCCCGAAACTGAAGCCACAGATATCGACTAAAGCTTCCTTCTAAAGGCAAACCCATCGTCTTCTTTGCACAACGCACACGTTGCACGTCGAAGCTTCCAAAGCTTCAACTCTCAGATGATGATTACCAAACAATGTCCGTCTTGCCAATACTGCAGCCACCAACTCAGACACCAGCAAAGACCAACATGACGAGATCACGCAACCCAGTTTTGTCGATGAATTACCGAATCCAAACACGGACCCCATGAGCCCGCCCGCTAGCCCATCTGCAACGCCCTTGAAGAAGCAAAAGGTGGGGTGATTCGGCCCGCCTGCGCTCCAGTTCCCGGCCTCGGGAGACGCAGAGGAAGAAGAATCATTGAACCCATCGCCGGAATCAGTCCACTCGCCTCCTCCTACACCTTCGTCCCCGCGTCCACTGGGCACCATCGCCATCTCTACCAAACCCTACGTAGCCGCACGCAAAAAAACCCCACGAGAAAAGAAAATAATAACAAACCTCACACTAACTTCACGCTCACACTTCCGAAAACCAAAAAAAGAAAAAAAATCCTTGCAAAGCTATCTATTCTACCCTGTGTGTGTGTTGCAATTGCAACGAGGCTTGAAGCTGGCGCGATGGTGATAAGAATCAGCCACGGGGAAGACAAGTGCCCTGGTTAATGATGAATGAATAAAAGTCTGTGGACCCATCTTCCCCTCATGGCGATCGGATTCTGTACATCTACCGCATCGCGCTTCCACTCACTGCCTCGCAAGGACTCTCGTCGTCGCCTTCAGCAGCAGCAGCACCTCATTGATCAGGTTCTGGTGACCTTCAGGTCCGAGACTGCACAGATTTGCATGCCCCGCAGCATTTAGACTTTATTGACCAGACAACACACCACGCCGTGACAAAAATACACACACAGACACTTCATTATTTAAAGATCGTGTTCTTGCTAATTCACCGCTTTTGCAAGTTTCTAGACATGGAGATTATCTCGAGCCGCTGTCGGTGTTCGACATCGACTCAAGCCCATGGTCGCTCCGAATGCTGCCTTGTGTACAAAGTCCTGAAAACACTGATGAGGAATGCTCAGTTACCTCCGCTTATGCAATTCAACATGAGGCTGGTGAGGTTGACGGTGAGGTCTGATTCAGAGCTCGTCAATCCGCTACTTCCATGCATCGATCAGAATTAGTTGATCACCGACACCGAGGTTTTTACTTCCGAAAACAGCACAAAAACAGAAGAGTGTTGATTTGGTGCAGCACTATTCTGTGGCATAGACCATTATTAAATCAGCTTATTTTGTTTGTATGGAGTCGTATGTGTCGTCAATTTTCATGAGCAATTTCTACACTCCTATGTTTCCCTTAGTTGAGCATCTTTTAGTGTGCTTTTTACACAATTGTGATAAATATATATATATATATATATATATACACACAGACACACGTGTATATGTGTCTATTTTGTGAAGAAAAAGAAGAAGAAGGTTTTTATTTTATTTTATTTTATTTTTTATAGTTTGTTTGTTTGTTTTGGTATGTGCACATCAGCTAGTGTATGTGTATGTTGTTGATTATGTGTGCTTTTTAGTTGCTACTGTTTCTTAATTCTAATAACTTGGTATAAACCTGTGTGTAATGAAGTACAGTGTGTTAATACCAGTGCTTGCTTTCTGATATTAAGTGTGTGATAGATGTTAAAAAGCTGTCTTATTTTGAACTTCCTGTAGTACTATAATTAGTAGATTTGAAATAGTAAGTTAAACTAAACTACTATCTATCTACATCAACCTACAATTATAAACGGCTTAATAATAATATTAATATATTCGTAGAAAAAACTTGCTAATGTAATAGTAATTGTGTACATATATACATGTTTTTCAACTTTAACAATACATTTCGGATTAATGCACAGGGCATCTACCAATACTGATATGCAAAAAGTGAAATCAAAATTGAAACTATCTGTTTGTTTTGTATATTTTTAGTAACAATACATGTGACATAATAAATTTTTGATGTACATCAACAATCTGCATTATATAGTACACTTATGGAACAAATGATTCTATTTTGATTATACATATACACACATATATTAACCAATCAAATTATACTAGTTAAAATCGCATAATACATAAGTAATTTAATCAAACAAGGTAATAAAATGTGTCAATAAAAATAATCAAATTCATGGTATAAATATTGGTTGTATTACTAGTTAAGATTAATTTCACTTGTTTATTAGAATTATGACCAATGGGTTATCACATTCTCTGTAAACATAATTACAGTAGTTGTATTAAAAACAGGCAGTACAACTCCAAATTACCTATCTTTTGATAACTTAATCCTTCTTAAGAATATGTTGGAACCAAAATGCAGAATCTTTAGGATATCTAGCCAAATTGTTTTTGTAGTCAACATAATAGATTCCAAACCGGACAGTGTAACCATCTGCCCACTCGTAATTATCCATCAATGACCAAGCAAAATAACCACGTATGTCCGAGCCATTCCTATCCCAAAATTGACAAAGTGTTAAAAAAATAAAAATAAAAACAAAGACAAGTTCATTATATATATATATATATATATATATATAGATAGATAGATATGATTTGCAAATTAAGAAATATATATGTATGTATGTATGTATGTATGTATGTATATATCCTTACCTTAGTGCCCAAAGCAAGTTTTGTAAGTAGTCATGATAATATTGAATGCGCTCTGGATCTTTCAATTGGTCTTTTAGAGTCATGCATCCATCTTTGTTTTTTTCTGTTCTACCTAAAGTAGCTCAAACATGAATGATATGAGTAACTTAATTAATGTTAAATTTCTCTGTTTATCATAATTGTAAAAGTATACTAATTAATTAATAAAAAGAAGTATGTTCCTAAAAATAAAAAGTAGTATTACACATACCATTCTCAGTGATATATATGATTGGATTGTTATATCTCTCACGAATCCAACCCATCAACTTTTGCATTCCACTTGGTACCACAAAGAGCCAATAAGAAGCAGTCTGTGATGGTAGCAGATAGTTGTAAAAACAAAAAACAAAAATAATTTAAATAATAAATATTTTTTTGGTATTAGTTATAATTCTAGTAGGTGAAATGGAAATATTTGTGTGATTTCAGTGAGGATGAAACATAAATAATTTTGTAATCTGAAATTTTTAGATGATTTAAGAAAAGATAAACGTTACCTGATCACCAATGGGTACTCCATCTTTATATGCTGCACAAATATCAAAATCCATTAAATTCTTTTTAGGAAATAAAATAAATAAATCACTGAAAGGAAAAAAAAAAAAGAAAAAAAAAAGGAAGAAGAGACAGTACTCATATAATCATTTGTCCTTTGAAACACATTACAAAACATTAATAAATAAAATATATACATAAATAATAATCTATACAAAGATACACACACACACACACACACACATATATATATATATATATATATGTATATATATATACATACATACATACATATATATCCAGCATAAAGCAATTAAAAAATGTGTATACATACGTGTTCTAATAAGTTCGCCATTGGTTGTGTTATAAGTTGCATAATTGGAAGTGTATTGGTTGATTCCAATAAAATCTTGTGATCCTTTGAGGAGAGATTTTTGCTCCAGTGTGAAATTAGGAAGCACTGAGCCTAATGTGATTTTCATGGATGCTGGATAATCACCAAAGAATATAGGATCCATAAACCTAGTCAAAAACAAAAAAATACAAAATATTATTTGTTATTGTAAACATCACTGTTAGTGTATCTAGCTTGCTTTAATAAGTTGAATGTTTTAATAAACCCCATAAAAAATTAAAAAATAAAGAAACGAAGCTTCATCAAATTTATTATTCCACCATCATCAATTAGTTCAGGGAGAAAGCCATCTCACCATCCCAAAAATCCTTCAAGAGCAGTCTTGGAAGCTTGTTTGTCAAGAGATGAATTTGAATCAAGAGGCTCAAACCAAAGTGAGTCCAATGTGATTCCAATTACTCCCTTTTGCTCTTCCTACACAAACACAAATATACCCACTTAACACCATTGCATCAATCTTCCAAAAGTAAAGTAAAAATAAACAAATAAAATGTATTAAGAAGAAGAAGCAAAAAAAAAAAAAAAAAAAAAAAAAGTACATTTATAAACCTCACTCATTTTGCTAAACAATCAATTGTTTAAAATGTTTTCATTTATGAGTATAAATAAATAAATAAAAGAGCTTATGGGATTACCTGAAATTCTTTCTTGTATAAATTAACCACTTGGGCATGAGAAAGCAAAGCATGGTGACCAACAATATAAGGCTCAGTTGTTGAGTTCCCTGTGGGGCACTCTCCCAATGGTGGGGAACAACGTCCTGGGGCTTTGCTTCCAATCCTGTACCCGTCCACTGCAAAGCTATGGATCTCATTTAGGGTTATCCAATGTTTCACTTTTGTACCCCATCTTTGGAAACAAAACCGCGCGTATTGTTCAAACATGTTGCTGAATCACCCAATTCACAAAACCCCACCATTACTTCCTCCTTCACTGTTCAGTTTCTAGACATGAAAAATAAATAAATAAATAAATAACTATATATATATATATATATATATATTAGTTTTCAGTAGTTTTGCGTGGGTTTTATAGAACTCACACAATGTCCAAGCTTAGCCATCCTCCTATTGAATCTTCAAGGGCTTGAGGCATGTCCCAATGGTACAGTGTTACCCAAGGTTCAATATCATGTTTTGTGAGAAAATCAATTAATCTGTCATAATATTGAACTCCCTTCCAATTTACTTCACCCACTCCACCTAAACACATTCCCGCACAGTCACATTTGTGTACATTACCTCAAACATCAAATTTATGTATTTTTTTTTTATTTTTTTTTAAATAGCACCATAGAAAGTGTGTATTTATATATATATATATATATATAAATACAGAGAGAGAGAGAGAGAATGAAAGAATTGGAAAGTGGGTTAGTTAAGAATACTTGGAAATATGCGTGACCATGATATAGAGAAGCGGTATGCATCCATGTTCAAATCTTTGAGCAACCACATGTCCTCCTGCCAAAATTATTCAACCACCACAAAAACGAATATATATATATATATATATATAAAGACACATACATACACACATGTGTGTACACAAAATATGATAGTAATTCTTTTTAGTACAAATGTTGGGCAAAGTTTCACTGCTTTACAAATAAAAACAATCATTCACAAAGAAACTAAATTTTGGTGCAATACTCAAATTCAAAACCAATTAAATAAATCATGCTATTGAGAATGGCATTTTTAAAAGAAAATTATTTTTTCGTGGTTTCTAATATAGAAACATTGGAATTTTAGTGATTGTATATGTGTACACACATTTAAACCCATACATTTGAACAAAAATCTGATATTGTGTGTGTGTGTGTACCTGAAATCGATGGTATTGGTCCACAGCAACATCTCCTGTTGCATTTCCTTTGATTTTACCAGAATTATGTGCAAATGTGTCCCATATACTCGGTCCCCTTCCACCTTCACTGGCAGCACCTTCATACTATCCAAACCCAATACACAAACAACAATCCACAACAACACAAGGCTGTAATAGACCTCAATTCTCCCTTTTCTAATCAATTAATTCACTGAAAACCAAAATTCAAAAGAAACAATATTTCTAGACAAAACTAACACAAACAAACAACCAACCAATAAATAAATAAAAATAAATGCAAACAAACAAATAAAATGAGTGGGTATTAACTTGGTATGCAGCACTCGCAGCTCCAAACACAAAGCCTTTAGGAAAACTGGATCTGGTGACATCCTGTGGAGTCTGGTTTTGAGCTCCTAAAACATACTTACTCTGCCATACCAGCACTAGTAGTAATAGTAATAGTAGTGCTCTTGCCAACATTCTGGTATAAAATCAAAATGAACAATAATCTAGTACAAACACTCCTGATAAAAAAACCTTCAACTTTCGTGGGTTGTTTGAGAGCAAATCATACACTTGTAAAACTGCATATGATTCCCTACCTATCTATCTATCTATACACACATACAAACATTAAACTGAAGTTATGTTCAGAGCACAATAGATAAGCTTAAGCATGTTTGACACCAACAAATCAAATCTCAATGATAACCTGATAACAATGTGTACATTTGGTGTTACAGATAAAAGTTTAGTTCCAAGATCCTTTTGTTGTTCTGCTTGTTCACATGAGTTCTAAAAATAACAAAAGATAATAAAAAAATCGCTCATAGTGCATTTCAGGGCATCAAACAGCCACTTGCCACAACGTCTAATTATCCAAAATTATCTTAAACACACACTCTTTTTGTCTAAGCCCTATTTTTTTAAAAAAAGATAAATCTCATTTTCGGAAATACAGCAGAATACATGAACAGAAGATACGTATTGCATATAACAACGTGATGGGTACATACTCACCACCGATGAACGAGAAAAGCGTACATTTTATCCGGATACATATCCTCGAGAGAGCGTACATCTCAACCTGATACGTATCCTCGAGAAAGCGTACATTTTATCTGGAGGAAACGAATCCAGGTGGCGAACACTAGAGACGAATGGAAGTCCGCCACCTGGACATCCAGCTTATCCAATTCCTGCGCGCACCACCAATGCCCCCCGATCTCACGGTGACTCCCTATTCCCATATGCCTCGGTGAGCTCCCCCCCCCCCTGCCGCCGCGACCTGCTTTCCTCTTCCTCGCGGTGTGCTCTGCTTGTGAGTCCTACGGATTCGTGGCCGACTCGCAGCCTGCGGGGAAGCGAGCCATCGATTAAGCGAAGCGAGAGAGAGAACGGGAGTGAGTTTGCGTGTTAGCCATGGCTGCAATGGCTGCAGTGGCCTCCATGGCAACTATGACGTCGCCGAAGTCCATTGCACCGTGTTCCTCTATCGCCGTGGGTAAGGTCGTCGCCATAACTCCCTTGTGTCGGAGTACGAGAGTCGGGTTTGGTGTGGCGAATTTGAGTGGCAGGCGATGGACTCCACTCGTAGTGGTTCAGGCGCAGGTTGAGAAGAGCTCGGTGCAAGAGCGGAGCTGGGAGGAGAAGGACCGGGATTTGGTGGCGTCGCAGGGGTTTTTCCAGGACCAGAGTGTGGAGTATGAGGGGATTGAGGAGGCAGAGGAGGAGGAGGAAGAGAAAGAGGAGGATTACGGTGTTGATGTAGGTGCGAATGCAGCGTTCAACGCTGCGGGAGGAGAGGAAGATTACGGCGAGGTGAACAAGATCCTTGCGAGTAGAGTGGTGGATGGGGAGACGCAGTATTTGATTGAGTGGAAGGACGACCACCCGGACAGCTGGGAGCCCCCTGCTAACATTGCTAAGTATGGGCGCATATCGTTTTTTGGAATGGCTGTTGAATGGTGTTTGAAGGGTCCACTCCGTCATATTTTGAATTGCATAGTTCATTCCAAAGTGTTTACACTGATTGCAATAGGGGTTTTGTCTCTACGAACCATGTTTTTTCATCATTTCCCAAGTTCAGAATATTTTGTAGCTTCCATATTTGCTTTTTCAAATATTTTTAGTAGTTGTTGGAGTCTTACAGGAATAGAGTTTATGGACCCCTACCCCCAGATATTGCTCATGCAGCAGGAGAAATTAGTGACGAGAATGAGCATGAAGTCTAGTTTGGCTTAAAATCACATGTCCTTCGTCGAGGCAGCAGTGACATGCATTTCTCTGCAGGGTCGTTGTCCAGATTGATCGTGGTCGCTGAGGCGAAGTAGGGTTGAATCGTAGCGCTGAAATTCCAGATATGCAGCAAGATGCGTTGTGCATGCCCACACATTCCATGTTTATTGAATATCGTTTCAGAATTGGAATTTTGTACGCCTCAATTCTGCTTAATTGTGATTGCCGACGTCTGTGGATTTAATGTTTGTTTGTTTGTTTATTTACATTTTTCTTTGAATGTACTGCAGCGATGTGGTCTACGAGTACGAGACTCCGTGGTGGCAGGCTGCCAAAAAGGGGGATGATCAAAAGTTACAGGAGCTTCTCCAAGATGAAGGTCGGGATGTCAACGCAATCGACGAGAACAAAAGAACCGCTCTATTTTTCGCTTCAGGATTGGGCTCTGAAAAATGCGTGAAGATGTTGCTCGAGGAAGGTGCTGACGTGCACTGGCAGGACAAGGACGGCTTCACAGCATTGCACATTGCAGCCGGTTATGTCCACACTAGCGTCGTGAAAGCTTTGCTGGCCGCAGGAGCTGACCCCGAACTCGAGGACGAGAAAGGTCGATCCTCCCTGATGCTCGCCCAAGAACTCCTGGAGAGAACTCCTCGCACGAACCCCATGCAATTTGCGAGAAGGTTGGCCCTCGATCAGGTACCATCCTTTCATCCTGAATTACATGGTTGTGTTCAAATTTTACATCGTGTTATTTCAACCCTAAATCTCGACCAGTAATCAATATTGTACTTCTTTCTGACTGTGCGAACATATGTTTGATCTTTGTTCGCATGACATTTCAGGTTGTGAAGTTACTGGATGAGGCTATCTACGAAACTGTGGAGGTGGAGCAAATCCTTGATAAGCGAATAGTCGGGAATGTAACGGAGTACCTGGTGAAGTGGAGTGATGACTCAGAAGAGAGCTGGGAGACAACAGAGAATATTGCAGAAGATCTGATCAAGGATTACGAAGAAGGTTTAGAGTATGGCATTGCTGAGAAGATTGTAGATAAGCGAGAGGTGGATGGGAAAGCCGAGTATCTGGTGCAGTGGGCAGATTCAACGGAAAACACCTGGGAACCTGCAGATAACGTTGCAGATGAGATCATTGCCGAGTTTGAAAGTCAGAAAGTAACGACAAGGTGAGCACAGACGAAGCTTTCGCGTCCTTGTTTGATGGCGTATTTTGACAGCCATTGAGAAATGTTAGTGTAGAGTAGGCCATGGTAGTAGCACCAGAAGCTTGTGTCTCGTGCTGCCACTTTCAACAGGTTAATTAGAAGTAAGAAGGACGTTTCAACCGTTCATGGTAACGTTGGTGCAAGAACCTATTTACTTGTACTGTACCACTAGCTTCCCCGTCATTTTCCCTCTAAGGTTCATGGGAGAGTATTTGAGCACACCACCTCGGCAATGAACAACGTTCGTAAACTATTCCCACATGCCGAGGTTTTTAATAGGCGATTGGTTTATCAGCAGTTATATTAGCATTGATGAAAGGAGAATGCTTTACCAAGTGCAAAAGAGGGATATTTTTCCAGTATTATTCAGAAAAATGATTTCCTCTAAATTTTCCATGCCTCTCTTACTATATATGGACATACAGTTAGATAGTGCTTATGTTTTTGGCTGCGTTCAAGTTGTGAGACTAGATTAGTCATCATGTTTGTACCGTTCTTGAAAAGGTTATCTGTGGTAGTATTATTTTGGAGAGTAGATTTGGCAGCTTTGTTCATCAATTTTTGATTGTCATTATTTCATTATGTTGTACTGGATAGGAACTGAAATGTGAACTTTGTTAAACCTTATTTGACACAGTGAAAAAAAATATGAAATGCTGCTGTCTAGTGTAATACCCGCAACTTCAATAGTTAATCTGATCGAGGGGATAATATGTGACTCTGAAAGAAAGATGTTGACATGCTATGCCAGTCAAGTGACATGTTTTGAAGAAGATATGCTTCAGAGAATGGTTAAGTTGTCTAATCATGTTGATGAATGTGGAGTTTAAGTATTTGTTTCCCTTTTTAAGTGTGATTACTCTGACTTTGATCTCTAGACAGTTTTAGATAGTTGACTGTAGCCCCCGTCGGTATGTCCGATTCAACTTAATTTTATCTAAGCAGAGTTTTGGAATATAAGCCGCTATCTTGTCACTGGTAGTAACTAGCCGAGCCAGCAGTCTATGATTTTCACCCCAATATAGTAATGTTCAATATAATCGGAGGTCCGTGCCAAGTGGGAGATCACCCACCAGGAACGGGAGTGTCGGTAACAGTGAAGACATAAGCGCCGGCCAAAGCACTTTCAGGCACCAAGGCTACCGAATCCTGCAGAGCCGAGAACAGAGAGCATGGCAAATCAGATCGAGATTAGCATTCCCATCGCTCAAACTCCTCGGAGGAATTTGCCATTCGCGTTTAATTGCTGGGTGGCTTTAGCAGTGCACAATTGAGGGCTCCAGTGCTCATGGTCTACATCTGAGTTTGTAAGAAATTCTCGAATAGTGGATGGGGCTCTAGAATCAATAGTGAAGCGTTGAGATAGTTTGTGGTGTTGTTTGAATCTGGTGATGGGTGCCTCACGTTTCGTCTGAAGATTGGTTCCTTTTGGAAGTTTCAGATTGTCAGGTTGTGAGCTGAGGTGCACTGTGGAGCCTCTGTGTGGCGAAAGTTTTCATCATAGATCTAGCCCTGTCGGACACGATCGATCGAAGGGGACTGCATCGTAAGTTCGTGGTGGTTATGTTCGAAACCATCGTGATCACTACGTGAGTGCAATGATGGAGATTTCGGAGTTGAGTCAATGTTGACGATGACCTGGTGCTTTTTGATCTGGATGCGCGTAACTGCGATGAGCTTCAGGAGCTGATCAATTCGTTTCCTTGTGAGAAAGAGGATTGTGAAGTCAGAGCCTGATGATCCCGTACATTGCGCGAGTGAATCTGAATATTCGATGAACGTACAGCACAAGCTTCGCTGCTACCCTGGGGCTAGAAACTTAGTACGCATGCAGGCTCTTGATCTGTTCTTCTTGAGCCAGATATATTATTGCTCATGACAATGGCATATTATTAGTATCAATCAATCCCCGAGGTAGAGGGAATCGTATCCAGGATTGTGCTTTTAGCCATTCAGGAATTGAGAGTCTAGGATTTCTGAAGCTTCCGGAAGGAATTGAAGTTGGAGGGGTTGTGCCCACTGTTCGATGCATATTGCGGCACAAAGTAAGCATTGGTGTTTCAGGAGGGTCGCAAGAAAGCATAGTATGGACGTGATGGGTTTGCCAGCTGCACAGACTAGAGTATTTTGTGGGAGCTGGGGCATAACCCTGACTCGGAAAAGACTGCTCGACGGAGACAGCGATCGGTTTGAATTTTGATGATTGTGGCTCAGCCATCCGTCAGAGGTTGCTCTAATTTTGTGCTTGTGACTACACATAATAAATATTTTCCGGGCAGTCTTGAGACGGCTGCATGAGAAGCACGGAAGGATGGGGGAGAGTGACAAGCAACCTCTTCTCTTGTTGCCGGAGGATTCAAACTCAGACTCAAAGAATGAAACAAAAGGAAAAACAAAACTCAACGCTGATGTACATGTTCCCGTCGGTTCGGCAGCCTCCAGATTCTCAGAGACTGCGAACAGGGATGATCTGGAAAAACTCTGGATTCCAGACCCCCTTTTCGTATCCGACGACAGAGTACGACGGGATGGTCTCTGGGGTTCTGCGTTGGGACTTGCGACCCGAGATGAAAACATGGAGACAACAAGAGATTGCAAAAGAGTAGCTGAGATCGAAGCAACCGTTGAACATCCCCTCTCACAGTACGACAGGGACTTACATGGGGATTCCCACGCGCTATTGCAGCATGATGCCGCTCTCACGAACGGTATTCAGAAATTTGAAATCGAGAGGCCCTCAGAACGTCCACGGAGCGATATCAAGGAGTGGGTGCGGAAATCCGATCAGGAACGGAACAGCCAGGCGGAATGGTTTTCAGAGCTTTTGAAGCTGAAGCCTGCGTCAATGAATTCTGAGGCTGAATCCATCGCTGGTGAGAGAGAGCTTAGCTCAGACCGTAAGAGAGAAAAGCGAGTCTCCCAGCTTACTCGCCCGTCGTTGCAGAGACAGAGTTCCTTTGCCATGCAAGTCTCAGAACGAATGCCTCCTGAGTGGGTGCTTCTCCTTCTAGGTTGTTTGCTAGGCCTCTCGAGTGGTATCAGTGTGGTTCTTTTCAATAAAGGGGTATGTGTGCTTCTAGCTTGTTCGTAATGTGGTTTTTATGGTTGAAATTGGTGAATGGCGTGATTGTTTTCTATTTTGTTCGTTTGTTTGTTAGTTTGCTTGTGTTTTTTCAGTTCATGAAGTGATGTCAATATTTTACCGTGTGTGTGAATTGAATTGGTGTAAATCTAAGATCGATCCTAAGAAGGCAACCATCTGGTCGGCTAGTGAAATGTGTAGGAACGTGTAGAATGTCTGCTTGTAAATTTTTAGATTATTGGTACGTTTTAATTCATGTTGGAGGATAGTCACTTGGATGGTTTCTGATTATCCTTGGGCAGTGATTTATGGTGTTGTTGCGGGTTATCGTAATAGAATTGAATTACCTTGTGTAGGTACACCTTATACACGAATTGGCTTGGGCAGGAACGCCCCGCGAGGGAGCGGCCTGGTTGCGTGCACAAAAGCTTGTGGACATCTGGCATAGAATCTTATTGATTCCTGTGGTGGGTGGAGTTGTTGTGGGAATGTTTCATACCGTGATCGAAGTTGTGGACATGATTCGAACGGTTCGACCTCTGCCGGCGCGGAGAAACCGTAACAAAATAGATTGGCTTGCAGGGATTAAACCTTTCATCAAGGCACTGCAAGCTGCTTTGACTCTCGGCACTGGTCTATCTCTGGGTCCTGAAGGTCCAAGTGTGGATATTGGCAAATCTTGGGCTCATGGTTTTTCAAGTGTCATGAAACATAGTAAAGAGAGACGAATTGCACTCGTAGCAGCTGGTGCTGCTGCTGGGATTGCTTCAGGCAAGTAACTTCAGTTGGAAAATAAACTGCGTGTGGTTGTAATTAAATCAAACTTTTAATATATATCCTATTTGATTTGTTTATGATGGTAAGGGTGTGAATTATTGAAACCTAGGCCGTCGTACGATTATTGTTTTGGAGTATGTGACCTCACCGGATTGATCATGTGTTGTAGGTTTCAATGCACCTGTTGCTGGGACCTTTTTCGCCATTGAAACTGTGTTGAGACCCCAACATGCTGAAAATTCTCCTCCACTTACGACTGCAATGATCATTTTAGCAGCAGTGATCTCATCTACTGTATCTCAGGTTCTTCTTGGCGAGAGACCCGCATTTAGTGTCCCACCTTATGAATTACGATCTGCTGCTGGTATGATTCTGAGATACACCTCCATTTCCTCACCTGTTGGAAACAATGCTCGTTCTGCCAAATTAGCGCTTCTTGATTATTGCGACTTGAATGATAATGCCTCTGTTTCATTATACTGTGCAGAGCTGCCATTGTACATACTTCTTGGAGGCATCTGCGGCATTATGAGTGTAATATTTACCCGCCTTGTAGCATGGTTCACCCGCACCTTTGGTTTCCTTAATGACCAATTTGGCGTTCCTACATCAGTTACTCCGGCTATTGGAGCTCTATTTACTGGAATTATTGCTCTAAGATACCCAGGAGTTCTTTATTGGGGTTTTACAAACGTGGATGAAATTCTCAAGACTGGTTTTACTGCTACTGCTCCCGGTCAAGGTCTTTTGGTTCAGCTCACTGTTGCAAAAATAGTAGCTACTGCAATGTGCAAAGGTTCAGGTCTTGTGGGAGGGTTGTATGCGCCCAGTTTGTTCATAGGGTCAGCAGCTGGCGCTTTGTATGGCAGCATAATTGGGCAGGCCATCAATACCATGATGCCAGGTTTCAATGCGGTGGCGCATCCTCAGGCTTATGCACTGGTATGTACCGCTCAGATCACTTGTTTTCCTGTAGTCGTGTATGTCGGACTCTTGCAGCGTCTCACCTTCTCAGCACAACCTGGCTTTTTTTCGTTTAGGATTTGATATACATATCTATATATATATATATATATATATATATATATGTTCTGAAAAGAAACCACTTCATTCTGTTAGAAAATAATTACAATTATTTCGAGAAAGATCCCTTAACATTGTTTTCAGGATTTGCATTAGGTGGGGATGGCAGCCTTGCTAGCGTCAGTGTGTTCAGTTCCCCTCACATCTGTCCTCCTGCTTTTTGAGCTCACCAAGGACTACCACATTTTGCTCCCACTCATGGTAAGATTACTCTGTTTTCTCCTTTCTTACTCAGGTCTGGAATCCCTTTACCCCCTTTGCTCACTTTCATGGAGTATTTTCATCTTACTATTCTGTCAAAACTGCCTAATCGATAGTTAATCTATACCATTATGAAGGGACTGTTGCAAGGAAATTAGATCCTAATATGTTTGAATACGCTGGGCAATCTCATGGCTTTGTGAAGCATACAGGGGCCATAAAACTTGGTGAGATTGCCCTTCCAAACTTGTTCCTCATTACCACTCTCTACTACTATCTTTAACTACATTTTGTCACTAATTTGAAGTTTTTGCTGATCCTTGCAGGGTGCAGTTGGACTTGCAATCTGGGTCGCAGCCGTAGGAAATCAGAAGAAGCCCTGTCACAGAGAGCCTACAGCCCAGCGTCTGCGAAGTGATGAATCGGAGACGTTGCTGACTGGGCGTGTGTGGCGCAAAGCTGAAGGGCCTGGGGTTGAGGTCGAGCTTGTTATCATGGATAGTGATGACGATCCTAATGGAACATACATCTCGGAAGAGGCTCTTATGAATGAGTTACAAGTACGTATTTCTTTTCTGAAGTCGATGCTATTTCCTATTGTACAGTTGCATGAGCTTACGACGGGATTTAGACGAAGTATCTAGCGCTTTACTTGGATTTGTACTTCCATGGTGAAAGAAAAAATCGATGCTATTTCCTATTGTACAGTTACATTTTCGTTCCAAACAGCCAGTATTTATCAGGGCGAAGGTCCAGAATTCTTTACTGATGTTACTTAACATTACTAATGTCACACTATTTGTGATTTGCAGGTATCTCAGGCCATGACAAAGGAATATGTGAAGGTGAATGCAATGGCAACGGTAAAAGAGAGCGTCGGTGCAATGCTGGCTGGTGGACAGCGCTGTGCTCTGGTCGTTGATGAGAATGATCTTCTAGAAGGAATTGTGTCTTCCAGCGACTTACAACGTGAAGTACTGAGAGCCACTGAGGAATCTGTTTTTTCTGACTTACCTATCATTGTAGAGGTATGCTTTCATTTCCTGCTATTATCCATGCAATGTCACTTAATTGTCAATGAGTTGAATTTGAATATAAAAATACTCTCACTACTGAGTTATAGACCAATAGTTGGACTTATCATAAATAAAGATGACTGCTCATTCAATTCGTGAATGTTGATTAATTGTGTGCGCAGGTAGAGAAAATGTTGGTGGCTTCTATCTGTACCAGTAGTATAGAGAATGTGGCCGACGGACGCAAAATTGTAGTCTGCTACCCAGATATAACTCTGCGGGCTGCAGAGGAATTGATGCAACCGCTTGGTCTCCATCAACTTTCAGTTGTCACACTTGTTGGCAGACAATGGCAGGACTGTGGTCATAAAGTGGTTGGTTTGTTACATCGCGAAATGATTCCACAGTGTGTCAAGTAAGCTCTCCTCTCTCTGTTTAAGTCACTAAAACATCCAGCATTACAACCAAAAGCTGCAGTACTTACCATCCAATCTCAAAGTCATGTTGAAGACCTAGTTACATTAGCATTCTAAGGCCCAGGGCTTGATCTCTTCTAAGTTAGGTCGTTCAAAATTATGGAAATTATGGAAATTAAGATAATGACCTCTGTGGTTGCAGTGTTGGGGTCCTTGGTATTATGATTTATGTGTTTCGTCCTGTCTGCAGGGCCGAGGCTTCTAAGCGAATAGCAACCATGCTTGAGCAGAAAGCAAAAGAAGACTTTCCATCTCTTTCCAATGGAGCGCATTAACTACAATATATTCAGTAGTCCAACCACGCCAATGTGCGATGTCTTGTGAACTTGGTTTAGTTTTTCATCACTGCACCGATGCAAAACTAAACCTTGTAGCAATCACTTGCTCAATAGGAATTTGATAGACCACCCATTCTTTCGTCACTTGTAGTATACCATGTGACGTTTCATTCTTAATAGACCGATAGTGTTTCGATGAAACAGAGATATGCTTAGATTTTAAGTCCTGGCTCAGCCAAAGCTTATTAGTTCAAATAGGAGATGCTGTTACTAAGTTGTCAAATATGGCCTTAGTAATGTTGAAAAGCCTATTCAAGTATTTTGATATGTCAAAAATACATTTTAAAGGAATGCCGAGATGTAGAAACTGTTCTGTTCATTGAGTTTACTCGGTGCAATGCAAATCGCGAATGAGTCAGATTTGCTGAAAAGAAAGACACTATCTATCCTGTTCCTTTCTAATCCTCGTTGTGGAAACAGCAGCTGTCCAAGTCCTGCATGAATGAATCTTTGGATACCATGCTCGGTTCCATTCTTTTAAATTGAATGTGAAACATGAACACCAACTGGTTTAAGGCAGCCCACTTCGGGGTGAAAGATTTTTCTTCAGTGGTCTGCAGCCAACAGTCTCTTAGTAAGGACAATGTGCAACCCATTGAACAAGACTGCTCCCAATGCAAAGTCTAATGCATTGGTCTCCATAAAGTAGGACTTGTTTAAATCTGGATATTAAATTGGAGCTGTTGTGAATGTATCTTTTAAGCTTTGAAAAGCTTTCTCTGCTTTGTGGCCCTAGTCGAGCTTGTCCTTGCATGTCAATTGCATAAGTAGAGCTGCTCTCTTGGAGTAATTCCTATCAAAAACCCTGTAGAAGTTTGTAAATCCAAGAAAGCATTGGACATCACTTATAGTTGATGATTGCTTGTACCTTCTTTGGATCCATAAAAAGGCCTTTGTTGGAAATAATATATCTAACAAATTCAACTTGAGGTGCATGAAATACACACTTCTTCAGTTTTGCATATAGCCCAACACTTCATAGCTTTTCCAACAGTAGGCGGACATGTTTGCCGTGGTCTTTCAAATTCTTAGAAAAGATTAGAATATCATCCAAATAGATTGCAACAAAGTCATCAAGATGCTTACAAAATATGTCATTCATTAAGTGTTGGAATATGGCTGGTACATTGGTAAGTCTAAAAGGCATGACATTGTATTCAAAATGTCCATACCTTGTGCAAAATGCTGCCTTTCATTCATTTCCCTCTTTAATGTGTACTAAGTTATACGCGCCTCGTAGATCAATCTTTAAAAAGATCTTTGCTTTGCTAAGTTGATCAAGAAGTCTGGATATCAATGACAATGGATATTGATTTTATATCGTGATTTTATTAAGATTGCGATAATCGACATACATCCGTAAAGATCCATCTTTCTTCTTCACAAATAATATCGGAGCACCAATTAGCGACTTGGAATGTCAAATGAAACTCTTAGCCTGATTTTCATCAATGTATTCCTTTAAAGTGGCTAGTTCATTCTGGGATAAATTGTAGATGTGTCCAAACAGTGGTTGACCACCTTCTTGAAGGACAATGCTTTGGCATGATGTCTGCATTTTTCTTTTCAAATACATCTGCAAAATCCTTATACACCTTTGGAATTGTTGTTGTAGCAATCACAAGTTCTGATCATGGATTTGCATAGACAACAAACATAGTGCCCTGTTTGGCCGCCCTCACAAATGTTCTAGCTCCAATAAATAAATGTTGTTTAAGTTTTGGCTTGTCGAGTGTCAGAAGCTTTTTTATAGATCTAGGGGTTCTATGATCTACTAGAGGAAATTCTAAATTTTGAGATACCCAATCTATTCGTGGATTATATTTTTCAAGCCATGAGAGTCCTAAAATGATTGGACTTGATGGTAATTTAATGACATTGAATACTATTTGGCTGCTATGGTTGTCAAAGGTTATTTCTAATGGAATCATCTCATGAGTGACGTCTCTAGAGGATAAAGGTCGACCATCTATTACTTCTATATGTATGGCTTTGGATTTTTTGACCATATAGATTTTGTGAAATCTAGAAAATTCTTTGTCAATAAAACATACAGAGGCTCCCGAATAAAATAATGCATGACATTCTAGTTTTGTGACTCATAGGTATATAGGTATAATAAAACAACGGGAAGGGCTGGCAAAGAGTACAAACCTTTTTTTGTTTTGTGATAGTCAAGAATTCAGCTGCACGATCCTTACTATGACTGTAAGCCCTTGTTTTTTTTACATAGCTTATGATGATGTGGCCGCACTCTTCATTTGATATATACGTTGGCATTTCTATGAATGATGATCAATCTTGTGGCCAAGTTTTTCACAAATGCTTATTAGAATTGGACGGTGAAGAAGCTATAAAATAATTGATATATACATGTGACATAATTGAAGAACGTTTATCTTGTCGTTGTTGAAATAAATAGTTATAGCACTTCACAACTTCACTGTATATCACATGGTAATTGTTAAAAATGTGAGGCATACATTGATACAGAATGTGTTCTTTATCAAAGGCTTTGAATTTTATTTGTTGAAGAACAAATCTTATGACGTTCACCAAATGCTTCCACAAATGCTGCCAAAAATGTTTCAAAATTTTCTAATATAAGGGAATTCTTTTCAAATAATGGAGCAAACCAAGATAAAGCTTGACATGAGAGTAAGGTTCCAACCAAACCAACACAAGATGCTTTAGTGGAATATTCTTGACGCTGAAGCAAGGTGATTACTCATACTTGGTTTACAAAGCTACAAAATTTTGAGCAGATGCCATCAAACTTTTTTGGAAGGCTGATCCTTGGTTCTTTTGTTATTATTGTTGTCAAATCATTGCCTTGAGTGGATGCACCTTTCATGTTTGTTGAAACAAATATAGTCGTTTGAGAATTTGGAACTTCTATTGCTATTTAATGTGGTGGTTGAGGTACTCCGACTCCTTGATCATTATGTATGGTCATATATAGTTCTTCATTTTGGTTCAAAAAAGTTTCTATCTTGATCCTCAATGCTTTAGGAGCATTAATATTAGAATCTAGTTTGATCTCTTTAAAGTCTGTCATATTGACTTTTCTACCTTTTGCCATAGAAAATCAGAGAAACACACGCATTTAAAAGAAAGAAAAACCTGATCTATGGTATAAAGAAAAAAATCAAAAGAATATTAAGAAAAGAACAATATCAGTCGAAGGGAGGATTATCCGCAACCTCTAGAATGCTATAGTACTTTCAAGAAGAGGGATAATCCACTATCTATCAAGAAAGATTAAGCTTCTAATATTGTTTTATGGCATTTTCAATAAACTATTAGAAACCGTATACAAGACAAGGATTTAAGACCAAAAAATGGAATTAGCTCAACATTAGAACAATAACTGGATACAAGGCAAGAAGGTCCTTGCTAGACAATAAGAAGTAAGTTGTCGAGACTAAGGATCCCCTCAGCCTCGATTCCTATATATACTAGGTCTTAGGAAGCTTTTTGAGAAGTTTCCGTGAGGCTTGGAAACAAAATAAACCTAAGATCTTTCTTTGGCAACTTCCTAAATCATCTAAAGCCTCCTAGAAAATTTTAGGATCTCTTATGACTTTCTAGAGATTTCTTAGAATCTATTGGAACCTTTTGGAACCTTCTAGGATCTACAAGAATCTTCTTAGAACCTTTTAAAATTTTTTAGAATCTTCTTGAACCTTCTTCAATTATATGTCCATGACAATGAGGTCCAAACTTGATATAAAAGATATAAAGTGTGTTTTCTTGGAATATTGTGAAGGTACTAAGGCATATAGGCTAATATATTTAGATATCCTAAAGATCATTAAAAGTTGTGATGTTGAATTTTTGGAGCATAAGAATGTTTCTGAGCACTTGGAGATGTGTTCAAGTAGGAGTAATGGTGTATTTGTGGACACATCTTTAAATTCAGTAAAGAAACAAGAAAATGAAGATAATGAAGATGTTAAAGATTATGATGATGATGATTATCATAAAGAGTAACAACTTTTGAATGAGAAAAGTCAAGCTTTAAGGGAGAAGAAGCTTAGAAAAGAGCTTGGAATACAACAAGGTGAGTCTTCTTCTATAAATGAAAGGAAATATTGATTGAGAGAAAAAAGACCACATGGCAAATGGTAGAAGAATGACATATTTTGTCAAATAAGTAAAGATGAACATACAAATATTATTCTTTTTGCTAATACATTGTCTTTGTGTAATGCTATAAAGTCTTAAGATGCAATCAAGTGGAAGAAGGCTATAGAAGAAGAGTACCAATTTTTTATGGACAATGGTACATGAGAATTGATACTTCTTCTAGCAAATTGATCTAGTGTTGGTTGTAAGTAGGTGTTTATGACTAAGAGAGATGCAATGGGTGTGGTGGTGAGGTATAAGGTAAGATTAGTTGCCAAAGAATATTCACAAGTTGTTAGTATTGACTTTAATAACACTTATACACTCGGAACTAAATTCACCACCATTAAGACGATTGTAGCAATTGGCACATCAATGGATTTGGAAATGTACCGAATAGATGTGAAAACGGTCTTTTTGAATGGAGAATTGTAAGAAGACATCTTTACAGATCAACCTCAAGGATTTGTACAACAAGGCAAAAAATATCTTCTGTGCAAGTTGAAGAAATCTTTGTTTGGATTGAAAGAATCACAAATAGCATAATATCAACATATTGACATGTTTTTTTTTTTTGTTAATAAGGGATTTGTAAGGAGTGAGGTTCATTATTCACTATATGTAATGCAATTTTAAGAGTTATTACTACTTCTAATCTTCTATGTTGATGATTTAATCACCTTGGCTAATAATATGGAAAAGATGGATTGAATGAAGGCCATATTAAAAAAAGAGTATGAGATGAGAGATTTGGGAGAACTCTACTATTGCTTAGAGGTGGAGTTTATAAGAGATCATGGTAATAAGACCATTATAATGAACCAAAGCAAGTACATTGAAGAAGTATTAAAATGATTCAACATAAAATAGTGCAAGTCTATTGAAACACTTTTGAAAGCCAATTTGAAGTTGATGAAGCTTACCGATGAAGAATATGCACAAATTGAAGGTGAAATATAAAGTATTCCATACAAAGAAATAGTAGGCTCATTTGTGTATGCAATGGTGGCTACAAGAGTGGATCTTACATTTAATGTAAGTGTTGTGAGCCAACACATGTATAAGGCAGGACTTTTGCATTGAATATTGATAAAGAAGATATTGAGGTACTTAAAAGGTACAAAGGACTCCAAATTGTACCTTGGTGGTAAGAACATTGATTTAGAAGGTTATTGTGATGCGGATTGATGT